GGAGCAGCGTCGCTGGCGATGCTGTGAAGAGGTATATAACCATACTTTCTCATCATCAAAGGTCGAGTGGATCCTCATCCACTCTACAAACATCATAACTAGTTATCACTTCAGCATAAGTATATATTAGTTTCAGTCAGCATAGCAGCAATCTATCAAGGTTGCTCCTCATCATAGTGCATGTGTTGTATCACCACTACCTGACATCCGAAGGCGACCCATAGCAGGTCAGCAGTCCAGATATAGATAGAACCGAAGGCAGTAGTCCACTGCAGTCCAGGGATCACCTCAAGCATTCAGTTGACACACTGGACACTCATGTTGGCACTACCAATCATCTCACTCACACCAGACCTTTGGTGTTGTGCAATACATTCAAGTTATTGATTGTGCTGAGCTACCTCTGGACAGAGTGTCCACAGCAGTTAGTCAAAACCTGCAATAGCAAAACCATTCCTGCATCTTCAAGTGAGAAAGTGATAGAGACATCTCTACTACATATCTCGCTGAGAAGCATCATAATACCACAAGCGTTGTCACATAACTTGACAGAATTCGTAATAGGTGCGGCTCTATTACAGATATCAGGTTTTGGGTGCATGACCTCTGACACTTTGCCTTAAACTCTCGCTTAGCCCAATCCTGCAATTCCTGCACTCCTCTTCATATGACTTCGGATCTTCCTGCTTCCTGCGCATTCGGTCCCATGACGAACGAGTTCAAGGTCAGCGAGCTGGTTTACATCAACTGCCAGAACTGGAAGATGAGGCAACCTGTCAGGGGTCTCACGCCTGAAACCCAGGTCGGTCTGTCAAGATACTCGGTGACTATCAAACTGTGCGACAGCTATTGTCTCGGTATCGGTGACTATCAAGTTGTGCAGTGACAGCAGGTGGCATTCATTGTATATACTATCATAGGTTTCGGCTGACCTCTGTGGACACTCCGTTCAGGGGTAGCTCGGCACGATCAATATCAATGCTTTGGTTATGATGACACCAAGGTCTGGTGTGAGTGTTGATGATGATGAGGTTGATGGTGTTGGTGATGAGATTGGTGATGTCAATGATAATGAGGTTGATGGTGTTGGTGATAAGGTTGGTGGCGTCAACACGAGTGTCCAGTGTGTTGACTTGATGCTTGAAGTGATCCCCGGACTGCAGTGGACTACTGCCTTTGGTTCTATCTTGATCCAGACTGCTAACCTGCTATGGGCGCCTTCGGACGTCAGGTAGTGGTGATACAACACACACACTACGATGAGGAGCAACCTTGATAGATTGCTGCTATGCTGACTGAAACTAATGTATACTTATGCTGAAGTGATAACTAGTTATATGGTGAGTAGAGTGGATGAGGATCCACTCGACCTATGATGATGAGAAAGCATGGTTATATACCTCTACTCAGCATCACCAGCGATGCTGCTCCTGCTCTCTCTCTCCAGAGAGTACCTTCTTCATCGAGTACTGCTCAGGGGCCTCTCCTGCTTGGCACCCCTGTGCCTCTTGAGCTGTGTCGACTCCTTCGACACTGCTCCTCCTCCTCATGACCTGATGTCAACTCCTTCGACACTGGTCCTCCTCCTCATGACCTGGTGTCGACTCCTTCGACACTGCTCCTCCTCCTCATGACCTGGTGTCGACTCCTTTGACACTGCTCCTCCTCCTTTGATCAGTGACAGTTCCTTTGGCTCTTGTCTCTCGAGCCCCTGAGTGGTAACCATCTGCATGCTCCTTGAGCTTGGTCCTCTTCGTGGCTGTGCCTGCTCCTTGAGCTTGGTCCTCCTCGTGGCTGTGCTTGGCCCTCCTTTGCATGTGAGTCCATAGGAGTCCATGGTCTCCATGGAGATTGCACTACGCTCTCTACTGATCTCGACTAGATCTTCGATACCTGTGCTCCTTCCATATGAACCCATGACCCTCCTGCTTCTTGAGCATCCAGGCCCATGACAGATTGCTGCTATGCTGACTGAAACTAATATATACTTATGCTGAAGTGATAACTAGTTATGGTGAGTAGAGTGGATGATGATCCACTCGACCTATGATTATGAGAAAGCATGGTTATATACCTCTACTCAGCATCGCTAGTGATGCTGCTCCTGCTCTCTCTCTCCAGAGAGTACCTTCTTCATCGAGTACTGCTCAGGGGCCTTTCCTGCTTGGCACCCCTGTGCCTCTTGAGCTGTGTCGACTCCTTCGACACTGCTCCTCCTCCTCATGACCTGATGTCAACTCCTTCGACACTGCTCCTCCTCCTCATGACCTGATGTCGACTCCTTCGACACTGCTCCTCCTCCTCATGACCTGGTGTCGACTCCTTCGACACTGCTCCTCCTCCTTTGATCAGTGACAGTTCCTTTGGCTCTTGTCTCTCGAGCCCCTGAGTGGTAACCATCTGCATGCTCCTTGAGCTTGGTCCTCTTCGTGGCTGTGCCTGCTCCTTGAGCTTGGTCCTCCTCATGGCTGTGCTTGGCCCTCCTTTGCATGTGAGTCCATAGGAGTCCATGGTCTCCATGGAGACTGCACTACGACCATGCTCTCTACTGATCTCGACTAGATCTTCGATACCTGTGCTCCTTCCATATGAACCCGTGACCCTCCTGCTTCTTGAGCATCCAGGCCCATGACACTGTGCTCCTTCCATATGAACCAGTGACCCTCCTGCTTCTTGAGCATCCAGGCCCATGACACCGTCACTGGTCAAAGGAGAAGGAGCAGTGTATAGGGAACCGGCAAGCAGGTCCTGAGGAGGAGGAGCAGTGTCGAAGGAGTTGACACCACTCAGGAGGCACAAGGGTGCCAAACAAGCAGGATAGTAAGGAGGAGGAGCAGTGTCGAAGGAGTCAACACAGCTCAAGAGGCACAGGGGTGCCAAGCAAGCAGGAGAGGCCCCCTGAACAGTACTCGATGAAGAAGGTACTCTCTGGAGAGAGAGCAGGAGCAGCATTGCTGGTGATGCTGTGAAGAGGTATATAACCATGCTTTCTCATCATCAAAGGTCGAGTGGATCCTCATCCACTCTACACACATCATAACTAGTTATCACTTCAGCATAAGTATATATTAGTTTCAGTCAGTATAGCAGCAATCTATCAAGGTTGCTCCTCATCGTAGTGCATGTGTTGTATCACCACTACCTGACATCTGAAGGCGACCCATAGCAGGTCAGCAGTCCAGATATAGATAGAACCGAAGGCAGTAGTCCACTGCAGTCCAGGGATCACCTCAAGCATCAGTCAACACACTGGACACTCGTGTTGATGCCACCAACCTTATCACCAACACCATCAACCTCATCAACATCAACACTCACACCAGACCTTGGTGTCATCATAATCTAAGCATTGATATTGATTGTGCTGAGCTACCCCTGAATGGAGTGTCCACAGAGGTCAGCTGACACCTATGATAGTATATACAATGAATTCCACCTGCTGTCACTGCACAACTTGATAGTCACCGATACCGAGACAATAGCTGTCGCACAGTTTGATAGTCACCGAGTATCTCGACAGACCGACCTGGGTTTCAGGCGCGAGACCTTTGACAGACGGTTCCTTTGACTCTTGTCTCTCGAGCCCCTGAGTGGTAACCATCTGCATGCTCCTTGAGCTTGGTCCTCTTCGTGGCTGTGCCTGGCCCTCCTCGCATATGGGCTCGATCCTCCTTTGCATGTGAGTCTGTAGGAGTCCATGGTCTCCATGGAGACTGCACTATGACCATGCTCTCTAATGGTATTGACTAGATCTTCGGTACCTGTGCTCCTTCCATATGAACCAGTGACCCTCCTGCTTCTTGAGCATTCAGGCCCATGACACTGAGCTAGCTCTGGATGGAGTGTCCACAGCAGTCAGTCGAAACCTGCAATAGCAAGACCATTACTGCATTTCTGAGTGAGTAAAGTGATAGGGATGTCTCTACTACATATTTCGCCAAGAACTGTAATACCACAAGCACTGTCACATAATTTGACAGGATTTGTAATAGATGCGACTCTATTACAGATATCAGGTTTTGGGCACATGACTGCTGACACTACCTTCTCGACCTTATCTTGTGAATCCCTTAACCACCTGTCAAGCCCTGTTGCCAAGCCCCCTTGATCATGTGGTCACCCCTGTGCTCAGTCCTATGTGGCTGTATGCACATACCCCTTGAGTGGTAACCATCCATGTGATGCTGAGCTTGGTCCCCACTCCTGCATGTGGTTATCTCCTGTATGCTTCTCCTTCTAATGCTGGTATCTTCCTTCCTGAATCTCCTGATACTTGCTCATGTTGGCCAACTTGCTGAGACATGCCAATCAGGCTGATTCCAATTGATCCTTGTGAGATTAACCAGGATCCCAGAGTTCGATTGATCTTGCAAGTCATATGCACTACCAACCCAATTAGATTGTCAATTCCTGATGATTGCTGCAGATCAATTTGGCACACACTTCATATGCTGATCCGCTGACCCTGTGACAGTGCCAACCTAAATTTCAGCATATTCTTTTGTGGGACCACCCTTTTTTTCTCACATATTCTGATAGCAGGCTATCCAAGCTTTGCAACCATACCATACAAAGTGGGTGTTGCCAAAGAGAACAAAGAGTACTGGTCACCATCATGAAAAGGACCTGAGAACACCATATCAAATTAATTAGATGCCGGGCAATTTTGGATGCGACTGTACTTAGAACAGCACCATCACAGCAATTCTGAATGCCTCAACTTTCTGTCATCCTTTTTTGTTTTTTTTGTTTTTTTGTTTTTTTGTTTTTTTGTTTTTTTTCCAAAAGATCGTCGTTGTGGCACGGACCACAAAAAAAGGCCGCCGAATCGGCAAGGGTCTCTCTTTGGTTCTTGTTTGGAAGCTGGAGACCATCGCACGCTCAGATCCATTTTGGAAGACTTGCAACTGCATCGTATCTCCGCACTCGTTCTCCCTTCCTGCCACCACCACATCTTTACCCTCAAGATTCCTTTGAGAGGAGAAAGGCACCCAGCAAGGATGCCTTCTAACAAACGAAAGGGCAGCACGCCCAAGAAGCCTTCAGCAGCAGCAGCGACTCCTGCTTCCGCTTCTGCCTCCACCCCAGCTGCTATCAACGGCGCCACACCCACCCGCGGTACTACCAGCGTCAACGGCAAACCTCTGACAAAGACCCAAGCTGAAGTCGTCGCCGAGTACCGTCGCTATGCAGAAGAGAAACGAGCTGGCCAGATTGACCCCAAAAACTACGCCCGCACTCCCAAGTCGGGTCTTGTTGTCCTTGTCATTCTCGCCATCTTCTCATTCCTTGGCGCCGCCACGCTTCATCTTCACTACAAGCTTCCGACTCCTCGTGCCTCGACAACCATTCTCGCTTCCGGTGTGACACCTGCTGATGCTGCTGCGTACCACCCTCCCATTCCAGGTGTGGTCCCTGCCAATGCAGCCGATGAGACCGACAAATTCCACGAGCTCTTCTCTGAAGGCAACGCCGTTGGCGTCATGCACCACCTCTCCGTCGATGTAGGCTACCGTATCGTCGGGACAAAGGAGCATTTGGAAGCCGAGAATTGGCTCGAAGGTGTTCTCCGTCGCTTCCAAGGTTACCACAACACTGGCACTCCCGACAAACCAGGTCGAACCCAAGTCGAGGTGTACAAGCAGATCGGCGATGGCGCTCATCGTTTCGATTTCATGTCCAACGTCGTGTGGAAGCGATACTACTCCATGTCCAACCTCGTCGTTCGTATCTCGGACGGTACCGATGAAAGCAAGACCAACAGTCTCCTGCTGAATGCTCATCTCGACAGCACCCTCCCCAGTCCAGGTGGAGCTGACGACGGCGTTGGTGTCGCTATCCTCCTCGAAGCTCTTCGTGTCTTGACTCTGCCCAACACCGGTCGCAAGCTTTACAACTCTGTCGTGCTACTCTTCAACGACGGCGAAGAATCGCTTCAGGATGCAAGCCATCTTTACATCACTCAGCACAACGAGACCAACTCTGGCGTTAAGGCGGTTGTCAACTTGGAAGCTTGCGGTACCAGTGGTCCTGAGCTTCTCTTCCAAGCTACAAGTCAAGAGATGATCGAGGCCTACTCGCACGTACCTCATCCCTTCGGCACTGTTCTTGCCAACGACGTCTTCTCCACTGGTCTTATTCTGTCGGATACCGACTTCCGCCAGTTTGTCGAGTACGGAAAGGACCTCACGGGACTGGACATGGCTCTGGTCGGCAACTCCTACCTCTACCACACACGCAAAGACATTCCTACCTACCTTGAACCAGGTGCGACCCAGCATTTCGGCGAAAACACATTTGCTATCATCGAACATCTCTGTCTCAAAAACTCCAGCTCCACTCTCCTCCGTAACATTCAACCCTACCAATCACGTCACACCCTTCCCGTATACTTCTCGATCGCAGGAAAATACTTGATCCTTATCCAGAACAAGGCCTTCAAGAGTCTCGTCATGGGTTTGTCCGCGTTTATCAACTTCCAGCTCTCCTCGATCGTTCGTTCGGAGAAAGATATTGGTGCGCTCAACCTTACCATCTTGAGTGCCATCTCTGTGATTTTCTCCATCCTCGGTGCAGCGCTAGGAGCCAACGGTGTTGCATTTATTATGACAAAAGTGCTTGGAAAGGGAATGTCTTGGTACACGCACGAGTTTTTGCCTATCCTGCTCTACACTCCTCCCGCGATTGCGGGTCTGCTTGTTGCCCAGCTGCTCACTTCGAAACTTGTCAAGCCTCACCGACGACCCTACTTGGAACGATCGAGTCTCTCGGGCTTGGCGATTTTCTTCAATCTCAGTCTGCTCGCGATGAACGCGTTTGGGATCGGTAGTGCCTATCTTATGATGCTTGCTTCCTTGACGTTTACTTTGGTTACAACCATCAACGACTTTGTGCTGATTGGGATGGGACAGATAGAGGAGAAGCTAGTGGCACCTGACAACCGCGTTTCGCCGTGGGTGTATGGTATTATGACCATCATTCCCGGTATTGTTGGGGTTGAGGGTATGGCGAGTTTCTTGGACCTTTTCGTTCCTCTGACGGGTAGGATGGGAGAGATTTCACCTGCGGATCATATCATTGCCAGCATTGTTGCTGGGTTGGCGTTTATGTCTTTCCCCTTTGCGATTCCTCTTGCGCATAGGTATACTTGCCAAAACCTGAAGAAGACGATCCTGGCGCTACTGGCTATCACTGCGGCAGTGATGGCAGTTTTCGCCAGCCCTGGGTGGAAGCCTTTCGATCAAGCCCATCCTAAGCGACTCTTTGTGCACCAGGTGGAAAACATTACTTCAGGAGAATGGTTTATGAACGTTGGTGCAGCAGACCCTGCTCCGGGATTCAAGAACCTCGCTAACGAGTTGCAATCCGAACTCGGCATCGCCACTGAAAGCCAAGCCCAGCTGAAGGAGATGAACGATTACAACTCGGACTTTGACATTCTCTATCCCGTCTCCGCCTTTGTTACCCCTTACAAGTTTCAACTCCCCCCTCCTCCCTCCTCTTCTGGCTTCACTACAAAATACGCCTCCCCTGCGCCGGAATCGAATCACTTCACCGTCAAAGCCAGCAACGAAATCCTCGATCTTGAATCCAACACACGCAGTCTCACACTTGAAATGAAGCACGCTGGCATCATTTGGCCTGTCGTTGCATTCGATGCTGAAATCCTCAGCTGGAACCTTCCCTCTGCTCCACCTACCGGATACCAACGTCATCACCTAAAGAGTGTTGCGAGACACGGCATCCATTCTTGGTCTGTAGACCTCGTTCTTCGTCTCCAACCAGACGCGGCTGAAGCGGCGAAGAAGAGAAGCGGTATCGTTTCCAAGTTGAAGAAAGTTGTCGGCGGAGAAGGAAAGTTGATCTCGACAAAGCAGGGAGAAGGGAAGGTGGATAGAGATCCTTCCAGACTGTGGATCGACGCATCTGGGTTGGTGGCGGATGAAATGTTCCCTCAGCATAGGGAGGTTGCTGGGAGGGAGAGACCTGCGATGAACACTTTTGTGAAGATGGACGGGTGGATGCAGGAGAAGCATCCGGAGGTGGATGTGATGATGTTGACTGTTGTTGCTGGTGTCTTTGAGGCCTGATATCCTGGCTATTGATAACATAGTATGTACATTATTCGTCTTGTAGATGTATTCAGACGATGCAAAGATGCGCCGGCATCACATCAGCCTGAGAAAGTCCGCTTCTGCGATGCAAACTCTTGCCCATATGCCTCTTATCAGCCCGAGATCGAGATGATGGAGTCTAGCATGCGCCGAATTTCTGCCAAACTTAACAGTCATAGACCCGGCGCAAAAAAAAAAAAAGAAAAAGAAAAAGAAAAGAAAAAAAAGAAAAAGAAAAAAAAGAAAAAGAAAAAGAAAAAAAAAAGAGGGTCCTTGCGAAGCTCAAAATTTCCACACAGGCACAAGAAGAAAGAAAAAAGTGGCCCGTTACTTCTCCACACTTTCTTGTCACCTTCAACACTCTCTTCCTCACTACCCTCACAACCCTCACAACCCTCGCCAATCAACACTCACCCAGGTTTGTCAAGATGGTGCACAAAGACTCCGAAGGATACATCTCCGACTCCTCCTCTTCCGCCTCTTCCGCCTCGGAAGACCTCGACAATGACTTTGGCGATTGGCAATCCGATGCCTCCAACCCACCCTCCCCTACCTTGTCCCTTTTTCCTGACCCATCCACCGGCAAACTCCTCTCTTTCAAGTCTCCTATCGAAGCTCTCTCCCACTCGAAAACCCTCGGGTGCGACTTTGTTGCGCTCGTCTCCCGTCTTGAGCTCGACACTTTGCAGGTCATCCGATTGGTCAATCATATTCGACGAAACAAGCTCACCCCTGACCAAGTCAACGCCGTTCAACAGGACGATAAGCTTCTCATTGACGATGCAGAATTGAAGCCGGTGGAGGGGTTCGAAGATGACGGATTGCTTCAAGTCAATTTCGATCTTCTCTCCACCCCCGCTGCCCCTACCGGAAAGGAAGTAGGAAGTGAGACAAGGCGGGTGAAAGAGTTGGAAGAACAACTCTCCAACACCCTCTCTGCATACAACGAACTTCGTTCGATCCACGCTGCCACCCTAGGTCTATCCTCCACCGATCTCACTGAATCTTCTGGCGATTCGCTCAACATGGAACAACGCTGCAAACTAGCCTCCTCCTCCCTCGCCCGCACAAAACGCGGAGCGAACCAAGCAGAAGATGACATGCTCTATTTCGACTCCTACTCCACCAACTCGATCCATCAGACTATGATCACTGATTCCGCCCGTACTCTTTCCTATGCGCAGTTCCTCCTTCACCCTGCCAACTCGGATTTGATCCGGGGGAAAGTGGTAATGGATGTGGGATGCGGTACAGGCATCCTATCCCTCTTTGCTGCCCGAGCGGGTGCGAAACAGGTTATTGCGATTGATGCGAGCGCTATTGTAGAGAGGGCGAGAGAGAATGTGGAGAAGAACGGATTCGGACATATTGTAAAGGTGCACAAGGGCAAGTTGGAGGATTTGCAAGGAGAGTTAAAGCAGTGGGAGGGGAAAGTGGATGTGTTGGTGAGCGAGTGGATGGGGTATTTCTTGCTATATGAGAACATGTTGCCTAGTGTGTTGGTTGCGAAAGAGAGGTATCTCGAGAAGGAGAGCGGTGTGCTGGCTCCGAATAGGATGACAATGCATTTGGCGGCCTTTAGAAGCGATGCATTACTGCAGACCAAGTTGAAGTTTTGGGATGATGTACATGGCTTTAACATGGCTAGTATGACGACCGGCTTGTTGGATGAAGCGTTTGTCGACGTTTTGGATGCGAAAGAGGTTGTGTCAGATAGCTACATCTTTGCTGATCTCGACCTTCCTACCCTCCCCCCAAAGCAGCCAGAGCCGGAGAGTGATTTCGAACTCAACATCACGGACGAAACCGATACGGTTCACGGGTTCATTTCTTGGTTCGACACATTCTTTTACCCTTCCTCCACCGTGGCCCAGGGCGACAGTACGGATTGCTCGGCGTTCGATTTGACAGAAAAGGACGTCTACGGGCTAGACCTGAAGAACAACCAAACCACCCAGCCTCAAGAAGGAGGCCAGGGCAAAAGAGTACTAGTAAAATTCTCCACTAGCCCATACAGCAAAGAGACGCACTGGCAACAGACGCTTTTTGTCCTCAAAGAACCCATGACAGATGTAAAGAAAGGCGACAAGATCAAAGGAAGAATTGTCGTACGCCAGGATCAGAAACATCTTCGACAGCTGCAGGTCGATCTGCATTATCTGCACGTCAAGCCGGAGAAACAAGGTGGAGCGGAGGGAAAGAAGAAAGTAGAAACGATGCTGGTTCAGATGTTTATGGTTCGTTAATCAATACGGCCGCTTTCGCATCCATACAGTGCATCGTCTGTTCACCCCCTCGTGTCAAGGTGGTGTTGAGCAGAATAAAGCAGTCTGATGAGCAGGCTTGAAGTTTTGCAGCAACATCCGAACGACAATCGAAGCACGCAAGAATAAGTGAGACTGAACCAAGCTTTTCGTAAGGTTGCACAACAAACGAAACAAAGCTGCATGCTGTATTCACACAGGCCATACTAGCTACACTAGCTACGGAGGAAAGAGTCTACAACTCAATCTTGCCCTTGTTTCCTCCAATAGCATTCTTGTAAACAAAGTCAAAACTCTCCTTCACGGTCACCGCAATCTCCTTTACCGTCGACCAAGCCTCTCTGGTCACTGTTTCATACATCGCCACCAAGGCCACCCGAATCGGATCAGGTCCATCCATAGTCCAATACCAAGCCGCTTCCCAGGTAATCAACGCGACCAATCCCATGAACAAGGTCATACCTCCTAGCATCAACACAAAGAACCACATCATTTCATCTTTATCTTTCTTATCCGCCACTCTCCTCTCCTCTTCTGTCATTAGTTCTCTTTGGTTGATGGGTTGTAGTTGCTCACTTTCTGGGTTGTTGGAGTATTTGAGTGCGAGTGCTTTTGCACGGCGGTCTTCAGACCAGGTTTTGAGAGACGCAGCACGAGCATCGGAAAGGTTGCCCTCTGCTGCATCGGCTACGTAGGATGGATAGTAGGTTTCGCACCACTGTTCGATGCGTGCCAGTTCAACAGACCATCGGGTGAAGTTGGGGTCGGAAGGGGAGAGACGACTGTGGATACGACGGGAGTAGTCGAGGAAAACATAGGCTACATCGCGAGGGTTTACCGCCTTGAGGATGAGGCCTACGGCGATTCCTTTTCGGATTTTAACGTTTTTCTTGAATACGTCCGGGTTGTTGAACATCAATTCCAACGTAGCAATAGCCATTACTTGCGGGATGGCGCAGAAGTTGAAAATGCTTTGCTCTCTAAGCAATGCCAAATAGTCCAAGGCGGACGTAGCGTGGGACATGGCATCGAGTAGCATCGAAGATAAGACGTACATGCTTCTTTGTCCTAGCTCTCCCTCCTGCGGCTTGAACTTGTTGCTTCCAGGTTTAACCTCTACGATACCAGATGCGACTTGAGCTTGCGAGGAAAACCGAGCGTAAGAGTCACCCCAACATCGTCTTGGCCAGAAATGTCTGCCTTGTTGGCAATCTTCGGCGTAGTCTCGGATGATGTTTGTTTTCTGCAAGAACAATCCCATGTGGTTGGAAAGTTGCAGCTGGTGGCCAAGCCAGGGCCGTTCGAGTCTAGACTCACTAAACAACCTCGACAAACCTTCACCCACCAAGCCTGCAACAAAGTGACAGTACAAATCAAAATCACCCCAAGTTGCCACACTCAAATCCTTTCCGGCACTGAGCTCGATATAACTAGCCATACCGGCACCCATCTTAGCGGTGATATCGCTGATCACTCTCCTGTACCCTTCATCCAGCAACTGATACTCCGCAACGACCTTGTCGAACTCAACCAAAAGCAGTCGATCCTTTTCGTTCGGACCAGATTCGTTGAAGTTCCAACCTGGTTGTTCGAGATACTTGAAAAAATCGACGAGGAGAGGGATCTTGCGAGAAGCAGGGATCGTCATGTCGTCTTCAATAGTGTCGAGAGCGCGAAGGACGAGATAGAAGAGACAGACGACTCGGGAAAGGTCGCCTTTGAGTTCTTTAATGACAGCAGCAAAGGAGCGAGAGGTGAGATCGAGGAATGTCCAGCAATCACGCATTCGTTCGCGATCCCAACCGGATTCGGCGGGGTTGGCTTTGATATCGTTGAGAGGGTCTCGCCAGACTTTGTATCCGATCATTGCTCTGAGTTCGGATGGATGGGTCATGCCCAGAAGGATATAGGAGAGGATCGCCATCTTGAATGATCTGAAGGGATGAGGTTGAGGGAGGTGGTGTTGGTGTGGAGAAGAAGAAAGCGGCGAGGGGAAATGCAAGATCACTTGAGGCAGTTCAGGGCTCGGTCAATTCTGGTTGGTTGGCTGGTGCGCGCGTCGATGTTATGTTTCTTTTCGGTGACAATGCTCTGCTGAAAATGACGATCCAATGAGATGGTAAAAGAACGACACGGAGTCGATCTGATCTTCGATCAGATAGGGCCGATCTGGTTGAGCTACCAATTCGATCGTAGATTAGGTCAAGTAGATCTCAGGAGAAATCAGGTGCAACACAGTCCCACTTGTTGTCATGATAGACCATGAAGTAGTAGTACCCCCACATCAGGCAAGTGCCACTCACATGTATATATAACTCACAGAGAGCACTAGGCTCTCGCCACATTCCCTAAGTCAATTGAGTATATATGTTTCTGTCTTTTAGCAGCAGTGACATAATACTTAGACTCTCCCCGATCACCAGTATTGGGACCTAAACGATGTTTATATTCAACAGGTTATGAGCCCAATCTGATAGCCTCCTTCACACTATCAGCAACACCAACGAAAAGTATCCCCTTCAATATGTCTAATCCAATCTACTTGGACTATGACAACTTTGTCGAAACGATCCAGGATCTCCTACCACATCAGCCAAAGATCCTCCAAAACAGGTTCAATCGAGAGATAGCGAATGAAACCTATGGTACCCCTACTGCCCCAAAAGATGGCACACTACTGAAGTATGCTATGGAGGAAGGCGATGAGGAACAAACCATCTCACCTCTATCCATCCTAATCAAATGTGTTAGTAGCCTTTACAAAGCAATGCACAACCTTGGCCCATTCACTAGCCAAATTGAACTTGGTAAAGGGATGCAAGCTAGAGTGGTCCCCTTCCTCACCAATGAGGAGTGGGATGTGAACTGTATACTTGACCTCAAGGTTGAGGGTCTGGTTGAAGCTGCCTGGAATATTGAACAACACTACCACCCCATTAAGAGTGAAGCGCCAACGTCAGCTAGAGGCAACACTCCTGCTCTAGACTTAAATGTCACCAGCCGTCATCTCGTTGGGTATGAAGCTACGCCAGGGCCTACTCCAGAGCTTAATGCCATCACAAACCATCACCTCAAGGTACTTTCAGGTCTCAATGACAGAATGAAGTGGGACGAATGAGACCTCCTCGATCTGAGGGCAGTCTCCATGCACATTTGGCGACGCAAGATATTCACCTTGTTGTCAGTTGTCCCTTTCGCACAAAATGTTCTTGACCGAAAAGTGGTGACTTTTGAGGATGCTGATTCTATACTTAGCCCAATCATCATGCATAGCTTCTCAAATAAGTTGTGCACAGAATACTTTGCTGAATATGGTGATCGACCAATACTGATCACTGTAGATCTATTCGAATGGGCACTAAACAAGTGTAAAGCATACTCCGCTGCTAAAGAATATGAGCTCTGCAGCACCACCTATGGGTTACATTGGGACCAGATTGGAAGTCATGCTTATGACTTCCTAACCAAATGGGAAGCCCATGTGTCGGAGCTTCATATGTACCTACAGGAACCTTGGATGCCGGATAATTGCTACAGGACACTCAAGCATGCCCTACCTTCAGACAAGAATGCACTATTTAACTCAGTGTTTATATTGCATGAGAAACTCAATGGAAAGGATCAAACAGCCGAAAGTGTGGCTGACATCCTAAGTCAGTGCTATGAGCTTGCCGCTGAGAGTGCACCTGTGCATCTATCCCCTATAGCCGAGGTGTCTGAACTTACTGCATTGTGAGCAGCTACATTGATTAACTGCTGGGCTTGCGGGGACCTTGGCCACGCAGCTAATAGATGTCCAGATGCCGAAGCCCATGTGTGATGGAAGCAAGAAAGGATCAAAGCGACACCCAAAGGCCATGCAAACGCCTGCATCGTGTTGCCTATGGAAGGGAACCGGGAAGACTAGGATGTGGCACCGGTCTTGGCTTTCTTTACCAAAGTTAAACCGGCACCCATTAACCTACCTCCCTGGTTCGTTCCCTTTGTATTTGACTCAGGAGCATCCTGTGTCATGGTCAACTCTTCTTGACACAGGAAAGGTTGGAGGGATATGGAGGGTTCAGTCAGCATCACTACTGCTGATGGAGGACAACTGGTTGCCACCAAGATGGGGGGCACAGTCAGCCTTCTGAGCTTCAGCCCTCAGAAGCGGCAATGGGAACAAATGATCTATAAAGACTGTCTGCTTGTACCCGGCCTTGTGATGAACCTTATCAGGACGAAGTCGGTAACGCATGCACAAGGAAAAGTTACCTTTGAGAAAGAGGTCATAATGGTACAGGATAAGGACAGACATGCAATTGGTGTACCAACAAGTGGGGATGGCTACCCTGCCATTGCCATGATGATATGGGACGACAGCATGCCCAAGCCCTCTGTCTCCCTCACTTTCACATCCAGGATGGTGAATGCAACCCACTCCTATGGGTCCTGCAATAAAGCAGATCTCTGGCACCAGCGATTGGGTCATGCCAGTCATGATGCCATCATGCAGACATGCACAGTGACCCTCTTGCACGATATCCCATTGTTTACTGCCACCAAGACTGGAACTCTATGTGACATATGTGTGCATAGCAAAGCCACAGCAAAGAATACTGCTCACCCCAGGCAATTAGAAACACCACTCGAGCTGGTTTCGATGGATGTGATGGGACTACTTTGTGGTAATGAGAAGTTTGTATACAGGCTCATCATACATGATGCATATTCAGGCATGATCTGGGTATGCGGTCTGACAAACAAAAAGGAGGCATCTCAAGAAGCCGCATGGTGGCTAGCGGAAATGCATGTCGCCATGCATAGGAAACCATTGGAGGTCATCATTGACTATGGAATCAAGGAAGTCAGGGTTGACCAAGGCGAGCTATGGTCAAACGCCTTTCGAGATGTCTGCTCATCAATGTCAGGGGTCTCGCGCCTGAAACCCAGGTCGGTCTGTCGAGATACTCGGTGACTATCAAACTGTGCGACAGCTATTGTCTCGGTATCGGTGACTATCAAGTTGTGCAGTGACAGCAGGTGGCGTTCATTGTATATACTATCGTAGGTTTCGGCTGACCTCTGTGGGCACTCTGTTCAGGGGTAGCTCGGCATGATCAATATCAATGTTATGATGACACCAAGGTCTGGTGTGAGTGTTGATGATGATGAGGTTGATGGTGTTGGTGATGAGATTGGTGATGTCGATGATAATGAGGTTGATGGTGTTGGTGATAAGGTTGGTGGCATCAACACGAGTGTCCAGTGTGTTGACTTGATGCTTGAAGTGATCCCCGGACCGCAGTGGACTACTGCCTTCGGTTCTATCTTGATCCGGACCGCTAACCTGCTATGGGCGCCTTCGGATGTCAGGTAGTGGTGATACAACACACACACTATGATGAGGAGCAACCTTGATAGATTGCTGCTATGCTGACTGAAACTAATGTATACTTATGCTGAAGTGATAACTAGTTATATGGTGAGTGTAGAGTGGATGAGGATCTACTCGACCTATTGATGATGAGAAAGCATGGTTATATACCTCTACTCAGCATCGCCAGCGATGCTGCTCCTGCTCTCTCTCCAGAGAGTACCTTCTTCATCGAGTACTGTTCAGGGGTCAGGGGCCTCTCCTGCTTGGCACCCCTGTGCCTCTTGAGCTGTGTCGACTCCTTCGACACTGCTCCTCCTCCTCATGACCTGTGTCGACTCCCTCGACACTGCTCCTCTTCCTCAGGACCTGCTTGCCAGTGTCCTATGACTATTGTCTCTCGAGCCCCTGAGTGGTAACCATCTGAGCTTGGTCCTCTTCGTGGCTGTGCCTGCTCCTTGAGCTTGGTCCTCCTCGTGGCTGTGCCTAGCCCTCCTCGCATATGGTCTCAGTGCTCCTTTGCATGTGAATCCATAGGAGTCCATGGTCTCCATGGAGACTGCACTATGACCATGCTCTCTACTGGTATCGACTAGGTCTTCGATACCTGTGCTCCTTCCATATGAACCAGTGACCCTCCTGCTTCTTGAGCATCCAGGCCCATGACACTACCCCCCTCTTAAGAGCCGAGCTCCGTCGAGGCATGCTCTGGTCTGGTTCATGCTGACTCCTCCTCCTCCTCCTCCTCCTCCTCCTCCTCGACAACATCGCCAACATCATCCTTCCTCCTTCTCTCAACGTCATCCTCCTCTCTCTACTCCTTCTGTTCTCTCTTCCTCTCTCTACTCCTCCTGTTCTCTCCTCCTTTCTCTACTTTGTCTACTCACTCGTCCCCCCTCCGACACCTCATACTCCTGGATGAGGTCGGGACAGTTGAGGTTCTCTACTGGTTCCCATGAAGCAGCTTCTTCTGAGTACCCTCTCCACAACACCTTGTACTCTGTAGTCCCATTGTGTGAACGCTTGTCGATGAGTGCTTCGACTTCAAAGTCGAGGTCCTCATCTGGAAGTGATGGTATGGTGGGCTGTTCAGCACATTGAGGAAGAGAACTTGTTCTTGCTGGCTCGAGCATGGAGACATGGAACACATCATGCACCCTAAGGTTTGCTGGTAATGTGATTCGATAAGCTCAGTGTCCTACCCATTCCTGAACTGGGTAGGGTCCTGCAAACCAGGTATCTAACTTGGGTGTGGGTCTCCGTGTCTTCCAGTTTCGACGGTTGATATAGACCATATCACCCACCTTAAACTCGATGTCCTTGTGCTTCCTGTTATACTGGTTTACTGATCTCCGTTGTGCCTCTCTGATCTGCTCCTGGAGGTACTTGCAACACTCCTTTCCATCCATGAGGTACTCGAAGCGACCTGGATCATTGACTCCTAGTTGTTGAGGGATGTCAGGATGAGCTTTGGGGTTCCATCCATAGCATGCAAAGAATGGTGAGACACCAATGCTGTTGTGGACCATGTTGTTGTACACAAAGGCTGCAGTGTCCAGCAGGTTGGCCCAGTCATCCTGTTCATAGTTGCAGTACATCCTGAGGTATTGCTCTATGACCTGATTGACTCTCTCTGTCTGACCATCAGTTTGAGGATGGTAAGCTGTGCTAAGTGAGTGCTTCACACCCATTTGCTCTGCAAATGCCTTCCATGCTCCTGATATGAACTGCCTGCCTCGGTCCGAGACCATGTGATCTGGGTATCCGAAGAGTCTTACCATGTGTCCATATAGCAACACTGCAGTCTGTTTGGCCGTGACTGTCTTATGGGTTGGAGCTAGTATGGCAAACTTGGTTAACCTGTCGACAATGACTAAGATAGAGTCATAGGTCTTGGAGTCATACTTCTTCGATGGTGGTAGTCCTTCGATGAAGTCGAGGGATATGGAGCCCCAGGGCCTGTCTGGTGTTGCTAGTGGCTGTAGCAAACCATATGGACGATGACAAGGAGCTTTGTACCTAGCACATACAGGACAACTTGCTACATAGTCTGCAATCCAAGCTGTCATGTTTGGCCACCAGTAATGTCGTTGAGCTGCCTTGATGGTAGCATCTCTTCCTACATGTCCAGCAGTAATACCATCATGGCATTGGGTCATCACCATGAATCGCAGATGCTCTACAGAGAGAGACTGTCCATCTACCTCTTTGGCACTCCTTGAGTGTCGGTTGTTGGTCCTCCCTGGCATGATCACTTTGGGGATAACCAACCTTCCTCCACTGTACCATAGGTCGTCCCTGACCTCAAAGGGCTTCTTCCTATGTATCTCCTGTAGCTCTTGGTCTAAGGGCTGGAAGATCTTGACCAGGTCTTTGAGACCTTTTGATGCTATGGACTCCATCGAGGTCATGGGGGCCACTAGGAGCGAGTCATGGTCTGCTGTCTCCTTGAACACTCGAGGAGGCAGTAGTTGCCTCACATTGTGATCCTGCTCTTCACCAGCTGGTTGCATGTCTGTCCTTCTGGTGAGAGCATCGGGTTCACCACCTTTGTCTCCTGGTTGATACTGCAATATGAAGTCGAAGTCTGCTAATAGTATTGCCCATCGAGCCTGTCGACCTGTGATGCGTCTCTGTGACTTGAAGTACTTGAGGGCTTCATGGTCAGTGAGGATGACCAGTTGGCTCAGTAGTCCAGCTAGCATGTGTCGCCACTGAGTGAGGCAGGCGACCACAGCTAGGAGCTCCTTGTCATGGATCTCATAGTTCTTCTCGGCAGAAGACATCTTCCTAGAGTAGAAAGCCACTGGATGCCATCATCCTTCATGCTCCTGCTTGAGTACTCCTGCTATAGCAAAGTCACTTGCATCAGTCTCCAACCTTGTTGGGAGGTGGTAGTCGAAGTGCTGAAGCACTCCTGCTGATGTGAAGGCCTGGATGAGCTTGTGGAAGGCCTGTTGGGCCTCCTCTGGTAGCTCGAACTTCTTGAACCGTTCTATAGGCTTTACCAGTGCTGTCAAGGGCCTGGCTATGCGAGCAAAGTGGGCTATGAACCTTCGATAGAAGTTGGCAAAACCCAGGAACCTCTGGATGTCATGGATTGACTCTGGCATTGGCCACTCCTTGACAGTGCGCACCTTTTCTGGGTCCATCTCTATGCCCGTTGGCTTGATGATGTACCCCAGGAACTCGACTGTCTTGGTGTGGAACTCACACTTCGACAGCTTAGCAAAGAGCCTGTTGCTCCTTAAGCGAGTGAGGACCTTGGTGACATGCTTCACATGTACCTCTTCAGTGTCACTGAAGATCAGGAAGTCATCTAGGTATACTACCACATATATCCCAATGATGTCTCGGAAGATGTCATTGATGAATGACTGGAAGTGAGCCGGAGCATTGGCTAGGCCAAAGGGCATCACTAGGTACTCATAGAGTCCCAACTGAGTGCCAAAAGCTGTCTTCCATTCATCTCCTTTAGCAATCCGGATGAGGTTGTATGCTGCTCTAAGGTCTAGCTTGGTATAGATCCTTGCCTTCCTGAGTAAGAACAGCTGCTCCTTGATGAGGGGCAATGGTGCCCTGTTCTTGACAGTGATCTCGTTGAGACCTCTGTAGTCCACACAGAGTCTGAGACCCCCATCCTTCTTTGGTACGAAGAGCACTGGTGATCGTGCCGGGCTCTTCGATGGTCTTATGAACCCCTTCTCGAGGTTCTCATCCAAGTACCTCCTCAACTCGGACATCTCCTTGGGTCCCTTAAGGTATAGGGGCCCTTGAGGTGGCTTACCTCCTTCTATCAACTCGAGGTGGAGATCATGCTCAGTATGATGGGGCAGCTTGTCTGCTTCCACCTCATCAAACACATCTCGCAGGTGTTGGTATGGCTTTGGTATGTCTGCAGCCGTCACCACCTTGTCTACCTCCACCTCCATCTCGACTCCTTTGTCTGCGCCTGTAGGTACAAAACCAAAGGCCGGGAGTGATGATGGTGGCTCCTCCAACAGCATGAACCCTATGGGTCCATCTTCCAGAGCTGCTCGTAGTATGCGCTCTGCTGAGACAAACTTGTTACCATGAAGGGTTGGTCTCCTCATGGTTAGGTCCCCTGCTCTTGCTGCCTCAGGGGGTCTCCTTGGGGGTCGGTCCTGCTCCTGAGTCTTGAACTCCAACTGGCCCGTATCCCATTGTATGGTGGGTTTGAGCCTCTGTAGCTCAGTGAACCCCAGGATGAGGTCATAGTCTGCAGTGTCGGCCACTGAAGCTTCGACCACACCCAGATTGTGTGTACCAATAGATACCTGCATGCTCGCAGAACTATTGATGGAGAGTTGGTGCCTGGTGACACCATGGATCGATCTTGTTTTTATGGGTTTTGTGGGTATTTGGTACTTACTAATGAAAGAATCTGAGACTATGGACAAACCAGCACTGGTATCAGCTAGTATCCGAGCAGGATGGTCTTGAACCATTCCAGATAGCTCCAGTACTGCTTTGCCTCCACTGGTAGAGAAACATACTTGACAATCTTGATATATACAGAGTGATGGCGAGGAGGTTTGTAGAGCAATGCATGCCATCAGTGCATCACCCCACTGACATTTCCCTCATTGTCATCATCATCATGCTCCTCCTCCTCGTGGTTGAGGTCCATGGGTTGCTGGTATGAGCTGAGGTCCATGGCCTCAGGGTCACCTGTCTCAGTACTGCCTGTGTGGCCATCTCCTGAGTCGGTGGCCTCCTCAAAGGGGTCTGCTGTGGTGACCATAACCTTTGGTCCCATGGGTCGAGAGCTAAGAGGGTCTACCCTCCTGCTGGGGCAGTCTCTGGCCCAATGGCCAATACCCTTGCATACATGACAGGTGTTGATACCTGATGGAGCAGGGCTTCCTTGCTTCGAGGGTTGGGTGGGATGATGAGGAAGGGGTTGGTTTAGGTTTTGTATAGTTGCTTGTGTAGTTGCTTGTGATGGTGATCGAGCTGGATAAGGTTGAGTGGGTTGTCGGATGGGGATTGAACTTTGATTTGGCCGAGACCCAGTTCTTAGTGGAGGTGATGTGGCGTTTGGGAGTGAGTGTCTAGCCGAGGACTGCTGTAGTAGCATCCTCTGTCGATCGATCTCCTCGACCTCTCGATACCACTCCCATCTCTTCCCAGGTGGATTCCTCTCGAACTTCTCCTGTATGCTACGAGTGAGACTACCTCTGAAGAGATCAATCACTAGCTCGTTGTCATCTAGGTTGACCTGTCCCTCCAAGTCTCTGAACCGCTCTACATGACGTGTGGCAGCACCAGGAGCATCACTTGTGAGTCTGAGAGCCAACAGCTTGTTGTATGCCTCCATCCTAGCATTGCGTGGGTTGAACTGTTCTGACAGTCGCTCTGTGAAGTAGTGCCAATCATTGAACAACCTTCCTTCTCTAGCTCTATCAATACGGAGCTTGGAGGTCCACCACTCTCTTGCTGTCCCTTCCAGTTGAGCACCCATGTGGTTGATCATCCTAGTCTGCTCATACACCTGGTTGAACTTAAACCATGCTTCGGCTTCTAGAATGAAGATCTCCATGTCTCGGGGATTGAACTTTGGGAAGGGGGTGGCGATGGGCTTTGACCGGTTAAGCTCTGCCATGATGCTGGTATCCTCCTCATGGTCCAGGGGGTAAGGGTCCGTCCTAGTCCTGCTGTAGGGGTCCACCTTAGTCTTGACATATCTTGGCCCAGTAGGTGAAGCATACTTCTCGTAGTTGATGTCCTCCTGCTCATCCAGGTTGAATGAGACTGAATGTCTTGGTCGTGGAGCTGGAGTAGGAGTATGTGGGTCTCCTATCATAGACTCATCTCCTCCTCCTGCTTGGTCTTCTGAGTGAGAGAGGTCCATTGTCTCCCCCCTGCTCAGTTGAGCTCGTTGTAATTGTTCCTCTTGATGACCCTGTCTGGTAAGCTCTAGCTGTGCTTCCAATAGAGTGAGTAGTCTATCGAGCTTATTGTTGAGGTCTGGGTCCGTCATGGTGATCATGAGGAGCTGCTTGAATGATCCACTCTAATGTCAGGGGTCTCGCACCTGAAACCCAGGTCGGTCTGTCGAGATACTCGGTGACTATCAAACTGTGCGACAGCTATTGTCTCGGTATCGGTGACTATCAAGTTGTGCAGTGACAACAGGTGGTGTTCATTGTATATACTATCGTAGGTTTCGGCTGACCTCTGTGGACACTCCGTTCAGGGGTAGCTCGGCACGATCAATATCAATGCTTCGGTTATGATGACACCAAGGTCTGGTGTGAGTGTTGATGATGATGAGGTTGATGTCGTTGGTGATAAGGTTGGTGAGTGTTGATGATAAGGAGGTTGATGGTGTTGGTGATAAGGTTGGTGGCATCAACACGAGTGTCCAGTGTGTTGACTTGATGCTTGAAGTGATCCCCGGACCGCAGTGGACTACTGCCTTCGGTTCTATCTTGATCCGGACCGCTAACCTGCTATGGGCGCCTTCGGATGTCAGGTAGTGGTGATACAACACACACACTATGATGAGGAGCAACCTTGATAGATTGCTGCTATGCTGACTGTAACTAATGAGTACTTGTGTTTCTAAAGTATTGACTAGTTGTATGGTGAGTGTAGAGTGGATGGGGATCCACTCGACCTATGATGATGAGAAAGCATGGTTATATACCTCTTCACAGCATCGCCAGCGATGCTGCTCCTGCTCTCTCTCCAGAGAGTACCTTCTTCATCGAGTACTGTTCAGGGGTCAGGGGCCTCTCCTGCTTGGCACCCCTGTGCCTCTTGAGTGGTGTCGACTCCTTCGACACTGCTCCTCCTCCTCATGACCTGTGTCGACTCCCTCGACACTGCTCCTCTTCCTCAGGACCTGCTTGCCAGTGTCCTATGACTCTTGTCTCTCGAGCCCCTGAGTGGTAACCATCTGAGCTTGGTCCTCCTTGTGGCTGCGCCTGCTCTTTGAGCTTGGTCCTCCTCATGGCTGTGCCTGGCCCTCCTCGCATATGGGCTCAGTGCTCCTTTGCATGTGAATCCATAGGAGTCCATGGTCTCCATGGAGACTGCACTACGACCATGCTCTCTACTGGTATCGACTAGGTCTTCGATACCTGTGCTCCTTCCATATGAACCAGTGACCCTCCTGCTTCTTGAGCATCCAGGCCCATGACATGATGGTTCTTCCTACCTCTTGCGCATCCAGGCCCATGACAAATGGTTCTGGACTATTGTTGGCAGGCATGGGAGGAGATCCTGCATGGAGTCGACAAAGTTGTCATAGATCGAGTAGTCTATGTTAGACATCATTGAAGGTGTGTTCGAGGATGTGGTAGGGCTATTTGGGCTCATAACCTGTTGAAGTTTGAAGAAGTTTCAGTCCTGATACTGGCAATAGGGGAGAGTCTAAGTACAATGTCACTACTTCTTTAAGGCAGAAACATATATACTCGATTGACTAGAGGGAGTGTTGATAGCTTAGTGCTCTCAGTGTGCTATATATACATCTGTGTTGCACTTCCCAGAGGTGGGATTACCCCTAGCTAATGACCTACCATGACAACTGGCAGGACTGTGTTGTACCTGATCTCTTCCCAGATCAGTCCCCCTGAATCTCTGATCAGATCAGTTTGTCCTGATTCCTCCACCATTGGCTTGCGTCACCTTCCATTGTCATGTTTGATCATTACCTTTGTGAGTAGTTAGCCACGAGAGAGGAAAGAGACACGTGTCTGCATTTGAGGTCAAAAATGGAAAATTGCAAGGAATACCCAAATCCAAATTGGCGATTCCAATTTCTTGAAAATGATTCGAATTTCCAATTCGATAACCCTCTCTTGCACGAGTAGCTTTACTTGGACGCCAAGTTGGACAGTCAGTTATTGAACTGCCATTTTCTTTTCTTGCATGCCTTGTTGCATCACCATCGGTTGGTCGCTGTCATCTGCACCATCACAGTCTTGTTTTAGTATTTTGTTTTGTTTCGATTGCCTGGGCCTGAATCAGAGTAGCGATGACGTTGGAAGACGTCAACCAACTACCATTCCTTTTGGCTGATGTGTGTTTTCTCAAGATGAGTTGACAGCGAATGGCTGAGCGTTGGTGGCGACATGCATATATCACAATCTTATTTGCTTTCAATCTTCTTTCTCGTCCATCATTCACCAGCAATGAGATAACAGTGCAGAAGCTATTGACTGGTCCAGCTCCGACTCGATCAGTGTCAAAATCAATCACGTCAACAAAGATGACGAAAGAACATCAGTCTGTTTTCCACGCACGTCTGTGCTTCATCCCAAGTTCTGCGATGCTCTTCCGATGGTAAGCAGCGGACGTAGTTGGCATGCGTCTCGTCGAACTCGACCGTGTCAAGCGAATCTGCATCGCCAAATAGCAAGCTCACCTGCTTAGCGGCGGGGCCCTGGAGCTGCTTCAGCAATGGTAAGCCTTCAGGTGTGAGACCACTTATGAACACGTGATGTCGCAGCAGAAGACGACTCTTTGCATCTTCTTCCTCTTGCTCTTTCATCTTGGGCGCCCGCTGCTTGTTGGATGCTCGGGTTGGATGACGTCGCTGCGAGTACTCGTGACCGCGGCAAGATTCTGGGCCCTTGAGATCAAAGAAGAGCTCGAGGCACTGCTTCTCTTGGTTGACAGCAAGACGGGGCCCTACTGCCGCCTCTTTGACCTCTCGGGTAGGTCGGTTGATGCAGTTCTTTACTTGGATAGCAATGTACGACAACTTGGTCTCGTCAAACTTGTCAGCGCCGTTCGGAGGCTGGTCGCTGTGAGACTCATAAACGGGTATGAGCAAATCCCATCCAACTTGATTGCTAACGCCTTGCGCTGTGGCGTGACGAATCCAGAGCTCGAAAAGCAAATCTGTCCCAATGCGACGGTTATGCGGTATCTGATTGGGCAGAACGGCGGAATGCGTAAAGTTGAGCCATGCGCGTCGGGCCCACGAAGCCAGTTGCGACGGCAAGCCTTGATCGGCTTGGTCTTGATCCGCCATGACTTGGTCGCCATCCTCACTTCCAGGGTAGCCGCTGCTGGACCCGCTGACTGCTGGTGCACACTCTACATACTTGGAGCCGGTAAGAGTGCAAAGCCAGTCGTGGACACTGACCAGGCCGTAGAGCGCGGCATACTTGGCTTCGGCCGAGGGAACAGGCCATGAGGAAATGTAGTAACGCAGGTGATTTGAGTACCTCTGGCTCATAGCCAGGTCGATGGCCATGGTGGATAGGAGAGCGACGCCGAGCTCGCCTTGAGCGCCCACGTTGAGACCAACGGGTGCACTGGCATGGATAATAGCCTGCACCATCATGGACCACTTGACAGCTACAAGTTCGGGCTTGGATCGAACGCTCCAAGCAACGGCAAGGCTAAGAGGTGCTTCACTAGGTGTACCCGACTTGATCGAGTCCGAGGTGGAATAGATTCGACCGACGAAGCGCAGGTGGTGAGCAATCTGGCGAGAGACAAAGTGGTACCAATGCTGCGGGCCAGCTTTGCTCGACAGGTCGAGGTGAAGGCGTCGGGAGGCAAGCGCGATCAGATTCTGATTGGTTTCGTTGAGCGGATCGGGCTGGATGTCTTGCAATACCTCCGGCCACGTCCACTCGCTCGGCAAGACTAGTTTCCTGAAGATGGTCGTGGGCATGATGAACCCGTCGCTGTGATAGCGTGAGTCCATCCACAGCGGTCGTCCGAAGCGAGGAAGGAATGCGTCGAGATCTCGCATGGTCAGTTGGCAGGTACCCGAGGGGGAGAGCGTGCGAAGATGTTGACTAGTCAAGTTGAGGTCGAGAGGCATCGCCGAAAACGCCTGGGTGAGACAATGCGTGTCGAATTCTGACATGCGTCGCGAGCCTTGACGAGCTTCCTTGCCGGCGAGCGGTGCCAGATCCGAGTTAGTGTCGATGAGGAGGATCCACGTGGTCTCTGGCATGGCATGGAACCACACTCGACGTATGTATGGCAGCAATGTATCCATGCTACTGCATTCGTCCAATGCGAGGAAAAAGAACGAGTTAGGGTCAGCGTTGCGAAGGAGATGCTCCACTAATTGGAGGCGAGGCTTGAGATGATCTCGAATGGCATGGGTGAGCAACTCATGATCAGACAATTGGCAAGAGTACTGTCCCTTCATGGTTGACGCGAGAGTGGTGGCCGTTTCACAGATGTAATCAAGGATCTTTTCACGAACTCGCGGGGTTGCCAAAAGGCTAGGCGGAGGATCGGCGGCTTGGTTGGCGGGGTGGACGTGAGTGAGCGGATTGTCGGTGCTAGGAGGTATGTCTGTGGAACAGACATGTGGGAGGCGGCTCTGGTGGCAGATGTTAGAGGGAGTCTCGAAGAGCGAGCCCTCTTTCAAGCCGGTAGTTCGGGCATAGTAGAAGACGACGGCACGCCAGCACGCGGCAGGATCTTGGTGGTGAGCAGGCGGGTCAAAGCAACCAGAGGCATGTTGGAGCTGGATCAGGTAATAGGCTGTAGTCTGGCAGTAGACGGAAAGCCAAGCGAGGATGGAGAGGTGTGCTTGGTTGAACCTCATGTGTTCTTGGTCGCCTTTGGGCGTGGGATGGGGCTGATCCTTGGTTTCTAATGACCCAGGGAGGAGTCGCTTGATGCGTTGAAAGTAGTCATAGACTGGCTTGTCCTGCGGGGGCTCCGAGACAGCATAGTTTTGTGTGAGGAGAGAGCTTTCTCTGAGACAAACGAGCATACCGGGACTGACGGTGCTGAGTTGGACGCAGAGCCTGGTTTTGCCAAAGCCTGAGGACTGGATTATGGGGAGCACCTTGGCATAGTACTTGCGAGTTTGCTCGGGCAGGGACCAATGATGCTTGCGAGTCTGCTCGGGCACGGACTGATGCTGTTGGTGGTGAGTGTGGTCGGCTAAAGGGGGAGAGTTCTCAAGACGGGCGACATGCACGGGAGGCGGAGATGATGAGGAAGGGGGAAAGAGCTGGTTGTGTACCTTGATGTAGTCGACAAGTCTTTCGAGAGCTTGACCGTTGAAGGTGGAGGTAAAGTCGTAGAGAGGCGCACGGGCCGGAGGGCTGGGCATACGAAGGGGACCTGGGATGAAAGCATACTGCAAGACATGTGCAAGGCGGTCGACAGGGTCGAAGGTAGGTTGAAAGAAGGCGCATTTCTCGATGCGTGTCAAGAGAGTTTTGGCGTCGAACCGATCTCTGAGACTTGCAGAGGGATCGGCTCCGGAGCCGGAAACGTGCAAGAAGCTATGGATAAACTTTTCCGGAAGCCGATCGGCTATGGATTTGAGCTCATTGATGAGCCGATCAAAGTATGCGTGATCGAGAAAGAAGTCGAGACTTTTTACACGTGTCTTGCGATCAGTATTGGGCAGGGCTGCTGCTTTGAGCATCTGAATCCAAATTATGACGCTGAAATCCTGATCATCGAATGGCTTCTTGAGTGTATCATAAAGGAGCTTCTTTTGTGGTGATGCGGGCAAGCCTGGCAGGCTCGGCAAAGACGGCGCGTCATGTGGCGGAGTGGACACGACGGGAGAGGCAGGAGAAGAACCGGGGTTGAGCGTAGGAGGAAGCATTGGAATCAAATTGTGCGATGCAGTTGTTGGAAGGGAGGGTAGGAGCGCAATCAGTGCTGGCAGTGATGCTGGCAGTGATGGTGGCGGTGATGGTGGCGGTGATGGTGGTGGTGATGGTGGCGGTATATTGTCGACCAAAACTGAGCCTCCACATACACGCACCACACGCAACCAACACTTTGCCCGATCCGATCGACTCTTCCGATTTTGGCGATACGCACACGAACAAGAGGGGGTATCAAAGTTTTTGCGTTTTTAAAAACGCGGGTTTTTTGCAGAGCGCGTTTTTCAAAAAAAACGCAAAAGCTTACATAAGCTGCGCCAAACGAAAAACAAAACTGCGTTTTTGAAAACACAGCTTTTTCGTGCGTTTTCAAAAACGCAAAACGAGTTCACTCCACAACAGTGAAAGTATGTGAGCACTACTTCGATCTCACACCTTCGCCACCTTTACACACTCGGATCCATAGCAAGTTGTCGAAGCCAGTCCCGCGTATCGGCATGCGTCAGGCCCGATCATCGCCATCGGCATCGGCACACCGGCTATCTGATACCCGAGGTGGAGAAGATAGGTGCCACATCATGTTTCATATGCTTATTGTTAGGTTACGTCTCTTATCGGCCGTATGATTCATGCTTCATATGCTTACTTTTAGGATACATATTTTATCGGCCGTATGATTTCATCGCGTTTTTGGAAACCCGCTTTTCCTTAAATGGGGGGTTCAACTTTGCTCCAAAAATGCGCTTTTCAAAAAACCCGCATTTTTAAAAACGCAAAAACTTTGATACCCCCTAAGCAAGTAGTTGTTGAAGTTTGAAGAAGTTTCAATCCTGATACTGGCAATCGGGGAGAGTCTAAGTACAATGTCACTACTGTCATGGGCCTGGATGCTCAAGAAGCAGGAGGGTCACTGGTTCATATGGAAGGAGCACAGGTATCGAAGACCTAGTCGATACCAGTAGAAAGCATGGTCGTAGTGCAGTCTCCATGGAGACCATGGACTCCTATGGACTCACATGCAAAGGAGAACCGAGCCACATGCGAGGAGGACCAGACGCAGCCATGAGGAGGACCAAGCTCAGATGGTTACCACTCAGGGGCTCGAGAGACAAGAGTCCTAGGACACTGGCAAGCAGGCCATGAGGAGGAGGAGCAGTGTCGGAGGAGTCGACACCACTCAAGAGGCACAGGGATGCCAAGCAGGAGAGGCCCCTGACCCCTGACACAGTACTCGATGAAGAAGGTACTCTCTGGAGAGAGAGCAGGAGCAGCATCGCTGGCGATGCTGTGAAGAGGTATATAACCATGCTTTCTCATCATCAAAGGTCGAGTGGATCCTCATCCACTCTACTCACCATACAACTAGTCAATACTTTAGAAACACAAGTACTCATTAGTTACAGTCAGCATAGCAGCAATCTATCAAGGTTGCTCCTCATCGTAGTGTGTGTGTTGTATCACCACTACCTGATGTCCGAAGGCGCCCATAGCAGGTTAGCAGTCCGGATCAAGATAGAACCAAAGGCAGTAGTCCACTGCGGTCCGGGGATCACTTCAAGCATCAAGTCAACACACTGGACACTCGTGTTGACGCCACCAACCTTATCACCAACACCATCAACCTCGTTATCATCAACACTCACCAACCTTATCACCAACGTCATCAACCTCATCATCATCAACACTCACACCAGACCTTGGTGTCATCATAACATTGATATTGATCATGCCGAGCTACCCCTGAACGGAGTGTCCACAGAGGTCAGCCGAAACCTACGATAGTATATACAACGAACACCACCTGCTGTCACTGCACAACTTGATAGTCACCGATACCGAGACAATAGCTGTCGCACAGTTTGATAGTCACCGAGTATCTCGACAGACCGACCTGGGTTTCAGGCGCGAGACCCCTGACACTATGCTGACTGAAACTAATATATACTTATGCTGAAGTGATAACTAGTTATGGTGAGTGTAGAGTGGATGAGGATCCACTCGACCTATGATGATGAGAAAGCATGGTTATATACCTCTTCACAGCATCACCAGCGATGCTGCTCCTGCTCTCTCTCCAGAGAGTACCCTCTTCATCGAGCACTGCTCAGGGGCCTCTCCTGCTTGGCACCCCTGTGTCTCTTGAGCTGTGTCGACTCCTTCAACACTGCTCCTCCTCCTCATGACCTGATGTCAACTCCTTCGACACTGCTCCTCCTCCTCATGACCTGGTGTCGACTCCTTCGACACTGCTCCTCTTCCTCAGGACCTGCTTGCCAGTGTCCTATGACTCTTGTCTCTCGAGCCCCTGAGTGGTAACCATCTGAGCTTGGTCCTCCTCGTGGCTGTGCCTGCTCCTTGAGCTTGGTCCTCCTCGTGACTGTGCCTGCTCCTTGAGCTTGGTCCTCCTTGTGGCTGTGCCTGGTCCTCCTCGCATGTGGCTCGGTTCTCCTTTGCATGTGAGTCCATAGGAGTCCATGGTCTCCATGGAGACTGCACTACGACCATGCTCTCTACTGGTATCGACTAGGTCTTCGATACCTGTGCTCCTTCCATATGAACCCGTGACTCTCCTGCTTCTTGAGCATCCAGGCCCATGACACTTGGTCCTCTTCGTGGCTGTGCCTGGCCCTCCTTTGCATGTGAGTCCATAGGAGTCCATGGTCTCCATGGAGACTGCACTACGACCATGCTCTCTACTGATCTCGACTAGATCTTCGATACCTGTGCTCCTTCCATATGAACCCGTGACCCTCCTGCTTCTTGAGCATCCAGGCCCATGACAATCAACAGGTGTGAAGATAACCGCTTCACCCACCCAACATCATAAGGACAATGCCTTCGCTGAACAGGCCTTCCAGACTGTTCAGAAGATCACACGTAGTCCACTGTATGACTCAGGAATGAATGAGCCCTGGTGGCCCCATGCTGTTGCACAGGCGGCATTCATCCACAACAGACTAGCAGGCAGTACTCATGGCAATGTGACTCCATATGAGCTATTCTATACAAAATGCCTGGAACTACACCACATACGACATTTCAGATGCATGGCATACGTTGTACTCAGAGGGAGCACTCGCTCGACATGGCTCCGAGACCATGCAGTTGTGAGCAAACATCTCCATCCATGTGCCCTCTGGGGGAGATACTTGGGTTTCTCAGATGCACCTTGTGCAATCAAAGGCCATAAGGTTTGGCTACCTGAGCTTGACCATGTTGTTGTTACCAGGGACATCCGTTTCTCGGAACTGGAACCATCAGACACTGTCGCCCCCCCCCCCACACACACCTATCTTCGTCGGCAACTGCGATCTCCTGTGATCTTACACCTGGCTCTCTCCCAATCCCACATTGGATGAGACAGAATCGGACAATGTCGTACCTTCCTCACTGCAGCCATACTCTCATCAATGACACTTGGCAACTCATTCAGAACCCCCGAGCTTCGATCATGAGTGGGATTGCATGATGACGGCCATCGAAGAGGCTGGGGAGATCATCATTGACCTCGATGCTATTGCTGCCAATCTGAGAGTAGACCTGGAGGTGATGATGTCCGAGGGGGGGAAACACTTACTGGACCTCACAAGCACTCTCAATGGCACATCACTGCTCAAAACCCCTCACAGTGATGCTACGGCAGACGTGTATGATGACATCTCCATGCTCGAGACACCTCACACAGAGTCACCCGGTCCTGTCAGCTACACAGCCTTCACCACGGCATGCTCTGACACACTGGCACCCACCATCAGCGTTCACCACTTAGATCGTATGGTATTTGTGACCACCGTGATGACCAGCACTGCCCTCATTGCAAGTGGACAGCAGATATGCAGTGCAGACGGCATCCTGCTGGAACCACTCTCCCTCAACGAAGCTAAGACTCGCGACAACTGGTACAAATGGCAGGAAGCCATGGTCAGCGAGATGGACAGCATGCACAAGATGAATGTCTTTGAGCTAGTCGACATTCCCAAGAGTGGCAAGTTAATCAGCGTTCGATGGGTTTACAAACTCAAGCTCGATGCACAATGATGAGCGACAAGGTACAAAGCACGACTCGTTGCACAAGGATATGCTCAATGCCAGGGTCTGGACTACGATCAGATGTTCAGCCCAGTTGTCCGTCTGCAAACAGTCAGGATACTGCTTGCCATTGCATGATGATATGGTTTACATGCAATACAACTCGATGTAAGCACTGCATTTCTGAATGGAAAGATTGACAAAGACATGCATGTCCAGATACCTCTGACATTTGAAGTAAAGGAGACTGAAGGAAAATGCTATAAGTTAAAGAAAGCCCTTTATGGTCTTAAGCAAGCTGGATGACTGTGGCATGCAGTGCTGGATGAACAACTACAAGCATTTGGTTTCAGACGATGTAGAGCAGAACCATGTGTGTATACACGCAGCTCAAAGGATGCAATGATACTCCTAGCCATATACATAGATGATCTACTCATCATCGGAGCAACTGTTTCACAAGTACAGTCCGTACATCAACAACTCTCGAGCATGTTCAGCATCACCGATCAAGGAAATGTATCTCACATTATCAGGCTGAACGTAAGCTACAATCAAGAAGCTTGCATGCTCTCCATCGATCAGAGCGGATACATCGAGGGTGTCATAGCAAAGTTTGGAATGGACCAGGCTTGGACAGCCTCGACACCAGTGATGGAGAGCATCAACTCCCTCAAACCGCAAGGAGGAAGCATAGCAAGCGCTGAAGAGACTCGTTACTATGCCTCACTTGTAGGATCACTGCTGTGGATAGCTCAGGGCACAAGGCCAGATATTGCATTCGCAGTTGGTAGATGTGCACGGTTTGTAGCGAACCCATCTGGAGAACATCTTGTGGCTGCTAAGCACATGTTAAGATACCTGAAAGGGATGATAGGGATTGGCCTCTCAACAAGAACATCAGGCAGTGGACCATTACTCTCAGGATGGGCAGACAGTGATTGGGCAGGATCATGTGACTGTAGAAGGTCGATGACTGGTTACGTTTTCACAATTGACAGTTTCACATGCAGCTGGGCCTCATGACTACAACAGATGGTGGCAAACAGCTTGGTAGAGGCCAAATACATAGCATTGGCAACAGTGGCCAGAGAGCTCTTATGGGCCATGATGTTCCTGCAAGAACTGGATCAACCAGTGTTGAAGACGACAGGAATACATGTCAGTATCCGAACATTGAATATCTATTCCCATGATGGAGAGCTCACCTTCGATCAAGATGTACTGGTCCTACATAGCGATTCATCAGGTGCTTGGGTTATAGCAAATGACCCTCAACACTTCAAGAGGACAAAGCATATCGACATAGCTCACTTCTTCCTGCGTGACGAGATTGCGAACAAACGACTTGTGATTGCTCCTGTTCAGAGTTGCGAAAACTTGGCCAACATCTTGATGAAGCCACTCGCCACGCCAATGCTCACACACATTCGACGACTACTTGGATTGACCATTTCATTGGAGAATGTTGGATTGAGGGGGGGTGCTGAAAATGACGATCCAATGAGATGGTAAAAGAATGACATGGAGCTGATCTGATCGAAGATCAGATAGGGCCAATCTGGTTGAGCTACTGATTCGATCATAGATTAGGTCAAGTAGATCTCAGGAGAAATCAGGTGCAACACAGTCCCACTTGTTGTCATGATAGACCATGAAGTAGTAGTACCCCCACATCAGGCAAGTGCCACTCACATGTATATATAACTCACAGAGAGCACTAGGCTCTCGCCACATTCCCTAAGTCAATTGAGTATATATGTTTCTGTCTTTTAGCAGCAGTGACATCATACATAGACTCTCCCCGATCGCCAGTATCGGGACCTAAACGACGTTTATATTCAACATGCTCTCCGCTCTGCTCTTAGATCTCCTTTCGACAGTATCGGGCTTTTTCACCTTCCCGATACCCCCCGATTCCCCCCCCTAAACCCCCTTCTCACACAGTCTATCACTCAAACCGTGGCGATGCTATGGTATTACGTCGTCAAATGCTGCTGAATCCAAGCTTTGGCCTCCAGACTACAACTGTAAGCGGCATCCAACCGCTTCATTCCGAACTCCACCCCCTCTTGCCCTTCTGCTGGTTGATGAAGTGAGAGGGAAGCAAGTCCCAAATACGTATGCAACGAATCTGGATGTTCACCAGGAACTTTACTTATCCCTCCTACTCTACTTTGTGCGCTTAGCACGTACGCAGTATCCTTCTGTGCGTCGATGAGTGAGTGGTGGGAGAGGATGGAGAGTGCGGCACCGTTCCAAAATGAGTAGCAGACGTCTGCGGGAAGTTTCGAGGGTCGTCCTTGGAAGCCGCCTCCCAACTCTTCTTGCTCTTCTTGCTCTTCTTGCTCTTCTTCTTCTTCTCCGTTATGTGTTTGAGGATCTGGAGGGGAGGGGGAGACTTGTCGGTGTATTATCCACGATAGAGTTTCGTTCTGACGTGGGAATGGGGAGGTGGAAGAGGGGAGAAGTGAGAGGGCAGCAACGCAACAATACGTCATCCCCGAATGAGACTCGTGCATGCCACTTGCTCCAAATCCTCCATCATACCTTTGACACCCTTCCAGATACTCCCTTGCTTTCGCTATATCAATCGAACTCCACTCTCCTAGCATTGAACAAATTGCTATTGCGCAATAGGTGAATCTTGGATCCCTATCCACCCCTACCCCCATCCCTTTACCCTCCTTTTCTGTCCCTGTAACCTCTTCGGCTGCAAACCCACCTCCTTCTCTATCCTGCAAGGAACCGATATACCGCTGCAATCCCACTCTGTCCAGTCTTTCGAAATCGTCTTTGAGGATGGCCAGAATGAGTAACGCACTGTAAGTCATAGCAACGTTTGCTCCTGCCTCGCTCGTCGATGGCCCACCTCGAAACCCGCCGTGGAGGCTTTGTTGTGCGTAAACCCAATTAAGAAGCTCCTCTCGTTCATCGCGAGGTATGCGGTCCATGCAACTGAGCAGGTCGAGCGAGGCGAGAGTGAAGTAGCCTAAAGTCATACGTTGGTCATCTGCCGAAGTGTAAGGTTGTGGGAGGAGGTGAAGGCATCTTAGCAGAAACGAAACGTGCCTTTTGACTTCTATCTTATCGTTCAAGAGCATCCTTGAGCCAAGTGGAATGAGCTTCAAGTTGTGCTGAGAGCTTGAGGTGAGGGGGTGGCGGAAAGAACAACACTTGCAAAGTGACACTTTTGCAAGCACGAGCCTCGCTGCGGAGCAGAAATTCGGAAGTCGGACGTCGTAGTTCGGAGTTCGGAAGTAGGAAGTCAGAATACGGAATTCGGAATTCGGAATTCACCCTCTCTGCCAACTTTTCGGATGAGACGATTTCAACACCTCGCCAACCCTTCGCTTCTTCGTACAACAATACGATCAACTTCCGATAGCAACAAGGTAGACAGCATGTCGACACCGAGACCCAGTCCAAGATGGTTCGCCCCGTCATCAATACCACCCATCTTGCTGTTGACGGCGGTTACATCGTTTGCGTTTAACCATGCTCTCATCTCTACGCAACGCAAGCAAGATTTGCGTGATCATCGTATACGCGTTGCCCTTCTTACCGATACTATTGGCTACAATTCGAGGTTGTTACACCACCTAAACCCACCCTCTAAGTCCAATTCATCTTGGTTCGGGACCAGAACTCCAAAACAACGAGAAGTGGTGGAGGAAGAATGGGCGAAGGGAGAATGGGCGAAGGAAGAAAGAGCGGTGTTGATGCGACGGTGGAGAGCGTTGGGAACGGACCCTGTGCGGGAGAAGTTGCTTCCTCAGTCAAGACAAGGAGAGTCGGTGGAGGGAGCTGAGAGGGTATTAGAAGGAGGAGTAGGGGAGGGAAAGAGGCTGGGGCCAAAGGAGGTGACATGGAGTGAAATCTTCCTTGGCAGTAAAGAGAAAAGATCAAGTTTGACGGAGCGGTGGAAGAAGGTTACAGCGGGAATCAAAGATTCATTTACCCTTAACACCAACTCTACACCACCAGAAACAAGAACGACGGAAGAGGAGGAAAAGGAACTGGAACAACTGTCAAAGTTATGGTCCAGCGCTACTAAAGAGCAATAGACCCACAACCCCTCACAAACACTCACTTATACCCGCACACCACACAATGCAAATCAGTCAAGCGTCATAGAACCAAGATCCCTTCAAGGTAAAAGTGAGATTCACGATGCACGCAATGCAACAGCTCGTTGAGCGACCCTATTCGCCTCCACGCCCTCTTCGAACTGCAATCTCGTCGCAAACAGTGCTTGACTCCTATCTTGGTTCAAATATACACTGAGCAACACCCTCTTCTCCCCGCCTTGCTTGTTGGCTTCTTTCTTCGGCTCCCAAACCAACCCACAAACCCCCAAATTTGTCACTCCACCATCATTCAACCTCACCTTTCCCACGCCACCGTCCCAATCAGCACCTTGCAATTTCAATCCTCTTAACGCGAACACTCCCTTTTCCAACCCCGCCGCTTTATCATTCAACCTCAGTCTTAATTCCAAATTCTCCAAACTGACTTTGCTTTCCTGTGCAACGCTCTGTCGTGTCGCAGTAAGGTACGCACCGGGGGCGAAGAGAAGTCCGAGTATTACCTCTGCCATATCGTATGTTGAGCCGAGGGAGGAGGATTCGCGGATAATGCGACCGAGTTGGTCCAGACGTGCGCGGAGGTCGAGGATCCATTCGGCCAGAGTCGTGGATTTGGGCACTGCGTAGCGACGCCATGTTGACGGGATCGTGGATTTGGGCAGGTCCATGAGCAGGGTTCGATTGTGGTTCGTTTGGCGGGAAAGGCCGTCACATACCGAGACAACTTCTTGGAGATCCGAACGGACCGTAGAGAGGAGCGAGGATCCGGTACGGTGCTCTCGTGCCCAGAAACGATACAAAGGGTCTTGCACTGAGCCGGAATCAGAAGCAAGAGGCGGAACGGTGGAGGGAAGGAGTGAAAGCCACTGTTGAGCGTTTGTTCGGAGAGATTTCATCCATCCAGGTTGAACCGATGCCGCACCCGCACTCGCACCCGCACCCGCACCCTCTCCCGCTGCTGTGTTCGCAGAAGAATTCTGAGCTACACCATCGATGTTCTCATCATCATCATCATCATCATCATCATCAGCCAGCTGTTTCATCTTAACCAACTTATTCATCAATGCTGTACCCTGCGCTGCTGCAATGACCTTCTCCGCACTCGGTGGCAACGCAAGCCACTGCGGAGGCTGCTGCTCCGGCAAAGCCTGCACCCAACTTATGAACGTTTCCATCTTGGTACCCTCCGGAGCCACCAATGGATCCTTCTCATGCTTCACCAGCTGAAAATCAACATCATACGCCGCAGCACAGAACAACTCGTCCACAAACGAATCCAACAACGTCTGATCCGGCGCATTATCGATCTTACCACCATACACACTCTGCTTCAGCAACGACCTAATTGCATCCCAAGGCAGTTGCTGCGGATCAACATTAGCTCGACCTTTTGCGACCTTTGCCACCCACCCTTCAATGATATCCAGTGCCGCTTCCGCATCTGAATCGTTGAACTCGAACGGTTTAGACCAGCCCAATGGCGTGTACCGCAACCGCTCAGTCAAAGTTGCGTGGAAGAAAGCAAGCAAGAAGTAAAGTCGTGGTGTTTCGGCAGGTCCACGTTGCAACCGACTAGGTGCAATGGATTTGAGACTGTCGAGCATGCTAGCGCGAATCCCCGGTGGTGGTTCGTTCATCAAGATGCGTGATGCGCGCAAGAAGTTGACCGGGATTGAAAGCGAGGTTTCGCAGGTGAGGAAGAGCCGGAAGTTGCGGTTAGGATTGAGGCCGTGCATCTTCTTTTCCAGCTGTGAGAGCCAGCTGGGTGCAAGGTGAACGTTCTTGAGCAAGACCCAATTGCCTGTGCGTGCGGCTGAGGTGATGGCATGATCTGCTAGAGCAAAACCTTCTTGAGATCCCATGGCGACAGGCGTACATCTTGCGCTGACGAGCTTGACTAGGTGGTCAACACGGTAACTCGCGTCGTAGCCTGGGACGGAGCAGAGCGCGATAGATGTGCTTGCGTCCACCTCTTCGTGAACGATCTTCCCCAAGTCATATCCGGGATCACCGAGAACATCCTGACCGAAGATGCGCGAGGTGAAAGCAGCCATAGCTTGGACGATGCGGTCAGGACGCAGACACTTGACGATAAGCATCTTGCGGACCTGATCCGCCAAGTCGTCGCTAGCGTCTCCCTCTTGTGACCAGAAGTTAGGTACAGCTGTTTCTGGACTGTTGGAGGTGAGGAAGGCGAGCCACTTTTCCGTGTGGGCTTCCATGTGCTCTTCAATGGTGCGGAAGAAGTTGAGACGTTTGAAGACCTGAACTCGGGCCAGCTGCTCTTCATCAAGCATAGCTTCGACCACGCCGTCGCCTCGACGCTGTGCGCTGCCATTTGTCTGTGCAATATCATTGCTCCCACTAGCAGCAGCCGCAACATTGCCGCCCTCTAGCAAGAACTCGTACTCCTCGCTGTCGAGTGTATCTGCGTGACCCTCTTCACGCGCCTTGATCTGAGCCAGTAGCATAGCAAGCATGACGTGGTCGTGGTGGGCAAGCGCCTTACTCGTCCTCTGGAAGACGACAAGGAAGAGATCACGCATCAGAATATCAAGTCGCTGCTTGGGATCTGTGACACCATTCAAGTGCGGGTTGCGACGCAAGACAAAGTCGAAGATGTCAAGGAAGAAGCGCAACGAGAACTGGTAGAAGTGCGAAATAAGATGAAGCTGATCAAGCACAAAGAAGACCGAACTGCATGCTTTTGCGAGCGGAACGTATTCGGCAGTGACCTGGTCAACCTCTTGCATGATGGCATCGGTCTCCTCGACCTTGGAAGTGACTTCAGCTGCCTCCTTCTTAAGCGTCTCGAGTGTGTCAATGACCTTGTCGTCGTCGAGGATGTTGCCTTCGGACTGGTTGAGAGCTGTGAGAAGCGAGCGTTCGAGATGCCTGAGTCGCAGACGGAACTCTCCCTGCAGCTTCATAAGATCGGTTCGCTTCCGGTCGGTGTCAGGGCGTTCCACCTTGAGAACCTGATCAAGCGACTGACTTTGCAGACTGCTCCGTGTCATGGTAAAGTTGACAAAGGTGACTCGACTGCAAATGTCGGGCGAGAACTCGACCGAAGGATCACGTGTTGTGAGGAACATGTTGAAGGAGGGCGAAAAGTCGATATCTTGACTGCCGAGACGGATGAGAACACGACCACCAGTCCTTCGAAGCTCTTTGTTGAGGACAGGGTTGAGAATGGGATCCAAGTACTCGACATCCTGGATGAGTAGCGGATTGCCGAAACGAAGCGAACTCTCAAGAGCTTTGAGGAAAGCCTCGTCGAGGAAGCTGGTCACGGTGAGCTTTTGCACTTTGTATTCGTTGAGCAAGAACTCGACAGCCTGTCCAGAAGGGTCGATGATGAGCGGATATCGGTTCCAGCGCTTGAGCATGATGGCATTTTCTGTGCATAGGGTATCGGCGGGAAGTGACTTTGCTTGCCATTCGAGACGCTCGTCTGCTGTGGAGAGATAATCGGCGAAGGAGAGCTCTGGCTTGAACTTGATCTCGGCCTGTCGAAGGTAATCTGACCAATACTGCCACATAGATTCGCGATACTGCTGATCAAAGTAGCCAGCGTAGGCAAGCATAGCAGCCGAGAGCAAAGCATCACCGATAATGGTGCTCATTTGATCGTCGAATGTTCGACTGCCTGTTTGCCAACGGTGCTTTTCGGAAGAAAGACTATCGAGCAGCTGCATGGAACGTGAGACACGGTTCTGAACACGCTCCATCTCGGCCTTGATGGCTTGTGTCTCGCTGATGAGAGCAGCATACTCGTCTTTGTATGTGGCGATACTGTTCTCGAGCTCTGCAATCATGTCGACGATTTGACTTGCTTGGAGTTTGGTGTCTTCTGCCTGCTGTTCAAGCGACTGCACCTCATCACGAAGGGGGCCGACTTTGTCGAGGATCTCGGAGAAGCGAACTTGAGCAATGACCCATTTGGCAAGTGGACCACAAGCCTTACTTGCACGGTTGATAGTCTCGAAGTTGTAATCTGGTTTCGACAGGTAGTCGCGGATCATCTTGTCGCGGATCTGACGAGTCATCTGACGATCGGTGTCAAAATTGACGATGGAAGCGATGAAGTCATCTCTGCGAATGATAGCCTGGACCGTCTTCCAGCTTTCGATCTTATGACCGAGGATGATGCAGACCGACTCCATGGCGTTTTTGACGGGAAGAGGTGGGTTACCCATGGATCGGACTTCTGTAAGGTGTTGCTTCTTGATGTTGCTGACGCTTGCTTGCGCATCTTGAACGGCGGGTTCCGCATCTGCCAAGTCGGCCATGACGACCTGTCTACGCTGTCCAATCTCTTGCTCCTGATTTGCTAGAGCTGCTTGGATCTCGATGGAAGCTGCGCGCTTCTGCTCTGCCTCTTGCTGGTCTTTGACCATACTCTGCAGCTTCTGGTTGGCCTGGGCATCCTTGGCTTCGAGTTGGGTTCGTTTGACTGCAAGGCTCTTTTGAAGCTCTTCGACCTGGTCGACTGTGGACCGAAGCTTGTCGAGACCGACGAGAAGGAAGCGCTGCTGATCTTCCAATTCGTCTCGTTTTTGGTTCGAGACTTGGACATAGTATTCGATAAAGCCGAGGAAGTGGCGTGGTGATTGATGGAACCTTCGACCTTGGCGTCGTCGCAATCGCTCGGCAAAGGTATATACGGAGAAATGGATAAAGACGAGTGCTTCGACGACGGACTGACGATTCGCCCCTAGATCGAGTGTATTGGTGAGTTCGGCAGCAACAGTACGACAGGCATCGGGCGACCAGTCACCTGGCGCCTTTTTCGCGCCATCGACGTGGACTGCGTCCATGTTTGGACGTTTGCGTTGCTAGCCGCAGTTGCGATACGGCGAGGGACAAGGTGACGAGGATGTGGTGGTGATGGTAAGCAAAGTGAGACGTGCTGAGCTGTGTCAACGTGTGAGTGTCAAAAGAAGCGTTGGTCTGTGCGTTTTCGAGTGAAAACGTGTGTGCGTGCCTGTTGGAAATAATCTCATTCAAGAATGTTAGGCTATCCATGCTCACAGAAATTCCAAAAAAAAAAAAAAAAGCTTGGCTCTGTTCTCGTGAATACAACAGCATCGCTAGTCATGAATACGCCATCACGTGCAAGATGAATTCGAATCAGCCTTGACATTCACAACACTGAAAGAATTCTTCTTGGCGGCAAATGCTGAAGAAAAGTTAGCACCATACTGAAGCTGAAACAGCTATCCTTCTTTCTCTGTTCTCCTCGTCATTCTCAGCCCTATCAACTCCTTCACGGAACAGCATTCTCACACTCCACACGTCATCCTGCCCTCGAGGAGCGTCGCACGCATCTCGGTCGTACTAGCCACACATCTGCACACTACTGGACTGTAGCAAGTGCTCCTCTCCCTAACCTTCTACAGCTGTTCCTACGACCTAGATCGGCATTCGCCTGTTCGTCATGTCCGAACCATCTGCAGTCCCTGTCACAGCCAGCGAGGCTACCACTCAATGGGCCTACCGAGCTCAAAAATCCATCGGTCTCAACACCGGCTCCCCCTCCTACACTTCCGTCAACGGCTTCGACCAGGTCCAAGGCAGCACTCGTGTCTTTCAATACAGTCCCGATGGATCCACTTTCGCCGCTGCCATGGACGATTTCACTCGTCTCGTCGACACTCGTTCCGCCTCCACTTCTTCCGTCAAACGTGATCTCCCCTGTCCCAGAGTCGTCGATCTGCAGTTCTCTCCCAAAGGTGGTTTCCTCTCCACATGGCAACGTCCTTCCAAGCTCGAAGATGGTTCCGCAGCACGCAACCTCAAGATCTGGGACACTGAAACTGGCGAGACTGTCGCTTCCTTCGAGCGCAAGTCGCAAGAAGGTTGCTTTTTCCAGTTCACTGCTAACGAGCAGTACTGCGTACGACAAGTATCGACCGAGTTACAGATCTATGAATCTCGTCATATCGCCGACAAGGGTGTTATTGGCAGATTGCGTCTCGAGGGAATCACCAGCTTCGAAGTCGGACCTGGCGATAAGCCCAGCATTGCAGTGTTCTGTGGTGAGAAAAAGGGCGCACCTGCTTCAGTCCGCGCGTACTCGCTCGCCTCACTTGTTCCATCCCCCGAAACTCCACCTGCGCCTTTCTCGCAAAAGACCTTCTTCAAAGCAGACAAGATTCAAATCAAATGGAACAAAGCAGGCTCTGCACTCCTCTTCATGACTTCCACCGATCACGACAAGACTGGCAAATCCTACTACGGCGAAACCAACCTCTACCTCATGTCCGTCCGCGGCGACTTCGACTGTCGTGTAGCCCTGGACAAAGAAGGTCCCATTCACGATTTCGAATGGAACCCCAACTCGAAAGAATTCATCGTGCTGTACGGATACATGCCTGCCAAAGCCACTCTTTTCAGTCACCGAGTCAACGTGATTGCTGAATTGGGAACACAGCCGAGGAACTTTGTCGCATTCAACCCGCAAGGTAGACTGTTCTGCATTGCTGGATTTGGTAATCTTTCCGGTACAGTGGATGTTTGGGATCGGGAGAATATTGCAAAAGGCAAAGTGTATTCGATGGATGCCAGTAACAGTAGTGTCTGTCAGTGGTCGCCGGATGGTCACTTTCTGTTGACGGCTACGCTTAGCCCGAGGTTGAGGGTGGAGAATGGAGTCAAGATTTGGCATTGTACGGGAGAGTTGGTGCATGTGGATATGATCGATGAGCTGTATCAGGCTGGTTGGAGACCTGGGTCGAATGCTGGGGTGACTGCTTTCCCTGATCAGATTCCGGCTGCGCCAAAGCCGTCGGATGCTGCTGCTTCTTACCTTGCGACGAAGGCGGCGACCAAGCGCCCCACTGGAACTTACCGTCCACCTGGAGCAAGGGGACAGAATACGCCTGATATGTACAAACGTATTGATGAAGGTGGTTCGGGTGTTACTACTCCTACTGGTGGTGCTTCGGCGAATGGGACTTATCAAGCTCCAGGTTCGGGTAACAGGAAGAGGACTGTACCCGGTGCTCCGGGTGCTGCTCCCAAAAACAACGGCGCCAATAACACTAATGCGAAGGAGGGCAAGAAGAAAGGTGGAAAGCAACAACAGAACGGTAAACCGACAGCTGCTGCTCCTGCTGCCGTCGCAGAAGCTGCTGCGGCTCTATCTGTATCTTCAGGCGCTGCTGAGGTAGGAGGTGACTCAGGCGCAGCCAACCTGGAGAAGAAGGTCAGGAACTTGAACAAAAAGCTGAAAGCGATCGAAGAGCTCAAGATGCGTCAGGCGGGAGGTGAAAAGTTGGAAGCGATGCAACTGGCAAAGATCGCTGCTGAGGATGAGGTCAGGAAGGAACTTGCTACCCTTGAGTAGACTTGCTTTGCATTCGGTTAGACGCTCCATTGAGACTGGAAGCAGTGCAATCCTACAGCCATCACTTGTAGGGATTTGAGAAATGTTTGACTTTCAGATGAGAAAGAGGATGTGGGGTTTTAAGGGCTGGTGGCCTTTATTCCCCATCGAGAGGATAAGTGGGCTTAGTATCATCAACCTGAATTCCACCTCTCCTCTTCAGTGCGTTATCAGGATAAGCATTCTCCCAACCGCCTTGTTGCGTCGGGACGGCCAACCATAACCTGTATAGATGTCTCCTCGGCGCTGGCGGTGCAGGATCCTTGTACTCCGTCCTAGCATGCAACACGTGTACATCACTAACGAACTGGATATCTCCCACATCTAGCACCATGTGCAAGCTCAGCTGCTTTGCTGTCTCTTCCAACACTTGCATTGCTTCTTTCTGCTTTTCCGAGAGCGGGGGGATGTGTCCAGCATCAACGTGGCGCTGGATCGACTTGAGGTAGTAAGGGTCGTAGGTCAGGATGAGACGGTTTTCAGGCTGACCCTTGACGAGGTGAAAGATAGGTCGGGTAAGCCATTCTTTCTGAGGCTCGTCAGGGGAGTAAGGGTTGGAGGAAGAAACTTCTCCTTTGCGATCGAAATGCCAGATGTTGGATGCGAGAAGTTCGGCAAGATCTGGTCGGTGGGCTTGCAAATGGTTCCAAACAGCATGAGAGGAGACAATATCGCTCTCTCCGCCTTCAATCGCTTTGTGAAGACAGAGAAGGCCAACGATACCACCGGATGAATCAGTGTGGAAGAACTGGCGTGCGTTGGTGCGGTAGATTCTAACCTTGTCGATCTTGGTTGGGTCCTCGCCCAAGTCCTTGACGTGGCCCAAGATGTGGCCGTATCGGTTCTGCGATACTACATTACCCAAGTAGGAACCCAGACCGAGGTATGCAATCGCGGATAGGCGGTTACCCCATCGCTTGGTGGGCAGGCCTTTGAAGAGGTAGAATCCATGGCCCTTGACCAAGCGTTCTCGAAGTTGGGTAAGAGTAGCAACAAGGTCAGAAGGGAGTGGGAAAGTGGAACGTTCAACCTCGCCCAGTTCACGACCGGATTCGAGCCAGAGTTGAGAGGCAGATTCGAGTTGAGCAATTTCGGTTTCGGTGAAAGTGTGCACCCATTTGGAACGGTTCGCTTCACCTGAGTACGAGGCTGCATCCCAGACGGTAGGGCCGGCGATTTGTTTGGGCAGTTCTGAGTAAGTGGTGAGGAGAGAGGGGATGGCATCGTGCTGACCGGAAGTGAGCTCTGGGATGGAGGATTTGAGAGAGCGCTGAGCTTCGATTTGCGAGACGGAGAAACCGCCAGATCCACCACCGCCTTGGCCGGAGCCTGTGTTCGAGGCAAAGTGGTCCGTGTTTGGTTGGAGAGTGGACAACATCTTGCGAGTGTCAGCCAGTGTGGGGTATGGTTGGTGGAGGAAGGAGGAGAACAAGTGGACAGCAAGCCTTATAACGGCGGTGAGCTGCCAAGAAGAACAATCGGAGCGACAGAATATAGCACGCAACTTAACCCACTGTCTCTCGCTCACATGGCTCTGCTTCGGACAACTAGGCCAGGCACAAAGCTTCCTTGCTCATCACCTAGATGCTGAGCATCGGAATGTCATCATCAGAGCAGAAAAGTCGGTCAGAAAGACAGCTGCACCGCAAGCCGGCTATCTCTCTTCACCTCGGTGCAGTCACGAGGCAAGCCAACCATATTTCACAACGGCGTCGGATGGCGTGCCAGGATGACACAGACTGTGCAAGCGCTGCAGGTTGGGCTGTGCGCCATAAGCGGTGGTGAATGTCTGAATAAGGTCTCCTTGAGCCGAGGTCAAAGATGGCGTGCTCAGATGTCAAGATGGAGAAAGGAAAGCGCACTCTTGGACGTTTTCCCCGCACGCAAGAGCGACGGCCGCGGTGGAGAAGATCACGTGCTTTTGTAGAATGCCGCCGCTTGCAACTATTACTAAGCTTGACAGTACTGCTAATGGTTGGTCTTGTCTTTGTCGATAATCGCGATCTAACATGATAAATAAGTAAAACAACTCTGGCAGCTGTGACCATGTCTTTTCATGACAAGAAGCAACTCAAAGACGAAGCCAGCGCGAACACAAACTCAAGCAAAGAGGAGAAGAATCCGATACATATTTGCCTTGCACGACAAGGAACACATCCGAAGATGGTCCCTACATCATGAGAAGCGCCGAGAGAGAGAAAGAGAGAGAGATCTATGCTACATATAGAAAACGAGAAACGAAACGATTTCAAAAGAGGTTGGAGAGGAGGGAGGGATCTGGGGCAAAAACATTACAGGCTTACTCAAGAACCAGCCTTGAAAGTGACTGTTGTCTTCCCGACCAGACACACCATCCCTATCCTTCCTTTTGCTTACTTAGTGCGTTGAGTCTGATAAACTTTCACGCTGTTGATCAACCAGTAAGCCTGGCTAAAGTCAACATCCTTACTCTGCACATAAGCCTGGCAACTGCTGTAGCCTGTCATCGCCGCACAACTCTGCTTCTGTCCGTTCCATGCGTTGTTCCAAAGCTGCTTATCACCCGCCCACTCACCGCAGATCGTGTTACTGAACACGCTAACGTGGTTGAAGAAGAACTTTGTCGGATCGCAGTCCTGCGCAGGCCAGCTTCCCTGTGGTGGACCCCAACCAGACGGATCCGGCTTACCAGCAGCAATATCAGTCGGAGCAGTAGTTCGCGGGAAGAACCAAGACTTGATACCCAAATCCTTGTCCCATACCATAGCATGAATACCACCACCGTTCGAGTTGTATCCAGCACCGAAATCAGTGCGCAGGGAAGACTGAACACCGCAACCTTTATTTCCAGTTTCGGAAGAGGCGCAGTTGGTTGCCAGGGTGACGTTGGAGAGTTGGTAAGTACCCCTTTGCGCATTTGTGGTTGAGTTGACTCGGCAACCGGGGACGGTGTGGACTGAGTAGGTGTTTTGGTTGGTGTAGCCGATTCCTTCGACAATGTCGATCTCGCCTCCGTTGGGCCAACCACCAGCAGGGTTGGTAGGGACAGTCCACCAGGATGGCCAGATACCGCAACCAACGGGCATGTGGGAAGCATCGAGGATGAAGACGCCGGTGGTGAAGCTGTCGAACGAGGAGATCCGGATGGATTTCATGTAGGGGATAGGAGCGGCCGAGGTGGTGGTGGAGGCCGAGGTCGAGGTCGAGGTGGAAGAGGTGGTAGAGGAGACGGTGCCCGTGGGGGAAGAGGTGGTGGTTGATGCTTGCACGCTTACAAAGGAGGCAGTGGAGGTGGATGAGGCAGAGGAAGAGGAGGAGATCCGACGCCGCTGCATAGGAGCCACTGCAGTCGAGACAGCGGGGTAGACACGAGAAGTAGCATAGCCCATGTAAACCTGACCACCGTTAGTCGTCTTGATCAGACCCAAAGAAGAAGCTTCATCCTTGCCAACAAAGTCAACAAGACCCTTGGTGGGGTCCTTGAAAGTGAAAAAGTACATGTTGTCGTAGAAGTTAGCTCCCTTGTAGTCCGCCATCAGGCTGTAGACCTTGGGTGTGGGAGCCGCAGTGACGGTGCTCGAGCTGCTTGACAAAGTAGTGGTCGAAGAAGAAGTAGTAGACGACCAAGTGGTAGCAGTGGAGGAAGATCGTGTAGTGGGAGCAACTACGACAGACCTAGTCGAGGACGAAGAAGTGGTGATGGCACGGTTGGTGCTCGACGAGGAAGAGGTCCAAGTCGAAGTGCTCCTGGTCGAGGTCCTCGAACTTTTCGTCCAAGGCTTAGGAGAGGTCGAAGTAGTGCTGCTCGAGCTTCTCCTCGTTGAAGTCGTTCTGGTAGTAGCTGGCTTGGGCGTGGTCGACGTGGTCCTAATCGAAGTGCTGCTAGTAGTCACCGGCTTAGGCGTAGTCGAGGTAGTCTTGACAGAAGTAGTAGCAGACTTGATAGGAGTCGAAGTGGTCCTCTTCGAAGTAGTACTAGCCCGCTTGGGAGTAGTGCTAGTAGTTCTCCTCGAGCTTGTGCTTGTAGTCCTCCTCGGGCTTGTGCTAGCCGGCTTGGGAGTAGTGCTTGTAGTCCTCCTCGGGCTTGTGCTAGTAGTCCTCTTCGAAGTAGTGGTAGCCCTTCTGGTGCTGGTAGTTGACCTCCTCTTGCTTGTGGTGGTGGGCTTCCTTGTACTCGTGGACCTTCTCTTGGTCGAGGTTGTCTTTCTCTTAGTCGAAGTAGTCCTTCTCTTGGTGGTAGTAGCACGCTTGACGTATTGAGTGCACCTTCGATAGACAGTCTCGTAGATAGTCTTGGTTTTCCACAAGGTGACGGTGCGAGTCCGGGTTCTGTACTTGACTCGAGGATCGCGCTTGTCGTGTTGACCAGGGTGAGCGGTTTGGGCCGCAAGCTCGCGGCGTTGACGACGAGTGTGCTGAGCAGGGCAAGGTGTGGGACCAGCACGCTTGTGGAGAGGGTTGGTACCTTCTTCCTCTTCACCCTCTTCAGGAAGGAAAATGGTGATGATCTCGAGCTCGTCGTATTCGTCATCTTCATTGTCGTCTAGGGTCGAGGAAGGAGGAGGCTCGCGCTTAGCAGGCATGTCAGCGTGTTCGAAGACAGCCGGAACAGCAGTGTGAGCTTTGCGTGGAATGATCATACCGTCGTTGTTGCCAGCGCCAGCTTCGAGACCAACTGGACGACCGCGTCCAAAGAAACCCATGGCAGGCGCAGGGGCGTTTTGCAAGGCGAGCAAAAGAAGTGCTGCCTGCACCATTAAGGTCAGTTTGACCGTAATATTGACCATCTTGAACTGTTCTTTCGAATGTGTTGGTCTCTGTGTAAGTGAAGTATCAAATAGCTAGCTGGGGTGGTGGGTGGAATAAACGAATGTGGTTGATCGGTTGATTTCGATCTGTGGTAAATGGATAAGAGAAGGGAAGGGGGGAGCTTGGAAGGGAGGGGTCAGAGATGGGGGGAGGATGGTGGATGGAGGGAAAGATCAAGCCCCTTCCAAGAGCCGGACTCTGAAGGCCTTTCTATCTTATACTCTGATCGATCCTTCACCAGCTATCGCTCACGGAACGGGATAAAGCCTTCCAGGGGTGGATGAACTCGAGCAAGTTTCTTGCTCATGCAACGCTGGCATAGCGACAGGGTATCATCGGTCAGAACGCCAAGTCGGGACAGAGAAGCAAAAGGAACTCATGCGTCCTGTCTCTCTTGCCACTTTACGAAAGAGGATGTGGATGTGCCGGTAAGCCTTGATTCCTGCCGAAGCGGAAGCCACCAGACTGACCGACTCACCATACTGCAAAAAAGGGACAAGGGACAGCGCTAAAGTGTCGGAGTCAGCTAGTACAGTCTGACTACAGGGTCTAGCCTAGAGTACTGCTATAGTAGCTGCTGAGCCCGGAGAGGCTGGCAGCAGAAGCCCGAGCAATTGCCACACCTCATGCGTCAAATATGGACAATTGGAGCAGGGACATAATTAAACGCACTGTGGCTTTCAAGTATTGGGGCCTGGCGACCGAGGTCGTATCATAGACGGGTACTTCTTGCCATCATTGTGCCAGCCCAAAGAAGCAGAGAGAGGCAGAGAAGGGATCTACGACAGTGTACCAGTGTGGTAGCGATGCACACCACGTGAAATGATCGTCTGTCGACCATGAAATGACACCGAGCTGCTTCTCTTCCTGGCTATCCAGATGGCGTTTGGAGGAGATGGAAGCATGTTGGCCGAAGTGGGACTAACCCTTTGCGGCAAATTTTCACTGCCTTGATACTGCCATTTTGAGCTCCGCCCATCTTAGCTTTCCTCGCATGGCCATTGCTTTGCCTCGGCTTCAACTTCTTCCTTCCTTTTCCGGCCTTTCACTGCTTGCTTGAAGCAAAGACACCTGGTTTTACGACTTTTGATGTTATTTAGCGAGCTGATAGTCTTGCCATGGATGCGAGCTAGAAAGTGAACAGAAGTGAGAAGGATAAAAGGATAGAAAGAGGAGGAGGTGTCAAAGAGAAGGCGTGGTGATAAGCCTCGGTGTTTCGGAGAAGTCGCATTTTTTGACAGCTGCACTTTCACCAAAATCTAATAACCACGCGCCTCTGAATACAAAATCGACCTGTCGTGAATACAAACCGTCCCCAGTAATTTGAATTCGACGTCCGGACGCAGTGCATCTTTGCCTCGGAGATCTTCTCCTCACTATTGCCAGCCCTAAGCATCCATGACACTATCACCTCTGATGCTCAGAGCAGACGTGCTTTTCCAAGGCCAAAGCCCATATCGGGCCGATCTGATGTTCTAGTCATCAAATCAGACAAAGACTTATGTTAGCATAGTGACATTGCCACAGGAACAATAGGAGCAAGGACAAAGGTCCCATACAACGCAGAGTGCACTAACGAACCTCGTGGGCAGTCTGTTCATCGTGCGGCGTTCTAGAAGGCCTCCTGGCGACATTGACCACCGCCACATCCTGCTGTCCTGCTTGCTTCTCTATTTCCGCTGTAAGCGTGTTCACCACTGCAGCCTTCGTCATCTCTTCTCCCTCCCTCTCCGCCTCTGCCTGAGTCTGTGCGGTTGCTTCGTCATCCAACAAAATCTGTTGACCTTCTCCTCTCAAATCCACCTGACCTCCGCTATCCTTCATGAAATTTTCTTTCAACCAAATGCATCTTTCATCACCCTTCTTTTCCATCTCTACCAAATTCGGCTTATGGCTGTGGTTCGGGAAGAATACCAACATGGACCTCAATCCGCCCAGAATACACACTAGACTGTACATGAGCTTGTAGATCCCGAATGTGAGCATATCCAGCATGTGTGGATGAAGATCGGGCCTATTTCTCGTCTTGATGAATCTATACGGAAGAAGAGGTACGATGGGGAGGAAGAAGATAAACGCAAACGAGCGTAACCAGAATTGACCGCTACCGCCGAGTAGAACAAACATCGGCAAACGGATCCAGTCGATGAAGTTAGTGGTTGAGTTGTAGAACTGTGTGAACTTTTGCCATCCTATTGCGACCGGGGTGCGTGCACCATTGAGGGAGAAGAGGAAACGTTTGGAGAATTGCCAGTAGAGGGTGTGGCGGGCCATCTCCCAAGAGCGGACTCGTTGGTGGTAGTAATTCGCCGTACCATTCGTGGGGGGACCCAGGAAAGTTTCAGGAGCGACGGTTTCGAATGAGATACTTCCATCGATACCCATTCTCTGTCCCAGTGCTTGGAGTTCGAGACCCATCTTTACATCATCTGCGAAATAGATCAGATCGTGTCTGCGTAAAATCGCGATCATCGTCTCCCGCTTCCAGAACGAAGCGGCACCGTGGGGGAAGAGTACACTGCACATCTTCGACTCTGCCATCTTCGCCAATGCTGACATCTTATACTCGATATCCTGCCATCCCACGAACAAAGGACGGTCACCTCTGTGATCTACGGCGGTGATGGGGTAGCAAACAGCCGTGACGGTTTCCGAGATAATATGCATCGGAGCAGCGAAGTTCGCAGGGACGATAACGTCGTCGTCGATGGTAAGGACGTAGTCGAGGTTGAGAACTGCAGCTGCTTTTGCACCGACGAATTGGGCGATGTTTTTGTTTCCGACCGGAAGCCAGATGTAGTTGACACGGGAGAACATGGGTTGGGATCGGATAGAGGATTCCATGTCTCTGGGTGGGAGAGGAGAGTTGCCGTTATCGACGATGAAGATTTGCCAGGGTTCGAAATGGACGAGAGCTGCGAAGAGAACTGCTTTGAGTACTTCGACGTCGGCGTTGTGACAGGGGATGATGAGGGCGGTGCTGCAGGTGAGGGAGGGGTGGGTGAAGGTGTCCATGTCGATGCCGATGTCGGCGGCGTCGGGCTGGGAAGACTCGAGGGGAGCGGCGGATTGGATTGCTTTCTTTTCGTCTTCGATCTCGTTGCTGGAAGTGCTGTTGGTGGGGAGGAGGTCTTTGCCTTCCTTTTCGTCGATTATAGCATCAGTAGGTTGGGCAGGAGTAGTGGCGCCAAATCGAGCACCAGCAGAAGCAGCGACAATACCAAAATACGATCCTCTTCTCGAATCTCTACTTGCCGTCCTAGCCAACATCATCTGATGCGAAGGATCACTGGGCCGACGGGACATCTGTTTCTCCAGCTCAGGACCAATGTTGTTGAAGTTGATCGGCTCGTGCAGGATGATAGTACTTCTCCTGTTCTTTGGGTCGAACCCGGGTGTTCTGGGCACCGGTGGAGCGTTGTGTGAGTTGGAAGTCGCTTCACTTGGTCTCCTCTCCCCACCAGGCGCGTCTCCAGTGTTAGCTGACGCAATAGTGACACGTGTCGACAGCCTTCGCATTGAAGGTTTTGTCATTGCAGACCACCTTTTCGTCGCCAGACCCTCTCTGTCCACAATCCCGCTTTCCTGGTCTTGTATCTCGCTTCCACCCTCAAATTTGCTTTGGCTGTCGCCATGTTCCTCTTCAAGAATAGTTGAATACATCTGAGCTGCCATATCTTCCGGCGCGACGTAATTCGAGTCGTCATTGCTGATACTATGCCTCGATCCATTCTCCTGAACGGGATAGGAATCGGTGCTGTCACTTCCACGAGGCACGAGCACAGTTCGATCAGGAACAACCCTCGCATCCGGGACCCTAGCTACCAGCATAATAACAATGATCATCATCGGTTCGAACCCATATAGCACACCCATAATCGCCAGATTCTTCCCGTGCACTGCTCGATCGAGTTTGTCCCACCAGTGATAGTGCTTGTCTAGCAGGACTAGCAACGTAATAACACCACCGTAGATGAACCATAGCGCAACTTTGCGGAATGTGATCGGGAAGAGGATCTCTCGGAGATCGCACATCGACATTACGTACTTTGAGTCGATCTGCTGCTTGACCAGTCTGCCTGGAGTGCAGATGTAGTGCAGAGTCTGCTGCTTCCATGTCAATGGCTGGACCTGGAGAGGGTGAACAGAGACAGCAACAGTAACAGGGTCTCCGAGGGGGTTCGGCTCTTCGACTTCCAGAATGCCTTGCGGGAAAGCAGTTGCGGGAGTCTTCGGGAAGAACAGTTCTGGTGTGCGAGGACCAAGAGGCGATGGTGTACCTGGAGGCAGATGACCGACATTAGCGGCGGATTCGTTGACGGGAGCATCGTTAATAGCAGAACCAGAAAGAATAGCTCCAGCTGCAACACTAGCTTGTCTCTCCGCCTCCATCAGTCGAGCTTGCTGGAAGACGGAAGCTGCGTAAGTGGGGCGACGCATAGCAGTGGCTGGTCTCTTTTCCTCCATGATGTCCTGTGCGGTTGTGTGGTTGCCGATGGAAGGTCTGTGGGTAAGGATCCATCGTTTTGCATCGGTGATGTTATGGACTCGTCTGTTCATTTCATCGACGATGTCGTTTTTGGTTTCGTCCTCGTTGTCGGGTTGCATTGAGCTGTCTCTTCTACCGCGCATGAATGTGGGCGCTAAGGACATACGTAGGTCTACGGAAGACTGATGATACGACTTGGCATCGTTTGTAACGTTAGGCATCGAGACACGACGTGACATCTGAGAGCGAGTTGAAAGGGCAGCAGTGGTTGTTGCTCCTGTATCGCGTCTCTCGCGACGAGAAGATCGGTAGGCGGAAACGCTGTTTACTGCGCTACTTCCTCGGCGGAGAACTGGCTTACCACTCACAGAGTTGAGCTTTCTGGTGAGTTGCGAGAGAGCTTGCGACCTAGCAAAAGCAGAAGTGCGAGGAGAATAGTCTTGGTCCTGTCCCTCCTTCTCTTCGCCCTCCTCTTTCTCGTCGGTCTGGCGAGCAGTAGCAGCAAGCGAGTACCCCTGGCCCTGCGGTCCACCCATAGCGTAGAATTGAGACGCACTAGGACGCTGCAACACGCGCAACTCAAGACGAGGAATGACCTCGTTCGCACCACCCCTGACGAAGCTGCGCAACTCGGTGGCGATACTTGCACTTCTGTTGCTGGTCTTTCTTGCTGCAGCAGTGCTGGACTCTGCAATGGAGCCCTGCATCGGTACCTTGGGATCAGAAGGAGCATGGGTAACTGTAGTGAGCAGCACACCTTGGTAGCTTGCACCACCAGCAGACCGGGGCGTCTGTGGCAAACGAGCAGTCACTGGTGTCCTTGGCGTCTGAGGTGTACGTGGAGTGCTGGGCATTTTGTTCGACATTGGCGAACGATCGATTGGCGCACGAGGACTTAAGGGTGTGGAAAGCATACGGTTCGCGTAGAGCATAGACTTGACTCCTCCTTGCGAGCTGCCTCCGTTGTAGGTCGGAGAAGGTTTAGCTGGCGGAGTGTCATCTTTGCTCTTCGATGTTGTGGAAGCACCCAACGCAAATTCTGGGTTGAAGCCGTACCTGGGAGTAGAGAGAAGAGGCTTATCTGAACCACCACCACTGCTTTGCCCACTCGAGCCAGGACTGGTCGTCGCAGCAATGGGGCTGAACTTGGTAGCATCAGCAAGAGGACTGCTCTTGGCAGGAGCCCACCTGATACCAGCACTATCCGGAGTTTGTGGTCCCAAACCGGCACTACCCGTAGGAGAATCCTTCTTGCTTTTACTAGGCAAAATCTCTGCCGCATTGTCCGATCGGTAAGATCTGCTTCGAGTAGCAGCCTTGGTCCGCCTCGCAGGCATCTCAGTCGGCGGTGTTGTTCGAATAGCTGGAGTGCTTGAATCACTTGCAACCCTTAGACTGCTTGAGCTGGCTTTCGGAGGACCGTGGACGCTGATAGTGAGCTTCTTGTCGTTGATCATACCTCTTCTGCGCACTTTTAGCGGCGTAGAGGCGTCAGAAGGATCCGAGGCCCCGGAAGCGTTGGCCGCACGTCGATCCCATGTTGCTGAAGAGGGTGGCTCGTCGTTCCATTCTGAATCCTCACTGGCAATTCCTCTGCCATAGGAAGAGCCAGTGGAGATGTCTTGACCATGGAATGCTGGCTCAGGTGTGTCTTGACGGAGGTGGAGAGGACGAGCAAAGCTGATGGGGGCTGAGGATTCGGGTGCGCTTTGACGGATGCGAGAATGACGTGCGCTTTGAGAGGGTGTTCTTGCTGGCGGTGAGGATGTGTTGTCAGCGGGTGGTGCCTGGGGCTGTTGGGAGGACGCTTCGTCCTTCATGTTTGCACTTGTTCGACTGCGGCGAGCAGCAGAGATAGGGGAGAATGAGTCCTCGCAATGTCTATTGTTCCCCCTATGTTGCCGAAGGAGTGAAACGAGATGTTGGGGAGCGATTTAGAACAAGGATAGGTTGGGAGCGAAAGAGAATGGTTCTCGCGAACTTGTCACATCGGCTTGAGCTTTTAAGGAACCCCCTCCTCTTCTCTGGAACAATGGTCCGGAAGGGCAGCGAAATAGCCCTGCTCTGGCAATTCCCTCCTTCCGACGGACCACCTCGTCACATCCACACATCACGAAGCCTGTAGCATAAAAACGCTGCCACAGCTGGGGAAGGGGTGCAGAGAAGAGGGAGGGGGGCTTGTCTGGCCGGAAGGAGCGAACCAAGAGCGGAGTATAAGTCGGAGCTCAACGAGATGGTGGGAGTCGACTTAAGAAAAGGGTAGAACTCATGGGAAGGGGGGCTTTTGTATGACATGTGTTCTTTCGCTTGTTACAGTATGACAGGACAAAGGAGAAGGATACATTCGAGAAAAGAATCAGCTGAACAAAAGGTTTTAAGCGAGGGTTAAAACCCCGGTCAAGTCGGAGAGTTAATTTGCCCATGGTGATCCTCATTGTGCAGAGAGCAAGCTTGCGGGGATTGGAAGGATAGAGAGGGAGGAGGAGGGAGGGAGGGAGGGGGGAGGAGGGAGGAAAGAGTGAGGTGAAGTTTCAGACGGCCGGATATGGGAAGCCTGTCTTGAGCTGCAGGTACACGATGATCATCAGCGCCTAAGCAGAGTGAGCTCGGCTGGATGCGTCCGTGATGCTGGATTTCAAAGCCCGAATCCATCGTCCTCTCTAACTTACCTCCCTCTCTGTCCTCCCTTCCCGGCTGTTGTGACTTTTGAACAGAGCAAACAAGTGTTTGGAACTAATTGAAGGATGGTTTGAGACGTCTGCGCTATTGTTGAACTGATTGGTGGTTTGAGATGAGCTAGAATGTTGGTGCAGGAAATGGCGATCAAAATTGAGGTCGGGGAATCAGAATTTCCTCGCTTCCCTGTGTCATGATGCACGCCATCGCAATTAGGCTCGATCAATAGAGGATGACGTCTCGCTATCGGGCATATCAAGCGCCGAAGACCTTTACCCACAGTTCCTTTTCTGAGATGGTATTGATCTGCATTACTACGAGAGAGAGGGGATAATGTTACATGATACAGGCGTGGTCATTGTAGTCTTTGTTTCCATTCCTTCGGTCCAAGATCTGCTGGTTCTGAAGAATCTAAGCTCTTCGCTTCTTGGCAGTTGTCGCCCCCCCATCCTGCTGATCCTCTTCACCATCATCGTTCGCCCTCTTACTCCCGCTATTCCCATTCTCACTCTTCCCTACTGGAAACGTACAATTGGGACAATGCCATTCACCATCCGGGATCTCGGTCAGTTTCGGTCTCAAACAACCCAAATGCCAAGGATTCTCACATTTCTCACATTCCAACAAGGCATCACCCTCTCCACCCTCCCCTTCCTCCTTGCCACACACCATACACACCTCTTGACTCTGCACTACCTCTGGCCATCTTGGCAGTTCTCCATATCTCTCGCCTAGATTCCTCGCAAGATAGAAGGTTGTGTTTTGACCGGCGGCGAGATCGATGATGGCAATGCCGTCTAATGTTTCGTTGCGGAGTGGTTTTGTGGCGGAACGAGGTTTGCCTTCGCCGAGACCGAGTTCGCCGCAGTTGGCGTTCTGGCCCCAACAGATGTTCATTGTCGCTCCGTGCTCGCCTACGACAGAAGCCTCTTCAATTGCGGTGCAGAGCAGAGTAACTCCGCCAAGGGCGGCATTGGTGATTTTGACACCCATTAGATCGGGAAGATATTTAAAAGTCATAAATCCTTGACCAGCACTTCCGTCTCCAGAAGTCTTCCATTTGCCCGCGAGCCAAAACATGCTCTGACCGTCGACGACGGCTGAATTCGTTGGCCCGGCATAAATCGCTTTTGCTCGCATCACCACATTCTCCCTCGCGAACTGCGGCACTAGCGTCGGTGTGAGTTGATCTTGTTGTGAGCCCAGCCCCAATCGGCCGTAACCGCCGAACCCCCAGACGTAGACATATCCGTCTTCGTCCATCGCAATGGTGTGTTGCTGTCCACAGGCGATCTGAGTGATTTTCTTATCTGCGAGCTGTTTTACTAGGAAAGGTTCGGAGAAGGTGTTGAACGCTAACCTGTTGCTGCTGGTAAAGTGTTCGCCTGTTCGCCCGTTCCCCAACTGACCCTTTTCGGAAGAGCCCATGGTGTAGACTTTTCCGGAGGCGGTGAGGAGCATGGAGAAGGTGAGACCGCAGGAGGCGGCGATGATAGGATCGCGTTCTTTAATGAAGGGTGCTGTTTCGATGCGGGTGAAGATGGGGACGGTTTGGGATTCTGGATGAGCGCATTGACCGGAGGTGTTGAGGCCTGCGGAGTAGACGGAGCCGGAAGAAGTGATGAGCAGGGTATGCGATCGACCGCAGGCTGCAAAGACAATTTGGCCTTTGGATCCGGAGGGGAGGGCGGGGGAGAAGTCGGTGGATGGGTCGAGGAGGTAGGCATCCCACACTGCAGGCCCGGAAGGTTTGGAGGAGGTGGGGATGCGTTGGATAGGAAGACCGCATTGACCTTGTTCGTTGCGACCGATGATGTAGGCGTCTCCATCGACGGAGAGGAGGACGGCGTGACAGGAAGAGTGAGAGGAGAAGACGCGCTTCATGCGGACATTGGAGACTGAACGGAGGATGTGTGGTGCTGGCAAGTCGGGATGGTCAGGATTGACTGTGAGAGGTGGACCGGCTTTGGATGCTTTACGACCTAGTGTAGGCCAGTCGATACCGCCGGCGACGAGCACTCTGCCCCATTGGGGAAGGTCTGCTTTCGACATGTTGCTATGTGTATGGCGGATGCGGGCGATACTGTCAGGAGCAGAGGCTACGGTGTAGGGAGCGTTCTGTGCCGGAGATAAGTAGATGAAGTGGAGATAGGAATTGAGAGGTGTCGAGAAGAAATGATCGAGAACGAAGCGCGGCCTTAGAACAAGAGAGACGGCGGCCTCGACGTTCGAGAGTGTTGGCCTTTTGGCTTCCTTTCATTTGCCACGGAAAAGAGACGCGTCGCGCAGAGTGAGCAATCTCGATATTCAACATTCTCGTGCGAGAATGCGACGCGTCTGAAATTTGTAATTTCATCTGTCCAAAAATGCCGTCGGAGCCAAAGCCAAGATTATTCTGAGAGCGTGTTATGCGTGTTGATGTGTTGGTCTCTCCTCCATCCTCGCACAGGCAAGCAAACAACAACACCACCACCTCGGTCAACACCATCTCGGTCAACACCACCTCGGTCAACACTACTCGGTGTCGCCTAACTCAGCTCCAACGGCTCTGATCGGGATGCGAAACATCTGCATCGGGTCGCCTGTCGAAGCTATTGTTCGGTATGGGCGACAGAGACGGTTCTCGCAATGCAATGTTGTGTCTGGTAGGACGACGCTATGGAATGCTTTTGTTGCGTCAGTCTCAGTTGCTTCTTCCGTAAGAGGATAGAGGGAAGGATGATGGGGGATAGAGGTGAGGGAGGGGAACGTGGGAGCAAAGCAGGGTAGGACAAAAGGCACGTGGCGTGTATACTGTACCATCATGCGCCCTCGACAACTCTTGCGGTTTGCTATCATTTGCATCTCCCCTCCAAAGTCCCCTCCAAAGTCCCCTCCAAAGTCCCCACCAGTCCCCTCCAGTCCCCTCCAGTCCCCTCCAGTCCCCTCCAGTCCCCTCCAGTCCCCTCCAGTCCCCTCCAGTCCCCTCTTCTGAAATTGATCTGCATAGATGCAAGTTTCAGGAACGCTCTTGCCCCTCCCTCCCTTCTTTGCTTGCAGAAGTTGAAGATACGCTGAAAATTTCCAGGGTTTATTCAACGTGGGGCGAATCACGAGCTGAATCAGGCATGTGAAATGCATCAAGGTTGACATGGCAACGACTCAGGACTCTGCAGGAGGCACTCGACTTATCTCAGTCCAACGTTCTCAGAGATAGTGCCAAGGTATATACTGTATGTGCTCATGTAGTTCCACTCCTTTATAGCAATGTGAAGAATCCAAGTAGCTATACATCTGTACGAAGGGAGCCTGATCGTGGCCCCGAAGTGGGGTTTATACTTCTCTATATTTCAACTGCAGGTCTCTTTCTCGTGTTGCGCAGAACCCTGCATCCCCGCTTACCCTCTTCTTAAGGCAGAGCATTTGAATATATACAACCCCGACTCTCCGTTCCTGCTTTTCTTTCTTCTTCATCCTCTCCTCTCTCTTCTCCACTCCCCTCCACTCTCCTCCCCCCCAACCCTCCTTCCCTGCCTGCTGTTCGCAGCTCTACACTCATTAGCAATGAAATTCGCCACCCTCCTCACCAGCGCAATGCTGGTAGGCTCAGCCCTAGCCGCCATCCCCTCTGACGTCGCCGTCAAAGTCCAAAACCCAGTCACCACCGCCAACTCCCTTGGCACCTCGGACATCAAACCCAAAGTGATCGTCGACCAGACCATGGACATTCCAGGCATGAGACGTTATCGTCGTAAGCTCAACAACCAGGCCGAGTCCACGCACGAAAAAAGAGCTCTCCCGCCCCTCCGATGGCCTTACAACGATAACAGTCGCAAAGTCCGCGGTGTTTCGCTCGGCGGTTGGCTTGTAGTGGAGAACTTTATCACTCCCAGTATTTACGGTCAGACTGGAAACGATGCTATCATTGACGAATGGACATTCGGATCTCTTCAGCCTAGGGACCAGGCGAGGAGGATTCTGCAGAAGCATTTAAACACTTTCGTTACTGAGGACGATATTAGACAGATCGCAGCTGCCGGGTTGAACCATGTTCGTATCCCGATTGGTTATTGGGCGTTCGAGGTAAGGTCTGATGAACCATTCTTCAAGTTGAACCAGTGGGATCTTTTGAAGCAGGCTGCTCTTTGGTGTGGGAAATACAACCTTAAGGTTCTTGTTGATCTTCACGCCGCACCGGGCAGCCAGAACGGGTATGACCACGGTGGACGTCGTGGTGTTAGCGAGTGGGCCGGTAACGCAACCGACGTTCAACGCACGATCAATATCCTTCAGACTATGTCGAGCGAGTTCAGCCTTGCTAAGTACCAAAACTCGGTTGCTGCTTTCGAATTGCTCAACGAACCCGTCACAGACCGAAACGTAGTGATGGACTTCAACCGGCGAGCATACGAAGTTGTACGATACCCTAACGGTCGTAACGCGGCCGAATCTCCTCTTCTCATTGTAGTCAGTGACGAATTCACCAGCCCAGCTTACAGCGATTACTGGAACGACAAACTCCTCCCTCCCAAATACCAAGGTGTTTCTATCGACTCGCACATTTACACTATCTTCAACGACAAATCTCTTCGTCTCTCCTCAAAGGACCGCATCAACTACTACTGCTCGCTCAAACCCAAATGGGCTGCTGCCAACAAAATCCACTACCAAATGGTCGGTGAATGGACCCCGGCCTTCACGGATTGCGCTCAAGGCATTAACGGTCGAGGCAGAGGTAGCAGATACGATGGAAGCTTCAAGCATAGCCAGGGTAGGATTAACAGCTGTTACGCTAAGAGTGGTGATGCTAGGACGTTCACCGCCAACTACAAAAGGTTGTTGGGTAGCATGTGGGAGGCGCAGGTGGACGCGAACGAGGGTGGTATTGGTTGGATCATGTGGACTTGGAAGACGGAAGCAAAGGCGGCGGAGGAATGGAGTTATCAGAAGGGTTTGCAGTATGGTTGGATTCCCAGGGATCCTACTAAGAGGCCTAATGGGATTAGGTGCTAAGCCGACAGCCCCGGCGCTCGAGTTGAAGTCGTTTAGGCCAAAAAGCTCCCTTGGAAACAGCTTGAGCGCCCTATCATCGCATCGCATTCCGAAGAATTTTCTGTCTCTCTCACTATCTTTACGAACTATTCATCTATTCACCTTGTAGAATCAGAGATCGCACTTCAGTCTTCTATCCGTGTTCAATCCTGTGAAAGGTGCGATATTGCAATGCTGAAGCTACATCAAGCAGTCGCTGCATTTTCGTCCTCTTCAACTCCCTGTTCATTTGCCCTCCGAGACCGCAACAATTCCACCAGAGTCTTAGCCAACGTCTGCGTCCCTTGCTTCTTCTTAGCTGACAGAATCACCACCTTCATCGGCTCCCCCTCCTCTCCTTTCACCCCAGTATCCCACTTCTGCAGTGCCCTCTGGTCCTGCCAAATCTCCCTTGCCTGCCTCTTAATCTTGTCCACCTTTTCTTTCGCCATCTCGATCTCCTCCGGCTTCTCGAACTGGTCTGCTTTATTCACAATCACCAGTCTCGCCTTCCCTGGCAGATCCTCCCTGTACTCCGCAAGCTCGTTATACAGCACTTTCAAATCCTTCCACGGTTCCGGTTCCGTCAAGTCCAGTACGTATGCTAGGAGGGAACATCGTTCGATATGACGCAAAAAGGTATGTCCCAAACCCCTATTTGCCGCCGCTCCATCGATCAACCCGGGGATGTCGCTCAGAACTAGCCTGAACTCCTCTTCTCCCTCTCCACCCTCAGGGGAGAGGAGCAGGTCAGCACCGTACCCTTCGCTCACCTCAGTATTGTCGACACCGATGACAGAGCCATCAGACCCAAGGCGGACGACACCGAGATTGGGGCTGAGCGTGGTGAACCTCCAATGACCCACCTGAGCTTTTGAGGCGGAGATGGAACGGAGGATGGTGGATTTACCCGCGTTAGGAAGTCCAACTAGACCAATATCCGAGGGACGTTTGAGTTCCAGTGTGATTTCAAGACTTTCACCGTATTCTCCGCGAGTGGCGAATTTGGGGGAACGGTTGGTGGAGGATAGAAATGTGGGGTTACCCAATCCGCCGCGACCGCCGGCAGCGAGGAGGACGCCAGCAGAGTCGGGTGGGGTGGGTTCGTCTAGGTCGATTCGCCATGGCTCTCTATCCTCAGATGGCGGAGGAGCTTCGGAGTCTTCATAGGGAGTAACAGACGCAGCTGAAGGTTGATCCGAAGAAGAGTTGGAGAGGGTGGAAGCGGCGGTAGATTGTGCTAGGTAGCGGCGACGTCTACGACGGTCAAGAGCAAGCCGCATTTCAGCTGTTCGGAATTCGGTTCGACGATAGTTGGTTTCTTCTGCACGGGGATAGTGGCGCCAAACGCGATCTCGGAGGATTTGGAGTTGATGTGCGATGGTGGGTTCGAGAAGGTCTTCTCCGTCAATGTCCTCCTCTTCTGAGTCTTGCTCTTGGGTTTTCTCCAGCTCACCATCCGCGCTGGCCTCGTCTGAATACTCAATCTCGGGTGGCGGAGGACGCGACCGCGCCAACCGCTTGCGTTCTGCTTCTTCAGCGGCCAACACTACATCCTCTTTCGCAACTACTCCTGTCGGGTCCCAATTGGCTTTCGCGGCACGCTTGAGAAGGTCAGAATAGTACTCTTCTGCCTCCTCTTGCTCAGGTATCCTCAACCTGCGCGTTGCGGTTACAACCGTGCCGACGGGAACGTCGATGTACTTGTCTTCAGCTTTTCTGCCATGCAGAAAGCTTCCTTGACCATGTGGGCCATCCGCACCACGAAAACGACGTGAGATACGAGCTAGCGTAGTGGGACCATCAACCGCACGAATGTAGATTGAACCTCCTGAACCACCGTTACCGCCAGAAGGTGGGCCAAACTGAACGAACTTTTCGCGATGAAAAGAGACGCAGCCATCACCGCCCTTTCCGCCTGTGACGCGGAGAAAGATTTGATCGACAAAGTTGGAGTGTCGGTTGCGTTGCCATTCCGCCTTACGTCTTGCTTTCACGATCTCAGCGTTGTGAGTGATGGAGGTGGTTGAGAATGATCGAGAGGATCGGCGGGAGAAGGGGGTAGAAGACGAAGATGAGCGACTGCTGGGTCGGCGGTCGGACGCTCCGCCTCCGACCGAGCGTGGTTGCTGTTTGGGTCGTCGAGGCGTGTCGGAAGGTGTATTCGTATCTCTTTTTTCAGTAGCAGAATCACGAAGAAGATTTTTCTCGGTGATGACATTGCTGAATCCGCCAAACTGCTGCAGCGCTGCCCGTACAGCACGAAGTCGACTACTGAGGAAGGGATTTCCATTGATCCTATCACCCGGTCTGGACACCATGGGGGAAGTACGACGTTCTATCTTGATCTCAATCGGTACGGGATCTGTAGAAAGGTAGAAATCAGAATCGTGCTTAATGATGGCATCTTCCGGTGTGTCGTCTTTGGCTTTTTTCTGGTCGACAAAATAGGAGGTTTGTGTTGCAGCTTCCATGTTGCAGAGTGGTGCTACGTCGTTCCAACCTGGACGCATTGCTGCGGGATTCTGAAGCGAACGAGAGGAAAGGAATGTTTGAGAGGCGGATGCCTGTTTACTGGGAGCCTTGCAGCTGATGAGTGGACCCATGCCTACCAGCATTTCGTGCTCTTTGTTTGGAAGGTAAGAGCGAGGAGCTCGAGAGGGGACGATCGGTGGGAGGACGACCGTGTGGATGCCATCGTTGGTGAGTGCTTTTCGTAGACTCCCCTTTTCGGCGAATGTGACACTGCCGTACCCTAGCAGCCTTTGTGAGATAGGACTGCGGGGGAAGTGAAAGTGTTGAATAGGACCGAACTTGGACGCGAGCTGAGATAGGAGGGAGAGGGTGTGAACGACCGAGATGAGATGCTTGCCGTTTACCGTGCGGACAAATACGGATCGCGCCAAGCTTGTGTCTGAAGCTGCTGGCTCACGCTTCTCTGGGAGAGTGGATGAGGATGAAGCCAATGGCGATCCTGATGAAGAAGAACGCGAGGGAGGATGCGGTGTCAAGTACTCGTCGAACTTCCAGTTATCCGAGCGCGTTGCACAAGATGCAAAGTGTCGTACCGAACCAAGTGCGCCATGCTGCTGTTGCTGAAGGACGAGCAAAGGTTGCAGCCTTAGCAGGGTTCGCTTTGCTGCCATACCTTGTTCTGTAGAGTCTTTGTACAAGGTTGTTGGATGGCAGGCAAGAAGGACGATGTGACGGAGCGACTCAAAAAGCTTGACATCTTCTCAAGCTTGTTCAAGGGTCCTTTCTGAGTAAGAAGATTTTTGTTTGCGAAAAGAAAATATCGGCCCGATTTCTTTCTAGAGACCGTGTCACGTTTTCCGATTTCCGATTTCCGTTTTCCGAATGGAAGATCTCGAAGCGCAGTGAGATGGTACTGAGAAGATGCTTTTCCTGACCATCACAGTCTAGAGCATTGTGGTCTTGGCAATTGTTGATTGCCAAGACTGGATGTCAAGGCAATGGTCCTCCTCATTGCTGAGTGATCATCATACACATCATTTCAATGAATACATTGCAATCCTCCAAGCAAACACATTCTTCACACTCCCTTTCCTGAGCATGAAGACATTCTTCTTGCTCCCTTTCCTTGCACTTGTGCTGTAACCACAATTCTTCCTGCTTGGTGTGCTCTGCTTCTTGCTTGGTGCACTCCTGTGCAAGCTTGAGGCAAATTAATAGGCTTTCTATTGAAGGTTGATAGAAAGCCTCTGCAAGGGAATCCTGCTTCTGTTCAACTTTGTTATGCTTGCACTTGTAGCCATTTGCTTGTGAAGATGAGGCCCAGTTTGAGAACATTGATGGACTTGAGACCAGGGCATCTGATTGGATGGGATGTGGGGGTGGTGTTGAGATGTCAAAATTGGTGCAATCTCCAGCATTACTGGGAGCAGCATCCACCAGGTCATGGATTGGGGGTAGGTTCCAGGCATGCACTGTGTGGTTGAGGTCTGCATCACTGGATTCCTTCATGGGATTGCTGCCAGGGAGCACATTATTGGAAGCCTCATTGCCAGTAGCATCCAGGCTAGGTGTTGTGAGGAGGATGGCTGGCCCTGCCAACACATGTTCATTCATCATCTCGTGCATCTTCTCAAACCAAGGATACTTGGCTGAGAGAGCAACCCAAGACATGTAAGACTGTAGAGAGAAAGTGTCAGCAAGTACATATTCACAAGTAATATAACCAATGGTCTTAAAGTACTTACAGGATTCATTGCATCCATGTCCTTCAGCAGTGTTCCAGCTCCCATAAGCAAGAGAGCTTTCTTCTCCCAATGGTAGGTTTCTTGAAGCCAGTATACCTTGAACTTGATGCAAGAGGGATCAACAGACCTGGCAGGGAAGACTGACCTGCTGAGGTCATGATAGACCATATCCTTGTGAAGCTTGTTGGTGGGCTCATTGGCTTCATTGCGATGAGAAGGGAGAATTGTGCACTGATATGACTTGTTGATGTAGATCATGTCTACAAGGCACTCGATGTCCTGAGCCTGCCAGACAAAGTTCTTCTTTGCCCCATTGTCGGCAGGCCTGGTGGATTGGGTGGAAGGTGTACCAGAGATCTGATTGATTGGGGAAGTGACAGGAGAAAGCACAGGAGGTGCACCTTGTTCTTGCTCTGTGTTGGATGGGGGAGTTGGAGAAGCAGGAAGAGAAACATCCCAGCTTCCAGCTTCAAATACTTTGTCAATGAATGACATGGCACACCAGTGTGATGAAGTAGTCAAGTTGAGGAGGTGAAGCAAGCAGATGTGCATCCATCCACAAATGTGCACACTTTTCAAAGGTGTGCACAGCACTCTACATGCACAATGCTTTGTGCAATGCTTTGCACCATCTTTCTCGCTCCTCTCTCTTCCTTCTTCCTTCTTCACCAACACCATCACCTTCACCTTCCATTCCAACCATAACCCCCTTCCCTTCCTCATGGTCCTCTACACCATGGTGTGCTTCAGCACATAACAGGACCAGCTCAATAGCATCATTCAAACTCTGGAAGTATCATTGCCCACTGAACTTGATCAGTATGCAGAAGAGTTGCAAAACCCAGACTTTGATACAGATGATTATGATAGCAGCTCTGACACTGACAATGGCCCAACACCTCTTTCAGCAGGCCTCATTCACATGTATGCCCTCATCGCCCAGCAGTGATACTTGTCATGGGCCTGGATGCTCAAGGAGCAGGAGGGTCACTGGTTCATATGGAAGGAGCACAAGTATCGAAGACCTAGTTGATACCAGTAAAGAGCATGGTCGTAGTGCAATCTCCATGGAGACCATGGACTCCTATGGACTCACATGCAAAGGAGGACCAAGCCATATGCGAGGAGGGCCAGGCACAGCCACAAGGAGGACCAAGCTCAAGGAGCAGGCACAGCCATGAAGAGGACCAAGCTCAAGGAGCATGCAGATGGTTACCACTCAGGGGCTCAAGAGACAAGAGTCAAAGGAACCATCACTGGTCAAAGGAGAAGGAGCAGTGTATAGGGAACTGGCAAGCAGGTCCTGAGGAGGAGGAGCAGTGTCGAAGGAGTCAACACCACTCAGGAGGCACAAGGGTGCCAAACAAGCAGGATAGCAAGAAGGAGGAGCAGTGTCGAAGGAGTCGATAGCTCAAGGAGGACAGGAGTGGTGCTAGAGGGGCCCCCTGTACAAGTACTCGATGAAGAAGGTACTCTCTGGAGAGAGAGCAGGAGCAGTGTCGCTGGTGATGCTGTGAAGAGGTATATAACCATACTTTCTCATCATCAAAGGTCGAGTGGATCCTCATCCACTCTACACACCCATCATAACTAGTTATCACTTCAGCATAAGTATATATTAGTTTCAGTCAGCATAGCAGCAATCTATCAAGGTTGCTCCTCATTGTAGTGCATGTGTTGTATCACCACTACCTGACATCCAAAGGTGGCCCATAGCAGGTCAGCAGTCCAGATATAGATAGAACCAAAGGCAGTAGTCCACTGTGGTCTGGGGATCACCTCAAGCATCAGTCAACACACTGGACACTCATGTTGATGCCACCAACCTTATCACCAACACCATCAACCTCATCATCATCAACACTCACACCAGATCTTGGTGTCATCATAACCTACACAGTGATATGTGTCAGGGGTCTCGCGCCTGAAACCCAGGTCGGTCTGTCGAGATACTCGGTGACTATCAAACTGTGCAACAGCTATTGTCTCGGTATCAGTGACTATCAAGTTGCACAGTGACAGCAGGTGGTGTTCGTTGTATATACTATCGTAGGTTTCGGCTGACCTCTGTGGACACTCCGTTCAGGGGTAGCTCGGCATGATCAATATCAATGCTATGATGACACCAAGGTCTGGTGTGAGTGTTGATGATGATGAGGTTGATGGTGTTGGTGATAAGGTGGGTGGCGTCAACACAAGTGTCCAGTGTGTTGACTTGATGCTTGAAGTGATCCCCGGACCGCAGTGGACTACTGCCTTCAGTTCTATCTTGATCTGGACTGCTAACCTGCTATGGGCACCTTCAGACGTCAGGTAGTGGTGATACAACACACACACTATGATGAGGAGCAACCTTGATAGATTGCTGCTATGCTGACTGAAACTAATGTATACTTATGCTGAAGTGATAACTAGTTATATGGTGAGTAGAGTGGATGAGGATCCACTCGACCTTTGATGATGAGAAAGCATGGTTATATACCTCTTCACAGCATTGCCAGCGATGCTGCTCCTGCTCTCTCTCCAGAGAGTACCTTCTTCATCAAGTACTGTTCAGGGGCCTCTCCTGCTTGGCACCCCTGTGCCTCTTGAGTGGTGTTGACTCCTTCGACACTGCTCCTCCTCCTCATGACCTGGTGTTGACTCCTTCGACACTGCTCCTCTTCCTCAGGACCTGCTTGCCAGTGTCCTATGACTCTTGTCTCTCGAGCCCCTGAGTAGTAACCATCTGAGCTTGGTCCTCTTCGTGGCTGTGCCTGCTCCTTGAGCTTGGTCCTCCTTGTGGCTGTGCCTGGCCCTCCTCGCATGTGGCTCGGTTCTCCTTTGCATGTGAGTCCATAGGAGTCCATGGTCTCCATGGAGACTGCACTACAACCATGCTCTCTACTGGTATCGACTAGCTCTTCGATACCTGTGCTCCTTCCATATGAACCAGTGACCCTCCTGCTTCCTGAGCATTTAGGCCCATGACAATATGGATCATGCTGAGCTACCCCTGAATGGAGTGTCCACAGAGGTCAGCCGAAACCTACAACAGTATATACAATGAACACCACCTGCTGTCATCACACAACTTGATAGTCGCCGAGCAACTAGCTCTTTGAGACCGATACCGAGACAATAGCTGTTGCACAGTTTGATAGTCACCGAGTATCGTGACAGACCAACCTGGGTTTCAGGCGCGAGACCCCTGACAATACTCAGTCTCACAGATTCACACACAGGGCCGCTCCGAAAAGCTAATCGAGCTCCTGGACCGATATGCCACAACGAAGCCAGCCCTTTTCCAAGGCTTGGTACAAATGACACCTTTGGCTTTTGAGGAGCTGGCAAAATGCCTTCAACAAATGAAACCATTTAACTCTGGTCAGGTCTTGATCAAACAGTGCAGATAAATCCTGTCAGTGGCTCTTTACCAGCTTGGGCAATCAGGAAATGGAGCTGGAGAGTGTGATGTTTCCCTGCAATGTGGCTACAGCATTGGAACTGTGATAGGCTGGACTGAACAGAGTGTCTGCAGACTTCTCAAACTCAACAAGGAGGTTATGCGATTTGCATCAGAAGTGGAGAGGCAAAGTGCTTCTGCATGGGTGCAAAGGACTACTGGAGTAGAGGAATGGGGAAAAGGCTGGCTTGTGGTCAATGGTACTCATGTACTGCTTGCATGGAAGCCAGGGATGATGAGCCAGGAGCACTTTAGCTACAAGGGCTTTTACAGCATGAATGTCACCCTGGTCATCCTACCTCATTCTCTTTGCATTGTGGAGTCAGTTGTTGGACAGCCTGGTAGTGTCCAAGACTCAAAGGTTTGGACTTCAGGCAGCAATATCCTCAAGAAACCTTGATTGTACTTGGATGATGGTGAGTTTATCTGGGTTGATGGAGGGTATGGTCACTCTGCCTTCATGGTTGGACCTTTCTCACACATAGCTGCTGTGAAAAGCCATGACCTGCATTTCTTCAACCACTCTCTCTCTCAAGTCCAGGTCTGGGTTGAACATGCCATTGCCTACCTCAAGAATCGATTTCAGTGCCTGAACAGGTACAGAGGGAACATGTATCATGTCAAGGATTGTATGACAGCAGCAAGGACTATCCAAGCATGCATTGTCACCCATACATTTGCAAGCCAATATGATGGTCCAGACATGGTTGCTGAACTCCTTTGCCCATCCTTCTCTGAGGAAGTAGTCCATGATGTTGTTCAGACTCTCAGCACCAACCCAAGCCAGAGTGGGAATATGCAGAGTCAATGGCAGACAAATCAAACTCAGTATGAGGAGGAGAGCATGGCAAGTATGCAAAGCATGATGCAGCCTGCCTTGACACAACTTTGCAGCTCATTGGCACATGATCTTCAAGAGCAAATGTTTCAGGTGCTGTTCACTTCCACTGGCTGACAGCAGGAGGACACAACCACATGCTCCAGGTGCCATGAGAGGATGGCCAAGGACTACAATGCAATGTTGGCACAGGGCCAGTTGTCCAGGCAATGTCACCAATTGTCAACACCTTCACATCCCTAGCACCTGTTCATTTTCATCCTTAGTGAAATGTTTCCACAAAAGACTTGATTGACTATGACCATCTGTAACAGTGTGAAGCACATGCTAACATGATACTGATGAGCTTCAGTATTAATAACATACATGTTAAAACAAACCAAATGTCACATTTGCTGCAGATGTGTTTTTAGAAACACATGTTTTTTGGATCCTTAAAAGGGGTGTTCAAAAATGGGAAAAAGTCATCAAAATTGAGAAACACGTGTTTCTAAAAACACTCGAAAATTGATACCCCCTACTGCTATTTTAGACAGAAACATATATACTCAATTGACTGAACAAACGTGGCGAGAGCCTAGTGCTCTCAGCTTGATATATATACATCTATGTGGCACATGCCGAATGTGGGTGCTTCCTACTTAATGACGATGTCTGACAACGAGCGGGACTAGGTTGTACCCGATCTCAGACCAGATCGGGCCTCAGTCCAGATCGGCTCTGCGTCATCCTTTAGCATCTTACTGGATCGTAATCTTCAGCATGTATGTGTGCTTATGCTTCGCAAGAGCGTGGGAAAAGAAGAGCAAGAAAGTTAAAGTTTGCGCAAAGCTCCTAATTTTTCCCACGTTCTGCGCTCCGATTTGGCCTGCTCGCTGACGCCACAAATGCTCGTCGGGCGTGCCGGTAGCGCATACACAGGCTCGATTCGATACAGCTTTCCATCTGGAAGCTTCCATGTCTCACAAGGGTCTGTCGCCTAGAAAGAGGAAGCGGCTATGGAGGGGAAGTGAGGCAGGTTGCAATGAGGCTGAGGAAGGATAACGGGACAAGGCATGCCAACTTGAAGCATAAGAAGGAGGATGGGATGATGGTGTGCGCCTGTTTCTGCGCTTCTACCAACCCGGTGCAGCGGAATACTTTTCAAGGAGACGAGAGGAGAGGCTCAGTTCGGTTCGGTTTCTTTTCCGACCACCACCATCCCCATCGACCGCACCCATCGACCGCACCCATCGACCGCCGGACAAGATATGTTAGATCTTCAACTCAGTCTCTCATCCCCAGCCCTACTTGCTGCCTTGCTCGCGCTTATTGCCAGCTACCTCCTTTTCTCTCGATCAAAGCTCAGCAGCGCCCCATCTCCCTCATCTTCCCCCTCTGACGCAGTCCCGCTGATCCCTCTGGTCGCCGACCTACCCTCCGCCGGCAATTTCCGAGATGACTTCCTCCTCCGACGTCGCATCTACGGTTCAGTCCATCGGGTCACCGAACCCAACGGAATGATCAACACCTACATCGGCGACCCTCTTGCCATCAAGGACATCATTGAACAGCCCGATATTTTCGAACTGGGTCCTCTCCATTCCGGTGCTGCACCCATGTGGCGTATCTCCCCCACTGCCGGTCAGTGGTTCGCTCAAGTAGGTGGACAAGCTACCGTCCGTCATTCCTCCCATCTCTTTTCCGGATCCCGACTGGCAGCTTTACAGAAGCGATTTGTGGAAGCGACCAGGAGGCAGTTTGATCGATTGAAAGCGGGGAGGAAAGAGGATCTCTTCGCAACAGTGAGCGAATTGTTTTTTGAAGCAACTATGGAAGCTTTGTTTACGGATAGATGGCCCAAAGGTGAATATAAGGAGTACGAGAGATGGGATGCCGAATTGACACCCTTTTGCATGGGAATGGCGAGTGAGAGAGCGATAGAGGCGAGAGATAGGTTTTGGAGATTGACTAAGGAACAAGTGGATGAATGGCTAAGTGACTGTTCCTTGCAGGCCAGGGAACAGCTGTTGGAGTTGGAGAACAAGTATTCGCTTCCGCATGATGATGCAGTGGCCATCGTGCTCCGTACTGCATGGCTGGGGTCGACACAATCGCCACTCTCTGCAGGCTGGTTGCTGTGTTTGCTCTCCCATCGACCTGATGCGATCGACAAGATCCGAACCGAACTCTCGCAGCTCCAACAGAAGCTAGCAATCAACACGGACGATATTGCTTCCAATCCTGACCTTCTCAAAGGCGAGAACCTGCCCACGCTCGATAACTTTGTCAACGAGCTCCTCCGCGTCTTCTCCGCCCAAAGTGTTCCTCGATTCTGTCACAAAGATACCACCATCCGCGCTCTCGGGCCCAACAACACCGTCCTCCATTACCAAGTCAAGCAGGGCGACATCCTTCAACTTCTCTACTGGAACGTACACGATGCTTCCTTCAACCCCCAGTTCTGGCCTGGAGGAGAGCAGGGAGAGACGTACCAAGAGACCCTCCAACCTTTCGACGAAACTCGGTTTGACGACGCAGACCGCAAACTACCCGTGTTTAGGATCAAAGAGAACAACGAGACGGTCAAGACATGGACGCCTTTCGGGTACGGTGTTAGGGTGTGTCCAGGGAGATATTGGGCTGTGGCGGAAATCAAGGCCTTCGTCTTGATGTTTTTGCAAAGGTTTGATGTGCGTGAGATGGGCAAGCTTCCAAGGCCGGATGCTGGGAGATGGTTGGGTGTCTTACATCCCAAAGATGGGATGGCTGCTACACTGAGCGCTCGCTCATAGAACCGTCTTGTTCACACACAACACTCACACTGGGCTTTTGAGAAGGGACAATGCAATGGATGAAATGAATTGCAAGCAATACAAATGTTGTGGGTGCGTGATGAGGGACCTTACTTCTTCTCCCCCTCAGCGCCACCCTCATCAGCTTTGAGACGCATTCTTTCCTTCTTACCCAATCTCTTCTTCTGTGGTTTCTCCTCTCCCTCCTTGTTCTTACTTGTGTTTCCGTAGACTTCTCTTCTGAACTGACCCAACTTCTTACCCAAGTCCATTGGCCTGTTCTTTCCTCGCTTATACGGCTGCAAGTTCTTCAACCCAACTACGTTGTTCAACTGTTCGTCCTCAGCGAGCAAGATGTCGACAGCAGACATACCGTAGTCTGCAGGAGCGACTTGAGCGTATTTGAAACGCGTTGGAAGATCGCCGATCATATCTTCATAGTCGAGGTTGTAGTATGAATCGATCATCTCCTTCGCCATTGCCTTTTTATCCGCAGGCTTGGAGGGGTTGGCGGATGAAGAAGGGGCTGCGTCGGCGTCCATTGCTTCTTCGTCCACCCCATCCGCTTCGTCATCCGAGTCAGAGGCATCGCCTTGGGTGTTGGAAGAAGACTTGGACAACGCAGCTTTGAGTTTCTTCTTCAGCTTCTTCCTATCCTTCTTGCTCAACTTCTTATCCGCTAGCCTTGCCCGGAGAGCAGCTTCTTTGCTTCCTGCACCAGCACCAGCATCGGCAGTGGCAGAATCGTCGAGGAAATCAGCATCCATCTCAATCCTATCCTCCCCGTCCTCACCCGTGTGACTCTGCTTCGCCTTCTTACTCTTCTTTCCGCCGGCTCCCACCGTCGCTTCATGCTCCTGAATAATATCATCAATCTCAATATCATCATCCCAAACCGGCTTCTCTCCCTCATCCTCCCCCTCATAATACGCATCCCCAAACGCCTTCTGCATCGCCTCATCGTGCGCATCTGGATCAAACTCCCCCTCTAGATCCAAATTCTCCAGCTCTACCGCACTTGACCCAGTGACCTCCCTCAACTTCTTCAGCTTATCTACAATCTCCTGCCTCTTCAGATTCTTCAAGCGCGAAAGCTCTTGCATCTTGAGACGCTTCTCTTCTTCTTTGCGTGCAGCACGTTCCTCTCGCTTGCGTTTGCGCGTGTTGTCTTCACGACGAGCAGAGTCTTTCGGTGTACGAGAGTAGGTGGGGATGGTGAGCGATTCAGGGCCTTGTTCGAAACGGAAGTTGTAGGCGGTTTCGAATGCGTCTGCTTTTTCGTCAAAGTCGGAGTCGTCGGATTCGAGAGCGGCAGCTTCGGCTGCCCAGTCTCGACCGTATGCTTTGCCTTCTTCCTTGGCCTTTTTCGCTACATCGTCGGCATCGCCGTTTTCAGCGGGGGCGGAGGAGTCAGCGTCGTCGGTGGATTTCGACTTGAGCAAAGACTTGTTGAGGCGAGGCTTGACCGGTCGTTGCTCATCAGCAGACTTATCGATCCAACCGCGATTGAGGATGTAGTTGAGCAAGAAATCTTCGTTTGCCTTCTGATCCGTCTCGCCGTGAACAGCGATAGGGGTGGATGCAGAGGCTTCCTCGTCATCAGCAGCTTTCTGACGTCGAATGGCTTGTCGAATCGTTTCTTCGTCTGCGTCTGGTCCAAGCGATGCGATCACTGCATCGCGATACGAGGTTGAACCATTAGTCTGAGCTTCAGAACGCTTGACGAAAAGATCGTCTTCGTCATCCACGGTAGAGTGGAAAGCTTGGGAGACTTGCTTTCTCAACTCCTCCTGTTCTTGTGCAAATGGCACTCTTTCCTCCTCCGCGTCGTAGAAGATTCCTTTGGCTTTGTCGCTAGTGGTCGCATCAGCAAGTGCTTCGGCTGGGTTCTCTGATGTCTTTATCAATTCTTGCACTCGTTGACGCTGGTAGTCTTGCAGAGTGACTTTCTTTTCTTTCTTTGTTGTGCCTTTCTTGCCTGCTGCTGATGCTGCTGAAGAGGTACCAGAGGCACGAGCGGCTCGTTCAGCTGCTTCTGCCTCCTGTGCAAAGATATTTGTCTTGGAATTGTACAGTGCTGCATCCTTGTTGCGAATACGTTGCAGCGTGCGGAAGATAGCAGCATCAACATTGGCATTGATCTGATCACCATCTTCATCTTCTGTTACATCACTCTCGCTATCGGTTTCGGAATCGAGACCGTCGTCGTCGGAGGCGAGAGCATCTTTGCCATACTTGGCTTCGAGCTGGTGAAGTTCAGCACGCTGTTTGTTGTGGACGTAGCGCTCAGCAAACTCTTTGTTGATGGTGAAGTGGTTGAGTGATTCTTCGGGTTTGGTGCGGATGTCTGGCTTTGGAGCCGAGTCGTTCAAGTCGGCGAAGAGATCCATGGCGGTCCAGATAGTGAGCTGAGAAGCTCTGTGTGGGTGGTGGCGCTGCTTTGCTCCGAGAGTTGTTCACTGGGTGTGTGTATCTGCAGGTCAGAGCAAGAGATGGGCGGCTACGTCTTGCAAAGCGGTATCGATTGTCGCTTGCTGTTGGGGTAGGGTATGCGATGGCAATTGCGGTGCTTGCTGCCTCTAGCGTCGATGAAGAAAGGTGAGCTGTAGGGTGCGGTACGAAGGTGAAGTCAAGGCAGCTCATAGAAGCCAACACAAATTCCAAAAGTCAGGGTCAAAAGAAACTTTTTCTCACACTTTTTTGAACGTTGTTCTGTTACGGCATTTTCGCAGAGATTCAGATCAGACACACCAAACCTGTCTGCCCCGCACTTTACCCCCAGAGGGGGGCAGGACCCCATGCCCAGGGCCCCATGATAATGCTATGTAATGCTACATCAAAGATAAAGGAGTCCTACAGATAGCCTTGATAAGCATATTGAAAGTGCTGTTGTGGTCACCTTCTGCCAAGTAGAGGTAGGTTGGGCATTGGAATTGTTTACTTGAACCTAGCCTCTCATTGAGATTGCCACACTGAGAGCAGGTCTTTGATGTATATGCTTCTGGCTGTGTAAGAAGCACTGTTGGCTGCCCACATTTATGCAGGTAGCACAGATCATGAGCAACATTGTGGCATTTGACCAGCAAACGGTTGATGAAGTTGCAGTGTCCCCAACCCAACAGCCTCTGATGGGTGTTTTGGTGCAAGTTCCCATTCTTCCTTTGTATCATTTTGCAAACCTCCATTCTTGGCATGACCACAATCTCAGATGAGGTTGCTAGATAGTTTGCCATCTGGCAATGTAGTTCATCAATAAGCTGCTGCAGCTTTTTGTGGACCTTTTTTGAGTGCTTTTGAAGCTTGCAGCATTGCACAGATGACAAGGCAAATTGCAGGGCTGGATGGCATTGGCAGGCTTCCTGAGGCTGAGCTTGGGCTTGCTGAGACAATTGAGGAGTGGAAGTCATTTGCAGTGGTGGCAGTGGCTGTTGATGATTTGGTTGATGTTGTCAGGGGTCTCGCGCCTGAAACCCAGGTCGGTCTGTCGAGATACTCGGTGACTATCAAACTGTGCAACAGCTATTGTCTTGGTATCAGTGACTATCAAGTTGTGCAGTGACAGCAGGTGGCATTTGTTGTATATACTATTGTAGGTTTTGGCTGACCTCTGTGGACACTCCGTTCAGGGGTAGCTCGGCACAATCAATATCAATGTGTAGGTTATGTTGACACCAAGGTCTGGTGTGAGTGTTGATGATGATGAGGTTGATGGTTTGGTGATAAGGTTGATGAATGTCGATGATAATGATGTTGATGGTGTTGGTGATGAGGTTGGTGGCATCAACACGAGTGTCCAGTGTGTTGACTGATGCTTGAGGTGATCCCCAGACTGCAGTGGACTACTGCCTTTGGTTCTATCTATATCCGGACCGCTAACCTGCTATGGGCGCCTTCGGATGTCAGGTAGTGGTGATACAACACACACACTATGATGAGGAGCAACCTTGATAGATTGCTGCTATGCTGACTGTAACTAATGAGTACTTATGTTTCTAAAGTATTGACTAGTTGTATGGTGAGTAGAGTGGATGAGAATCCACTCGACCTTTGATGATGAGAAAGCATGGTTATATACCTCTTCACAGCATCGCCAGCGATGCTGCTCCTGCTCTCTCTCCAGAGAGTACCTTCTTCATCAAGTACTGTTCAGGGGCCTCTCCTGCTTGGCACCCCTGTGCCTCTTGAGTGGTGTCGACTCCTTCGACACTGCTCCTCCTCCTCATGACCTGGTGTCGGTGTCCTATACACTGCTCCTTCTCCTTTGACTGGCGACAGTTCCTTTGACTCTTGTCTCTCGAGCCCCTGAGTGGTAACCATCTGCATGCTCCTTGAGCTTGGTCCCCTTCGTGGCTGTGCCTTCTCCATGAGCTTGGTCCTCCTCATGGCTGTGCCTGGCCTTCCTCGCATATGGCTCAGTGCTCCTTTGCATGTGAGTCCATAGGAGTCCATGGTCTCCATGGAGACTGCACTACAACCATGCTCTCTACTGGTATCGACTAGCTCTTCGATACCTGTGCTCCTTCCATATGAACCAGTGACCCTCCTGCTTCTTGAGCATCCAGGCCCATGACAGATGTCTCCAATGACAACTGCTTTGGACCTTGTTGTTACATTGGTGGAGTTGCTCCAAGCAGATACTGTTGTCTTGAGAGCCTACATCGAGCATGTGTAAGCGGTCGCACACCTGAAACCTGAGTTTGATGATCTGTGTTGATCTTGGTGAGGTTGTCCAAGTGAACTCTTTCTGAACTGTTTCGATGAGAAGGACCAAGAGACTTGATCCTGGTAGGTTTTGGCTGACTTCCTTGAACACTCTGTTCAGAGGCTATGTGGCACGTCTGGGGATTTAGGTTGGGAACACTATAAGGTGTAGCCTTTTGTATCAGCATGAGTGTTTGTAGTGCTGTTTGTTGCTTGTGTCATGGGCCTGAATGCTCAAGAAGCAGGAGGGTCACTGGTTCATATGGAAGGAGCACAGGTATCGAAGAGCTAGTCGATACCAGTAGAGAGCATGGTTGTAGTGCAGTCTCCATGGAGACCATGGACTCCTATGGACTCACATGCAAAGGAGCACTGAGCCCATATGCGAGGAGGGCCAGGCACAGCCACAAAGAGGACCAAGCTCAAGGAGCATGCAGATGGTTACCACTCAGGGGCTTGAGAGACAAGAGTCAAAGGAACTGTCACTGGTCAAAGGAGAAGGAGCAGTGTATAGGAAACTGGCAAGCAGGTCCTGAGGAGGAGGAGCAGTGTTGAAGGAGTCAACACCACTCAAGAGGCACAGGGGTGCCAAGCAAGCAGGATAGCTCAAGGAGGACAGGAGTGGTGCTAGAGGGGCCCCCTGTACAGTACTTGATGAAGAAGGTACTCTCTGGAGAGAGAGCAGGAGCAGCGTCGCTGGTGACACTGTGAAGAGGTATATAACCATACCTTCTCATCATCAAAGGTTGAGTGGATCCTGATCCACTCTACACACACCATAACTAGTTATCACTTCAGCATAAGTATACATTAGTTTCAGTCAGCATAGTAGCAATCTATCAAGATTGCTCCTCATTGTAGTGCATGTGTTGTATCACCACTACCTGACATCCAAAGGTGGCCCATAGCAGGTCAGCAGTCCAGATATAGATAGAACCAAAGGCAGTAGTCCACTGTGGTCTGGGGATCACCTCAAGCATCAGTCAACACACTGGACACTCATGTTGATGCCACCAACCTTATCACCAACACCATCAACCTCATCATCATCAACACTCACACCAGACCTTGGTGTCATCATAACCTATGTATTGATATTGATTGTGCCAAGCTACCCCTGAATGGAGTGTCCACAGAGGTCAGCCGAAACCTACAATAGTATATACAATGAATGCCACCTGCTGTCATCACACAACTTGATAGTTGCCAAGTGACGTAGCTCATTGAGACTGATACCGAGACAATAGCTGTCACACAGTTTGATAGTCACCGAGTATCTCGACAGACCGACCTGGGTTTCAGGCACGAGACCCCTGACAGTCCCCCGCTCCTACATGTGGTTATCTCCATATGCTTCTCCTTCTAATGCCAGTATCTTCCTTCCTGAATCTCCTGATACTTGCTCATGTCAGCCAACTTGCTGAGGCATGCTGATCAGGCTGATCCTGATTGATCCTTGTGAGATTAACCTGGACCCCAGAGTTTGGTTGGTCTCATAAATCATATGTGCTACCAGCCTGATTAGCTTCATTGATTCCCAATGATTTGGTTGATGTTGTCAGGGGTCTCGCGCCTGAAACCCAGGTCGGTCTGTCGAGATACTCGGTGACTATCAAACTGTGCAACAGCTATTGTCTTGGTATCAGTGACTATCAAGTTGTGCAGTGACAGCAGGTGGCATTCATTGTATATACTATTGTAGGTTTCGGCTGACCTCTGTGGACACTCCATTCAGGGGTAGCTTGGCACGATCAATATCGATGTGTAGGTTATGATGACACCAAGGTCTGGTGTGAGTGTTGATGATGATGAGGTTGATGGTGTTGGTGATAAGGTTGATGGTGTTGGTGATAAGGTTGGTGGTGTCAACACAAGTGTCCAGTGTGTTGACTGATGCTTGAGGTGATCCCTGGACTGCAGTGGACTACTGCCTTCGGTTCTATCTATATCCAGACTGCTGACCTGCTATGGGCTGCCTTCGGACGTCAGGTAGTGGTGATACAACACATGGACTATGATGAGGAGCAACCTTGATAGATTGTGTCAGCGATCGCATGCCTAAAACCTGATATCAGTAGTAGTATCTGTACTATCACCGATTCTGTCGAATTATGTGACAGTGCTAATGGTATTTCGATTCTTAGTGAGATATGCAACAGAGCCTTCTCTGTCACCTTTCTTGTTAGAATCTGTAGCTGTATTATCGTTATGACAGATTTCGACTAACCACTGTGGACACTCCGTCCAGAGGTAGCTCGGCATGATCAAACTATAATATGACTCTAAGTGAGCTTGATACTGACACCAATGGTCTGGTGTGGGTATGGAATGTTGACGCCGACACGAGTGTCCAGTGTGTCAACTAAATGCTTGAAGTGATCCCCGGGCCACAGTGGACGTCTGCCTTCAGTTCTATGATTATCCGGACTGCTGGTTGCTATGAACCACCTTCGGACATCAGGAAACGGTGATACAACACATGCGCTTCGATGAGGAGCAATCTGTTGATTACTACTTATGCTGACTGTGAACTAATGTTACTTATTGCTTTGAAGTAATACTAGTTGCTTGATGAGTGTAGAGTGGATGGATCCACTCGACCATTCATGACAAGAAGTTATGCCTATATATCTCTTCGCAGCATCGCCAGCAACACTGCTCCTGCTCTCTCTCTCCAGAGAGTACCCTCTTTGTCAAGTATTGTACAGGTGTCTCCAAGGAGGCACCTCCTCTGTATCAGACCTTGTCCCTCCTGTCTTACCTGAGCTGTGTCAACTTCATCGACACTGCTCCTCTTCTTCATGTCCCTTTTGCCAGTGTCCTTTACACAGCTCTCCTTCTTCTGACTGGCAACAGTTCTCTTTTACTCCTGTCTTGTGGGCCCCTGAGTGGTAACCATCTGCATGTCACTTGAGCTTGGTCCCTCTCGCGTGTGAATTGTCGTACGGACAACCTTGCTACCGATCTCCATGGAATCTGCCACAAGGTCTCGCTTGTCGCAGTTTGTGATATCGACAATGCTCGTGCCGATTTCGCTGTGATCTGCCATAGAGCTGATTCTACTGCCGATCTCGGTGAACTCTGTCACAGCCCCGACGATCTACCCGATTCCACGATTCCTGCACTACCTTCATATGAACTTCGGTCCTTCCTCGTTCTGCGCACTCAGGCCCATGACAGATTGCTACTATGCTGACTGAAACTAATATATACTTATGCTGAAGTGATAACTAGTTATGATGTGTGTAGAGTGGATCAGGATCCACTTGACCTTTGATGATGAGAAAGTATGGTTATATACCTCTTCACAGCATTGCCAGTGATGCTGCTCCTGCTCTCTCTCTCCAGAGAGTACCTTCTTCATCGAGTACTGTACAGGGGGCCCCTCTGGCACCATGTCAGGGGTCTCGCGCCTGAAACCCAGGTCGGTCTGTCGAGATACTCGGTGACTATCGAACTGTGCGACAGCTATTGTCTCGGTATTGGTGACTATCAAGTTGCACAGTGACAGCAGGTGGTGTTCGTTGTATATACTATTGTAGGTTTCGGCTGACCTCTGTGGACACTCCATTCAGGGGTAGCTCGGCACGATCAACATCAATGCTTCGGTTATGATGACACCAAGGTCTGGTGTGAGTATTGATGATGATGAGGTTGATGACATTGGTGATAAGGTTGGTGAGTGTTGATGATAATGAGGTTGATGGTGTTGGTGATAAGGTTGGTGGCATCAACACGAGTGTCCAGTGTGTTGACTTGATGCTTGAAGTGATCCCCACACTGCAGTGGACTACTGCCTTCAGTTCTATCTTGATCTGGACCGCTAACCTGCTATGGGCGCCTTCAGACGTCAGGTAGTGGTGATACAACACACACACTATGATGAGGAGCAACCTTGATAGATTGCTGCTATGCTGACTGAAACTAATATATACTTATGCTGAAGTGATAACTAGTTATGGTGAGTAGAGTGGATGAGCCTCCACTTGACCTATGATGATAAGAAAGCATGGTTATATACCTCTTCACAGCATCGCCAGCAATGCTGCTCCTGCTCTCTCTCCAGAGAGTACCTTCTTCATCAAGTACTGCTCAGGGGCCTCTCCTGCTTGGCACCCCTGTGCCTCTTGAGTGGTGTCGACTCCTTTGACACTGCTCCTCCTCCTCATGACCTGGTGTCGACTCCTTCGACACTGCTCCTCCTCCTCATGACCTGGTGTCGACTCCTTCAACACAGCTCCTCCTCCTCAGGACCTGCTTGCCAGTGTCCTATACACTGCTCCTTCTCCTTTGACCGGTGACAGTTCCTTTGACTCTTGTCTCTCGAGCCCCTGAGTGGTAACCATCTGCATGCTCCTTGAGCTTGGTCCCCTTCGTGGCTGTGCCTGCTCCATGAGCTTGGTCCTCCTCATGGCTGTGCCTGGCCTTCCTCACATATGGCTCAGTGCTCCTTTGCATGTGAGTCCATAGGAATCCATGGTCTCCATGGAGACTGCACTACGACCATGCTCTCTACTGGTATCGACTAGTTCTTCGATACCTGTGCTCCTTCCATATGAACCAGTGGCCCTCCTGCTTCTTGAGCATCTAGGCCCATGACACACCACTCCTGTCCTCCTTGAGCTATCCTGCTTGCTTGGCACCCCTGTGCCTCTGTCGACTCCTTCGACACTGCTCCTCCTCCTTGCTATCCTGCTTGCTTGGCACCCCTGTGCCTCCTGAGTGGTGTCGACTCCTTCGACACTGCTCCTCCTCCTCAGGACCTGCTTGCCAGTTTCCTATACACTGCTCCTTCTCCTTTGACCAGTGACAGTTCCTTTGACTCTTGTCTCTCAAGCCCCTGAGTGGTAACCATCTGCATGCTCCTTGAGCTTGGTCCTCTTCATGGCTGTGCCTGCTCCTTGAGCTTGGTCCTCTTCTGCATGTGAGTCTGTAGGAGTCCATGGTCTCCATGGAGACTGCACTATGACCATGCTCTCTACTGGTATTGACCAGATCTCCGATACCTGTGCTCCTTCCATATGAACCAGTGACCCTCCTGCTTCTTGAGCATTCAGGCCCATGACACCGATCAATTTGGTGCACCCTTCATACACTGATCTGCTGACCCTGTGACATTACCATGATTGCCGTTGGTCAATTTGGTGCACCCTTCATACGCTGGCCCGCTGGCCCTGTGACACCTACCTCATCAGGGTGTGGAACCCAATGTCATCACTGTATGTCCCATTGTGAGATCTGTGAGAGAGGCATCCTCTAACCAGTTTCTGTAAGATCTGTCATACAGTCATGATACTACTGATCCCAACAGACTTTGCTGTAAGATCATGCTTGTACCGATTCTAACAAATTCTGTCATAGGGCCTCAATACTACTGATCTCGATGAACTCTGTCAGAACCCTTCATTTGCCCGATCCTGCGATTCCTGCGCATGGTCTTTCCTCATATGATTCCAGTCCTTCCTGCGCATCCGGTCCTATGACACAACACCACCTACAGTGAGAGACTGGACTGCAAGTGTTAAGGAACACCGCCTACAGTTGACGTCCGACGGTGATACAACACACACGTTCAAGATGTTGTTGCAAAGCTATGCTATTGCAATGATACATAACTACGAATCAAGTAAAGAGTAAGTAAAGTATAGAGTAGAGTGGATGAGGATCCACTTGTATGCTATGGTGAAATGAGAAATCCTCTGGTCCCTTATCTTGTGAATAGTATAGGGTTCGATAGAGCTTGAGGAGATAAAGAGAACGAGCAGTATATATACGACACTGCTCCTGCTCCTTCTGAGGGGAGCATGGCCTCTGCCATACTGCTCGTCCTCCTCCTGTTCCTCTCACTCGGTGGTTGGGTGAGATCGATTGACCTCATCAACCCCTAGGGGTCTCTCCTACTTGGCGTAGTCCTCCTCTTTGTACTCTCCTCATACGTTCTTTGTCACCATCAGCGATGGCGATGCTCCTCTTGCGCCGACTTCATTCGATGTTCTCAGGAGTTCCTCCCACTTCATGCGAATTGGCGTAAGATGACGAGGTAAGGCCAGCATAAGAAGCCGAAGTTGCTTGCGGAAGGTGGGCTGTCGAATCACATTCAAGCGTAACATCACACACAGAACACAGTTCGACCATCTACTTGGATACCCATTCCACTATATTGACCAAATGCTGCGGAATACGAGACTGGCGAAGAAAGAAACGAATGCGTAAACTATCTATTTGACGGGTAAGGACTACTGAAAAACGAAAGTATCTGTGATTAGAGGGAACCTCGATGGGCTCCCAACTTGTTGAGGATGTTGGAGCTGAGCTTCTTGGTCAAGATGTGACCTGCGGAAGGTCTCCTCTGCTTGCTGCCAAGAGCGTTAGAGTCAAACACCTGGCTCTGGTTCTGGTGAACAAAGGAAGCAGATGGCGAGGGAGCGGGAGATTGAGTTGCAGCAGAAAGCTGAGAGAGTGGGCTTAGGTGATGAAAGAACTCTCGTGCTGCTGGTTTGGCTGGGCCAACATCTGAGCGTGGGCTCGGGACCCGAGTCGGAGTCGAGTAGCCAGAGACCACTGCGCCTTCCTCAGGGATGGCAAGAGGAGGCGAGGCAGAGGGGCCGAATTCGATAGAACTCATTGCTGGACTGTTGGCAGCTGAGTGCGAGCCTTCTCCGCCAGCACGAGGGAGGTTCCTCTTGTGAAGGGAGGGAGAGGTGATCTTCTTCACCTCTTCCTCGGACATCTCGACGGAGCGAAGATCGGCATCAGCAGGAACGGTGAAGAATCTTCGTTGGGCCGGTATCTTCCTGTGGAGGCCCTCTGGTCGCAAGGCTGGTGTGGCACCTTTCTTGAACCTGGCAGCAAGCGGGACATCGACTGCAACGACGTGGGTTGTCGAGTTCTCCCAAACGCACGCAGCCATTACAGGCACCATGTCCTTGCTCTTACCCTTGCCGCCCTTCAGCATCACTGCCTGACTTCGAGCCTCGGTGAGCTTGAGGATCGAATCCCACAATGTCAGAGTTGCTGCAGCTCGAACCTTGTCGTAGTTGGGCTCGAAGTTCAAGGAGTCGTCGAACTGAGGGAAGAGCGTCGAGACCGGCACAGCTGGCATCTCGACACGCTTGACGAACACATCGACGAAGAAGCCGTACTCGCCTGTACCAGTACCCTCGCACGAACGGCAGTCCGACTTGAGGCTACCGTGGCAGGTGTTGCACTTCAGCACACCGGCACCTTGGCAGCGGCGACACCAGGCTTGGGCGCGAGTCTTCTCTCGGCCCGTACCAGAGCACCAGAAACATTCGTCAGCCTGTTCGGCCTTGCAAGTGACACAAGCACCGAGTCCGCTCCCGTCGCACTTGACGCAGCAAGCGTTGATGCGGAGTGAGGCAAGCTCGATTGTCTTCTTCGACTTGCCCTTGATCTGGGCTACATCAAGCTGTTCGTGGTGGATCTCCATCGACCATGGGCTGGGCATGGGTGGAAGGCGAGCGACTTCAGTTGGGGATCGGGGCGACACCTCACGCGACGGCTGCTGGTGAGAGATCACCGATGCAGAGGCGCTGTTCGTGTTGTGGTTCGAGGGGTTGAAGGGTCCGATCCGCTTCCAAGATGCTGAACGGGACTCCATTACCACCATTGCCTTGATCAATGAAAGACGCTGCTTGGCGCAGAACTGTACTCGAAGCGCTTGCTTACGCGCCTGACGCTCTTCAGCGCTAGTCTCTTGCTTCTTAGTGGGAGGTAGAGGCTGGCCATCTTCGCCAAACTCGCGAAGAGGAGCATCACAAAGCGTTGGGTAACGCGAGACAATGCTATTGACGCAGTCTTCAGCTGTGAGACGTTGTTCCGGGCTGTGGTTTATGCGATCGGAGTCAAATGTAAGTTGTCGTCGCATCAAAAGCTTGAGTGAGCAAGGCATATCCAGGTTTCAAGTGGTGGAGCTGAGAATTGCGCACAATGACATGTCCGCATGAACGCAGCTCAACGCCACGGTATGTCATGCCTTGCCATCCGCGGGTCAGATCCAAGCTGAGCCAACGGCGGCAATTAACAAAACCGGATCGGATCAAGTGGGTTGCAGTGAAACTTACATTGTTGTAGCGCTGAATGCGATGTCTTGAGGACCTAGTCGACTGAAAGGCTTGTTGCTTTCGTGGATAGCAAAGACCGAGGAGCTGTGTCGACTGAGCCCGAGGCTGTGAGCAGATTGCGAAGAAGCGACAGACTCGTTTTGCCAAGGAGTCATCTTTGCTTTACCTGCCGCACGTCTCAGTGCGTGAACATTGTCGCTGAGCAACTCGATCTCGGAGCTGTTGCCAATCTGGTAACGCGAGAAAGCTTCCTGTGGTTCGGCACGATACTGCGAGAGGTGTGCCTGGCGGAACTGAGGTCGAGAGGGCTGGAAGGGCGAGCCCAGCTGAGGAGCTTGTGCTGCTACAGGTGTGGCTTGGTTGGAAGACGGGGTCGAGGCTGGAGCCTGGTGTGATGGGATGGGCGATCGCTGGGCTGATGACTGAGGAATAGCCCTTTCGTGCGAGGCGGGACCATCAACCGGCTCGAACCTCTCGTAGCTGGGCTCGGGTGGTGTTCGGAGCTCATCGTCATTGGCATCACTGGAGCTCCTGCCCAAAGTTAAGCCATCAGAAGGAGGCGAGTCCCTGGTTGAAGATGCCTCGAGACTACCCTTGTCCTGGGAGTCTTGACTACGCTCGAATGACCTCTGATGGTGACGAGGACGCTGCTCTCTGTTGGCATTATTGCCATCCTGAGCAAGCGATAGCTGCGCATACGAGCTGTTGATCCAAGCTGTCTCGTTGGCATCGTCGACTGCCTTAGCACCGTAGTCCACGTTAGGATCCACGTAACTATCCGCTGTATATGCGTAATGATCCGCGCTGTTGCGTGTGAGTGCTTCGAGATTCATCCTGATCGAATCGGTGAAGCTGAGTGCACTGAGAACTTTGAGGTCTTCTTCGTCGTCCTTTGATCCGTGAAGATTGAGAGGAAGCGAAGCGAAACCAAAATTGTTGGTGTTGTCTTCGTCTTCTAAATGTGTTTGAGCAAGGCTCGAACTTTGAGGTGCTGCAAAGCCGTCGAAGAAAGAGCTGTAATCTTCTGCTTTAAATGCTGGCATGCTTGAAGACGAAGACGATGAAGTGCTAGACTGTCCTGGCTGGCTGTGCTGGTGACCGATGCGTTGTACGGGTGCAGCGAGAAAGTCGAGGTCGGGAAGCCTAGGCGAGCACGTGTTGCGAAGATCTAAAGTTTTTCGTGTGGTGGTATGAAACCTGGGTACACTAGCGCCGGAAAATGTGAGATTAGCGTGCGATGGTGATGGAGATGAGGAAGGAAGAGGAGAGAAGGTGCGAGCGGTAGCATTCGCCATCTGCTGGCTTCGATTGGCGGGAGATCGAAGCGCATGAATGGACGACTCTGGCGTGCGCATGCCTATCTCCGGAGGTCTATTCGTCTGTGCGGCAAGCATGATTGCGAGCGTCGAGACTGCTGTGCAAGGCTACTGATGGGTATCAGAGACAGGTGAAAAAAGGATGAGCAAGGGGCAAGCCAACGGAAGAGGAGAAAGTTTGGCGAGATAAGGCGATCGTCGATGCTCAGAGCATGTACAAGCTGCTACGATTGCCTTTGCAGAACAGCTCTATGCACGAGGAAAACGTTGCCTTACAACATGAGCAACAGGGCTTGAGTAGGGAGAACGTTTGTGCTGGCAGAAGATAAGGGCATAGAGGGTATTGTCCGCGGCTGGAGAGGGTGATGTCGTGGCGCAGGGTCGGGAGGAAGAAACGAGGGTGATGGTGATGTTGTAGGCTATGCTGGCATGATCAACGATGAGATCACAATAAAAGGTTGCCATCCGTGCTGCAAGGCGTTATGACAAAGCAGCGGTTACCGGGCAAGGAGAGTAGACCTCGAATAGCGCTCTCGCAATCGAACTGTGACTTCGTAGAGAGGGTTGCAACTAAGACAGACTAAAAAGTGCTAACGGTGACCGACTGCTATCTGATGATGGCAAAGTTTGCTACAGTGCAAACTTGAGATGAGTCTGAGAGTTGGCGGCCGTAGTCGAGGTGCTGAAAGGAGCAAAGGTGTAGGTAGGGACCAAGTAGCCTTCTCATGCGCAAGGTGCGAGAGAGGTATAAGCGGTTCAATGATGCTGCTCCACTTTCTGAAAATAGTAGACAAGGTTTTGAGGGTGCCGTAGGTAAACGAGTGATGTGACTTTGCGGCAGGGAGGCAGGGAGGCAGCAAGGTGGAGAGGAAGGAGGGGGGTATCAGACAGAACAGCAACAAACGCATGCTGAACCGCCTTGACAGCCCTCTCAATTCAGCAGAACAGAGCTCAGCTGAACGTGGACTCGCCTCGTGGTTTGGAAGTGTTGCAGATGTAAAACGGCACTTGTGTGTCGGCTGGATTCTCCTGTTCAGGCTTGGAAAGGAGACACAAGAGGGTCGAACAGCAGACTCTTCATTCTGTGCATCTCTCACGCCAACGCACAGATGTCGTTTCACCGACGCACAACTACTGCTGCCTGAAGGGTTGTGTTGGGTGACTGAGCGGCGCAAAGGAAAGAGCTTTGGTAGCCTAAAATAAAATATAGCCAAGCAGCAATACGCAAATCCTCGTGGCTCTGGCTCTGGCTCTAGCAAACACAAAAGAGAAATAAATGTTTTATACATCTTTATTTGTGTAAACTGTTTGTAGTTTCTAATCTGAAACCCGGATAATCAAACACGGCGCAAAAGGGTTTGTGTTTGCGACCCTCTCCGTATGCTCTGTCGACGACAAGCAATACATCAAAAGCCAACAAAGCAAGGCTCCTCCACCCTTTCTACACTCAGAAGACGACTTTAGAAATGGCTTCGGCAACGGTGACCGCGGTAGCGATGGAGAAAGTTTGAGCTAATGGCTTAGCTCGCAACGGCACACACGAGACCAAACTCGTTTTAACGAGGGAAAAAACCAACAGGCGAGCCGAAGAGATCAGATTTTGCCGTCTTGAAGGTGCCAAGTCATAGTCAAGTCTGATCATGTTCTGGTGTCTAGACATCGATCAGGAGGAAAGCAGAGCAAAGAAGAGCAAAGCAACCGGTTGTTTCCGGTGATCTCTCTTCCCAACTCTGAAAGCAAGATGCTATCATGACGACGGTATCGCATGAAAATAGTCTCCGTACTTGCAGCAGCTGAAACAGGCTAATGGGTGCTAACACAACGTGGTCGAAAGCTTTGGCAGTTGCAAAGTTTGACACTTACATTACTTGGTTCGCTAGACGGCTAATGCTTGAACACCAAGGTCGACAAATTGGCCCCGGTCCCGCAAGCAGAGATAAGGGTGGTAAGGCGGCTTTCGTCAGGATCACAAGTCACGTTACTACGGCGACGAAGATGTCGGATTTCAAAGACCCGGCGTTGAGGGGCGGTGATGGCAGGGCTTTGGTCAGGTATCTCTAGGAAGTGAGAACAATTTGCAATACCTCCCATGACCAAGCAAATGCTGCAAGATGTGTTCTATGCGAGTCCAGGACGGAGGTGTGGCAGGGATCATTCTCCTTTCGTATATCTCGCAGCATGCAAAGGAGCTTCTCTTGTTTCACAGCCAACTCCCCCTCCATTAAAGAATGGGAGCCAGTCGACTTGACCACTCTAAGAGCAAAGGATGTCAAGGAAGCGTCACCCTCGCTTGCAGATCTTTCTAGCGCTCAACGCCATGCGAGTACATCACAGCCTCGGTTACCTCCAAACCCAGTAGATCGGATTTTCGGACCCAGATCGAGTCGAAACATAAAAATTGAACGGGAAAAAAAAAAATGTTTTGTGCGTCAGATTGTAAGCGGACCGGTCTGAATGACTATACAGATCAGTTTGTCGTTTCTCCTCCTCGAACTGAAGAGAGACACATGGCGCAGATCTTGTCTCACACATACCAGTACAGTATGCCATGCTCAGCGTGGTCCCTCAATGATGGCGTGGCTGCACCCATGCCACGCCAGCCTGGGTTGTCTCAGAAAGCCAGGTGAACGTCGCGCAATCTTAGGTCACGCTGGCAGTTATGCTGCCAGATGAGAGCTTCGCTGTATTTCACTTAGCCTTGGGATCCAGTAACAAGAATGACAACGGTATGCGGTGCTATATTGAAGGCAGTATGAGTAACCTCTGGTGGATTTCCGTTGTGCCTGTGCGTGAGCGAGGTCCAAGTTTAGAAGCAGTGCTGGATGAATGATGAAACCATGTGCTTGCTCGCAGCGATGTTTGATCGGGAGATCAAAATGCAAATTGATCGAGATGAAAAGAGCAAAAGTTTTGAAAGTTGTCGGCTGAGAAAAGCAAAACTTTTGAAACATTTAGAGCTCGGAAATTCCAAGTCCGACCGACCTTCTCCCGACGCAGTTCACTGCGAAGAATGTTCTCAATCAGCCCCTTCAACGAGGTCCAAACGCATAGAACATCGTAGGATGTACAAAGCTTGAACCATAGGATGTACAGCTGGCTTTAGAAAGAAAAAAAAAGAAAAAGAAAAAGAAAAAAAAAAAAAAAAAAAAAAAAAAAAGAAAAAAAGGGTAAAGCAGCAGGAAAGGATGATAAGCTGTCAAAGAGGGCGGAGCGAAATGAACAGGCGCGAGCATGCAAAGAAGGGCGTCCAGGCGTCTAGGCTGGATTTCGCTGTCGGCGTGCAGCAAAGCAAACATTCCAGAAATCTGTGTAGCCTGTTGCACACCTCCCTGCAGATGAGCTTGCCGTGTTGTCCGGCTTCTTTCATTCATTCGTCCGGCGTCTGATTTCATTTGCATGCTTCTTGGGTTCCCCGCTGCGGTCTGCTGCACTACTGCAAAAGAAGACTCCATCATCTTTCTAGAACCTGCGGAGATAGAGGTGACTGTAGGAGCAATCTTCTGTTTTCCTTTCAATTGATTTTACCAGGTTCGCAGAAAGCTTTATTTTGGGGTTCTGACGACATCCGCAGGAAGCAACGTGCGCTCTTCTGTACAGCAAAACGTTTTGTTCTTTTCTGGCAGAGCGAAAGCAGCAAATGTCGCATGAAAAGCAGCGTGAGGTTGCGATGATTGACGCCTTAGTGGCTCGAGGTTGTGCGCCTGGTCGTCCAACATGCGGGTTAGCGTTTTCATGCTCTTCTGTTCATTCGAGATTGATAACAGGCAGTAGCTATATCAGGATATCGATATCGTCATGGTTTTGGTTGACCTGCTTGTCGGTTCCGATGGCATTCGTCCCTTAATTCATGGCATTTTCGCAGAGATTCAGATCAGACACGCCAAACGTGTCTGCCCTGCGCTTAAACCTTAGAGGGGAGCAGGACCCCATGCCCAGAGCCCCATGATAATGCTATGCACTGCTACATCTGAGAAGATAAAGGAGTCTTACGGATAGCCGTGATAAGGTTAATCCAACAGTTGTGCAAGGCTGTCCCTTTGCAGCCGAGAGGGGGAAGCGAGGAGCATATAGCCATACAGGCCTTCGCTTCCTAAAGTGATCTCCATGCAACAGTGGCCTTTACCTGAACGACATTCGCAACATTGTAGCGTAACGTATGGGATGCCCACTCCTTGTATGACCGCATCGGAGTTGGATTTGTTCAAAGGCCCTCGGCTGTCGGGTTCAACTCGTGAGTTGACGAGCTGCTCGGTACTGAAAGACGAGGTGTTCAGCCAGTTTTTCGCCTACACTTTCATACGCATGGTGCTTCTATCTTTCGCAACCTCACTCTGTCGGCACCCTGTCAGGATCGTCCATCTCAGCGGCTCATCGCGGCTTGGAAGGCTTGAACCCCAATGTGATCGGCAGTCGAAGTGAGCGTTGTCGGGTTGATGCTCATCCAGGTCGGGCCCACAGTTGTGGGTTTCAAGGCTTCATGAAGCCAATTAATCTCTTTTAAGATGGCAAGGTAAGGCCAACATGAGAAGCCGAAGTTGCGTGGGGAAGGTGGGCTGTCGAAACATATTCAAGAAGCTTCCGCTGGGCAGACTTGTTCACATGATTCTCAATACTGCTGATTGCCGACTGTCAATGGCAGATGAGTATTGTACTGCTCAACATTACCTGTGAGCCTGAATGAGCTCTTGTGCTTGCCTCGTCTCCCACCTGGCTGTCAGTCATGTCTTTGAACGCAACTCTTTTCTTCGGTCCACCGAGACAATGTTTGCCGTCACCGTTGGATCTGATGCCAAGAGAGCACAAGGTGGTGCCCTGCCTTTCGCTTCTGCATTCGCCTTTCTCAGTCCTGACTACGTTCTCTGCCAGATGGGCCGAAGCTTAGACGTTCTGGCGCAGCATTCTCACATGGATTTGTAGCGTCTGCATCGGCACTCTATACGGCTGCAGAAAGTTGAGTTCTCTCAGTCACGCAACGAAGCGATGGAAGATGTCGACCGGCTCCGGGTGGTCATGACCTTCTAAGTACACCCGGCTTGATTTGTTTCAGACGGTGGCCGAAGTTGCAAACTTGCCTCTGGGTGGCGCATCAAAGGACGTTTCTGTTGCAGCTTGCAACCAAAACTGGACTCTCGTGGGGTTGGACTCAAAGGCTCTGAATCTCTCAGGCGTGCTCGCAAGCATGTCTTTCCAACACGAGGATGGCTCGGCCGCAGGTAGGAGGGTCTGGATCGTTCACTGACGACGAGAACAAGGATGGCATTGAAGCGACTGTTGGCGACCAGCGGCTGGCTTCGATGATGAAGCTGAGTTCCGACGACAGCAGCCTACACTACTCTAATCGCGAGCCCTTTATGTTGATGCGATATCGAGAGCTCAAAGCATGAGGATGGACGGAAATCGGGACTTTCCAAAAACAAACCCGATACGATTAGACGAGGCTGAAATAGACGAGAGAGGCAAGCAGACGGTTTTGCTCAGGCTATAGGCGAACGAGGCTAGACGAGCGACAGACGGTGATGGTCGCTGCAGTGGCCATCTGACCCTCCTTTGTGGCTTGAGTGTGAGATTGAGCGATTGCAAACAAATCAACCCGCAACAGAGAGTGCAGTCACGAGACCGTGCCGGCAGCTAAGTTAATTTCAGCTTGCTCCACATCAGACTGCAGCCTCGAGCGCCAACGCCTGCCGACACCGCCGTAGACAGAAATAGCAGAAATCAATAATGATACTTTTGAAAAAGTCACACTGACACTGTCTTCACCTGCCTTGTAAATGCATAATGTGATTGTACGACCTCGTGGTGTTCTGGCTTGCGACAGGCGGAAGCAGCTGTCTGCTTGACTTGGCTAAACAGAGCGAGCAAACAAGCCACATCCGCCAACCCGGCCTCGGAAAGCCCTGACCTGACACGGCAAACGCAGCAGACAGTGAGTCCCTCGATCTGAGCAGCGCTTGAGCCTTCCCTGTGATTAATGAGCTTGACTGTCGATCCAAACCCTCGAATGTCATTTGGTCAAGCAGAGCAATCACACCTGCATACAGATTGAGCTCAAGAGTACGGTGACCCCTCTCTTCCCAGCGATCCGGGCAGATTAATTCAATTTACAGCCGCCGCACGCTCGTCTGTTCAGCTGAGCTCCTTATCCTGCGCCCGAAATCGCAGACTCGGTTGGGATTGCCGGCTTGAGAGTGAGAATGGTAAGCGTCCTGGTGTGATAGGCTCGATGAGCGAAAGGGGTTTTGCTTCGGGTCTCAGTTGACAGTTCGGGCTGTGTGGTGATTGCGGTTCATCTGTTCCTGGTATGCAATTTCTAGGGCGCTTCTCTGCGTCTCCTCTTCCTCCTTGTCGGCTTGAAGGTCTACTTGGCGCTGCTCGAACTCTCTCTTCTCCTTACCCAATCAATATAACCAACCCTCTTCGCTCCATCCTTCCCGACCAAATCCTTCATCCACTCCATACCGTCAAGTCCATATCCTTCACTCCATCTCTTCGGGACTCGTTTTGTTTCTGTTAGCCTGCACACCGCAACTATCCCTCGTTGCAAATCAGCTTTCTCTCCTTTGCTCAGCTTTAGCAGGTTCTGCCTCGAGATCCTATCACAACCTCGATTAGCGACCAAGCAGAAAGCTCAGCAAACCACGGCGTCTCAACATCTTGGTTCGTAAGATCAGCTTGGCACTACATTCAATCAGCTTCTCTCGAGGTCTCTGCTTGATCTAGACGCTTGGATACAGGATCGCATATCCCATACCACAGTCACTTGCACACGGATCACCGCTTCGAAGAGATTTGCAAAATGGCTCCTCAGATTCTCACCTCGATTTACCCGCCTCTGCCCAAGGCAAGCTACTCGAACATCTTTGACTATGTCAGCTCAGAGTCCGAGTCTTGGCTTGCCGACAAGGTCCAATTCGTTCGCCAGGATGGAAAAGAATACACGTAAGTGCCTACACACACCACAAGCTCTTAGCAGCCTTCTCTGGCTTTGTTGTCTCTCGTTCGTCCTAGTCTCTCGTCGTGGGGTTCCTCTCTCTATTGCCATGCTAAGGCCGTCGTGGCCTCAGTGATCGGCTTTGGATGATCGCTCTCCATTGTCTCGTATGGATCATTCGCTTTACCCTCCTGGCTCGGCTGCCACCGACGCACCACAGATATATGGTCTCTACATCATGCTGCTGCCTGTCGTGGATCTGTGGATCAGGGCCAATAGCGATGTGCTTTGTCAGCATTGAAGGTTGGAAGGGAAATGCTGGCCCCTGCAGAAAGCACGCCGTGCAAGCCGAAGAATATGGGCTGCAGTCGAAGCAAGCACCCTGTTGGATGCTGCTCTACTTTGGGCTGCCTAGCTGCACTCTGTTTGCTTGCTTCTTCTGTGCCTTGCTTGCTCTGATCCAAAGGGCTTAGCGCGAAGCCGTCCATCATATCGCCGACTGCACGATTGCAGGTTGTGGCAAGAGTAACCTCAGTTTTGCTTTTCTGGCAGCAGCAGAGCGCGCGTCTTTGGCGATTTGGTGAAGATCCGGCACTGGAGCTGCTCTCTCCCTTTTTGCCCTTGCGCTGGAGAGCGACGTCAAAGCGTGAATTGTTGGTTGCAATTTTCAAGCGGAGTTGCGGCGACATCTCTCTCTCTCTCTCTCTCTCTCTCTCAACACTTCCAAGCGAGGATCGCATTACGGATCGGCTATCAGGTTTCAGCAGCCACTCTTTCCTCCACACCGTTGCTCGTAGGCTGTTGCTTTCCTTCAGCGTGCTTGGCAAGGACGAGAGAAGGAGCAAGAAAAGAGAAGGAACAAGAAAAGAGAAGGAGCAAGAAAAGAGAAGGAACAAGAAAAGAGAAGGAGCAAGAAAAGAGATTCTCTTTGTTTCCAAGCCCCTCTCGAAGTTTCTTCTTGCTATCAATATCAATTCAACCTCCGCTCACCGGTCAAAGAGAAGATGACGTTGCGGTAGTCACCGTCCAACCATTTGGTTGCTTCAAGCCATGATTGGTGGCTCTTGTTGGTATTCACTTGGCATCGCCTCGCCTAGTTTGGGCTTGAGCAAGTGATGCGGGGGGAAGCGGGACCGAGTTGCGATCCGGCCAGTCTTGATGACTGGCGATGGCGCCAAGAAGCTTGTGCTAGGCAATCTCGTACTCTGAGACCCGACGACCAGTGATGACGACGACGACAACCATTGGCTCCTTGCCAGACCACCAAATTTTGGGGACCTCAGTTGTCCACCATCGCGCTATGCAACGAGCTGCATGCTGATACCCTCTCCGATTTATTGATTTATTGATTTATTGATTTATTGATTTATTGATTTTTTTGATTTTGATTTTTCACGCCTTTTCCCTCGTGGACCCTCTTTTTCGCCAATCTCGATATGCACCCGATCACGCGCCGATTTCACATTGACCATATCGACGTCCACATACCACAACATCAAACGTGACATGATGTCCCAATATGACATTGCAGTCACGGCCAAGTCGTCCGCGAAGCCCGCCGTCTGGCCTGGACTCTTCGACACAAGCTTGGCCTTCAGCCTCGTCAGCGTGTCGGAGTGATCTCGCCCAACCACACCATGTACCCCATCTTTGTCTTTGCTGCCGAAGTTGCCGGTCTTGTTACTGCACCCGTCAACCCTGCTTTGACCGTCGGTGAACTGGCCAAGTCTCTTCAGCAGGCATCTGTCGACATTGTTCTCGCCCATCCTTCTTGCCAGGAGAACGCTCGTGGTGCTTGGGAGCAGGCTAAAGCTGGAATGGGACGACCCACTTCCGCTCCTAACGCCCCTAGCGAGGGCTTGTTCATGTTCGACGATGCCGACAACCTCGTCACTGGTGCTCAGGGTGAGCCTGATCTCCGAGCCGAAATCACCGATAACCAACTCGAATCTTACCGTGTCGAGAACCCCGCCACCGAAACCGCCTTTATTATGTTCTCCTCCGGCACTTCGGGTTCCGCAAAGGGTGTCGAGATTACACACTCCAACGTGATCCACTCTGTCATGGCTCTCGTTGCCACTCACGACGATTATTTCGGACAAAAGGATGTTCAGGTTGGATTCTTGCCCTTCTACCACATCTTCGGTCTCATCAAGCTCATGCACCACCCCTTCTACTTGGGTATGAAGATTGTCATCCTGCCCAAGTTCACTCTCGATCTGTTCTGCGAGAAGATCCAGGAGCACAAAGCAACAGCATCGTTGGCTGTTCCTCCTGTGTTGTTACAGTTGGCAAAGAGTCCTGTTCCCGAACAGTACGACATGTCGAGTTTGAAGTGCGTCCAGTGCGGTGCAGCTCCTCTTTCCGCTGAACTTTTCCAACTTCTTGAAAAGCGTTATCCGGGTATGGCCGTTCTCAATGGATACGGCTTGACCGAGTCTTTGCCCTCGGTCATCTGCTCTGGTCCTAAAGAGTTGCCCAACTCTAAGGGTGCTGCTGGACGTATCGCACCTGGTGTCCAAGTCCGTCTCGTCTCCGAAGAAGGTCACGATGTTGGTCAGGAGCAGGGTCGTGAAGGAGTCCCCGGTGAAGTCTGGCTTCGAGGCCCCACAATCATGAAGGGATACCTCGACAGCGCAGAAGCCACCCGCGACGCTTTCACTGAAGATGGCTGGTTCAAGACGGGTGATGTTGCTATCATGCGCAACACCGAGATCTTTATCGTGGATAGGATCAAGGATTTGATCAAATTCAAAGGTTTCCAAGTTTCTCCTGCCGAACTCGAGGCTGTTATCACTTCTCACCCCGACGTTGCAGATGTAGCCGTTTTCGGTGTTTGGTGTCCAGCTCAGATGACCGAGGTCCCCCGCGCCTGCGTCGTACCTAGGGACTTGAGTCTGTTGAACAAGCCAGAGGAGTGTATGGAATTGGAAAAGAGGGTCAGGGGACATATGGAGAAGCTTGTTGCTGCGCATAAGAAGATTCGAGGTGGAATGGTTTGGGTTGCCAGCATCCCCAAGTCTCCGAGTGGAAAGATCTTGAGGAGGTTGTTGAGAGACGAGGCTGCAAGGCAGGCGGTGAAGGCTGATGAGAAGAACAGGCTCACGAGTACACTCGTCACGAGCTTGTCGGCGGTTAATACTCAGAACAACGGAAACAGCAAGGAGGAGGAGGACCCGAGGGATAACATCTTCAGCCCGATTTCGCCTGTTGCTGCTGCATAATGCCTTTCTTCTTGTCGGTCTCTATAGTTTTGTTGCGTATCGTATCGGTTTCTTGCTAGTTCTGGCTTCTTCTTTTGCATCTTCTGTTTCTCGGACAATCTCTTTTTGATACGCTGCATCTGATCATATTCGCTGTACCTTTATCAGTCCCCCGCTCTGATCGCAATCGAATCCTAATTGAATCTAGGCGTAAGTGTTTGTCGTGTCTCTGTGTCGTGTGGCAAACGAAGCTCAGTTTTGGTGCGCTTGGTTTGACTGTGTGGCGGGTGCACATAGACTTACTCTTCGTCTCGACTTGTGACTAGCTCTGCACTCTCCGCTTTCGCTCCGGACTCAGACAGAAGGATGTCTGTCGTAGCTCACCCTTAAACACACACCACTGATTCACACAAAAATTGGATAACAAAAACAAAAGAATATCTATATCTGCAAAGCTATCACATCACCATCGATCGAGCCTAGACACGGATCCATTTGAACATCCAATTAGCGACCCACAACCCAGCATCGTCCACAATCCGACTATACACTTCTGCCAGTACGACACTTGCTGGGATTAATACTACGAACAAGAGGGCCAGGATACGACCTTCACCTGTCCAACCGAGTGTTTGCACCAAATGATGTCTCAATAGACTTCCCAAAGATAACATTAAAGTAGCTGTAATCAGTGTGATGCTGAAACTCCACCTTCCCATGTACGCTAGTGGTTTGCTGCTTAGAATACGTTTGGTAGCGGGGGAAATTTCGATAAGGTAAAGAACTCCGGTTGCTACAAGCCAGTTATCATAGCGCGGGTAAGCAACTTGAGCAGGATCAAGAGAATAGTTGAGTTTGCCAGTATTTCCATCTACGTGTGCGATATATTCTCTATTTGCAGCTTCTGGGAATGCAGCAATGCACAAATACTTGAGCAAAGTGCCCCCAAAGAGGAACACAGCTCCAGGGACCCAAGTTGGGCAGTGGCGGGAACCTTGTCGGTTGATAGGAATGCCCTTTTTAGGCAGCAGTTGCAGGTAGATTGTACTCCATTCAGCGAATAGTAGGCCTGTTAGGGTATACCAGCTCCATTTACCCACCCAGGCAGTAGTGAGGATTAGAAGGATCATTCCGAGGTTCTTGTACCTTAGTACTGTGTAGGGTAGGGTGAAAGCTAGGATGATTAAAACGTATGTCTGTTGGAATAGCACGGGGATGATCCAAAGTGTGGCGCCAGGGGGGATGAAGAGCGTAGCGCGGGCAGTTTTGTAGTATGTAGGCGTGGAAAAGAAGAAGAAGATCGAATTGAAGAATTCCAGGGCGGAGGTCCACTGTGCGGGTGGCAGTGCGGCTTGGTTTTGCAATGTTGTCGAAAGCTCTGATGCGTAACGGAATCCGTTCACGCCGATGACAAGCGTAACTAGGGAAAGGGTGACGACAACGGGGATGAGAAAGCGCAAGGGGCGTTTAAACGCAGGTCCTGCGAGTCCCGTAGCTACTCGCCGTTCGATGAATGTCTGCAGGCTGCCTCGACCAGAGAGGATGACGAAGAATGCTGCTTGCAGTTCTCCGTCGAATAGAAGTGGGGAGAGGACTTTTCGCAGTACAGTCTGCCAGGCGGGTGCAACGGAAAGGAATGAGGCTGGATAAACTCCGTCCATGTCCCTGTCTGCAACCACTGCCGGAGCGAACAAGCGGAAGAAGGTCCAAATCAATACCTGTAACCCCAAGATCCCCCTCACTCCTTCCAAGTACGCTAGACGAGCAGAACGATTAGGTCGACCCAAATCATTCTCCTTATTAAGCGAGAAAGGCCGAGAGGTAAGGCCAAACCTTTCATCCGGTACAGAAGGGCTTGTTGTACCAGGGAGAACGAGGTATCCTCGATCGTCGTAGACTGGATCCGAAGAGGAGTCGAATTCCGACTTCAAGGTTGGTTGCTTAGGTGCATGACGCGAGCCTCCTCTGCGAAGGGAGAGGTCGCGACGGATGGTTGTGTCTGCGTTGTTGGCGGTGGGCGCCGGTTTAGCCCAAGCCGAGTGTGGGTTGACGGATAGCCTCTCCTCTGCTCCAAGCTGGTTTTGTGTGGTCGTAGGAAGGGGGTTGTGTTGCGTGGTTTGGTTGCCGCTGCGATCGAGTGATTTGCGCGTGGCCGGTAGCTCGGCGGTTAGGGTGTAGTTCGAGGCCATGTTTGCAACGCCTCTATGGGTCCGTATCCAAGGGAGAGGTGGTGTTGGTGGTGGTGAGAAGAAAGGACGGTTGATGGCGAAAAAGTATTGTTCTCTCAAGATGAGAGTGGTAGGTGGCAGGCTACAAAATTCTAAACAGCGTACAAGTCTCAGCTAACAGAAAGAGAGGGAGGGTGTATGCACAAGAATGAACAGCGTGCAGCGCCCTCTCCAGCTACACAACGACGTTGGAACCCCTTCGACGCTTGGTCTGAATTCGAGAGTCCAGCATCGACTAGGCAAAGTAGTCTAGTCTGAGCGTCTCTAAGCGAACAAGGGGACTGGGCTTTGCACGCACCTCTCAATGATAACCTCGCGGACCGCAGCTTCAACTACTCAAACCTCTCTGTTTGAGTGTATTGAACCATGTTTCTCCATTTAACTCCCTCATTCTGACTGGAAGATAGACTCCTATCAGGACAAGTGCGTTTGTGCGTGAAGCATCAGTTGTTTCGGAGAAAAGTCTGCTATCGTTACACATACGAGACATTCCGAAGCCGAGCGAGAGGTGAAAATCGTGACGCAGGCCGCCTAACCCCTTTTTCTTTTTTTTTTTTTTTTTTTTTTTTTTTTTTCGCGCCCTGAAATAAACTACTGCGTAAGGTTAGAGACTTCTGGGTCCGCTGTCACCTCCAGCTTGTAACGCCCACTACTCTCGCCTATTTTTTTCTTTTTTCTTTCTTTTTTTTTTTCTTTTTTTTCTCTTTTTTTTTTTTTTTTTTTTTTTTTTTTTTTTTTTTTTTTTTTTTTTTTTTTTCTTTTTTTTCTTTTTTCTTTTTTCTTTTTCTTTGGTGGTGGGCGCAAATTTGTAGATCTCGCTTCCCTCGAACCGAAACTCTCGCACTTAGCACCTACTCTTGCAGGAAAAGGAGCATACAGTAGCGATATCGCTTCACATCGCCGAACAAATCATCCCCTATCATACAACGGAGCTGCTGGTGTTAGATAAGGAGTTTTGAAGGCTTGCGATCCTCTAGGAAGATGCATCCTCGGATCTGAGGGTGACTAGATTGCATGGAGAAGGTCTCGCCTGGGAAGTGTTCGGCCTCTTGGCTCGAAGACGGCAGACAAGTAGATGGTGTGTACCCTTATCGTTTGTAGCTGGGCGAGTGCCGGAGTATACTTCCGCGAGTCAAGATGGATCGGCGAATCGCTCCAAGGGCCGACTGCTCTTGATCATACATCGTAAGAGGCTTGCTCGCGCCGAGGTGATGGTGTTGATCCGCAGAGATCAACGTTCGACACATGGTACACTTTTGTGCCAAGGCCAAGTCTTACCACACCAAGCCAGTGAGGACAAAGAAAAGCGTTGAAGCATGGTGCTTTTCTCGGAGCGTTCAAGGTCAAGCGACGTCTTGGATGAAAACCGCAGAAGAGACAGGGTTCATGTATGACAGTATACATCAAACAGCGGCAGCGCTTCCCGTTTGTCGTCTTCTTTTGGCTTGCAGTCTTCGATGCTCCGCTTTCGACTTGCCACTAGCAGTGAGAGTCCTCCGCACTCCCGAGCGAGAAGATTGATGTTCACCTCCACTCCGCCGATAGCCTTGGGTCTTTCCTGATCACTTCCTCTCGTCCATCTTTTCTCTGACCACCACCCGGTCACACCACACTCCAACTTTCGAGCCGTTCTTGACAAGATATCAGGACCTCGACAGACACGCGAAGGTAGAACCAGGACCACACTTACTTCACACGAACCCTTCCTTGTCATTTGGAGATAGATCAATTATCAACCACCAGCATGTCGGTTTACGGTGCACCTCAACGAGGCCGCAGCGTCGGTACAGAAGCGAATCTGTACTCAGACAAACCGCTCTCCAGCGGTGCTGCAACCCCAATTCTCGCCACTCACCACACCACCTTCCCTCCACCACCGGCTCAACATCGCAACAAGTTCTCAGTATGGTGGCACTCCCAGTCTCGCACGCGGAAGATCCTCTACCCGCTCATCCTCTTCATCATCATCCTCGCCATCATCCTTGGCGTTGCACTCGGTCTCACCGTCGGTAAACCAAAAGAAGATCCCAATCCGAGCTCCGACTACGTCCCAACCACCATTTCCGGAAACCGCACCTCACTCCTTCAACCCGGTTACTGGTACACCGCTCCTAAGGACGGAACCAACTTTGCGTGGACTTCTGCTGATCCTCAACTCGGCAACTATCATGCTGAAAGCCAAGGGGTCGATATCATCATCAATACCTCTCAGAGATTCCAGGAGATTGACGGATTTGGTGGAGCAATGACCGATAGCTCCGCGTATCTGTTGACGAGAATGAAGCAGAGAGAAAAGAATCTGTATGGACGGGTGATGGATTTCATGTTTAGCAACGCTACGGGGATCGGGATCACAAGAGCTAGTCTGGGTGCGAGTGACTTTTCTATCGGTCAGGAGTATTCTTATATTCCTCAGCCACTGGAGTTCGCTGCTGCTGCGAACCAGCTTAACAATCCGAACTCGCTGCTAAGTAGCTTCAGCGTTGATGGAACACAGTCCAGCCAGTACACAATCCCTGTGTTGGTGGATGCGATGAAGCGCAACCCCAACCTCAAAGTCGTACTGACACCCTGGAGTCCACCGGCGTTCATGAAATCAAACAACACCATGAACGGCGGTCGACTTCGCAACGATGACTTCATTCCCCTTCTTGCGCAGTACTATGCTCAGGCAGCCAACACTTGGACCCGCGCAGGTGTTCGACCGTACGCGTTGACGCTGCAGAATGAACCCTCGCATATTGCTTCGTACCCTTCAATGGGTATGGATTCCTCTCAGCAGTCCAAGTTGGCTGTGGCGCTCAAGTCCAAGCTCAGTCAGAGCGGGTTGAGCGGAGTGCAAGTTTGGGCGCACGATGACAATTATTCTGGCTACGACAACGCTGCTGCTATTGTAAACGATAACTCTTCCGCGATCGATGCAGTTGCTTTCCACTGCTACCGTGGTGACCCTTCCCAAATTGCTCAGTTCGAGAGCGCCCTTCGTGGCGCAAGGAAAGACGTCCACATGACGGAATGCACAGGTACCAGCAGCCCAGCAACTCGTTGGGAAGGAATACAAGGCTGGCTCAACCGTGTCTACTGGCCTGTTTCCCAGCAAAACTCTCGTAGCTTTATCCAGTGGAATATCGCCCTTGATTCTGGGTTCGGCCCTCATCTCAAGAGCTCCTACTGCTCAACCTGTACAGGTTCTTTGACCGTTTCGTCGCAGCAAAACCCGTCTGATCCATACGTGGACTTCAACGATCAGCTCTACCTCAACGCACACTTCTCTGCCGCCACTACGGATCTGACCAATGTTGGAGGAGGTAAAGCCGTGAGAGTGGGTGCAGAGCAGGGTAGCCAGCACTCGTTGCAGAGTGTTGATTGGGAGTGTTTGGATTGGTTAGCGTACGCAGCACCACTCAGTGCAAATGAATTGCAGAATGCAAGCAACCAGAACAATGCTCAGCCTACAAGGAGGCTTGGATTGGTGATTGCCAACACTTGTGAGGATACGAAGAATGTTGTCGTTTCAAGTGATGGTAGGAGAACGACATTGCCTGTCAGGAACGGAATGTCTTCTTTTGTTTGGACTGCTCCCTGACAAGGCTTGTCTTTGCTGAGGTAAACGATCCAATATGATGATGCAAGTTGATGTAAGCCAATATGGAACGGATCGGGGGAAACCGATCTGACCGGAGATGGAGCAAGCACCGATCCTATCAGAGATCGGGTACAACACAGTCGCGCTCGTTGTCAAGCTAGGTCATGAAGTAGCATACTCCCACGTTCGGTATGAGCCTCACAAATGTATATATATCAAGCTGAGAACACTAGGTTTTCACCACGTTCTTCAGTCAATTGAGTATATATGTTTCTGTCTAAACCAGCAGTGACATCGTACTTAGACTCTCCCCGATCGCCAATTATCGGGACCAAAACATCTTCACCTTCAACAGTCTTCGGCTTTGATCTTTGCTCTCTGTACTCTTCTTGTAGCCTGACGTTATTTCACAATCACACTTGTACATCAGGATTTTCAGTCTGTTGAAAGTATGCGGATGCAATTCGATAGGATGCTAGATTGAGCACTGCATGTGACATGCAAAATGAGATTGTATTGTGGTTACGTCCTTCTAGCGCGCTTAGTCTTTCCACTTCCACCAGCCTCTCTCTTCTCCAGGTTGACCTGATTCCTCCTCTTCCTAGCCATGTGATTTTTCTGATTCCTCTTCTCGTTCCTCTTCGCCTGCAACTCTGGGTTCTGAATACCCCTCATCAATCTCTCTGTCTTCCTCTGTTCCCGCTTCGCCTGCTGCCTCCTCTTCAGCGTCGAGTAGACCTTGTTGAACTTGCTCACATCGACCAGACCCTGCAAGTGGGTTTGCACCTCGATAGCGAGTGCCTTGAGCTCGTCACCACCATGCAGCGAAGTTTGAGCGGTGGAGGGAGACTCGACGAGTCGGATAATTGGGGAAAGGAAGAGCGGAAGTAGATGGGGAAGGAGATCGGAAGGAAGCGAGGCGGAAAGGGCGGCAAAGAAGCGCAGGATGGAGGAAGGTGCAATGGTCCAGTTCTCCGGCTTGGATTGAGCGAGAGAGAGACGCGCTTGGAAGGAAAGACGAGAGACAAGCCAGCGCAAGGGATCGTTAGCAATTGCGGTTGGGGCGTCCATGGCTGCTTCACGGTCTTTGGCACCTTCGACCATTGATTCGTCATCTTCCTCTTCCTCTCCTTCCTCGTCGTCGCTAACATCGTCGTCTTCCTGGTCATCAGACGCTGTCTTATCCTCAGCCTCCTCATCTCCATCGTGAGAGCGCTTCTTTGTTCCGTTCTCAGCTTCAGCAGGAACATCCTCCAAAACGGGTCGGTCCACAGGGAAGAGCGCAAACGAGCGACCCATCCATACTAAGTTCTTGACGACTTGCAATGCCAACGTATCATCAAGCTTATCAGATCGCAGCTGCAAGCATGACTTCTTGGCAGCATCCACAAGCGCGGGCAGACTGGCAACGGGATCCTGTTGGATCGGAACCATGTTAGGCGAGGATGGCTCACGAAGTGCGTAAAGCCCCCCGAGCATGCGCGACGAAGAGATGCGGACCCATTTGTGGGGGAATAAAAGAAGTCTTCGTACGGCATTGTTGGCTTCAGCGGCCTTTGCATCACCTGCACCAATGATCGATGTGATCCGACCAAGGGTCTGCAGCGAGTGGTAGGGCAACTGCCACTCGAGCTCGATGCCTTCGAATCCGAATGCGCCGGCGTCAGAGTTCTCTAGCGACTCGAGATCGTCTGCACAATCCATCAGGACCTTTGTAACGACGTCCAGCGCCTTTTCGGCCCAGTCCGCGCCTCGATTGGGCAATGCTTCGAGCAGCAAACCGTAAATCTGCACTCCGACGCGTGCCAACTCAGGCTTAGCCTCCTGACGAGACCAAGCATCGACCATGAGCGCCGTTTTGTCCTGCTGGACGTTCGTCATTGCCTTCAACAGCGTTCTGATTAGCGAAGCCGACTTTTCGCGACACTTTGAGCTGCTGTCGTTGGCGAGTACCATGGCGAGCGCGACGAAGAGCATTTCTGCATACTCCTGCAAGAGCTCGTCGCCGAACTTGTTGAGGATAGCATCGGTGATTTCGAGGACCGACAGACGCCCTGATTCGTGTTCATATGCCATGTTCTTGGCAAGGAACCCGATCTGGTTACGCAGACGCTGCTTGCCTTGCGGGTAGTCGAGCAAGAATTGCAAGTAGGTCGAACGGCAGAGATCTCGAACTGAGTCGCTCTGGTTGGTGACCATCATCTCAGCCACCTTGTCCATGGTATCGTACACTTCGGAAACGACCAGACGGCGGCTGACGATGGCTCGGAGCAGACCAAACAAAGTGCCTTGCACCGCAGGCTCCTCGAGATCGGGTGCGATGAGCTTGAGCAGACCGCTGAGGTGGGTCTCGGACAGAGAAGCTTGCTTGCACTCGCGCAGAATGGCAGTGAGGGTACGGAAAGCGGTCTGCACGATCTGCGACTGTGGCGAGCCGTACTGATGGATGATGCCGAAGATCTGCTTGATGAACACGGGCAGTGCCTTGTCAACACGTGAGACAGGCACCTTGACGATCTGAGCAATGGCACGCAGCGACAACTCCAGCACTGAAGACTCGTTTGCGTAGGCTGCTTCACCGACGATGTTGACCATGGCGTTGAGCTTGGCTAGCACCTCCTCATCCTGGAAATCAAAGCGCTCTCGGCGCAGCGAGGTGACGAGCATCTCGAGACCAAACGCGACAAACTTGTGGGCGTTGCGCGAGTAGTGGTCCTTGCCGGCAGTAGCGCCTTCCTCGACATCCTTGCGCTTGAGGAAGACAGCATAGTTGTACAGCGTTGCCGACTTGTGTCGGGACGCCGCTTTGGTCTCGGCCTTACGGGCCTGCAGGAAGACGGCATCTCGTCTGATGAGGGTGGCGCAGAGTGAGAGGAAGCGATTCGAGTCAAACTGCGGGTTGGCGGGAATACCACTAGAGATGCGACGCAGACACTCTTCCACTTGGCGAACGACCTTCGGAATCTCGGTCTGTTGCAGAATATCGCGCAACGGCTGGAGTACTTCGGCCATGCGATTGGGTACAACGATACGCGAGACCTGTTCGAAAGTATCCATGCTCTTGCTGTGCTTGACCTCGCGGTAGGTGGTCTTGTTGCCGATCGACTCACGATCGTCAGCAGTGGCACCAAAGATGTCTTCGACAGCGATCTCGATGATCTCCTTTGCTCCTTGATCGAGTGACATCAATGGCTCGTCCTTGCTCGTCATCAGATGCGTCAAGACCGAGTGGACGGTGAAAGCAAGAACAGCCTTCTGTGGGCCACGCATGAGAGATCGGCGCATCTCACGCAGAAATTCGGGCAAGTAGCGCGCGCCAAGCGTTGACATGACTTTGCAGGCGGTTTCGCGGGCCAAGTCACGGGTGTCCTGGGCTTTGGCACGGAAGACGTTGGCAAGTGTCTTGAGAAGCTTAGAGATCTGTGCCTGACGTTGCTTGGCGGGAAGGCACTGAGCGACGCGAACAACACCGACGGCAATAGGCAATCTGGTAGAAGCTTCGGTCTCATCCTTCTGCTCAAGATACGCCATGAGTCGAGGAAGCAAACGAGTAGTGACAGCATCGAGGATCTTGACTCGTTCAGCCTCCTTACCTTCCTTCTGTGCTTTAGTCGAGGCCTTGGCCTCTTCTTCATCTTGTCCTAATTCGCCATCGTTGGCACCATCCGCATCGACATCGTCATCGTATTCCTCGATGATGGTCTCTTCCTCCATGCCAAAGTGGAAGTTGTCCAAGATGGCCATAGCAGTTCGCACCATGACACGCTCCGACGGACCTTTCTTGTTGGCAAGCTTCAGGTACTGCCACAACAGTGCGTTGTATGGACCCCAGGTGAGCTGGCCAGCAAGAAGTCCAAGACTGGTGATGACCTCAGTGATCAAATTGTGATCATTTGTCTCAACGCAGCCAGGCATCAGGAAGTGACCCAGAACAGGAGCAAGGATATCGCTGATGGTGCGACTCTTCATGCAACCCTTGGCAGCCTGTTCAGGCAAACGCTTGACGGCACGAGTGCGACGGTGCAGCTGGATGTGGTGGATGTTGTTGAAAAAGTTGACCTCGGCATCGCCTGCGCCAAGCAGACCAGAAAGCTCGGCCATGACTTCGCACTTGGCCAAGTTTTCGGTAGCCGAAGACATGACAGCAAGCACATCCCTTCGAACCAACTCAGATCGGTTGCGAACTGCCTTCTTGAGCCCGGGCCAGACAGCCTGCATGAACAGCTGCATCAGCTCCGCCTCGGTGTTGGAGCCAGCGTCGCATTCGGCAGCAGTCTGCTTGATGAACTTGACGAGCGAAGCATTTGCGTTGCTGCGAATCGATAGCTCCTCCGGGTCCAAGATGAGGAAAAGGAAGTTGTGTACCAGCGGGTGCCATTCCCTTACATTGACCACCACGTCTTCGGCGTTGATCAAGTCGAAGGCGGCAAAGAGCTGGTCGAAATCACGCTCTTCGACTCTTCGCTTGCTGAGCGCATTGAGCTGCGTGCACCACTTGGCGACACGGCTCAACTCCGAGTCCACCTCAGCGCAGCGGTTGAAAGCGGCACTGAGCGTCTTACGGGCCTCGGCAGAGCGGAGAAGCGAGAAGAGACCACTGAACATGGCGAACATGCTCTTGAACATTTCTGAGTTTTTGTCCCGGAACTCAGGGATGAGCGACAGGAGACGCTCGAAGATGGCCAGGAGCTCGGTCTTGGTGCGCTCGGGCACGAGGAAGTTGGATTTGCGCATCATCGGGCTGAGCAGCTTGACGAGATGGCTTGCATCCTTGGGACCAGTAACGAAGGGCGACAAAGCTGCGAGGAGCGAGATCTGGCGACGGAGCAGATCGTCTCGTCCCATGGCGGTAGCTGCGGGTCCAACCGCAGACGAAGCTTGCTCGATCAAGGGAGTGACGCTGTTGAGGAATACGGAGGCGTGTGGCCTCACAAGCAGATCTACCAAGGGCAGCTTCGAGCCGTTGCTGTAGTCGACATCGGAGCTGACGTCCATCGCATCTGTCTCGGCATGTGCAGCAGCGAGGACGCGCTCGGCAATGTCGAGCACGGATCCAACGACGGATGACTTGACGTATGGCGCAGCAAGGATCGCAAAGATGCTTGGTAGCACTGTCAGGTCGTAAGTTCCGAGCAACGGGATGGTTTCAGTCTGGCCAGACCAGACATGGAAGAGCTCGAGCAGCGCTGACGGACTCTGGCTCGACTCAACCTTCAACGCGTCCAGACGCGGAGAGATGAGCTCAGCGAACATGGCAGGCAGATACTTGGTCCACTGAAAGACAGAAGCGGCTTGCGGCTTGCCAAAGAAGTCGCAGAGACGCTTGTAGCCGGCCTGACGCACCAGCCGAGCTCGTGAAGTGCGGGCAGTCAGTGGCTTCGTGGTGCTTTCCGACGAGTCGGCTCCGTTGCTCTCGGTGTGCACCTGCACGACGGCATGGTGAGCGTGATAGGTCAGGTTGAGAGAAGCAGAGATCAGGCGGTCCCAGTATGGCAAGAGGTTGGCACCGATCTGCTTGACGACTTCACCAAGCAGTGTGAGGTAACCAACCTGGCGGCGAGTTGAGGCAACAGGTGCCTTGGTGACGAATTCGAACTTGCCATCGGTATCCGCGGGGGTACGAGCTTGGTCGCCAAAGGGAGCCAACATGAGGTCGACCAAGGTGACAAGCTCCTCCGAACCTACGTCGGCCAGTGCAACGAGCACAGCACCACGTCGAGCTCGTTGACCTGCACCGCTAGTTCGATTGCCGCGCCTCGAGAGCAAAGCACCGAACAGAAGGCGAATGACGAGTGGCATCAGCACAGGACGATGGTACGGCTGAACGACGTTGGAGTCCGAGGAAAGCGTGAAGGTGGTCAGCGTGTCTCTGAAGTTGCCAGCCTCGAGCAGATCCTTGAGCTTAGCAGCATAGGGAAGGACGGCCTCCTCCTTCCATGTCAAGATCGCATCGAGCGCAAGCTTTTGCACAGAGACCTCAGCCGTGGCGCAAAGACTGAGCAGGTAGTCGTGCAGCTCTCCAGAGCGGGAAAGGGCCTTCGGGTTCTTCAGCTTGCCGAGCACTTCCAGATAGGCATTGAGCTGTGCCTGACGGTCCTTTTTACCAAGGTTCATTGCGGATGGATCTTCTGCCTTCTTCTGCCTTGCGGCACCATCGTCCTCCGCTTCATCGTCTTCCTCGCCATCATCGTCGAGGGGCGACAGCAGCACGCCTGCGAGATTGCGCGGCCCTGCATCACGGAAGAAGATGTAGACGAAGCGGGCATTGTTGCGCTCAACGATGGGTGCCACATCACCAAGGAGTTTGAGGATCTGGTGACGGTAGTTGACGAGGTCCAGTCGTGCGTCCGGCTGCTGTGCATCGATACAGGCCTGAAGGGTCGTTGTGAGCGCGGTGCTGTGAGTGGTCTCTTTGAGACCCGAGCTGATACGAGCATGCTCAATACAGCTTCTGACAGCCTTGCGGCGCTCGAGGAGAATGCCATCCTGGAACTGCTTGTCGTCGTCGACGCCTGCGATGTCGCTCTCATCCCGCAAGACACGATCGGGCTCTACCTCGTCCGACCTCACAGCCTCGGCTGCCATCTCGCTGTCCTCATCGCTCCCACTCCGCTGAGCCCAGACGCCCGGTACAGATCGTAGCTCTGAAGCGTAGAGCTGGCGACCAGCCTCGAGCTCGGCAATGGCGATGCGGAAAAGAGCATCCTCAGCCTCACGCTGACCAGAGCCAACAATGTCGGAAACGGTGTTGATGGCCTCAGACCAGACTGGACGCAAGTTGACCTTGAAATTGGCAACAAGGTAACGAAGGACAAGAGTGTCCCGCGGGGCAAAACGTTGTACATCAGCTGCCTTGTAGAGGGCAGCAGCCCGGCCGAGGTCTCTTCCGACGCTGCGCATGCGGACATTACGATCTCGGATCGTGGCCACGCCAAGTGGGGTGCGCTCAACCTCCACGAGCTTCTCGATGAACAAGCCGTGACCTTGAAGTTCTTTCGCTTCGATCATGGATATGATCTCGAGTGCGGCGAGACGGATGACTTGGTCAGAAGACATGATTGCGTCTGACAGGGGTTCCAAGACCTCGTCCAGCTTTGGAAGCTGAGGTCGCTGACGAGCTGGGCAAGAGGCGAGGTACTTGCTCAGGCCGCGGAGTGTGCCTCTGTGCCAGGACGCGCATCGGATGACACGCTCAACAGACAGATTGTCCTTAAGCTGCTGAGCGGTGGCATCGAACTCCTTTTCTGAGCTCCTCTCCTGCAGGATGGCAAGCGACTCAAAGGCGAGTCCGGCGAGCAGAGCTGGGTTGACAATGTGCTCGTCATAACTTGCGCGCATCTGTTCTCGTGATGCAAAGTGCGCGTCCGAAAGAAGACCTTCGAGGAGGAGCTGTGCGATCTGGCTGCTGAAGCTGGCCGCCGACACCGTCTTGGGAACAGTCGAGAGGCGAAGGGCCGGGATCAGTGGCTCAAGGCCATTTTGGTCAGCCAGAACGCTCGGCTTTGCGTCCTTGGCTTTGCCTTTGCCTGCCTTTGAAGTGGCGCTGCAGAACAGCGAGACGAGCTTTCCAACTCGGCCTTCGATCTCGGCAGCAATGTGCTTGGACCAGCGGATCAGCGAGGGGCTGGGATGCGAACTGCGAAGATCGTCGAGCTGACCAAGCTGCTCGAGTCGCTCGAGCAGCGTGAAAGCCTGATCCTTGCAGTGTGAAGATGTTGATGTTGATGCGACAGTTTCTGCTGTCGAGGTGAGAACCGCTGGAAGGACAAACTGTTTGAAGCCGCTCCACTCGAGCGTTGGCTGTGCAAGAGCTTCGACAAGACCATTGAACTCGGGCCAAAGAGCCTGACGCTGTTTGAGGCTGTCTTTCGCTTTTGAGACCAATGGAACAGGTGCAACTGAGTCGACGAGCTTGATGCCTGGACCAAGTAGATCCTGCAATCTCCCAATAGGGATGGAGAGGGCAAGCAGCGAGACGAGCGAAGTGCGCAGCGCAGCACCTCCGGACGCTTGGACGGTCTCGTGAAGGAATAGGGGTGACAAGCGAAAGAGCAAAGCGAAAAGAGCTGGCTTGGCGGAGTCGTGGACTCGAGTACCCTTCCTAACACCGACAGCGCAAGCCAGCCACTCGACGGACTCCGTGAGGTGAGCGACATCTAGAGTGGTGCTTGCCTTTGTCGTCATGCGTGACTGGTTGCCGTCGACGAGACTGGACAGGAATTCGAGAACGGGGGCAAAGTGAACAGCGTTGCAGTGGTGGACAAGGGCTGTGATTGTGAGACGACCGAGAACAAGACGCGTAAGATGACGATAGTTGGCAACGGACGAGTTGGGCGCTGTGCGAGTCGGCTTGAGTAGAACGCTGAGCAAAGAAATGCACTTGGAATGGAGACGTCGGTCAAGCGACTTGCATCCTTCAACCCAAATACCGGCAATACCTCTTGAGAAGCGCACGGATGGTCGACGGGAAGGCTGACGACGGTAGCGAACGTGGCGATCCTCGTCGAGCAGCATTGTCTCGAGATCGGAAAGGATGAGCGAGGTCATGCTCTGGAGCTGACGGCCACGCGTCTTGCGAAGGAGATGTGCAAAGGCTTCAGAGGCGAATCGGCGTGTGAAGGGCGAGATACGCTGAACGTTGTTATTGACAAATGCAGCGGCTGCAGCGTCGGTGGCTGCAGTGCTCTTCTCGCTTTCTAGCTGCTTTACTTCCTCGTTCTCATCGCCTTCTTCCGCATCCTCATCGTCGCTGTCCTCCGCATGGGAGGAGGGAACCTTGTGTCTCGCTTCCTTTGCGTCAATGCGCTTCCAGCCCAAGTACGGGCGAATGACATTCCAAGTCTCTACCAGGCGTCGTGTCCTTTCGTCGACTTGTTCTGCTTCTGCTTCTTCGTCCTGCATCTCTACATCGACCTGTTCCGCTACAGCTCCATCTTGTTCCTCATCCAGGAGGGCATCATTTCCAGACCTCGAGGCGATCTCCTTGCTGACAATGAACGGGCTGACGGCTTTGAGGATCCATGCAGCTGACTGGAAGCCGCGCTCGACGAGGTTGGCGGCTGCGCGCTCGTCGCCGTTGGTGGTGTCCTTGGTTGTTGTGGTGGTATGCACAGCGCTTTTCAGCATGGGTGGATAGATTGGCAAGAACTCGGATCCAAGGTCTTTGGCGAGTCTGGGAAGGAGGTCAAGAGCGGCGTCCCATGCCAGCCACTGACTCGGTGACGAAAGAGTCGTTGCAAGGATGCTGGAGATGTTGGTACGATGGTGGATGAGCTGTGGCAGGGACTGTGTGATAGGGTTGAGCTGGCGGTAAAGGTGGTGAAAAGCGTTTGAAAGGTTGAGATCAGTCCACGCTTGCAAGGCGTGTGAGAAGGACGTCCTTGCATGGAGTGAAGAAGAAGCATCCTCGTCTTTCTCGTCTTCCTCGTCGTCCAACAGCTGTTCTTCACCTTGAAAGTCCTCCTGGACGGGTATGCGCGATGTCGTGGCACTGGATGAAGATGCAAGTGGTGCGTCGAGGCCGGAGTAGGGTCGATAGCTGGTACTTGCGCTAACGGCAGCTGGTGCGAGGTGAACGTCCTGAAGACGCTGATTGAAGGAAGCATACCGGAAGCGAGTGGAGACCTTTTCGGCATTCTTGTTGATCTGTTTGAGTGTCTTTTGCTTTGCGCTAGCCTGACTTCCACTGGCATCGAGCTGAACTCTTCGAACCTTGGAGGCCTTCTTGTCGGCCTTCTTACGTTGCTGCTCTCGAGTGGGCTTCTTGCCCGCCTTGCTTGGCTGGGGCAATGATGTGGGAGCCATGATTTGAGTGTTGAAAGCTCAGCCTGACATCAACAGGGCGGGGAGAGCAGTGTGGATCTGGCTCTAAACGGTATGGAGAACAGGGATGAGAAGATGCCGAGCTATGTTGGTGTGGAAGTGTGTTGAACCTTTTCGTCAAGAAAGGAAGAAGAAAGTGCAATTCTGCAGCGTGGCGAATCGAATTTTTTGTGCTTTCTTCTGCTGTTCACCGTCAAAAAAAAAAAAAAAAAAAAAAAAAAAAAAAAAAAAAAAAAAAATCCTTTCCCGAATTCCGAGCTTCCTATTCTGCTCAGCCCAAAAAAAAACAAAAAAAAAAAAAAAAAAAAAAAAAAAAAAAAAAAAAAAAAAAAAAAAAAGAAAGAAAATTTGGAAAGTGGAATTGCAGTCGAAAGGGTCCAATTTTTTACTCCAATTTTTTACTCCACACCCTCGCCGCGGCAATTTTCGTATCTCGTAGCCATGTCGCTGCAGCTAAGCTACAGTAACATGGTGAGACTCAGGCAAAAGGTCAGCCTTTCGTCGTCACATACTACTGAGCGGGCAATCGTACGTTGAACTTGACAGACCTCTATAGATTGCTGTGACAATGACACATATCATGCATGGGTTCAAGAACGAGAGAAAAAGCTAGATGCCTGCGATGATGTTGGCCACTGCGTTGGGCTCGTCACCCAATGGTGCCCAAGGATTCTGCTGAGGACCTTCCTGCTGCTGCTGCTGCTGTTGCGCTTCTTGTTCTTGGCCCTCAGTCTGGTGCTCATCCTGCTGTTGTCGTCTTTCCCTCCTCAACTGCAGTTGCACGTTTTGCCTGACGTATGCTAAATACGCCAGCACACCAAGTGCAAGAATGAGCAATCCAGACTCGATCATGTCATCTAGACCTTCGTCCGTCTCTCCATCCCGTGCCGCCCACGTTTCCGGCTCGTTGGGATCACCGTATCCTCCGCCCTGCTCTTCGGAAATCCTTTTCAGCTTCTCCTCCGCTTGCTTCTGTCGATCAGCGGCCTGCTCCTCGGCTTCAGTATACGCTGTGTTGCGATTTGTAGACGTGTACGACGAAAGCAGCGAGATGGCGCTCTGGCTCGACTCCGAACGGAACAGTGCCGCCCATACCGCCCGAATGTGCAGTTTGACAAGACTCAAAGCAACAGGAAGGTACGCTTCGACGTTGGTCTCGACCGCCGTGTCGTAGTATCGCTTGGCAAGGTGGAAGTCTTGTCGTGCAACGCCAATACCGTTCTCGTACATCCAGCCCAAGTTCCAGAATGCCAACGCAGAGACACCTCGATCAGCAGCAGCCGAGTAGCACGCTGCAGCTTTCTCGTACGCGGGTTGCCCGGGATTACCGGTACCGATACCGTAGAAGTAGTAGTCGCCCATCTTGACCATTGCGTCCACGTTGTTTTGTGCTGCGGAACGTGTCCAATGCACGAGTGCGAGGCGGTCGGTAAAGTTACCGTCCGTCTGCGGTTTGGTGGAGATGTCAAGGATGCGAGCGTGAGAGTTGGCTCGGTCAAGCATGTAGGCCACGTTGTTCTGCGCCGATTCGTAGCCCATCTCGCCCGCCAGTGCCCAGCCAAGAAGCGCCTTCTGTCGCTCGCCACGCCGCCATGCATGCTCCGCCTTGTGCGAGATGCGCGTCGACCAGTCGCCCATTTCGGCAGTCGCCTTGAAGCCGGCCAGAGCAGCTCGACATTGCTGGTTGGACTGCTGCGTTCGTGCCAGTTTGGCGTTGATTTTGGCGAGCAAGTGCTTTGCCTCGAATCGATGCTCGCCGAAAGAGGCAATCGTGAGACACTTGATTGCGCTGTCGACGTCACCCATGTCCATGTGGATCTTGGCGAGATTGACGTTGGCTCCGCTGTGTCGTGCCTTTGCTGCAGCTTCAAAGTATGTAGTCGCTGTGGCCATATTGATGGATGTGCCCAGACCGTCACGCAGCATAACGCCGAGGCCGTTGTAGGACTCAGCATCGCCTGTGCTCTGCCCGCGAGAGAACCAGACCCATGCGCGTGTGAAGTCCTGCTTCACGCCTTCGCCACGAAGATACATCTGACCGATCATGCCGGCTGCCGATGCAGCCTGGACAAGCATACTGTCATCAACCTTGAGTCTCACGTCTTCGCCCTTGTCTCCAGGCTTGGCTGTGTATCCTGTTGGACCGCCAAGATGGACCTCATTCGCCTTACGAGGCCACACCTCGCGCGCCACTCGGAAGAGCCACTGCAACGAACGTTGATAGTCACGACGCACTGCTCCGGCCGCATCGCCCGCCGAATAGATGCTACCGCGGTAGTACACTTGCGCCAAGAAGAGCATGCTCCTCACATCGCCATGCTCGGCCAAGTAGACATGATACTCCAGCAAGTCTTCGAGCGCGGAGGGGTCGCGTGCTGAGCCTGGCTGACGGTTGAGGGCGGCTTGAACTGCTGAGTTGAGAGCGGCATATCCCGTCGATGCGACTGAGGCGCCTGGTCCGAAGGCACCACCATCGAGATCCGAGATGCTGATCTTGGTATAAGGAAGTGTGAGACCACCAGGTGGGCCAGCTTGGAAGCGCTTGTATGCATCCGCTGCCGCTTTCTCGTAAAGGTCGAGTGCCGTCCAGCAGGAAGGAGCAACGCCGATACCTTGCTTGTAGCGAAAGCCTAGTGCCATCTGTGAAGGGGCATGACCTGCATTGGCAGCGATCGTGTAATGCAGCACTGCCTTGGCCTGCCTCTGACCATCGTCGGTCTTGAGCTGTGCAAATAGCTTGCGTCTTCGTCTCCAAGCGGCTCGGGCGTCTTCGAACGTTGGAGAAGATGTGAAGGAGAATGAGGTGCTGACTTGGTTCGGCAAAGGCTTCCAGTCGCCTCGAATCGTCGACTCCCAGCCACTGCCTTCGAGGAATGCCAGACGAGCATGAGCACTAGCGTTACCAGCCACAGAATGGCCAAACTGGTCATGGCCCAGATCAGCGAGACGCTGATAACAGGCACGTGCACGCGCAAGGTTGGGTTGGCTGCCGTGAGTACCCCAAAGCGAATGTTCGCCGAGCAACCAGAGGGCATCTGCTAATGCCGGAGAGTCTGCCATAGCTGCAGGCGCCTTCGAAGTAGCCAACTCTGGGAAAGCTTCTCGCAGCAGGCTGGAGCCATTCCGAGCTATCGAAGAGTAGGCTTCGTGTTGCCAATCGATAGTTTCGCGGCCCCAGCCAGCCTTGGTGAGTAGTGAGATCGCTTGACGCCTGTCGGGATCATCGTCGTTCTCGCCTCTGCTGCTGCTGGTTTCATCATCGCCAGCGGATAATGTCAAGTCCGATGATGCTTTGCTGTTGCTCTTGAAGGGACCGAACATGATACTTTCCCAAGGGCTATCGGTTGGATTGAATGGAAGAGCACCCTCGGGAAGTCTCTCCCAATCCGGCCATAACGGCAACGGACGGGCACTAGGCCATTGTGATTCATATTGAGAAGGCCCAGTGGGGGGACCCTGCCAGCGATGTGCTCCATCGCCCTTCGATGGGCCGGCGATCTTTGCCTTGGTGCTCAGCGCTGCTTCGGCCGCAACATCGCTGGCGGCAGCATCGTAGATATCAGCAGCCCATCGACGCAGCGTACGAGCAGCTCCAGCGATGTTGAAAGCCTTGAAAGTGCTTCCTTCTGCTCCGCTCTGCTGCTTCAAAGCCGATTGTGCGGACTTTGAGCCGCCTTTACCGCTGAGCTTGGAGCGTGGAGCCTTGGTCTTGATAGTGCTCCGTAGTAAGCGAAGTGCTTCTTCGTAAGCTTCCTGTGGTGTGTAACCGTCGATCTGCTTTGCGTCAGACGAAGCGTGGGAGATTTGTGATGGTGTTGTGAATGGGACCTGCTCGGCATGTGTTGCTCCAAGCACTGACAAGAGGCTTGTTGCCACGAGCAGCGCCAGCAAAGCCTTGCTTCGACGGTTTGAGCGGCGGTTGGATGCTGCCATGGTATAGTCGGATGTGCTCGAGGAGCTCGGAACTGACGAGAGTTGAACTATTAAGAGAGCATGCTTCGGTTCGTCGGTGCTTGTTGGTACACTGCCAAGTGTTCAGTGGTGTAGTAATGTCAAGCGAACAGATTTGAGAGGCAAGTGTCAATCCGATATACAAGCTCGAGAAGGGTCTGTGCTGAATGTGATGGAGAGTGGCTGGCAGTTTGGCCTCCACGCTGTAACCTTCTTTTTCCTCAGCTACTTTACGAAGGTGTGTATTTAACGTCAATCTCACAAAGGTATTCAATGCTGAAAATCATGCCGTCCTCCCGAAGACACCTTGCCTCACTCTCACTGGCACCCTCATGACTATCTCCCACTGAGGCACAAGCAATGCAAAGCTAGCTGAGCTACATATATGCGGAAACCTCTGTTCAACGATTACTGAAAAGCGAAAGTATGATGCATGTGAAGAGACAAGAAAAGAGTGTGAATCTATTGAGTGATGCGTGAAGATGGAAAGACAGGCTCTACTTCCTTCCTAGACCTCCTGATGTAGCTCTCCAAACTGCTTTGGACAAGAGACCACCCCAGGTATCAAAGGTTGCTGTGAAGCACTCTGACACCATGAACAGCAAGCCATACGAAGTGACAAAGACAACCAAGATGGTTGCCCAGTATGGTGCGCCAGCAGCGAGCATGGTCAAGCATAACCATGCCGACCACGTCCAGAAGACAACACCGTGCATTAAGAAGACGGCAAATGCGTGCTTGCCGATGTACGACCAGATGCGCAAGCGGAAGAAGGCTCGGAGCAAGCTCGACAGGTCGGTGAGCAGGAGGAAGCTGAACGACAAGACCCAAGATGCGACACGTGGATCGGTGTAGCTGTTGCCACCGCCATCGCTCCAAGAGTGGGGTTCCTCGGCCTTCCAATCGGGATGGATCGCATGCTCCCGGTTGTCGAAGCCTTGGCCTGGCGAGGTTGGGATCTGCGACAAGTACTGCTGAGTCCAGCCGGCAAGGAACAGTGCCCAGGCGAACACCTGACCATGGAGGCGCAGCTTGGAAACACGCTCGGGAAGGTGCAAGCCACGACGAAGCACTTCAGGAATGATAGGAACACCCTTGGCCGCCCATTCCTGATAGTTGAGCTTGCTATCAAGATCAGCAACGACGAGACCGGCCATGAAGAAGAGGTCCCAAGTGTTGGCGTACCAACTGAGAGAGATGCAAAGCGCGTAGAAGGTGAAGCGCTTGTATGCGTTCTTGATCTCGTGAGCTATGAGGGCGCAGATCAAAGTTGTCCATGTACCCTCCACAATGACGGGGATGGTCCAAAGCACACCGGTGGCGTAACCGGTGACGAGAGCAGGCTGGATAGGTGGTGATGACCACCAGAGCGAGATGAAGGCATCGACAAAGACCATGACATTGTCAAAATTCTGCCAGTAGGACCAGGTTGACCATGTACGCGAAGCCAGTCGAGGAACCCACTTGAAAGCGCCAATATCCATGAGGAAGTAGTTGGCAAGCACGCCTCCGGCAACGGGTAGCGCCAGACGCGGAATACGTCGAACAGTGGCATCACCCATGCTTTGCAATCCACCCTTGAGCAGATATCGGTTGGTCATGGTACGCGAAGGAAGCATGAAGAAGATACCGAGCTTGAGACCTTGGTTGACCACGATAGGACCAATCAGCGAGCGGAACCAGAACTCGAACTTGGGATAGTGGTGAGGCGCACGGGGCGTGGTGATACCGTAGTAGTAGATGAGCATGAAATGGTGGAACGAGACCAAGAAACAGGCGAAACCTCGCAAGCCATCGAGGTAGTCGATCCTTCGTGCACCAGTCGAGGTGAGCTGGGTAGTGCCCTTGATGAAAAGCAGTTCGTTGAGGCGGCGAAGAGCAATCTGGATGAGCGACTCGGGAGGCTTGACACCACCAGCACCAGCACCAGCACCATCTCGGGCTTTGCGTCCCACGGCGTCACCTAGCTCAGGCTTAGCTAAAGCACCGACTTCACCATCTGCAGCATTGAGATCTCGCTGTTGCCACTGAATGATCTGCGGACGCTGGAATGCTTCGTGAGTTTCGGATCCGTAGACTTCATGGATCGAGCCTGGTCGGGAGGTGCCCTCGTGCTGGAAGCGGTACATGAAAGAAGCCGCGGCGGCGCTGCGCATCGAGGAGAATGACGCTTGACGCGATTTGTGACTGAAGAGTCGGTCATGCGTCATGTGCGTTCCGTGGTCAGCACTCAAAGCAGCAGGAGGATAAGCGAGATATGATGCATCACGACTGTGTTCGTCGTCGCCTTGGTCGTCCATGAGCTCGACCTCGTTGTAGTCGTCCTTGGCACTGATGCCCTCGCTCAAAGACTGTCGGTGACCAGACATGCTGTGGGAGTAGACCGAGGAGGCAGGCTCGCCAACGTAGCCGGGAGCAACGTATGGAAGTGCCTGAGTTCGCTTCATGTCCTCGATCCAACGCGGTGTCTCGGCACCATTGCTGAATGCAGGCGAGTCGCGACCTTTGAGGGGAGTCGGTGTCCTGAGGCTGGCAACAGAGTCATAGCGTGGAAGCATTCCCTTGGGGGAATGTTCAAGCTCCCTGACACTGCTGTAGGATCGTGTGTCCGAGTTGTCATCGTCATCGTCGCTGTTGTCGTCTGAGTCAGAGTCAGAACCGTACATCAGATCAGGCGAACTCCAAAGCTGCACGGGTTTTGTGGCGAGCGAAGTGGCGTCATAGGTTGGACTCATGTTGCCTGGCGTACCGACAGGCGTGAGACCGAACATGCGGACTTTGTCGTCCATGCTCTCGACATCGTAGGGTGTGTGAGGAGGGGTGTCACTGAAGCTGGAGCCGCTGGATGCGAATGCAGACACGCCTGGAGGTGCGGAAAGACCCGCAGAGGATGCAGACTCGCGCTCCTTCTCCTGTGCAGCGATGGCAGCAGCTCGCTTCTTGTCCTTGGCCTTGATGGAACGGACGACAAGACCGTGAGCGATGGTCATGATGAAGAGGCCAGCGGCGATTGAAATCATGATGATGCCGTACAGTGGAGCATGGAAAGGCTTCTTGGCTAACTTTTGCTTAACAAGTGCAGCGAGGACAAAAGGGGTGCTGTCGCGGAGGGTCATATCGTCGGTGCTGCAGACCGCGTCGGTGTTGGCGCTGGAAGCTGAGCATTGCCACTCGAACTGCGACTGACGCTCTTCAAGACTCGAGTTGAAGAAGAAGCGGGTGTAACGGATGTGTGTGAGCAAAGGTTCGCGGAGAGGAGGACCTTGCGACTGAGACGCTTCCCCGTTGGACCAGGCCTGGAAGCTGATTGGTACAGGTGTAAGGGGGAGATGTGAGGCGTTGACGCCCTTCTGGATCGCGTAGAAGTTGGCACTTTGGTTGGAAGCAGCGTTGCGCCACTGGAGCAGCTCGGGCTGCCAATCAAAGCGGTGCTCGAGGTAGTCGGTGGTGCCAAGCGAGGAAATGTTGACCTTGACGGGGTCGTCGCCGTGGTTGTAGGTAGAGTAAGACCATTGCAGTGTCGAGTTGGCGGGGTCGTTCGAAGTGTAGACGCCAATGCTGATAGTCTCGGAGTCATTGTATGTGGCACTGAATTTGAAGGCAGCACCACGGCCGCGCGAGATAGCAGGCTCGATCTGTGCTCGGAAAGAACCATAGAGGATATCGCGTCTTCTTGTGACGATCTGTGAACCGTTGACGATGCGATGTGTTGGCTCAGCTGGAGAGACCTGAAGCGCAAGCGCGTTGTCGTCAAGGAAGGTGTTGTTGTAACTAACGGCGCTGCGATAGGTGGCGACGAAGCTGGTCTCCCACTTGTTGATCAGATTGCCTACAAGCGACCAATCTTGCTGACCATCGCCGGTTTCACCAGCTGTGGCACCGCCATAGATGCGAGGAGATACTGCTGGAACTGTGACGACATCATTGAGGCCGGACTCGTTGAAATATGTGATGGTTCGATCCGTCCAGAGCGCGTTTGTGAGTGGGTCCCTGTAGCCACACTCGCATGCGGCTTGGACGAATGGTAGTAATGACGCTGCGAATACAAGCGACGAAACGACTAGGGTCGCTGGCGTAGAATTGGTGAAAGCCACCATTCCGGGCTACAACTGGTCTCGATGACCGGTCGGCTCAAGACGAATCAGAGCCTGAAGAAAACTGTCTAAGTCGTGATAGTGAGGATGATACTAAAAAGAGCTCGGTTGCAGTGACAGTGAATCGGGCTGGATAAGAAGGTAGGTGATGGAGAGAGAGCAACAAGATGGAGTCAAAGGTGTCGTCGGCGAAACGGCTTCGGCGTCGACTGTGATGGTCAAGGAAGACAAAAGAAAGAAGGTGGAAGGATGGAAAGGTCTGCAAAGATTTACAAAAGTGGCCGAGGTAGCTGGGCTGCGGTTGAGAAGACGATGGAGCGAGTGATTCAAGCGCTAATGGTCGAAGTTTGGCAATCACAGCTACACCGCGCGAGAGACGACAAAGAGGTTTCAGAGCGTTGAACCGCGCGGCACTTGAAGCAGTGTGATAGTCGAGGGAATGCACAGACAGCCGGCGGAGAGAGTGTGAAGAAAGAGCGATGCTAATGGGAAGGTGTAGCGACCTTTTAGTGGCCGAGCTTGTCTTGGGGTCCCTGAATTTTGCGAGACGTTTGATGATTTTTGCAACTTGGGTCGGTTGGCCGACAGGAGGTGGTAAGCAGCCAGTGGTTCACTCGAGTTCGAGGGCGTGCGGCTACAGCGCCAACATGAGCAAGATAATGACGGATACAGTGAAGGGGTGGAAAGGGGGTGCTGCAAAGTGATTTTGGTTGACAGCAGGGGCGCGGCAGCAATGACAGCAATGGAACGACAAAGATAGCAAGGAGGGCAGCAGCAGCACGGCTTCTGGGCGGAGAGACTTGCTCGAAGAAAGGGCTGAAACACAAACCAAGAGGCCATTGCAGAGGAGAAGGTCCGGCCAGGGGAAAGCAGTGCTCGAGCATGATTTTCTGGGTTATGGTCGGTTCTCGACAGCGCTCAATTTGGCAGGTTAAGGAGGTGCTAGGCGGAGAGATTGCGTCTTCTTGCTTTCATGTCAGGAAATTCCACATATTACGAGGCAAAGCAAGATGGTAAGAGTCATTATTTCATAGTTGAAGGGAGCATTCAGTGGTGAGCAGACCTAAGCGTCAATGTCTCTCCTCTCTGCGAACACGCACAAGGCGGAGACATAGATAAAGAACAACATCCTGAAGCGGGCCGCGTATGGTTTGCATTTCTCGCCTCCTCTCGGCTGTCAGATGCGATTTTTGCTATTTTAACGTCAAGCAAAGCAATTTGACGCAGCCTCGGCTTAAGTCGAAGCAAAGGTAGACAGGCTGAAAGGGCAGCGTCGCCATAGCGCGTACAGTGAAGGACACGCGCGTACGCTCAACTAAAGCCAACGCATCACAATACAGACGCAACGGCGGTTCTTCTTCTGGGTATAATGATGCCACCGAGGCTTTCCGAGACTAATGGTTTGGCGAGACAAGCTGGCCTCGTTAATTGCTTCAGGCCACCAAAGGGTGACTGCTTCGCATCATCCTCGTATATCTTGGTATAGCTGCTTGGTTGCTTGCTGATCCGCGGCTCAACCTACGCAAATACGGCTCCCTGATGTTGCAAAGCTGTGAGAAAGGGTTACGACATCCCGTTTATTGTTTCATTCATGTCCAGTCTTGCATGGTGTCTTTCATCCCTCTTCATTCTTGTTTTTCTTTGCTGTTGTGGCTGTTGTTCGTGAAACAGAAGTAGAAGCCCGACCAGAAATCTGCGACAATCCTGTTTGTTGTCTCTCGCCTGTTTTCTTTTGTTTGGATGACGCCCGCGCCTCGTTACGCCCCCTTCTTTTTTTCTTTTTTTCTTTTTTTCTTTTTTTCTTTTTTCTTTTTTTCTTTTTTTCTTTTTTTCTTTTTTTTCTTTTTTTCTTTTTTTCTTTTTTTCTTTTTTTCTTTTTTTTTTTTTTTTCTTTTTTTCTTTTTTTTCTTTTTTCTTTTTAAATGTGAATTACGCCCATCTCGCAGCGGCTGTCTCACCTTTCGGGCCTCGTTTCTCCTTGTGCCCTCCCTTGGGCGCTTGCTGCCACATGCCAAACAACGCCTCTCCTTTGATTTTTTGATTTTTATTTATTTATTTATTTATTTTGTACTTGAGGATGCGACTTTGCACTGAGAATGCCGTGGTGTGCTACAGTCATACTATCGACCGTTCAGCGCCCAGCATAGATCATGTTGGAAAATCCCGCACCGCTTTCCAGCGTCCATATTCTCCTGAACCACAGGCAAGCAATCGATTTGTGACACACAATTTCGTGTGTTGCCCGTTTCCGAAGTAACTTAGTGCTAGCCTCTCCTATATGCGTCAAAGGGAGAGAGCCTCGGTATCATAGTGATTTCATACCCGCTTCACTGTTGCTCCTTGGACTTCCCATGCTCTCGACCGCCAACTGGTTCCACTGATGCTCCTCTTGCAAAGCTTTACGCTGGCCAACTCCCCTGCCGCACCCTCGAACAATCTTATCGGCCGCTTGACCTGGTGTCTGCTACACCGTTCGTCTTGACTCGCGACCTCTTGTCCAAGCTTGCAGCTTCTTCATCTTGGCATACCCCTATACCGCTTCTACCATCATCACCAGCTTGTACTACGCTTTTTTTTTTTTTTCTGCATACCACCCTGTCTCCTCAGACATTTCAACGAAAGCGTCCATCTTCTCTGGCATCCATCAACTTGGCCGCAAGACGCAGCCTCTTATATTCAGAACGGTCACAAAAGCAGTAGGGTCTCCTAGAAGCCTCCTTTCGACCATCATGGGCTCACAAGACGCCATGAGTGGCTTATTAGGCAACCTGTCCGCCTTCATCTATGGCTGGACGCCCGCCATCCTCCTTGCCAGCTACTGCGTCTTTAGCTTCTTCTTCTACATTGTCATCCCACCTGTTCTTCAAGAGATCCTTTTCTACATCTACCTTGCCCTTCAAACATTCACAGCGCTTTCCGTCTCCACCGAGGCAATGCAATCCATTAGACCCTCTGTCAAGGCCAGACGCGCTTTTCGCAAGACAGCCAAGCAAGGTTGGGGCGAGACCGAGGATGGCAAGCCCTGGCCCAAGATCGACGTCGTCCTGGTAGCTTACCTCCCAAACGAACAGGAGATCATCTTGCGCCAACTCAGATATGCGCTCAGGGAGATCAACTATCCTAGCGACAAGCTCATGATCAATCTCGTCTACAACACACCCAAGCCTATCGAGCCAGTCGAGACCGAGCTGAGCGAGTTGGAGAAGGCACATGCCAGATTGCGTGTTATCAAGGTGCCCAACTCGACATCCAAGGCCGACAACATCAACCACTACCTCTCGCTCGACTACAGGTGCGATATCATCACCCTTTACGACACGGATCATTACCCTGACCCCAACGCACTTCGATGGGTCGCAAGGCGATTCTTGCAAGGTGGTATCGACATCATTCAGGGTCGATGCTGTGTCTACAACTACAACCAGACATGGCTCACAAGGCTCGTAGCAGCCGAGTTCGACATGATCTACGGTGTCATGCACAGTGGACGTGCTGAAGTTCAGGGTTATGGCTTCTTCGGTGGCTCAAACGGTCACTGGAATGCATCACTGCTTAAAACGCTCGGTATGCAGAAGCACATGCTCACTGAAGACATTGACAGTTCCATGCGTGCTATCATCTCTGGCGCAAGGATCGAGTATGATCTCAAGGTGCTTTCCTACGAGCTTGCCCCAGAGACAGTACCGGCATTGACCAAGCAGCGCATGCGATGGGCACAGGGCTGGACCCAGGTCGCCTTCAGACACGCTTTGCCTGCCGTACGTCGAGGAGCATATTCGGACGACAACGGTTGGAGGTCCCGTATTGGTCTTTTCCAGCTCTTGGTCTATCGAGAGGCCTACTTCTACATCAACACACAGCTTCTCTTTATCCTCATCTCTTCGCTCATCCTCAGCTTCCCGCATGAGGGTCTGAGAGAATGGTTCAGCGACTTTGGTGGCTTCGCCCTCGCCATGTGGGCTCTGAGTGTCAACTTTATCTGCCTGTTCATCACCATCTGCATCACGCTCAGGAACAGGTCGAACTTCACCCATCCTCTCGGCATCATTGCATTTGGCTTCTTGGCCCCTTTCTACTTCAGCATTGTCAGCTTCATGTCGATCTTCTGCCACTTCCGAGAGTTTATCAAATTCGAAAAGTGGAACCCAACAGCGAGGTCCAACAAGAAGTAGACTCCGCACATCTTCCAATTCGTCTTGGCAAGTTTGGCATTCTTTTGTATTTATCACAGCATAGCTGCATTGTTTATCAACTGAATCGCATTCATTCGCTTGCTCCTGCTTAGATGTGCTGGTTGACTGTGAGAACGAGGACGTTTGGTGAAAGTCTGATCAGACAGGATCACGCCCGATGCCTTGATCAGATCATTGCACGAATCCTCAATCGGGAACACCTGTCAACTGGCCCTACCCAAGAACCTGCGAGTGCGTCTGCTGGCGCCTGGAGTGAACCTTGAACAGGCGGTCGGTCTCTGTTCTCCGTGCCGACAGGGCAGGCATGATACAGCGGCATCTCCTAACCTGAACGGTGGACTCCTTCAGCTGCTCCGACTCTGTTCATCTTCCTTGTCCCGGCAAACGATGAGGTGTAGCCGTAGCACCACCATGTAGGCTAACCGCAGGATGTAGCTTTGCGATAAGCCTTACGACACGATAGCCGCTCACATGAAAAAGGATGCCTCGGCGAAGGAGGGGACGGGCGATAACACCGAGCGTCCAGTCGCACAGACCTTTATGGCAGCAAGCAATTGGTATAACTTTGCCATTTCGCAGGCTACATGTTTGACAAGATGGGTTATGGCGTTTGCTTGTTCTTTGCGAGTTATATGGTTTGTAGTGTTGGAGAAACAAGCCCCTTTACAGAACTCAGCTTTCTTGTCGCATTGTCATTTCTTCTCCAACCAAAGATCAACATGACCGCAAACCTGTTTAAAACCAGCATAGGCTTCGTTCATATCAAACAACTTCTCTCCGCCGTTTGCCAGAGCTGCCCTGAAATTCCAATCCACGGCCCTCCCACTACTTGCTGCCCAACTTAGATGAAAACAGCTATCCTCGGAGCCACCGGGTTGGTAACGCAACCCTATGCCTTCTGCAGTATAATTGATATAATATTCCATTCTAGTGTCGAAGGTGAAGTCGGTCAAGAAACCGTCTTTGATGATAGGGCCAGCAAGGATTGATTCATCTTTTTCACTAAAGGGAGGACCAAAAGTGATGTTGGCCGAGTGAAGCGAACCAGAGACATGATGGAAGCAAGGAGAAATGGTGGTGGAATCGGCAGAACAAGCTTTGTTGAAATCCGAGTTGCGAGGGAGAAGTGGGGTGAACTTCAGCTCACAGTTTTGGGCAAAAGCCGCAGAAAGGGCGCTGAGAGTGCTGAGGAGGAGAATGAGCCGAAGTGAGTTCATTCTGGAAGCGAATTCGATGATTGCTACTGGAAGATGGAGGAAGACGAAAGCTAAGTAGGATGGGAAGGTAGGGGTTGCTATCATTGAACAAAGAGGGGGCTTAAAATTGTTGAGATGGCGAGCCTTAAAAGGCTACATGCCTGGCGGGGCCAGAAGGTGAGCCATGTCAGAAACTGGCATCGATTCGGCGTGCTGTGGTTGAGAACTGTGGAAAATGCGCCCCAGGCGGAGTCTTCGTTGATGAGGTCGACCCACTTCCAGCTGCGTGGGGCTGTTTCAGTTGCTGTCGCGTTGCGAGCCTAGATACAGCTTCAAGTCGACAGTGCCACTGTAACGGTGGGAAATGCGCCACTAGTGGAGTCTTCGTTGGTGAGGTAGACCCACTTCTTCAATCGATGTCGCGTTGCGAGCCTAGATACAGCTTCAAGTCGACAGTGCCACTGTAACGGTGGGAAATGCGCCACTAGTGGAGTCTTCGTTGGTGAGGTAGACCCACTTCTTCAATCGATGTCGCGTTGCGAGCCTAGATACAGCTTCAAGTCGACAGTGCCACTGTGAACCTTTAGCCACCTTTCATCTGACCCATCAGTCGACTGAATCTCTACTGTATAAAATTGATGCAACGAGGCTTCGCAGCCACCAATGACAACCCACCCGACTTCATCGCGAGATCCAAAGGTCAAAGAGGTGCACGCATGTAGCTTCAGGCTCGACAGGGAAGTGTGCAGGCCCCACACATGTTTCCGAAAGTTCTCCCTCCGGAGGTTCAGGCAAGCAAACCGTTCTCAACAAAGTGAAGCAAATCGTTCTCAGCGAAGGCAAGCAAATCGTTCTCAATGAAGGCGAGGAGGTGACATGGGGGATTATGACAGCTTTGGTCAAGCAGAGTTGAGTCCTTTTTTCCTCTCTCCTGTTCTTCTCCACAGTGACATTGAGGAGGTGTGTTTCTTTCCCAAGTCACATCAAGCAACACAGGCACAGACACATGAATGCATGGACACATGGATGCATGCCAGGCAGGCAGTCAGTCAGTGTTTGGCCTATCCATCTTGCTTCTGCTCCTCTTGTTCCTTTCCATACTACTCCTTGTTCTTGTCGATCTGGCAGCTGAGTCATCTCATTGCCTTGTCTCAAGCCAAGGCCACATGGCTCAGCAACTCAAGTGTCACATTGGTGACTTTGGCTATGATGGGATGGCTCAGCTTCAGCTTCAGCTTCAGCTTCAGCTTCTCTCCTCCTCTTCTTCCCTTCAGCACCTCAGCCAATGATGAGTGGTCCAGGCTGGCTAGCTGGACAGCTTGGGTGAAAGCATTGACCTTGCTCAGCCTGGCATGGCACCAGTGTTGCCCTCAGGAAAGGGAATGATGCCCTCTCCCTTTGGCAGGACTTGCTCGCTGCTGGCTTTTCATGGCACATATAAGGGGCCCAGATTGTTCCCACATCCCAGATTTGCCCTTCCTTTCCCTCGTCTTCCTTGACCTTCATCTTCTTTCTCTCAGCTTCACTCTAAATTTGTCTGTAGCATCCCTCTTGCAACCAACCAAGCCAATCAAATTCACTTTCAGCACTGCTTTGCTTCCAAAGTGGCACTCTCTTATGAATGTGCTCCTCCTCTGGTCACAGAAGGTACCACTTGTTTGCCATCAAACTCTGCACCTTGTATCCTCTTCTCTCTACCATGTCAAATGCACCTTTGCACCCTCTTTGGGGATTTGGCCAGGTAGTGCCAACAGGAGCAGGTCATGTTGGCAAGTTCAGTGACCACACCTCCCTCACAGAGGAACACCTTGTCAGGTGGGCCAAGGAGGTATCGAATTACTTTGATGTTAATCCAGCCTTCTTGGAGTTGCACAAGAATCTAGCTGAGGTGGAGCAAGACCTTAATGATACCTTCCATGCACAACAACTCTCACCTGGCATCCACTTGGGGAATGCTGTGGTGGAGCAGTTCTTGCATACTTTTTGCAACAAGGTTTTCCTCCCACATGCTTATGGTCCTCACTCAATCATCACTGCTGATGACATCCTCTCATCCCCACCTAGACACAATGTCTCAGCTAATTGCTTGTTTTGGAAGATGGTTGCCAAATTCTGCATCTATTGTCAGAAAGAGTCATTTGTCAACCCAGAGCAGAAGTGACACCTATCTATGGCACACAGCAGCTGGCAGTGCATCAAGACCATCTATTACTGTCTGACACACAAGCAGATTGACAATAACATTGCCTTGGAAGTGTTGGCACTGATTACAGAGGAAAGCATCCACAAAGCAAAACCCAAACCAGTGGCACATTATCGTGATCTTGTCACTTTTATCACAGATGGCATCTTTGGCAATCATCTTTTGCTTCATTGTCCTCACAAACAGCTGCAGCTTGCTGCTCTCCACCTCATCATCTCATTCTGCACAGCTCAACCTGGTGAGGTGGCACTCACTGACCTTGCAACTGATGCCCTCAAGTATTGTGATCTAGAATTCTACCTGACACTCTGGGACAATGATGACAATGATGAACAAGATGATGATGATAATGAGTTGATGGAGGATGATGGTGGCATGCTTGTTGTTCAGGATTCAGGTCATGAAGTGCAACCTTCACAACATTGATGAACCTGATACCACCTTGGCTGTGAGGTCACCCTCTGTAATTTGAAGGGTGGACAAACCAATCCCAAAATGTACTGGAGTCAACCCCTTTATGACAATGGTGGTCCAGCCTGCATGGAGCCAGCAATCATCCTTGCCCAGCTGGCCAAAGAGGATGGCATCTTTGACCATGGCATCAGCATTGCCAGCATGATGGAGACAGCTGATCCAGAACACTTTAAAAATGTGGATGAGTGTCAGGGGTCTCGCGCCTGAAACCCAGGTCGGTCTGTCAAGATACTTGGTGACTATCAAACTGTGCAACAGCTATTGTCTCGGTATTGGTCTCGATGAGCTAGTTGCTTGGTGACTATCAAGTTGCATGATGACAGCGGGTGACATTCATTGTATATACTGTCGTAGGTTTCGGCTGACCTCTGTGGACACTCCATTCAGGGGTAGCTCAGCACGATCAATATCAATGTGTAGGTTATGATGACACCAAGGTCTGGTGTGAGTGTTGATGATGATGAGGTTGATGGTGTTGGTGATAAGGTTGGTGGGTGTTGATGATAATGAGGTTGATGGCATGGGTGATAGGGTTGGTGGCGTCAACATGAGTGTCCAGTGTGTTGACTGATGCTTGAGGTGATCCCCTGACCACAGTGGACTACTGCCTTCGGTTCTATCTATATCCAGACCACTGGTTTGCTATGAACCACCTTCAGACATCAGGTAGTGGTGATACAACACACACACTATGATGAGGAGCAACCTTGATAGATTGCTGCTATGCTGACTGTAACTAATATATACTTATGCTGAAGTGATAACTAGTTATGATGTGTGTGTAGAGTGGATGAGGATCCACTCGACCTTTGATGATGAGAAAGCATGGTTATATACCTCTTCACAGCATTGCCAGCGATGCTGCTCCTGCTCTCTACTCCAGAGAGTACCTTCTTCATCGAGTACTGTTCAGGGGCCTCTCCTGCCTGCTTGGTACCCCTGTGCCTCTTGAACTGTGTTGACTCCTTTGACACTGCTCCTCCTCCTTGCTATCCTGCTTGTTTGGCACCCTTGTGCCTCCTGAGTGGTGTCGACTCCTTTGACACTGCTCCTCCTCCTCAGGACCTGGTGTCGGTTCCTTTGACTCTTGTCTCTTGAGCCCCTGAGTGGTAACCATCTGCATGCTCCTTGAGCTTGGTCCTCTTCGTGGCTGTGCCTGGCCCTCCTCGCATATGGGCCCAGTCCTCCTTTGCATGTGAGTCCATAGGAGTCCATGGTCTCCATGGAGACTGCACTATGACCATGCTCTCTACTGGTATCGACTAGATCTCCGATACCTGTGCTCCTTCCATATGAACCAGTGACCCTCCTGCTTCCTGAGCATTCAGGCCCATGACACTACCCCCCTCTTAAGAGCCGAGCTCCGTCGAGGCATGCTCTGGTCTGGTTCATGCTGACTCCTCCTCTCCTCCTCCTCATTACCTCTTTGACAACATTGTCAACATCCCCCTTCTTCTCCTTCCTCCTCCCCTCTCTCTACTCCTCCTGTGCTCTCCTCCTCTCTCTACTCTGTCTACTCGCTCGTCCCCCCTCCGACACCTCATACTCCTGGATGAGGTCGGGGCAGTTGAGGTTCTCTACTGGTTCCCATGAAGCAGCTTCCTCTGAGTACCCTCTCCAAAGCACTTTGTACTCCATAGTCCCATTGTGTGAATGCTTGTTGATGAGTGCTTCGACTTCGAAATCGAGGTCCTCATCTGGAAGTGATGGTATGGTGGGCTGTTCAGCTCATTGAGGAAGAGAACTTGTTCTTGCTGGCTCGAGCATGGAGACATGGAACACATCATGCACCCTAAGGTTTGCTGGCAATGTGATTCAATAAGCTTGGCATCCTACCCATTCCTGAACTGGGTAGGGTCCTGCAAACTGGGTATCTAACTTGGGTGTGGGTCTCCTTGTCTTCCAGTTTTGACAGTTGATATAGACCATATCATTCACCTTGAACTCGATGTCCTTGTGCTTCCTGTTGTACTGGTCTACTGAACTATGTTGTGCCTCTCTGATCTGCTCCTGGAGGTACTTGCAATGCTCCTTTCCATCCATGAGGTACTTGAAGCGACCTGGATCATTGACTCCTAGTTGTTGAGGGATGTCAGGATGAGCTTTGGGGTTCCATCCATAGCATGCAAAGAATGGTGAGACACCAATGCTGTTGTGGACTGTGTTGTTGTATACAAAGGCTGCAGTGTCCAGCAGGTCAGCCCAGTCATTCTGCTCATAGTTGCAGTACATCCTTAGGTACTGCTCTATGACCTGATTGACCCTCTCTGTCTGACCATCAGTTTGAGGATGGTAAGCCATGCTAAGTGAGTGCTTCACACCCATTTGTTCTGCAAATGCCTTCCATGCTCCTGATATGAACTGCCTGCCTCGGTCCGAGACCATGTGATCTGGGTATCTGAAAAGTCTAACCATGTGTCCATATAGCAACACTGCAGTCTGTTTGGCCATGACTGTCTTATGGGTTGGAGCTAGTATGGCAAACTTGGTCAGCCTGTCGACAATGATGAGGATGGAGTCATAGTTCCTTGATGGTGGTAGTCCTTTGATGAAGTCGAGGGATATGGAGCCCCAGGGCCTGTCTGGTGTTGCTAGTGGCTGTAGCAAACCATATGGATGGTGACGAGGAGCTTTGTACCTAGCACATACAGGACAACTTGCTGTCAGGGGTCTCGCGCCTGAAACCCAGGTCGGTCTGTCGAGATACTCGGTGACTATCAAACTGTATGACAGCTATTGTCTCGGTATCGGTGACTATCAAGTTGCACAGTGACAGCAGGTGGCGTTCGTTGTATACACTATTGTAGGTTTCAGCTGACCTCTGTGGACACTCCATTCAGGGGTAGCTTGGCACAATCAATATCAATGCTTCGGTTATGATGACACCAAGATCTGGTGTGAGTGTTGATGATGATGAGGTTGATGACGTTGGTGATAAGGTTGGTGAGTGTTGATGATAATGAGGTTGATGGTGTTGGTGATAAGGTTGGTGGCGTCAACACGAGTGTCCAGTGTGTTGACTTTGATGCTTGAAGTGATCCCCAGACTGCAGTGGACTACTGCCTTTGGTTCTATCTATATCCGGACCGCTAACCTGCTATGGGCACCTTCGGATGTCAGGTAGTGGTGATACAACACACACACTATGATGAGGAGCAACCTTGATAGATTGCTGCTATGCTGACTGTAACTAATGAGTACTTATGTTTCTAAAGTATTGACTAGTTGTATGGTGAGTAGAGTGGATGAGGATCCACTCGACCTTTGATGATGAGAAAGCATGGTTATATACCTCTTCACAGCATTGCCAGTGATGCTGCTCCTGCTCTTTCTCCAGAGAGTACCTTCTTCATTGAGTACTGTTCAGGGGCCTCTCCTTCTTGGCACCCCTGTGCCTCTTGAGCTGTGTCGACTCCTTCGACACTGCTCCTCCTCCTCAGGACCTGCCTGCTAGTGTCCTATACACTGCTCCTTCTCCTTTGACTGATGACAGTTCCTTTGACTCTTGTCTCTCGAGCCCCTGAGTGGTAACCATCTGAGCTTGGTCCTCTTCGTGGCTGTGCCTGCTCCTTGAGCTTGGTCCTCCTCGTGGCTGTGCCTGGCCCTCCTTGCATGTGGCTCGGTTCTCCTTCGCATGTGAGTCCATAGGAGTCCATGGTCTCCATGGAGACTGCACTATGACCATGCTCTCTACTGGTATCAACTAGGTCTTCGATACCTGTGCTCCTTCCATATGAACCAGTGACCCTCCTGCTTCTTGAGCATCCAGGCCCATGACAATATACTGCTCCATTGTGCAACATTCCCATGACTGCCATTGATCAATTTGGTGCACTCTCTTGCGCTATCCTTCTGACCCTGTGACAGTATGGTGACATGTAAAATTGTGGGACAGTTTACATGCAAGCTGTATATCAAACGGGGAGCTCGAGGCTCCCACCACGTTCTTTAGTCAATTGAGTATATATGCTTCTGTCTTATAGCAGCAGTGACATTGTACTTAGACTCTCCCCGATCGCCAGTTATTGGGACCAAACTCCATCAATTCTATGCTGGTCAATGTGCCTTCCTTCAATGTGGTGTTAGGGGGGGGGGGCCGGTCTTGCCTCCTCTTGAGGCTAACAACAGAGCTTGATGCGCCTCTGCAGTCAACTTCAAAAGCAAAGCACTCTCGAAATGTGTAGCATATGCATCTATCAACAGCTGTAGCTGAGTCATGCAGGCCGAATGCGATATACAACCTCGGCCAGATGGTAAAGGCGAAGGTGCAAGGCTCCGCGAAAGTAGCATTGGGCCGATTTGCAGTCAATATGGATGTGGAGTTTGTTGAAATGTGTATTGGCGATCGGGGAGAGTCTGAGTACGATGTTACTGCTGCTATAAGACAGAAGCATATATACTCAATTGACTAAAGAACGTGGTGGGAGCCTCGAGCTCCCCGTTTGATATATATACAAAGTGTCGGCATATGCCAAAGGTGGGAGCATTCCACTTAATGACGATGTGTGTCAACGAGCGGGACTAATTTGTACCCGATCTCTGATTAGATCGGGTCTTCCCGATCTCTTTCTTATCCGCTTACGTCAACTCGCATCATCATAGTGACTCAGGAAAAGTGGAAAGTCAGGTGTTGTTCTCTATCCAAAGACGCGTCGACTGGCAGGCTGCCTGCATCGTCTAGATTGTGTGTTGGTCCATTGAGCCGGTGTCAAGTCAAAGGCATACACGCCCCTGAATCCCCGATCGTATCAGTTTCACTTTATGAGCAACCATCATCCTGGCACCTTTGCTCGTCATCATCGTCGTGGCACAGCTGTGCATCCCGCACGACTCAATCATCCGCAGAAAGTGCTGAAACACCCCTGAACCTGGTGCAGTACTCCAACTTTGACTCTTGCTCCGCCTTGATATCGCATTGACAATGTCGTCCTTCTTCGGTCTCTCCAAGACTCGCACATTCAAGCCCAAGCGCAACATCCCCGAGGGCACAAAGCAGTATCAGCTGAAGCGATATGCTGAGGCTACACTTGGAAGCGGCAACCTCCGCCTCGCCGTCGTCCTGCCCGAAGGTGAAGATCTAAACGAATGGCTTGCGGTCAATACGGTCGACTTTTTCAATCACGTCAACATGCTCTATGGTACCATGACCGAATTCTGCACACCCACAGAATGTCCTGTGATGTGCGCTGGTCCACGTTTCGAGTACCACTGGCAAGATGCTAACTCGGCACTCTACCGACGCCCGACCAAGATGTCAGCACCGGAATACGTCGACTGCCTCATGAACTGGGCGCAATCGCAGCTGGACGACGAGGAGCTCTTCCCAAGCAAGGTCGGTGTGCCTTTTCCCAAGAACTTCGCGGCAGTAGTCAAGTCGATCTTGAGGAGACTGTTCCGTGTTTATGCACACATCTACAACCACCACTTTGCTCAAGTATGCGCACTCAGCATCGAGGCACATCTCAACACATCATACCGCCACTTCTTGTTGTTCATCACCGAGTTCCAGCTGGTCGAGCGACGAGAGTTGGCACCATTGGTGGAGCTTAACGAGGCAATTCTTGGCGAAGCATGATGGCTGCTGTTGTCACAGTCAGCTTTTTGGGACACCTTACGAACTCAATCACCACATCTCACGACGCTCTCAGCTATTCTAATCTGTACATATTCTTGGCCTATCGTCGTACTTTTGGCTTCCATCTACGCCAGCTATACCCTATAGACTGCCCAACTGTGCGTCCGGCTGTGTTGCGTCTGATGGATGGATGAGAAAGGCAAGCGTCGAAAAGAAAATCTGTTAGGCCGATATCAACAACAGAATTGATTCTTGAGAGAAATAAACAAGGCTCAGCTTCCACGTCTCTTTGATTGATTTTTCTTTCCGCGCGAAGAGAGTCGGAGTTGGGCTTGGGCTCGGGCTCGGCGTGGCAGCTCATACAGGGAATCGGGGCAGATCGCAGGCAGTCTTGCAAATGTGCCAATAATTTCTGCAGTTCGGCAGCGCGTTGCCGTCTTGACAGAGCATTTCTGCTGTTGCTTTGGTGCTGTTGCTTTGGTGCTGTTTGAAGAGAGAGCCAAGAGAAATGGCAGCAAATGTGAATTGTATTGCGCTTTGACCGGCACAGCTTTCATCTTGTTCGGCACGTTTTTGCACACACACACACACACACACACACACACACCCCTCTCTCTGCTGTTGCTTCCTTCCCTAACATCAACAAACCGCTCCTCTTTGCTAGAAAGGATACGGACCGTGCCCATCATGGCGGATCACGAGGTCAGTGCCGCAGAAGCCTCCTCGAAACCACACCTTCCTTCAGCAGGCACCAGCCTCGTAGACCCTACACCTACTCCTGCTGCTCATTCAACACAAGTGTCAGGAGAAGCCGACCAACAGGTACAAGCCGCCGATCAGGAGGACCAAAGTGCTCAACAGGCCCACGCAACTGAAGCAGAGCCAGTGTCAAAAGACCAGAAGCTGCCACTACCAGCGTCAGAAGAAATCTCATTGGGCGAATCAAAGCCTTCAGAGACCGAACAGAACAACACTACCGTAGACCTACCAGCGATCGGCATTCCGGAAGCTTCCGAGAGCACTGCTGTAGATGGTACCGCTCCCAGTTCAGATCGCCAAGTAGGAGCAGAGGCAAACGGAGCCGCCGCAGCTCATCACAATGCCAGCAACGGAGCAGCCGACAATGAGGCTGTTGCTGAGCAGTCACCAAGCAACGCGACCGTCACCACACAGCCACCGGAGTCTCCTACAAAAGAACCATTACCCCAGCAGGAAACACGTCAGACTATCCTCCCCAACGCCCAAGCAGCTGCAGATGAAAGCGCAGATCAACCTTCACCGCTCCCATCTGCCGAAGCATCGAGTTCGCGAGTCAGCATGGCTAAATCCCGTCGATCCTCCTCTGTCTCAACGACAGCAACAGCCGCCACTACAGTCCACTCTCGATCTAGTCTCAAGAGTCTCAACAAGGGTAGTGCTGTCTTTGTTATCTCGGCACTCGAGACGCTCGCCAGCTCGAAGGAGGCCAGAAAGGATAAGGCGCTCAAAGAGGCAGCTAATACCGCGCTTGACATGGTTAAAGCCGCAGCTGCGTTTACAACATCATCACAGTCAGCCGAACAGCATCAGCCTCTCCTCGATCCACGCGTCGTCTTTGAGCCTCTCCGATTGGCATGCAGGACGCGCAGCAACAACCTCACCATCACCAGTCTCGACTGCATCGGCAAGCTTGTCAGCTATGCTTTCTTCGCCGAGGATGATCCGACTGCTGTCGCCAGTGCAATTGTCGCTGCTGGTCAGCCGCCACAGACGCTTGCCGACTTGGTCACCGAGACGGTTTGCGACTGCTACCACGAGAACTTGGACGACAAGGTTGCGCTGCAGATCATCAAGGCTCTTCTCGCTTCCATATTGTCGACCGTAGTGCACGTCCACCAGTCCAGTCTGCTCAAGGCGGTGCGTACGGTCTACAACATCTTCCTCATGAGCAAGTCTCCCGCCAATCAGGCAATTGCTCAAGGAAGTCTTACGCAGATGGTCCATCACGTCTTTGCACGCCTCCCTCGCAGCGGCTTTTCTGGCTTTGGCATGCCTTCGACCTCCAACAGCACAACTGACGTCACACAAACGCATTCACGTTCCAACGGCAATAGCAACCGCAAGGGGTCAGAAGAAGAGGCAGCAGACACACGCCAGGATCACAATTGCAACGCAGCAAACGGTTCGAATGCCGGCGCGGGCCAAGTTGAAAAGATCACACTTCAGACGCTCGAGAACCGCAAATCCTTCGAAGGTGCATCGGAACGCGACAATGCTGGCAGTCTTGCTAACATGAGCACTGCCGAGCTCTTTGTCAAAGACGCCTTCTTGGTCCTTCGAGCACTCTGCAAGCTCACGATGAAGCCCCTTGGTGCCGAAAGTGAGCGTGACCTCAAATCACACGCCATGCGATCAAAGCTTCTCTCGCTTCACCTCATCCTCACCATCCTCCAGTCGCACACGGCCATCTTCACCGACCCCAGCGTCATCATTCACAGCACCACCACGGGAGAACAGACACAATTCGTTCAGGCAGTCAAGCAGTACCTCTGCCTCAGTCTAAGCCGAAATGCCGTTAGCAGCGTCAATCAGGTCTTTGAAGTTAGTTGCGAGATCTTCTGGCTTGTTCTCGACGGAATGCGCACCAAACTCAAGAAAGAAATCGAGGTGTTGCTCAACGAGATCTTCCTGCCCATCTTGGAGATGCGCACTTCGACAGCGAAGCAAAAGTCGATTCTGTTGGGTGTCATGATCAGACTCTGTCAGGACCCGCAAGCGTTGGTGGAGATCTACTTGAACTACGATTGCGACAGGACAGCGTTGGACAATATCTACGAGCGTTTGATGAATGTCATCTCCAAGATCTCGCAGGCGCATGTTTCGGCGAGCGCGGATGGCAAGGATGGTGCCTCGTCTGGTGGGTCATCTTCTGGCTCGGCGATGCCCAAGACGAGCGGATCTGGATCTGCCATCCCGCCTACACTCAGCACTGCTACGTCGAGTGAGATCGGCTCTCAGGACTCGGCGCTCAATTCGTCTGTTGCCAATCAGTCGGTGGAAGCAAGATTGAAGCGACAGAGTCTGGACTGCTTGTGCTCGGTATTGCGCTCCCTTGTTGCATGGTCCAGCCGGGCGTCGGTTGCAACTGACCCGCAGGGACAGGTTCTCAGCAATCATCCAGGCGACAACACTGGCTCGCCTCGTGCAAGCGAGGACATCCGCATCGGCAATGAGACCATCACTGTCGACAGCGAGAATCTCATGGACTCCAGCGGTCACCCAAGCCCCGCCATGGGCACTCAGGGCTCCTCGCTCACCCTTGGTTCTCACACGGGCTCGGAGATCACACGCGGCCACACTCCCGAGCCCCAAGATGACCCCAGTCGCTTCGAAAACGCCAAGCAACGCAAGACGGTCCTCCTCGAAGGCATTCGCAAATTCAACTTCAAGCCAAAACGCGGTATCGACGATCTCGTCAAGAACGGCTTCATCCCTTCTCGTGAGCCTGCCGACATTGCCCGTTTCCTTCTTTACGCCGATGGTCTCAGCAAAGTCCAGATCGGCGAGTTCCTCGGCGAAGGAACACCAGAAAGCAATGCTATCATGCACGCCTTTGTCGATATGATGAACTTTGAAAGTCTCGGCTTCACCGACGCACTCCGTCGATTCCTCCAAGCCTTCCGTTTGCCAGGAGAATCGCAAAAGATCGATCGATACATGCTCAAGTTCGCCGAGCGCTTCGTGCACGGCAACCCGAACGCATTCGCCAATGCAGACACTGCGTATGTTTTCGCGTACTCAGTGATCATGTTGAATACCGATGCGCATAATAAGCAGGTGAAGCATAGGATGACCTTGCAGGATTTCATCAAGAACAACTCCGGAATCGATGACGGGCAGAGTTTGCCAGAGGAGTATCTAAAGTCGGTTTATGATGAGATTCAGAACAATGAGATTAAGATGAAGGATGAGGTTCCTGCTCCTGCGCCTGTCACGCCGTCGTCCGGCCTGGCCAACGCTATCGCGACCGTCGGAAGGGACCTGCAACGTGAAGCATACGTGCTTCAGTCGGAGGGAATGGCGAACAAGACCGAAGCTCTGTTCAGGACAATGGTTCGCGCTCAACGTCGTATCGATCCTCAACAGAGGGCTGCAGCGGAACAGTTCTTCTCCGCATCCCACTTTGAGCACGTCAAACCTATGTTTGAGGTCGCCTGGATGCCTTTCCTCGCCGGCATCTCCGGTCCGTTGCAAGAATCCGATGATGCCGAAGTGGTAGAGAAGTGCTTAGAAGGGTTCCGGGACGCGATTAAGATCGTTTCGCTCTTCGGACTGGAGTTGGAGCGGAATGCTTTCGTGACGACCCTGGCCAAATTCACTTTCCTCAACAACTTGGGCGAGATGAAGAGCAAGAACGTTGAAGCGATCAAGACTTTGCTCGGTGTAGCGCATAGTGAGGGCAACTATCTCAAGGGTAGCTGGAGAGAGGTGCTCACCTGTGTTAGCCAGCTGGAGAGATTCCAGCTTATCGGTGGTGGTATGGATGGTCGACAGCTTCCTGATCTTGGCAGGCGAGGAACCGTTTCCGGAGGCAATGCAGCTGGAGCAAATGGCAACAGAGCCAGACAGCCTTCTCTGCCGAACAGCGAAGTGGTGCAAGCTGGGGCGTCGTTCGAAGTCACGGTTGCTGCGGATATGGTCTTTTCCTCCAGCGCCTCCCTTTCAGGCACGGCGATTGTGGACTTTGTGCAAGCCCTCTCCGATGTATCATGGGAAGAGATTCAGTCTTCAGGTCTCACCGAGCACCCACGCATGTTCTCACTGCAAAAGTTGGTCGAGATCTCGTACTACAACATGGGTCGTATCCGCATGGAATGGTCAAACATCTGGGCCATCTTAGGAGAGCACTTCAACATGGTTTGCTGTCACCCCAATGTCCACGTCTCTGCCTTTGGTCTTGACTCGCTCCGTCAACTTGCTATGCGGTTCTTGGAGAAGGAAGAGTTGCCGCACTTCAAGTTCCAGAAGGACTTCCTTAAGCCGTTCGAGATCACCATGCAGAGAAACCGCAACCTGGAGGCGAAAGAGATGGTCCTGCAGTGCTTGGAGCAGATGATCCAGTCACGTGCTGACAACGTTCGTTCCGGATGGAGGACCATGTTTGGCGTGTTCGGCGCTGCGTCTGTTGCTCCTTCTGAACGCGTGTCCACTTATGCGTTCGATCTGGTCCGTCACTTGAACGCCAAGCATCTGGGCGCTATCATTGTCAACGGCTCTTTCGCGGACCTTTGCATCTGCGCTACCCACTTCGCCAAAGCCAACAAGCAAAAGATCAGCCTTCAAACAACCGAACTCCTCCGCGGCCTCGTAGCCTCAATGCTCAACGCCAAAGAGTGCCCCATCGAAGAAGGTGGTGACCCTGGCCCAGCCGTCAGAACACCCATGTCCGATGATCCTATGGTTCGATTCTGGTTCCCAGTGCTTTTCGCATTCCACGACATCATCATGACGGGCGACGACCTCGAAGTGCGCCGAGTAGCACTCGACAGTCTCTTCTCCATCCTCAAACAATACGGTCGATCCTTCCGATCTGATTTCTGGGATACAGTCTGTCAAGAAATCCTCTTTCCCATCTTTGCTGTCCTCCGATCCCGTCAAGACGTCACACGGTTCTCTTCGCACGAAGACATGTCTGTTTGGCTAAGCACAACGCTCATTCAAGCCCTGCGCAACCTGGTGGACTTGTGGACGTATTACTTTGATATTCTGGAGAGGTTGTTGCCTGGTTTGTTGGATCTGCTGTGCGCATGTATCTGTCAGGAAAATGATACATTGGCCAGGATTGGAACGAGCTGTTTGCAAGGATTGTTGCAAAAGAATGTGAGCAAGTTGACCTTGGAAAAGTGGGGGTTGGTGGTGGATACGTTTTTACAGTTGTTTAGGACTACTACGGCGCATCAGCTTTTTGAGCCGGCGTTGAGGATGGATGGTGCATTGGCAGAGTCGCCGGCGAATGGAGTGGCTATGCCGAATCCGCTTTCGCCTGGTCCAGAAACGCAAGCCCTGCCCGAGGCGGGAAGTGAAGGTGAGGCGGAGAAGCAAAAAGTTCGACAGCAACCAATGTCAGGTTCGGAACGCAGAAGAGCGTTCAAGCAGATCATCGTCAAATGCGTTCTGCAGCTGCTTCTTATTGAGACTACGCACGAGTTGCTGCAGAACGAGCAAGTATACCGAACCATGCCCGCTGCTCAGCTTCTACGACTTACTGGAGTACTCGAAGACTCGTATTTGTTCTCGAAACGGTTTAATGCGGATAAAGACCTCCGTGTAGCGCTCTGGAAAGTCGGATTTATGAAACAGCTACCCAACCTTCTCAAACAAGAGTCCTCATCCGCTGCAACTCTGGTCCACATCTTGGTTCGCATGCACGGCGATACGCGAGCCGAACACGTCGCTCTTCAATCGCAAATCCGGGAGAAACTCGTTCCACTCGGGCACGAGATCGTCTGTGGCTTTTTGCCACTCGAACCGGAAACTCAGGCGAGGAACATTGCTGCTTGGAGCCCCGTTGTCGCGGAGATCTTTACTGGTATTTGCACCTTCGACCAAGGTGAAGGAGAGCAAGCGTTTACGCAGCATAGTGCGGCCTTCTATGCGTTGGCGGTGGATCTGTTGAGCAAGGATCCTTTGCCGGGCGAAATTGCGGAGGCGTTGAGAGCGTTCTTATTCAAAGTGGGCGTGACGAGAGGAATGATTGATCCGAAGAAGGAAGAGGAGAGGAGGAGAAAGATTGTTGACGGGAAGGAAAAGGAGAAGTTACTTGGAGAAGGAATGAGAAGGTTGAGTGGTCAAGGTGCTGCGGCGGTGCGGGGGCAGGGTCAGGGTTAGGGTCAGGGTCAGGGGAGGAGGTGAGAAGGCTTGAGTGAAGACACTCTTTGAGCGATTTCACTTCGAAATGCAAAAAAAAAAAAAAAAAAAAAAAAAAAAAAAAAAAAAAAACCCCACTTTCTGTAGACTTAGAAGCCTGTGTTCTGACAGTGTGTGCCTGCAGCTCACGTTTGCATGAGACTGGCTGTGAGTGTTTCATAGAGTTGTGATTGGCGACGCCGATCGTCTTTCTGGTGACACAGATATGTATCCTTGAGACAATCGAAAGGCTTTCTTGAGCATGAGATGAGTTGATATCGACTGTGAGACTAAACAGAACATTTGTGCCACCATCCATGACTATTTCTCCCCTCCAGCGCTTTCAATAGATCCTTCATCTTACACAAACCATCCTTGCGCTCGCCACACTCCTTGTACTGTCTCAACGGTATCACTGCATCATTCAACTTGAACCTTACCCAATCTCGCTCTCCCTCCTCTTCGGCTTGGTCATCACAGTTCCAGACCTCGACGACAAACCTGGCAGCAAAAGGAACGAGCTTACTCGTGACAAAGTTCCTCTGCCTAGTTACGCCTTTGCCGCGTTGTGGCACTTTCAACTGTTCATCAAACTTGGGCAGGTTCAATGCTGCTAGCACTGAAATGATGGTGGAATCGTGTGTGAAGTCGACATAGAAGCGTCTGTCTATGGGGAAGGTAGTTTGGTCTTTGTTCAGAGTTGAGTTCTCTGAAGTCTGTGTAGCTGAATTCCATGGTGTATGTTGAAGTCGGGAAAGCAACTCGTTGAGCCAACCCAATCCATAGGCGTGACCCAAGGGCGAAGTAGGACCATTGGTATTCATAAACTTTAAATCCCAGGCATATTCATAATCCAGCCATTCTTGCTTGGTGAACAAGGCGCAAAAGTCGCTGTATCCAAAGGCGACCGTATCGTAGGAACACATCTGTTGCATACCGAACAATAGCGTTGAATTCAGATAGGCTCCACTGATATCATTTTTCAAACGTAAGATGGCATCAGAGAGATAAGTCTCCGCCCAACGATCGGCCATGTGACCGCCGGGAGAGTTGTCGGATTTGTTCCATGCAGGACAAGCAAATTCGGGTGCAGTGGTGGTATTGTAGCCTGGTTCTTCGATTTGTATTTCAAATGAAGTGGTTTGGGTCCAGTTGGCACCGAAGAATCCGTTGAGCCAGGCTAGACCGGAGTCTACGATCCGTTGTTGTGATCCAGCACGGGCGAACAAAGTTTTCGGCTTGCCCTTGGCGTCCTTCTCCACTAGATCTGATGCGACGAGTTTGCCGTACAAAAGGGCGGCCTTTACACCAGAATCATAGAGCTGACCACGTCCGACGGGAGTAAGGAGTTCTTCACCGACACCGAACTTGTAGTTGTTGAGGAAGGAGAGTTGGCCAGTGTAGCGTAAGCTAGGGTTGGCGTCGAGGAAGTTTCGCAAGACACTGGGAGGACCGCCTGCAGTGGGGTAACGTGCGCCGTGACGGTGAAGCATGTGAGCCTGGGTGAGGGAGCAGAACTTTCCGGATCCGGGGGTTGTGGCGGGTGTGCCGGCGTACTTGGCATCGTCAATGCCCCAGCCTGAGGATGAGACGTAGGGTGTTAGTGGACCCATATGCTCGAAGGGATTGAAGTTTGCATCTTGGAAGCCGGGGATGGTGGTTTGGATTGGCGATGAACCGATAGTTTGTGTCGGTGCTGCGGCTGTTCGTGTCATATGTTCTGCAAAGTTGGGAGGTACGCCAGTGGTGTAGAACCCAGGATAGCCAGGTGACTTGTTGAACTCGAATGGGATCACTCGGCTGTCTCCGTACCATTTGTCACCCATATAGTCGTAAAACCCGGATGGTGAGACACCGACTTTGGGACCAAAGGCAAAGGCAAAGGCACCAATGACGAGCAACCCACCGCCAATGAGCATACTCAGACGCATACACCTCGCTCGCTGTTGTCTGTTACGTTGTGCCATGGATGCAGACATGCCTACACCTCTTGAGTTGAGACCAGGTAGATCGCCTTGGAGAAGACCGCGAAACCATGCTGGACGCCCAGTCTTATCGATACGCGTTGAATTGTTAGATCCCTCAAGCACGCCACGAGCGGGAAGCTTCTCCATGCGTTTGTCGTCGAGGTCATACTCGTCGTCAAGATCATCGTAGGCGTCTGTGACGCGATGTGTTGCGCTGGTGTCGCCAAGGGACTGTATCCGTGATGTGCCGGAAGCATCTGTGGAGAGACGATGAAGGATGAGGGATTCGGCTTCGAGGTCGTCGTCCTCTGAGCGGCGTTCTTTGTTAGAAGGCGATGGCATGATGGCAGAGCCCGGCTTGACTGCTTGCTGATGCGTCTATTCCAGACTTGCTTTTGGGGACTGAAGCGGCCTACGTGATAGGAAGGGTCGCTGAAGGTTGTGGTGAGTCGAGTATGGTGAGTCGAGTATGGTCAAGGTGTTTGACTTGACAAGTTGGCTCACGCGCTATCAACTGCAGGGTCCTCGGTAGTTAGCCAGCTGGCGATGGAGATCGCCGAGTCCCGAGCAGGCAACATGCAACTCTGCAACAGCGATGGGGACGGCGAAAATGAGGTAAATGTGAGACTCTCACACCTAACAATAATTTTTGGCGAAAATGAGGTTAGGTGTAAGACTTTCACATTAAACAATGATTTTAGCTGCCATCGAGCGGTGACAGTTACCGCCAAATGCGAGGCGGCAAAGCGGCGAGTGTTGGTCGTCTTGGCCAGCTTTCTTCCTATTGTTCTTATCAAGCAAAAAGACGATGTGGAGAGGTGGAGCAGCTCTGAGACGGGACAAGGAAGAGGGATTGATGATGGCCGCAACGCATGCAGGCGTAGGCTGGAGGATGCGGACGGAGAAGCATGCAGACCTTGGGTTGTGGCAATTGCGCAGGTCGCAGGTTGAGAGGGTCTCCTCAAGAAGCATCTCCATGACAGTTGGGCGAACGCTGTTCCGATCTGCAACCAATCTGAGCATCCTTACTTATCGGCCCCATAATCGCTGGGCGCTTTTACATCTGTGAGAGTGAGGTGAGTGGCTGACGAACAAGACCTCGTTGCCCCTCTCAGTATCGCAAGGCAAACAGCCGCCTCGGGACCAGCTGACCTATCTTTGCGAATCGACTGGGGCAAAGAAGCGATGGTGGACGAGTGGATTGGCGGTAGGATAAGCTAAAACCCACAACACCTCGCTACAGCATTGATGATAGTGTCCAGGAACAAACATCAAGACGAATCCTTTTCAGCCAATCACCAATGATCATTGTGAAGGGGCGCAAAGCGGTGGTCTTGGTGGTTGTCGAGGGTTAAAATTCGGAAGACCTTGATCCGTAGCTTGCAGGGATTCATGCAGGGCGCAGAGAAGCATGCCTCTTGGATATGATTGGACGACAATCGAATTCGAACATCTGATTGCCTCGGTTGTTAGCGGCCTGCAGTATCCAGTCTGCGGTTCAGTTGGTAAATTGGTTTGGGGCCAGCCAATAGTATTAAATACAAATGTGAAAAGAGAGAGAAAGAGAGGGCAGCAGGGCAGCAGGGCAGCAGGGCAGCAGGGCAGTCCAGCCCACCTCTGTTCGCTGATTTAACCAGCCGCCGCTCCAGATTGCCGTAGAACCTCGTTCGAATCAAGAGAACAAATTCGAATTTCTGCGGCAAAAGGGCAGAGGAAGAGAGGGCTGGGAGAACCGCCGCTTCAATGCACTACACCGGTCATGTATACCGTCGGGGGCAATCCGACAGGGTCAATTAACTCTGCATACATTTGCATTCAGGCGCCTGGCAGGTCACAGTCTTGCCTCCATCTCGAATCGAAGCTACTCTAACCTCGGCTGTGGATTTCGTGTGCAACTACTTGCTAACCTTGTTCATTCAGACACTGGCCTGTCCCTCTGTTTGGTTAGGAGCCCTTTTTTATTTTTTGAAATGAAACCGAGGCTAAAGTTCAAGCTCAGCTGCAGTTTCGGTACATTCTGACAAGCGCTGCTTCGGATGGCCCACGTCCGAACTTGTTTGCCCTCCTGCCAGCCTATCTCTTGTTTCGCTCCTTCTCTCGCTTGTGCTGTCTCAATGCATTGTCCCCACACATCTGCAACGAATCAGAATGCACTACAATCCGCTTTCTCACGCAAGAGAGCAACGCTGCTTGTATTCTCGTTGCCCTCTGTCTCATAGTGGGATGCCTGCGCAAGATTGTCAGCCGTCGGTCCGCTTTTCCTACTCCTCCTCCTCCTCCTCCTCCTCCTCCTCCTGCTGCTGCTGATAGCGCTGACTTGCCGCTTGCCTTCTTCGGAAGCGCTAGAAGGGTTCCAATCACATCCTTGTTTTTCGCATCCCTGCCATCTCAGCCTGTTCCCACAGATCGGCCAAGCCGACTCAGTGGCACTTGCTCTATCTTCTGGCTTTCCACCTTCCAGCCTTGGCATCTGCCCGGATCACTCCTTCCCCTACTTGAACTGCTCTTGCTTGAATCGACCACCAAGCGCCCCGAGGGTTTATAAAGATAAGACACAAAAATTCCCTCCCTCAGCCGCTTCTGCCTTATTTCCACCCACCTTTTCCGTGGACCCCTACTTTCCGTGGCCCCCCCCCCCCCCCCCTACTTTCCATCGCACTCTCTCTATCCTCCGCCCCTACCTTGGGTTGCGATAGACAAGATGGTCAACGATATCGACATCGCTACGACTTCGAGCCATGGCAGCTCCGACCAGAAGGATTCCTCCAAGGAGGATCTCGGCAGTCCCGGCATTACTCAACTAGACAATGTCGAGAAAAACCTCAAAACCGACTTCCTCGACCACCGCATCAACGACCCCAACATGGCCACCGAAAAGATCGATGCCGTCGAGCATGTCATTGAACAGGGCGACTACAAGGCTGAGGCCCAGATCGAGGATGACCTTGAAGAGGATTCGCCTTATCCAGAAGTTCGCGCCGCCGTTTCCAACGTCGATGACCCTTCCATGCCTGTCATGACTTTCCGTACTTGGCTTCTTGGTATGCTTTTTACCATTGTTATTCCAGGTGTTAATCAGCTTCTCAGCTACCGATACCCCACCGTGACAATCACTTCATTTGTCGCCCAGTTGCTCGCATACCCCATGGGCTGCTTTATGGCCCGCCTTCTTCCTACCAAAGTCTTCAAGACCCCCTTCGGTTCCTTCACTCTTAACCCTGGTCCCTTTAATGTCAAAGAACACACCGTCATCACTGTCATGAGTAACGTTACATACCAGCGTGCTTACGCATCCAACGTCTCCGCTGTCCAGCGAATCACTTACGGTTTCGATTGGGGATTCGGTTACATCATCCTTTTGGTTCTCAGTTCCCAGCTTATCGGTTTCTCCATGGCCGGTTTCTTCCGTCGATGGCTCGTCTGGCCTGCTGCCATGATCTGGCCTGCCAACTTGGGTAACACTGCCTTGTTCACTGCCCTTCACCGACAGGTCGACACTGGAAGCAGCCACATGTCGCGATACAAGTTCTTCATGATCGCTTGCGCATGTGCCTTTTCTTGGTACTTTGTCCCAGGTTATCTCTTCGCCATGATGTCTGTTGGTAACTGGTTCTGCCTCATTGCTCCGGACAATGTTCCCCTCAACCAGATGCTTGGTACTCAGCAAGGTCTCGGTCTTATCCCTCTCACCTTCGACTGGAACCAGTACTCGTACAACGGCAACCCCATTTATACACCTTGGTGGGCACAAGCTAACGTTCTAGGAGGTTTCGTACTATGCTACTGCATCATCGGACCAATCCTATACTACAAGAATGTCTGGAACTTTGCCTATCTCCCATTTTCTACCAGCGGCGTTTATGACCGTTTTGGAGAGAAATTCAAGACTACAAAAGTCACAAGTCCTAACCACCTTCATTTCGACGCCGCCGGTTACAACGCCTATTCCGAACAATATTTCTCAGTCACCTATGCTATCTCCTTTGCCCTCTCCTTCGCCTCGATCACTGCCATCATTGTGCACGTCGGTCTCTTCCACGGCAAGCAGATCTACAGACAGTTCACCACCTCGGTCAACGACGAGCGCGATGTTCACGCCCGACTCATGCAGAGGTACCCTGAGGTCCCCAAGCTCTGGTACGCCATTCTCTTTGTCATCTGCTTCGCTATGGGTGTTGGATGCACTGCTGGCTACGAGACCGACTTCCCCGTTTGGGCTTTTGTCATTTCCCTCATCATCGGTGCCTTCTTCATGCTTCCCGTTGGCGTCGTTTACGCCATCTCCAACGTCGAGGTTGGTCTTAACGTCATCTCCGAGTTCATTATCGGCTACATGCACCCTGGTTCGGCTACCGGTATGATGATGTTCAAGGTCTTCTGTTACATGGCTGTCTACCAGGGTCTCTCCTTCACCGCCGACATGAAGCTTGGTCATTACATGAAGGTTCCTCCTAAGGACATGTTCATTGCCCAGGTTACCGCTATCGTCGTCTCGTCCTTTGTTGTTCTTGGTGTTCAGAGCTGGGTCTTCTCCAACATCGAGAATGTTTGCACACCCGACGCTTCTGACAACTTCACCTGCAACTATCTCATCGTCTTTGGTACCGCCTCTCAGATTTGGGGTCTTATCGGCCCTGGCGCCGTCTTCTCCCCCGGAAAGCAGTACGGCAAGCTCTTATGGATGTTCCTCGTCGGTGCCATCTTCCCCGTCATCATCTGGGCTCTTACCAGGAAGTTCCCTCGCTCGTTCATGCGCAAGGTCAACTCGCCCGTCATCTTCACCGGTACCGGTCTCATGCCTCCTGCCACCGGTATCAACTTCACCGCGTGGGCTCTGTGTGGTTTTGTCTTCAACTACCTCGTCAAGAAGTATCGCACCGGTTGGTGGACACGATACAACTACGTCCTCGGTGCCGCCTTGGACACTGGTACCGCTATTGCTGCGGTTCTCATCTTCTTCTGCCTTATCTTCCCTAAGGGCAGTCAGAGCGACTTCGCCTCGGACGGATGGTGGGGTAATACAGCTCCGTACAACACTGCCGACGGTAATTTGGCTTCCTACCTCACTGCTCCCGAGGAAGGCTTCATGCCTGCACCTGGACAGTTCAGGCCTTACTATAGTTGATTTTACCATGTCTTTATGATTTCTTTCTTATTACTTTGATTCCCAAGCTTCTCTTTGCAGAGGCCTCATGCATGTAGTATTGTAAAGGTTACAAGGATTTCTTTTCGTCTGCTTGTATGTTTGTGTGTTTGTGGGTGTACATGAGAGTGTGGCGCGTAAGTGACATTGGAAATCGTATAGGTCGGTCCTTTTGCAAAGGTGACGTTGGTCGTGTGTTTCACGTCGATATGAGTGAATAGCACGCATCCTTGGTGCTGACACTCAAACCGGCAATCATCACATGAGCACAGACACGAGGGTATGCTGATAAGCCACGTCAGAAGTCTGAAAAGGATAATGATATTGTAGATACAATAAGACATTATGCAGCCGAAACCTTTGCCTCGCTCTCCCCATCCGCCGCCATAGTAGCATCCTCAGACCCAGGTTGAGGCCCCAGCATATCCATGAATGTCGCCAATCTCGCCCTGTTCCCGCCCGCTTTCGTCGTCAAATACTCCACCAACCCAGTCCTCAAATCCGGCTGTCTACTGACCACCTCCCTCAACTGATCTTTCGGCAATTGAATCAAAGCCCCAAACGAACTTGGGGCTGTCTGTTTAGCACAAAGAATAAACCCATCCCAAAGCGGAGGATTTTGCCAAATCTTCTTTGTGATCAATCTCGACAAAAGATTCCTTGCCACATAGCCAGAGAGAGACTTGTAAGTCGAAACGGCCATAATAACGGTACGCATGAACAGCATTGGCAAGTTCTGGTCTTCCGAAATCTGGTTGAGAACAGCAGCGAGGACTTCGGATCGATAAACGTCTGTCATACTGAAACAGATTTGGATCGCTGCAACTGTGTTTTTCAGTCCAATATCTCGTTCGGCGTGGTGGAGTAGACCCATGAGTTCGACGGGTGTCAACAGCTCCGTCTGCCTGACGCGAGGAAGGTTGGAAGAGACCGAACCGAAACCTTGCGGTGGCATCTGAACGATACTTTGGAAAACTGACTTGATCAGAGCTCTATCCTCCGGTGCGCGTGATCCTAGGATCGTCACAACCCGCGGTAGGCGTTTCATGATCTCAGCTTTGTCCAAGTCTGCCATGATCGGCACCAAGAATCGGGGATCCACATCACGCGTGTCGACCAACTCCTTGACCAATGATACGAGCGCAGGAGTACGGCTCTTCTCGGTGAGCGTCTTGAGGATGCACAGTGCCAATGAGTCCGCACCGTCTGGGAAGTTGCCTAGCAAGGTCAAGAGACGTGGATGGTTGGGTCCGAGCGCCCGGATGAGGTTGACAATGTGCGTCTCAATAGCGTCTTGTACAAACTTGGGTGTTCGAGGGTAGGCCATAAAAATCTCATCCAGCATGTCGGCGATCTTGGTGCACAAGGAGAAAGGCAACTCGACGAAGCGTAGCACATCATCGCCATCGATTGGGTGTGTTGATTCTCCTTTCTCTCCCTCTGAGGCTTTCTCTCCGTTCTCGTTTGTCTTCGTGGCGGCCTCTGCGTCGTCTTCGGTCTTAGTTGATCCATTGATGCCATTTGCATCTGCTGCGTCCCCATTGGTGGATTTGTCCTCGGTGCTGGCCTTCTCCGCTTCTACGCTCTTAGTCGGCTCCTGCGTCTCGATGAGGATATCAAGGTTTCTGCATGCAAAAGCAAGAATAGTAGCTTCAAGCGTACTATTAGTGACGGCGCACTGCTTGATCGCAATGATTGCCCTTGCTCGTGTGCTTCTTTCGCTTGTCCTAGTCAACTGCAGCAACTTATCCGCCGACTGCTCTCGCAGCGCAGGTCTCGAAATGCATATATCCTGCAAGGTCGACATACCAGCGACCATCTTGATCTTGTCCTTGCTCAGCGCAGCCACCAAGTCGAGCACTGCGGGCGGAATCTCGGGGAGATCAGCCAAAAACTTGGCGAGCGAACGATCTTTAGCATCTATGTCTGGGATCCAGGCCTGAACGAGCTTCTCCAGCCATATCGGGTACTGATCCTTGGTGGCAGCGCCGGAAGACGCGGCTTTTCTGCGTCGCACGCGATCACAGAACCACTCTTCCGCCATCCACGTGACAGCGAAACGTGTTCTGCGCGCAAAGTCGGCTTTGACGAGCTCGAGCATGAGGGAGCGGATGATGTCAGCTTGTGTTGAAAGTGTTCGCATTGGTTCGACGCCGCCGACAGCCTTGGTTTCAGGCTCGGTGGAGGCGGATGCAGGATCGGCGATGGGCTCGGCGAATCCTCGAGTTGCAAGACGAATGACCAAGGAAGACCAGAGAGCTTGCGTTCCCATTTCCGGCTGCGTTGTGGTGGCCAATGCTGAAGATGCAGCAGATCCGAAACCGCATATCCTTGCAATGGTGTCTTTGATCAGCGAGTCGGATTCGCTCAATGAAAGGTATTCTGGCGGTGCGAGAGCAAAATTCTCGATAACAGCCAATGAGAGCTCTTGCTCTTCTTGCTCTTCTGCTTCTTGCCCAGCTGATCCGGCTCTGGCATCCCGCTCTCGACCTTTAGCTTCCAATGCTTCAAGATCCTCCTCGGCAATGTCCATGGCCAGTGGATCTTGGACAACGTCCTCTGCGGTATCTTGCGCATCCTCTGCCTTGACAGCTTGCGGTGTGCCATCGCCATTGGCCTGTGCTTGGTGCGCCATCGGAGGAGGTCCGGGTGGCGGGCCGGGCGCGGGACCAGGAGGAGGCGGTGGTGGTGGTGGTTGCGTCCGGGTTGCGTTGCCTGTTGATGGTTCTGGCTGTGCTGACGTGGATGCATCTGGAGGCAGATTCGCTCGCATGTTGGCGATGGCTGAATGCAAGTCGCTTTCTGATAAAGCTTGCAGATTGGCAACGATAAGCTCGATCACGAGGTTGATGGGCAGCGTCTTGACGTCGAATGCGGCTAATGGATTGCGTTCGACGCCGCCTGTTGTTCGAACAGAGGCATCGCGAAAAGCCTCGGCCGAAGCATGGTCGCCTTGCTGATTGGCTGATCCGTCGGAGGTGCCAGCTTGCTGATGCTCGAGCTTGATCTTCTTGGGCGCTTCGAGCTCTTCGTCGATCCTCTCACGTTTGCGTTTGGCTTCGGCTTCCTTCTCTGCTTGGTATTTCTTGGCAGCTTCTTCCATGCGACGTTGCTGCGTCTCGAGTGCCTTTTGTAATGAGCTTGACTCTGGACCGGCGAGCTGGTTGCGAACAAAGTGTAGGTAGAAGACTCGAACGGTCTTTTCCACGTTTCGTATTTGTGTGTGGGTGAGGTTCGAGAGACTGGCGGGTGTCCAGGTAGCCATTGCTCGAAGAATAACCGAGCCGAGTTGCGGCCGTGCTTTAGCCAGTACAGCGAGCGAATTGATAGAGGCCATGATGAGATCGGTGACATCGCTGGTGAAGATGAGTGTAACGATCTGTGCGAAAAGGCGATTACCTTCTTCTTCGAGGCTGGCAGCATTGAGGAAAGGATGCGAAGAAGGTATCTGGTTGAGGCCGACATCGTTCTTGAGCTGAGCACGAGGGTCGGTCGAGCCGCGCGACTGAAGCTGCACAATACGCTGGTAGCATTTGATGACAGCAAGCTTGGTTCCCTGACTGCCGTGATCAAAGAGATGGACTACTTGCGCCTTGATGGTTTGGACTGTTTGCCAGAGGCTCGACTTTGCACGATCATTGCATGCAAGACGGAAGAGGACAGGATACATGCTTGCAAAGCATTGAGACGCGATCTTTGTCAGACGCGGATCTCTGTCCTTGATGAGCAAGAGTATCGCTTGCGGTGCATGAGTAGCTAAGTTGGCTTTTGTGTCTTGGGCGAGAGCAGGTCGGCAGAAAGCAAGGTCCATGACTTGGGCTATCCATGTTCGCAATGATGTGCTGGCTTTTGGCAGAAGCGAAATAAGTGATGGTAAGAGGATGGGGATGTTGCCTGGCTGTACCTTGAGAAGGTTGTACAGCTCCGAGAGATGCTGAGCTTCTTCGTTCTTGTCGGACGAGTTGAGCGCGGCGCTCAGCAGGCCTAGCGCATCTGTGTTGGCGGGAGCCGCCATTTCGACTGCCGATGAACCGAGTAATTCGTATCGGATTGTATCGGAATGAGCGAAAGGCCTGAAAACGAACGATGAGTCGATGACGAGCTATGTGAAGCTGTAGTGGTGAGATCCAGCAGCGTGCCGGCTGTGACTGATTAGCAGAAGCGGCGTGTAAATGGCATTTGTGTCGGATGCCGGCGACCAAAGAGCGTCTACGAGAATGAGCGATAAATCAGCGCAGTCGAATGTGCCAGAGCATAGAGCGAGACAACGAGGGAGCGTGATCGAGGTGGTGTTCAGAAGATCCGGTTCGAGACGGCCAGCAACGCGGGCGAATAAAAAATAAATAAAAAATGGACGGGACGAGTCGAATCTGCCTCTAGCGTTGGTAGATGCAGGTTTGGTTGGAGCTGGAGATAGCGCTACAGACCTAACAGCTTGTGTATGGTGAGAGGGAGAGGGGATGATGGTGAAACAATGCAGAAGAAAGACTTCCAGTGTCGATGGAATGAATCAGTCTGTTGAGCCCAAAGTGTCCTTGAATTTCGTCGCCAAGACGGGCTTCGACTTTTCGGGTCTGTTCACACTGGTGGTCTGTGAACGAGAAGGCTCTGAGACTGTGATGTTAAGTCAAATCGAGAATCAAATCGGGAGTCAAATCGGGAGTCAAATCGGGAGTCAAATCAAACAATCGGGATGCCAAGCGCACGGATGCACAAGGCACGAGGCAAGGAGCGTGTCGCACTTTTGGCCACTACAGCTCAGCCCCTCAAGCTCGCAGCCATTGGATTTCGCAGTCATCGCCTCCACCCATCCTCGCTCGTTTCTGGTATCGTCGCTTTCGTAGAGGTATCATCACCAACACATTCCATCTTCTCATCACAGCTGCACATATACAATGGTAAGACTCAAAGATGACAGCATCATCAGCGTTCGCTCTAGAACCTTGGGCGGCTCGGTCTACAGAAAGGAGCAATCACTTACCAGTTTTCATCCTTTCTCGATGCCCGAACTGCTCTCATTCTCCTCTCTGATCGACACAGGCCGCACAACAATCACAGGGTATCCAGACCCTTCTCGAAGCTGAGAAGGAGGCCGCAAAGATCGTACAGAAGGCACGAACATGTAAGTGCTATTCCCCTTACAGCCGCGAGCCTAGGCTCTTGCTATGCATCAACCTTCATCTTGCAGGCGCTTGGTCACAGTCAGAAGCGTTTCAGCAACGAGCTTTTAGCAGCACAAAGCATCGAGATCGACTGATCTTGAGCTTTTGTCGCATTTTTTGCCTATTTTCATGACGTTTTGCCCACCACAGACCGAACTCAGAAGCTCAAGGACGCACGTAACGAGGCATCAAAAGAGATCGAGCAGCTCAAGTCCAAGAAGGAGAAGGAATTCAACGACTTCCAGAAGGAGGTAAGTTGCAATCCGATGATATACCCGCCAACTAATCTAAATGGTCGCTCAGGGTCTGACCCTCTTCGTTCACCTCCACTTATTCTCTTCATCTGCATTCTGATCTTTACTAGCACGAGGGCTCAACCTCCAACTCGCAGAACACCGTAGACAAGGAGACTGAAGAGAAGCTCGAACAACTCAACAAGGCCTTCGAGGCGAACCGCGAAGAGGTCATCAACAAGCTTCTCGATCGAGTCGTCGATGTCAAGACCGAGCTTCACAGGAATTTACAGCTCAAGCAGCAGCAGCAACAGCAGAAGGCTTGATTCTCGCTACATCACAGCCTACATTGCAGCGTAGCGGCATCTTATTCGCCTACTGCATTGAGGTTCGGATCCCTGCAGACCTTGCGTGATCGTCTTTTAGATGGATAGTACACAGTCGGGTCTTTGCATGCATGTGTAGCACACACATGTAGATACATATATCCTTCTTCCGAACGTTTTTTCCGTGGTTACGTCGCTGTGGTTTTGCCTCAGGGCCAAATCTCATGGCTTGCTTGCCTGCTTGCTTGTGAGAATGAGCAGACCGTTGAGCTGCGGCTGGAGTACCTTGGTGAGCAAGATCCGTACTTGACAGTGAGCCTAAAGTTGCAGCGCGATTCACCTACCCTTCGGAAGTTGGCAAGGCTCCTCGCCATACTGATTCTGACGCCTTATCACGCACCACATGCCAACGTGGTGAGCAGCGAGCCCCGTGTACCGAACTGGGGTCGTCTGTCGCCGAAAACGACACTTGGATCGCTGCGTCCAAGTCTCTAGTCACAGAAGAATCCGGAACAAAGGTGCTTGAATAAGATGTCTTGCCCTCGGTCAGTTGCGGTTCTGTATATATATGTTCAAAATGATCGCATTGTCAAAAGCAGACAACTCCATCCCGATTAGCTCAGTCGGTAGAGCGTCAGACTTTTAAAGCTAAGTCTCCGAGCACCAGCTTGGATTACATTAATCTGAATGTCAGGGGTTCGAGCCCCCTATTGGGAGTCATTCTTTTTTTGCATTTCTTTTTTTGCATTTCTTTTTTTGCATTTCTTTTTTTGCATTTCTTTTTTTGCATTTCTTTTTTTGCATTTCTTTTTTTGCATTTCTTTTTTTGCATTTCTTTTTTTGCATTTCTTTTTTCAACATTTGCAACTGGCATCATAAAGGCTTGATTTCGTTTCGTGAAGTTAATTTTCTCACCCATCTAGCCTAACTCATTGAAAGGAATTTTTTCGGTACCCTCGCAAAAACAAGCTGGACAATGGCTTGAGCATGTCGTTGATCATCGGCTTTGTTTTCAAGTAGGAACTTGTCTTCTGTAGCTGAACACTGTCCGAGCAACGAGAACTGAGAAAAGATGCACTGAGAACGAACGAGCAGTGACATGGAAACCGGTGCGGAGATGGTTGCGACATAGGATCTTGCTGTCCACATCACTGCAGCTTGATGGACCAAATCTCTGATACAGTTCAAATACGCAATAGGAGCTCCAATGCACAAGATGGTTTCATGGCGCAGTTGGTTAGCGCGTCTCCTTAACAATTCCGATTTCGGATCGTTGAGGCTTACGGAGGAGGTCGCCGGTTCGAACCCGGCTGAAATCATTTCTTTTTGCCCTCCAAACCTGCTTTTAGCTTTGGTTCTTCTGGCACCCGTTTGTCAATTACAACCTTTGGATCACATCTGCATAGACGAACTATTCAAGTCGGGTTTCCCAAGCGTTTTTGAACTTCTATTATGATTATACAGGAGTGCTAATTGGTATGACGGCGAGCAATAGTCTCCTCCCTGACATGTTGTTCCATCTGTGGGTTCCAACAAGCCACCGCCTTGCGTTCTCCAAAGAAGTCCGCTCCCAATGTGGCCGTTCCCAACGCGCCCTTCGTGTCCCTGCTCTGTTTTTCCAGAACGCTATGGAAGTCGGATAGACTGGCTGCACTACTGCTGCTGCTGGTAGTTGAAGTCAAGCCAAGTTCGAGATCCAACAAATCACGCCACTCTTGTTCGCGAGTGAGGCTGTTGAATTCCTCTAAAGGCGAGTCGGGATCGTCATCGGAGGAGAGGGTGGAACGGAAAACGCCATGTGAACGGAGGAACTCGTGTACTGCTTGACGATCGTATGACACTATTGCTGTCGTTGCTGAGTCCGCGGAGACGTCCGAGGAAGAAGAGTTTAAGGCCCCGTCTTCGCCGCTTGATACCGTCTCTATTGTCGAAGCGACTGCTAGCACCGAGCTTGACTCGACCACTGGTTCTGCAGAGCAAGCAGTATTCGTCACTTCCGCAGCAGCGATATGTACTTCATTAGAGATCTCTGCTGACGTCGGCGTGGCCTCCGCAAACAACGTACGTTCAACAGGAGAAGCCACACCTTGCTGCCCTACCATCTTCGCCGCTGCCCCACTGGCCGCTGTACCCAGGATAGACCTCGCAGCAGCCCTGACCTTAGGCGGCATAAGGAAGACCAACCTTGCATGTCTCAGCTCTGTCTCGTACTCCCTGATCGATAAATCATCTGGTGGACGGAACTTTTTCGATTCTTTGCGAAGTATGGTCGAGATTGAGCCATGCTCTTTGAGCAACCGCAAGCCTGTTTTGGGTCCGATTCCTGGTATGGTGCGGTTGAAATCAGTGCCACAGAGGAGAGCGAAGTCGAGCATCAAGGCGCGAGTCGTTCGATCGTACGGTTCGGCGTTGCCAGAGGTCATGGCGGTGCTATCGCTCCCTGTATGAAGCTGCATGAGCTTTTCGACTTCAGGCTTGGGAAAGAGGCCTGTGCGGACACGTGTTCCGCAGACAACCTCAAGCTTTCCCCTCCCAGCTTCTCGAGTCAGCACTCCTGGACTGCGAACACCGCCCATCAGACCACGCAAGAGAGGGGCTTCATAGAGAAGAACATCGCTGTCTTCGCTCGCAACGAGATCAGCAAAGCCTGATCGGACGAGAGAGGCAGCGTAGGCTTCTGCTTCATGAATCCTTCCTCCGCCTGTGCGTGTGCCATCTCCTGTCCAGAACACAGGGACTGCCATGAGTGAAGATAGCGTGGCGCAGTCTTGATATATTGAAGCGGACAGAGGTGATGTTGCTCGATTATACGTCTTTGTTAGGGAATGGTGCATGGCGTTCAGCGAGGATAGAGGATGCAAGGGAGTGGCATCTGTTGTTCCGATCGCTGTGTCTAGCCCTTCTTGTATCGGTGGCAGCGGCTGGGGCGCCTCGCCAGACTTGAGCTGGGCAGCGATCGTGTGATAGATCTCTTGCTCAGCTTCAGCCAGCACCTTCTGCCCTTTTGACTGACTTGAGACGCCACTACGCAAGCTTTCTTCGAGTTGTAGCCAATTTGTGTGCATGCTGTAAGCCACCGACTGTGGTTTTGTGGGTGCTTCTGGGAGTGGTGGTGGTGTCAAAGCTATTGACTGTGGTTTTGCGGGTGCTTCTGGGAGTGGTGGTGGTGTCAAAGCTATTGACTGTGGTTGTGATGGCGGAGCCGTGGAGGTCGATGGTTGACTGAGCTTCTCGGACAGCTTTTGTTGTGATTGCTGTCGCCATTCATCGAGTAGGTCTCCGACTTGCCGCCTCTCGGATTCTTGCAGTGTTGACAAGGCGTCCAGATGTGCCTGAAGCTCTTGCAGACGGCCGCGTCGCTCGTGTTCTAGCTTGCTGCGAATCTTGTCGAGTTCGCGCTTGTTCCTTCTCTTGACCTGCTCTCGATCCTTCAGAGCTAGTCTCTTGTGAGGGTGGTCAAAAACCATGATTGGCATGACGCCATGTTGGCGCAGTGACGAGATGAGGCGGTAAAAGCCGATGACGTGTCGGGAAGGATGCGGGTCGTCGGCGAAGTGAAGCCGTTGTACGAGCAGCGTAGCATCTATGGCCAGCCGCAAGCCCTGAAGCGCCGGAAGTGCAAAGGGCGGTGATATCGCATTCGGCACCAAGGTTCGAATGAGTGGGAAGATGCCCCGAATGCCATGCGAAACCGATGAGGCACGCATGATGAAACCTTTGCCTCAGTCGCCGCCGAAAGGAAGAAGCCGGTGCTAGCGTCTGGCGTCTGATGCTAGACCAGCTAGCGAAAGTATCCTATCTTGAAAGAATGCCGGTCATAAGTAGTGAGTGTGGCAATCAGTGTTGGTAGTTCGTGGTTGTTGCTGAGCACATTTTAAAGTCGAGAAGGTCATGCTTTCAGGTTCCAATGTTGCTGAGTCGAAACTAGTTTGCTTGCAGATGCAGATGTGGAGCCTTGGCCAAAAAGAAAGAAAAAGAAGAAAAAAAGAACCCTTGCTGACACACGCTGTCTTACGCGTGACGTTAACCAAAAATAAAAAAACTAAAAAAACTCCCAACGTGGGGCTCGAACCCACGACATTCAGATAGACTCCGAGACATGCTCGGAAACCCTTGTAACTAAGAGTCTGACGCTCTACCGACTGAGCTAGCCGGGACAGAGTTGTACTTGCGAAAGTGTATTATCAATATAATGTAACCAACTTTTCTTAAGCCTCTCCAGACCCGATTTTTTTTCGTTATTGGAGTGAAATCACACGACCTCTTTTCTTCGCTCTAACATGTCCGCCAACCTCGTTTACCGTCGTCACTCATCTTCACCCACCAACTCTCATCAATGCTCATCATCACCCACCAACGTTCATCAACGCCCATCATCACCACCAACGCTCATCATTACCCACCAACGCTGCTCATCATTCAAGACAACACCCCTTTACCCTTATCACGATAGCACGCAATCCTACGTGTCACCTCACCCCACACATACACACACTGACCATTGGTAGAGACATATATATCTAGCATTGCTTTGTACTTAGTCGCCTTCTCCTAACGACAACGATTGCTATCCGTTTTGCCGCCCCTCGCTTGTGTATTCCCCAACAATTGGGACACATGCTTGCACTCATACGGCATTGCGCTGCTTAGAATACAGACGAATCAGCCTTGCATTCGTGCCAGACGCTTGCAAAACACGGAATGAGACCAAAAAAACGCGAAGAAAATTGGCGCCCGCGCCAGCAAAAGAAGAGATGCCGCAACGCACCCGGCTTGCACAAAGATCATGAGCGAGAGATGGAAGCAAAACAAAAAGAGCGTGTGATGGAGTGGGGCAGCCAGCTGACGGAATGTGGAAGAGGTATAAAGTGAAACTGAACAATGATGAAGAAAGATGCAGGAGAGTGAGGACAGCTGGTGTTCCTGGAGCTGACAGAGAGCGCGAAGAAACCAAATCACTTGCTTCAACTGCCGTGCTTTTCATTGGCAGAGCAGGTGGAGCGTAGTTGAGGCATAGGGCGAACTGCAGGGACTTGATGCTCGTACTCCCCCTGCACGTTTCCAGGCGGGTAGTACTCGCAAACAATGTACATGGCGGCCTTCTCATTTGTGCCGTAGCCTTGCATGAAGTCTTTGCGCTGGGCTACTGCACAGCCGACGAACAGTGTGTCTTTCCAAACAGTCTGCGTCCAGTGACCGGTGCGTTCGCTCATCTGAGGGTTCTGTGCCCAGTTGCGATCTTCGTCGAGGAAAGCCATGATGGCATTTTTCATGCCTTCCAATGGGTTGCTGTAGCAAGGATCGCCAAGACCCATGGCGATGTTCTCGCCCGTAGCACAGAAGTGATCCTGGGAGTGACCGTATGCCTTGAGATCAGCCCAACATGCGGCCATATTGGCTAGCTCGACATTCCACTGCAGTGGTCGGAGACCGTAGCGAGCACGTTCGTTGTTATGCAGATCGAGCGCCATCTTGGAAACAGGGTCCAGAGCCTCTTTGGAGAAAGGCTGGCTGAAGCGGTGGTCCTTTTCTTCGATTGTGTACTGCCGACCAGTGAAGGGGAAGCGACGGTTGCAGATCTCGGCTCTGGCAGGACGAGGGATGGGCTCACCAATCTCGGCAAAGGCTGACAGAGCGACAGCTTGAGCAGGCGAACGCATCCATTCTACCTGAGCGTTAGAGAAAGGTGCGATGTTGCTGGACGGTTCAGTGTGACCGGCCATGACATAGTGGAAGACATTCGAGAAGCGGCTGTAGGACGAATGAGCCGAAGAAGAATGCGATCGAGCGATAACAGTGTGATCGACGACGCGGCCATCCTTGTTCTGAACTGACTTGGTTGTTTCATGAGTACTGTCAGATGTGTCCTGACCGTGGCTCGAGCGAATCTCAGTGTATCTTTGAAGCGGTTGAGGTGGCTGAGATGTTTTTGAAGGCTGACCTTGTGTGGGTGGCTTCTGATGCTGGTCCGACTGGCCTAAGTGACTGATATATGGGCTGGTAGAGCCAAGGCTGGTGCCGTCATTTGTTGACGATGTTGATGAAGACGAGGATGAGGAAGAAGAATGCGACGACCATGACCATGACCAAGAATGAGAGGATCCATTTGGACGGGTCGAGGATTTCACCTTGACCTGTACATGTGGGTTTCCGGCGGTGCCGGTCAGGTCTCTCTCCGCTACTTGCTCCTGGCCACCTTTCTCTTCGGAAGCCGAAGAAAGCTTCTTAATCTCATCACCAACATACGAATTTATGGCACTATTGCTCTCTGGGCAGTCTTGAACCTCTGCAGATGCTCGCTTGCCAACGAATGCTCGATGAAGGGCTCGATGAGAGTGGCGAGGAGAGCGCGGAACTAGATCTGCTAAAGCGTAATTAGTGACGAGAAACACGACATACAGCATGGCGACCAGCGCCACACTGAGGCCTTTCAAGAGCCTAGCCATCGTAGCCGGAGTGAAATGGGAAGGAAGGGGAGAAACTGTATGGAAAAGGAAGGTGAAGGGCCAAGACAAAGAGAGATCAGGAAGCCGGAGTATGTGGTAGTATAGTAGCAAGTTGGTGCCAGTCGCAATTGTAGCTGGTTCAGTTCGTATAATAGACCTGACACAGCGGATCCTGTGCAATCGTTTCGCAATATCGGTGCGACACCTGTTGCCACAAAAGGCTTGGCGTCACTGGACAATGCTTGATGGGAGCTGCTTGTAGTCGCCAAAACTCTGCCGTGAACCCCTGTGAAAATTGCTCATGCCCAGACGCCCTTGTTTAGACGAAGATCATAGGCACACCCCACGTTCAGCCGTGACCGCTCTCTGAGAAACGCAAATGAGATGCAAGCTCGTGGGAATTGCGGACATGAGCCTGGGAATTTTTGAATCGAGGCTCGACAACTCGCCACCCTACAGTATCTAGAGCGATCGCGGCCTGCTTGCTTTGGGATGCGTGCGAGGTGGTGGGCAAGATGCGCCCAATGAGGGACAATGTGGTCGAAATGAAGCCACCGACGTGGCCGCTCGGTCCTGATGCAACAAATGGTTGCAACACCGATATGAAGTGGGGGGAGGCTGGTTGGTGGTAGTGGTCCAACGTTGTCGCAGCAACGAGACTTCATTTGAAAACCAGACCCTCTCCCACCAAGTCTCTTAAGACCAAGAGCTCTGCTGTCCTGACTCGTCAGGACTTCAACAGAAGCGATCGAGGTCAGTGTCTCGTCTGATGCTCCTAACTTTTCGGATAATTCGAGTTCGTTTCGAACAGGCTGTTCTCCATCTCATTCGCACCCACATGTCCGCTGATGCATATCGACATCGTTTTCGAGCACGAAAAATTGTCGTCTTCAGACTAGCATGTCGAAAATGAGCCTTGTGGAGCTTCTATCTATCAAGTCTGCGGAAACCGACCGTCCCTGTGCTATGCCTCATTGCATCGATATATTTGTAGGAAGGCTGCGCCTGTATCGACTCTTATCAGGCCGAGGACCTCGGCGTGTCCGATGACCATATCGGGGAGAGATAAGGGCCATGAGCTCTATCGCTGAGGTTCTCTTGCACTGCCTCGTCCTGTTTCAGACCCATCTTCCGTCTCAGCATGTTACTGAATCATTCACAGGGTAAGACGTATGAAAGCACCACGTTCAGTTAGTTTGTTCTCCGTTAGCATCCAATCCATCTGTCTATACATACTGTTCATCGTCGACATACGTAATAAGCCGCGTCCAACCATTCAAGTCTGCCACTCGTTTCAACAATATTGACCACTACGTGTCCACCCGTGATGCTCACGAACGAAAAGTCACTGTTTCATTCCAGCACAAACGAAATTGGACCGACGAGCCGGCCAGGCAGTGCAGCACACAAGTGGGGCAACTTTCGGTCTTCATCTCCAATGCATCTCTAGGAAGCTTGCGAGTCTAATGATGCTCCATGCCTTATGCAATGTGGGTTGTCACGGAGACGCAGCCGTGAAGTTGGGTGGCTCAGCTAGCTGTTCGACATCAGTGTCCCTCGAGGATGCGTGTTTTTTTTCTAACCCATCACCATCGCACTTTAAGAGGCTGGACATTACCTCCTCAAGACACTCTCGCAAACAATACCGAAGGGTCACGATAACAATCCAGAGGCTGGCCTCGTCATCCTGCTACAGCTGACCGCCACGCAGCAGTCCAAACCTCATCATGCGATTCGAGCTTTTGCTCTTTCTTAGCTTGGCTTGCCTTGCGTTCACAGCGCAGACAGCTCCGGCCTCAGCCAAAGACGCGCTACAGGAGCAAAAGCATAAGCAGCGCGACAGCGAGCCTCACAAGCACAAACCGAAGTCTGGACCACGTCTTCACCGACATCCTAAGCAGCATCACTACAAGTCTTCCCATCTTGGCCATGGCAACAACCTTAAATACACCAGAGGTCTGACGAGTTATAGTGTGGAAGTGGTGCAAGATACCAAAACGTTATTTGTTCCAGAACATGAATCCAAACTTCGAGCCAAAATCGATGCTATAGAGAAAACATCCCTCGAAAAAGAGAAACTGAAGCAACACGAGATCGAGCGCGCAGATATCATTGAAACTGCCAAGCATGGCGCAGTACCTCCGAAGTTCCCACTGGTCACCGTAAGCATCCAGGCTTGTATTGACGCTTATTCGCTTATCCCAGTCGCTGACGTTTGGATTCCTACTTTTTGGTGGCTTGCCGTATTCAGAGAATTAGCAGCTTTATCGGTATCGTTGCAGCAATCGCCAACGTCGCTAACTTCATTTTCGCGGTCAAGACTACTGCTTTAGCAACGAAACAATTCTCCGCGCCCCCAACTCCGCCTACCTTCATTGATACGGCTGGACGCTGGGATGGCCAGCAGTATCAGCTGATGCCTTTGCCTCAAGAACCAGACGATACAAAGTCTGCTAGGAAGAAACGCAGTCTGCCAGATGAGTGTGCAACTGTGCCTCCGGCTCACAAGCGCATGGTCAAACGCAAACGACCCCATCACACGGAACAGTCCCAAAAGCTCGATGAGGCTCAGCACGATCCGAAGCTGTCGAAGAGATTCGTCACAGCTGCGGGCGTCGGGCTCCTTTTGGGAGGAGCCATCTCACCTGGTATGCCTTCGCTTGTCATGGGGTGGAAGCCCGAAGTGGACAAGACTCCTTTCGATCCTTATGATCCTAACGTCCTCAAACCCAAGGATCCGTTCGCTGTCGCTGCTGCTGATCCGGATCATGCATTGCCAGCTCTGCCCATGCGGAAGCCTGCTCCGAGTGGCTCCTCGAACGGACTACCTTCGCTTCGCAACATCGTCTTCCCCGCATCAGCTTATAGCTCTTCTGCTACGAGCATTTTGCAACAGCAGCAGCAACAGCTTACGGCTGCGACCGCTCAACAAGGCAGTGCCATCAGCTCCGCGAATGTGCCTGCCAGGGGAAGTTCGACCGCATCCGCATCCGATGAGGTTCAAACAGTTCTCCGCAAGAGATCCGTAGAGGCTAAACACAGCACTGAAATTGAGCACCAAGTGAGGGAGTCATCAAAACCTCTAGAAAAGCGTTTCTTGTTCGGCAAGGGACCTGTGGGCAAAGTGACAGGCGCTGTAGCCCTTGGCAGTATACTTTATGTTCTTTACAAGGGTGTCTCGCACTCAAGATGGCGACAAGAGAACCCGCGTGACCGCGACATCCTCAAAGACTTGGATGACACGCCGATGTATGGCGCCGTTGGTGTCCCCAAGCGCATTCCAGGACAGCTGGCGACGAAAGCTATGCCAGGGTACAGCGACTACGTTGCCAAGCTTGCTGCTCAACAACAGACACAGCAGCAGGCTGCAATGCAGCAGCAGCAGTGGCAGCAACTAGCCACTACGCAGGCCCAAGCACGCGATGCTCTGACCGAACAGGCAATCGCAGCGCAGTCCAGCAGCGGTGGTGTAGGTGTCGCGGCGGCTGATGCGGGCAGCAATGATCCTGTGCTGCGACGTCGCAGCAGCGATGCATCCTCGGCTGTATCTGCCAAGCCGGTGTTCGGCGACGCAGGCCAGACTCGTCTGGATAAGCGTGGCGGCAGAGCCGTTCTGATTGGAGGAGGCCTCACCGTCATTGGTATTGCTTTGGGCTATCTTCAGTCAGCCACCATGTTCCCGACGGACCGAGACGAAGAAAAAGATAAGAAGAAACGGGAGCGAAAGAAGCAGCAAGAACAGCAGCTGTTGATGCAACAGCAACAGGCATTAGTGCAGGGCCAAGCTGCTCAGTCGGCTGGTATGGGCTATGCGCCTTCCGGAGCATCCGCTCCGCTGGTATCCTCGTCAGATGGAGGAGGTATTGCCTTCCCTAGCAGTGCCTACAGCTCCTCAGGCAGTACTTATCCTCCTTCCATGGGAGCAGGCTCCTTCTCCTCCAGTGCTGGTACTGAATCGTCCACAGGAGGTGCTTCGTCAGCGAGCGCGGCGCTTAACGCTGCTGCTGGCTACTCCTCGGCAGGCGGCAGCGCAAGCGGTAGTGTCCTCAAGAAGCGAGACATCTCTGGCCATCCTGATCAAGAATCCGAGACTAGATCGCTGTCGAAGCGATCACCTGGTGTCGGCTCCTTCCTCTCAATCGCAGGTACGACCATGTTCTTCGGCACACTTGCCGGCAACCTTATCGTGGGCGAAAAGGAAAAGCACAAGCCGGTACCTTACGTAACTCCCAATGCGGATACTCGTGGTCCAATGGTTCCTGGTGGTGAATTGTACACGCAGTATCTGCAGTCGAAGAGACCTCCATCGACATCTGGCGACGCGTTCGGTGATGTTGGAGCAAGTCTCGCTACGGGAACGCCAGCGTCAATCACCGGCCAAAATATGGCGCCTGCTTCTGCTCCCGCTTCGATTTATGGTCAGACTCCGGTCGTGGGCTCTCAACTTGGCGCTAACACTGGTACTGCCGCTAGTCCCAATGCTCCTGACGTGGGCAGAGGTGGTGAAGCGGACCCCGTTCTCAAGAAGCGCCATTCCCCCAGACTCGAAAAGCGTGTGCCTCTGTCATTCGCAGGAGCCAGGGCAGAGGCGGCTGCTGGATTGCTCACCAAAGGCGTCCCCATGGTCGAAGCTGAAGTTGGCGCAGCATCGGCTCTCAGTAGAAGCGCAGCTTTATCTGAAGCAGGTGCAGCTTCTCGTTTCGCACCCACCACCCGCTTCAGCAGCTTGTCAGGCGTACGTGGTGGAGCAGCGGCCTCAGAAGCCGGCTTCGCTGGACTCGGTCGAGCCTCTATGGCTGGTGAGGGTAGTACTGCTGCGAGGATCTATCAACCCAACGCAGCGGCTGTAGGATCTGCTCGACCTGCCATGCTCTCCGATCTTGGAGGAGCGTCAGGAAGAGCAGGGACGCCCGCCACTTTCGCAAGGTCCGCATCAACTCGTCAGCTCAGTCCGGCGGAAATGCAGGGGCAGCAGCAAAGGGTTGCTGCTGGACAAGCTGCGGACATGAACCCTGGCGTAAAGGGGATGTCCGGCCAGGCACCCGAAGAGGCGAAGAAAGGGTGGACGTCGCAGAAAGTTTTGGGCATTGTCGGCGGTGCTGCTGGCGCCACAATGCTCTTTCCTGGTGCTGGTTGAGCCGATGATTCGCTCCTTTCCAGAGCACCGTTCCTTGTTCAACGATCTTATCTTACTTCCGTTCTTCCTTTTGCGCTATACCCGCGCGCTTCTATTCAGATATGCATTTGTCAGGTCCCGCTCTGCTTGAAGTGATCATCTTCATTCTTTTAAGCGCTCTGTAGATGATCCACTGTCCTTGTCCATACTCTTCGAATCACACAGTCCTTTCTGCTTTCCTATAGAAGTGAAATGTTCATTGAAATTGCATGGGTGACACTCGACTTCAGATGTTTACTGCCCAAGCTTCAAGGTGAAACGAAAAGAGACAGGGGGTTGGTAGGAAGGTGCAGGAATGAGCAGGAATGTGCAGCAATTGGGTAGTGTGCATCGACCTTTGGGCCGTTGTAGACCTAGTCGATACACGACCTTTAATATTGCTATCTTCTATCTAGGCTTACTTTTTGACCCCAATGAATCAATTCAAACAACCTATCAGCCTGCAATCCCCTGATCTCCGAAGAGACGGTGGGGAGAGGCTAGGTTATGGGGCTTCGAAAGAGCCAACTTCGTCTGATGAGCCAGCGAAGAGAGGCGAGAGGGTGGAGGAAGGGAAAGGCAAATAGGGAGATAGGGAAATAGGAGCGAGGAAGCGAATAAATTGAGGTTCTCAAAGCTGGGTTGGACCAGGAAGGTGTCAATGCAGACTGTTGCGCTTGGCGTTGAAGGTAGGGAGTGGTTGGTATGAGCTTGGAAGGAGATGCAGGATCGACACGAGGTGGACGGGACGGAACCGTGAGGCTGGGCGAGCTAGGCGGACTGAAATAATCCATGCACATGCAAATTGTCTGACTTGCTGACATAAAGTAGCTTGGTGATGGTTGGGGTCGGTATAGTCCACCTTGTTGATGATGGAGGGGAAACAAGGGTGGACGAACATGAAACATCGATCGAATCTTTTCTCGTCAGCTGTCCATTCTCAAGAAGAAAGGCGGAAGAAATTAACTATAAAAAAAGGGGGCTGCTGCGGGCGACAGAGAGATGGTCGGAATAAGGATTACATAATACACCTTCACCCCACCTTGTATCCCCTTAGGACTTCCGAAACACACCACTACGGGTCGGTCAGCAATCATTGGAGCGAGACAAAAGGGCCTCAGCTAGCAGAGAAGGAGCTTGCATGTGAGGGAAAGCTTTTTGATTGTATTGTACAGACAGAACAAATGCTGAAAGAAATCATACGCTGGCGGTGTTGGGCGTCTGAGCACGGGCTTTGACCACATCAGCCTGTTTCTCGATGACATGCTTGACCGCGGTGATAAGTCCATCCAGGCCAGGCTCACCCTCTGGCTTGACACTAATGACCCTCCTCTCCTTCTCGAGCAGACCGATCATCTCCTTGGGCAGCACATCACGCTCAAAGTCGAAGGAGGCGCCCGCTGATTCGAGACTGGATGTGACTGCTTCCGCGAACTTGGCAGGGTGTGCGGTTGAGAGAACAATCTGGTGTGGCCTTGAACCGTCCTTGGGGGCAACATTGGCGGCAGCCTTGAAGCCGACAGCGGTGTGAGGGTCGACGAGGTAGGAGCCAGATGGGTAGGCCGATGTGGGCTTTCTTGTGAAATATTGCAGGACGACATCGCGGATCTCTTGGTCGGAAACACGCTCAGCGGCAAAGTCGCGGCGAGCAATGCTGAGCTGCTTGTCGTCCAGGATGATTCTTGCCTCAGTCTTCAAGGACTGCATCCACAATGCGAGCTGGCGACCGGCTGCCTCCTCCTTCTCCAGTTGCGAGGTATTTGCGTTAGGCTCGGCTTGAGACTCGTACGCAATGTACCAGAGCAGACGCTCGAAGTTGGAAGATACGAGGATATCCATTGCGGGTGAGAGTGTGGCCCGAACACCACCCTGCTGTGCGCCATCGGAGGAGCCTTGTGCTGGCTCGGTCTGTGCTGAAGAGGGAACGGTGGTGGAGGTGCTGGCAGCACCGGACTTTTCGTATCGACCAGTGGCCCAGAATCGCTGAAGGATGTCATTCTCGTTGGTTGCAACGACGAGGCGCGAGATAGGAAGACCCATACGCTTGGCGTAGTAACCGGCAAGAATGTCACCAAAGTTTCCTGTGGGGACGATAAACTCGAGGTCCTTGGGTGTGGGTTCGGACTGGGAAAGACCGAGCTGCTTGCGGAAGCTGAAGTATGCGGAAAAGTAGTAGACGATCTGTGCGAGGATACGAGCCCAGTTGATTGAGTTGACGGCACCGAGGCGGTGCTTGGCGTTGAACTCGGCGTCAGAGAAGAGAGCCTTGACGACGTCCTGACAATCATCGAAAGTGCCCTGTACGGAGAGGTTGTTTACATTGTCATCGAGAACAGTGGACATCTGAGCCTCCTGGATAGGGCTAACACGGCCATTTGGGAAGAGAATGAAGATGCAAATGTCCTCTTTGGACCTGACAGCCTGAATGGCAGCACTGCCAGTGTCGCCACTGGTAGCACCGACGACGGTGAGCTTCTCGCGCTGGTGCTCGGGCTTACCCTTGTTTCTTCGCTGAAGGAAGTATTCGAAGAGATTGCCGAGAAGCTGGAGAGCGACATCCTTGAAGGCGAAAGTAGGACCGTGCCAGAGCTCGAGACACCATTCCTTATCGTCTAGGCGGACGAGCGGTGTGGTATCGTTGTGTCGGAAGGTGGAGTAAGACTTGTTGATGACTTGCTGAAGGTCGGCGGATGGGATTCCACCCTGAGCCGGGTCGTCGGGAATGTAGAGTGAGATTACACGGTGAGAGAGTTCAGAGAAGGAGAGATTGGCCCATTCGGATTGCCAGTTGGCAGGGAGCTGTGGCACTTGGGCGGGGATGAAGAGACCACCGTTGGGAGCAAGACCTGTGAGAACAGCCTCCTCGAAGGTGAGACGTTCGGGGCCTCCCCTTGTGCTAAGATATTTCATGATGCGTGCGCGGCGAACAAAGGTGAATCGATGAAGGCAGGAAGGAAGTGATGCCTTGTAATCAGAATCAGAATGCGAGCAGGCTGCAGAAGCACAGGGCAATCACATGCCCAAGAATAGAGGCCGGCACGTGACCTACCTAATATCAGAGCGAATGAATTTTCGTGGCTCTTTTTCTGGCTGGAATTTCCTTATTTTTTATTTTTTTTATTTTTTTTATTTTTTTTTATTTTACTGATTCTACCTTGGAGCAACAGAAACATCAATTCAGATAGCTACCGACGTTGAAAAGTGAAGACGTTTGGGTCCCGATACTGGCGATTGGGGAGAGTCTAAGTACGATGTCACTGTTAGTTATAGACAGAAACAAATATACTCAATTGACTGAAGGAATGTGGCGAGAGGCTAGTGCTCTCGGCTTGATATATATACACTAGCGTGGCAACCGCCAAAGGTGGGAGTATCCTACTTAATGATCTATCATGGCAACGAGCGGGACTGTGTTGCACCCGATCTCTGGTGAGATCGGCCCCGCGTCATCCTTTGGCGTCGCACTGGATCGCAATCTCCAACAACCTAGTCTAAAAGGAGAGATGCCAAAGCATCATCATCAATTCATCAGACAGCGAGTGTCTGTGACGGTGAACTTGTTCGGCGCATTGCTCTGCCGTGTTTGTCTTTTACAGACTGGCGTGCAAGGGACGCAAAGGCTATGCGAAGCCATGCAGAACATCGTGACTCGATCTGCTTGGCTTTTCCGACGACTGCATTAGAGACATCCGAGTGGCAGTGCCATGCAGCAGAGTGCACATGGTGATCATACGGTGGCATAGAGTTCCGATGACTCAACAAAGCGGTCACAAGGGGCAGCCATCATCTGTGCCCTGCTCGCATGGCAGAAGCACAAGACGGCGAAACTAGGAAAACAGCAATCATCGAGTTTATCTGGGCTCGCGTATCAGAGTTGACAGCTTGCCCTTGACTGTCCCACAAAAGCATGGTCAAGATCAAGGCATGGATGGCTCGGGAAACGGAAGGATGAGGATGAAGGAAAGCGGGAAAGGTAGGGTGATCAAGAGGTGTGCCAAGTCTTGGTTGAGAGGTCAATCCAAGGGAATCCCAACTCCGACCGAAACTCAGCATCGCCGATCCTTTCACATGCCCATGTGATTCGCAGTACAAGGAAGGGCAACCGCAATTTATCTGCGGGACCAAGAGAAGTCGGCGGCGGCAATGGCGGGGGCCAGTGCGGCAGCTTCAGTGTAGATGGTCATGGTTCAGGATGTCCATCGATTTCGAGCGTGAGAGGGTGATAATGTGTAGCGAGCATGAGTCGAGTCGAGAGCTTTGATGGTCGTCGATAAGTTAGCTGCAGACGCTGTAGCCGCAGCTTGCGAGACATGAGCAGCCGCAGCGGCAGGACATCAACGGATCACCAGGATCGCTTGCAGCTGCAGAGAAGGATCGCTGTTGACACTTTGTCGCGAGTGGCGGTGCTGAGCCCTCTTAGCATCGGTCGTGTGAGTGGCAATTGCTCCGATGGGCGTTGTAGGAAGATGCTGCCCACAGTAGCAGAACCATGTGGCAGTCAAACGCCAAGGGGAATGGATCGTCTGATTGTCAGATGGCGATTCATCTCATTCAGTTTAAGCAAGGGCAGAGAGCAAGTTTGCCTAGGAGAGACATCGATGAGGAGCGCCGCTTCATCGTCGCAGCAGATATTGCAAGCCAGTCTTCTCGGCGCACAAGTACGCCAGTGTGAGTAGGGCAGGCTTATGCTCTCTCATTCGCCTGACGATGTGGATGTAACCAACTCTGACTCAATCTCTGTCAAACAGGAGAGCAAGGCAACTTTGCTCTGGAAGCGTTCAGAATATCCACCGAAATTGCTGCAACAACGCTTGGTTTCGGTGCAGTTGCTCAGCCAATTCACCGGGTGCCACTTGTTTGAGCACGGACAGTCTGTCAGTGCGCCTGTTCATTTCGCAGCTGCAACTCTTTCTGCTCTCCTCTTTCTGCTCTCCTCTCCTCCTCTCTCTGTCTCTCTGACTCTCACCACTCCCGTTGCTTTCGACAGTCAACTGGCTTACTCTCTTCCTTGCAAAGATTGTGCTCCGCCTATTCCCTGGTCAACACCAACTTGCCAGCATCTTCCACCACCACACCGATCTTGATCGCCGCCTCCCAACACCCCCCGCTTTCGCAATCACTGCAGCACAAGGCTTCTCTAAATCTTTGCGTTGCATCAACAACCTTGCTATCTTTCCTTGCCCGCAATCTACCCTCGCCATTTCATCCTATTGGGCCTCTCTGAGTCTATCTACACCACCACCGCGCTCACAATGTCGGTTTCGACATCAGAACAGGCAGTCAAGTCGCCAGCTAACCCAAATAGCCGCCCCGAAGTCTGCGGTCCTCACGCTCCTGAGCGACCATACCCTATCTACCTTCGCGGCAAAGTCGAAAAGGGTTTTGGTCGTGGCTCCAAAGATCTAGGCTGTCCCACCGCCAACCTCCCTTCCAAGGTTGTTGGTCCCGGCTCTCCTCTCACACGAACCGGTGTCTACTTTGGCTTTGCCCGTGTCTTGCCTCAAGATCCTGATGACCCCACTCTCACCGATTCCGAAGATGTCGATGCAGATTACGCTGCGCAGAACCCCGTCGCTGCAGACTCGCTCGATGATGAAGACAATGAAGTAGTTCTCGGAGCAAGTCCGATCCGCGATCTTGATGAGGCATTCGCCGACAGTGGATTGCCTCGCCCTCGTCAGGCTAGCCGTGCACTGCCCAGTCCAGCTTCCGTACTCGAGGCAGACTCAAGGAGACCTCACAAGGAAGCTCAACTCAGCCGGTCCGAGCTCAGAAATGGCGCCCGCGACCCACCCACTGGCTCCTTGCATGGCGCTACAGCATCTTCTTCCTCATCTTCAAGCAGCCTTTCCGCTGGTCGACCGAAGAAGTCCAAGCGCGTCCATCTGCGACCAGAGGACTCGCACGTTTTCCCAATGGTCATGAGCGTCGGTTGGAACCCTTTCTACAAGAATACACACAAGACTGCCGTAAGTAGCACACCGCTATTATCACACCTCCTCCAATGTGCTGTGTTCGCATACTGACTCTTTCACTTCTTGTCTCTCTGAAACGCAGGAGGTCCACATTCTTCACGAGTTCGGCGCTGACTTTTACGATCACGAGATTCGCGTTGTGGTACTTGGCTACGTACGACCTGAGTACAACTACGAGTCGATGGGTAAGTACACTCTTTGCTGTGCTATGCCAATGGCACTACTAAATGTTTTGCATGATCGCTGATCAAGTCTTGTCTCTTCTGCATTGCGACTGAACCCCTTCTCCGTCACTCCTACCAACAACCGCTGTTACCGCCGTCCATCGTTTCGCCCAACTTTGTTACCCCTGGCTCCGGCTCTTCTACACATTGCCATCATCTGCACTATCATCATCGCTCATTGCCATCCCCGCCGCCGCCACCACTCTTCGTTCCCGTCAACGTCTGTCGCCATCCGTGATCACGCTCACTCACCACCATCACCCTCCACGCCCCGCCTATCATCGCTGGCCGCCATGACTCGCTATCGCTTCGTCAACCCCTTGCTCGGCCAACAGACGCACTGATCGCCGATATCGAAATGGACAAGAAAGTGACTGTCAACTCACTCAATCGTCCGCTCTATCAGGACTACTCACAAGATCCATTCCTTGGTCGTTGACCTCATTCGAGAGTGCTCAACTCCTCTATCCTTATCGCCTCCACTCTTCTCCTCCTATTGGTTTCCATTCGCTCACTCTCTGTAGTTCTTATTGGGTTCGTGCTTGAAAGCACGCGCGAGGCGTTGTATGTAATTTCATTTTGCTTGTAAACGTTCTTCGCCATTGAATTGAGTGTACTTCGCGCGATCAAGTGACAATCTAAGCAGGTGTTCTGCTTCTGCGCACGCATGCTCGGCCAACCATAGTCTCGACAAATGACAAACAGCCTTAATGAAGAACGATGCAATTACTTGTGAACAGAGACCGATGGAGAGGATAGAGGACGCATATCACCGAGAACCATAACGACCACGCCCGAGCCATGTCACACCATACCGCAAACAAGACCCTTCCACCACACCGCCTTCGCTCAAGGCAGATCGATCACTTCTTGCGTCTCCGAGATCTGTTGCCTAGCTACTTGCACCGCCCGTCTGATATCCTGACAGAACCTGCTCTCTGGCAAGGCAACCTGTCCGTCGAAGCGGAACCCGCAATCTGGGCACACCTTCATTGGGCTCTTTTTGAAGGTTCCGCATCCAAATTCGTCCATAGATATGATGCGCAGGATGTAGGCGTTCGGGCCGTAGTTGAGAAGGAAGCGTTGTCGACAAACCAGTCCTTTCGTGGATGGTCGAGGTGGTTCTTCCGAGTCGTCGTACGGAAGGCGTGCAAGCATGAGCCTCGGATCGATGTCACCCTCCGACTCGTTGCCATCGTCATCGTCTGAGGCGTCTGAGGCCTGCCTAGCATGATTATCCTCTTCGTCACTATCGGAAGCGAGCGTGTGGTCGTTCATGTCAACGTCGGTGTTCTCGTCGTCTCCCGACTCAGATGATGTGTCTGATGCAGTTTCGACGTCGACGTACCGAGTGCCCTCCTTCTTCAACCCGACCAAAAGGGTCAGGAGAAAGATCTCCCACGGGTCCGTATTGCAGGTCGTGCAAGTTGAAGCGGACCGAAACTTGCCGGACCAACGTGCCAAGAGGTCGTCAATCTCGGCTAGCCTCCAGAGGTGCAGGCGATAAAGCCGCTTGACTAGGGTCGAACCGATTCGCTTCTCGTCCTCCTCAGAGAGTAAACCCCAATCGGCGCCGAGTGTCAAACGCGAGCAGCTCTGTACGATCTCGGGCGACCGGACGACTGCGCCGGCTTCCACGATATCCGCAAATGCGGCGAAAGGATTCCAGCCGATGATTTCCTTCGGATGGTCGAAGCAATTCATAAGCTCATCGAGAGCTTTTTCAAATCCCTGAAGAAGGGAAGAGCAACCTTGTCTTTAGTTCATGGCCTAGTACGAGCAATGTGAAAAGGCACTTACGTGTAGCAGGTTTTGATCTACATTCCGAAGGCGCGTTGCCCTGACGTAGTGGCCATACTGTAAGAACGTGTGTCGATGAGAAGCAAGGGTCAATAACTTGTTGGAGTGGCTTTCAGATGGATGGCAAGGAGTGATACTTACAAAGTTGAGAAATTTCTGTGCGCGTTTTTTGATGAACGTCTTGCTGATGGCTTTTGGGACCTGAAGCGAGCGGCGCATGTCCTGCGGCACAAATTCGCTGAATTCCTTTCTGAGCAAGTCGGAGCGTCTGACGGAATCGAGGAGAATGGCATAGAGAGTCTCCAGGTTGTCCGGGCTTGTGCCGTTGATTGCTTTGCGTGGACTGAGCCTTAGAGGCCCCTCAGCCTGCGCAACAATCTGGCTCGCTTGCGTCGCTGCTTTGGCAATATCGCGGAAGAAGGCAGGATCGTTGATCAAGTCATCATCCATGGGCTTGTCGCTGTCCGGCACAGAGCATGATGAGGATGCAGCCCTGCCTCGTTGGTCGACGTCCATGCCATCGTCGGAAGAGTCAGTGTCATCTTCCTCTTCGTCCTCAGACAAAGACAGACGACGCGGAGGAGGAGGGGAGTGCTGACGCTGACTGGACCTCGTCGACCTTTGAGTTGAACGTGCCATTTTGGCAAATGAGTCGGACCGATAAAGTTGTTGTGTTGGTACGGCTGCGGTAGTCCTCGGTGCCTGGGTAATGGTGGTAGGTGGTAGGTGGTGGTGGTGTACTTTTCGCTGCTGGAACGAAGATGGTTGGGTAAGCAGAAATAGTCCTGTGAGTCGTCGAGGTGTCGGATTTCCTTTTCTCAAGCCTACCAACAGATTCAGAAGCAGTCTGGCTGTGAGCTTGGAATGTGTCAAGTCGCTCGTCCATTCGGATGATTCCTAGCCATGTCTTGTTGTGTCGGAAGAGCCGTGAATGGGAGACGACTCGCTCGGTGCACATCAGCTCTGCTCTACACCTCCACTCTCGTTGAGCGCAGAATCGCGTTCGGGATCGCAGGTCGCAGGCGCAAGATGAATCCAAAAAGTAAGCGCGGGTGTGCCGCCTATCATCGCGCTGCCTGATTACTCGTGCGCCAGGCCTTGCCAGCAACTTCGGCGTCGCCGTCACGGAGCGGCGTCGGTCCTGTTTGCCTGTCAACTCCTCGACCCCATCTCTGTCCAAGCTGGTCCATCCGATCGGGGCGCCGATTCCTTTGTGATCACGGTCGTGAGGGAATGTAATCATCCGCATTAGAATTGCCGTACCAGGTGCAAGTGTTTGAGGCTTTGCGATTCTTGTGGCATTGCAGTGGTGAAAGGTCAAGACTGTGTCGATTCCGTTCGAATCTATTCCATAGGATTTGTGCGACCAGCCTGTTCAAGGTGTACGCAAGAAGCAGCAGGGAGGAGGGCGAGATGGTTAGCATCCCATTTAACGTGTCCATAGGAAGGTCGTTGAGAATGAAACTTACCTGTTCGTCATCGTCATAATCATGTTGGCATCCACATAGAAGTTCAGTCCACCACGGCTTGCGAGCCTCTTCTCGTTCCTGTGCGTGTTCTGTGACACGCATCTTCCGGCTGCTTTGCGTCTTGCCCATAGTTCTGCCCATTGTCTCTATCCAGTCTTCGCCTTCTGTGATGCCGAGCTCTCTGAACTTTGAGCTGCTTGTTGATGTTCTTGTTGGCTGTGATCGGATCACATTGTCCGAATCGAGCGTGCTCTCGCCCAAGTCGCCATGATCATCTAGGCCTCTTGCTCCTCGCCCAGCTATCTCCATTGCCATTTCCTCATCCAGTCCTCCCTGATGTATCGTTGTCGAGATTGCGGCTTTGCCCCGATGGTGATTTTCAACAGAGGCAAAAGGGTTCTCTGGACGCCATGAAGTCAACTCGTCCGCATCAGCCTCAGTGTCTGTCGCGACAATGGTTGGCATCGATTGGCCCTTTCCTTTTCCTTTTGAATTGTAACTTGATTCCAGTGCTCTCCGCTGAATGCTGGAGGCGCGCCCGACGGCCACGATCGGCCGCGAAGCAGTCGGTGTGGGTCGGAGAGACGAACGCTTGCGTGAGAGATCGAGGGATGTCTCACCAGCGCTTCGGTCCGAAGGATCACGGAAGGGATCGCGCGCACTTCCATTCAAGCGAGCAGAGCCAGCTCCGTTGAACGACCTTGAACTGCCTCCGCTGCCATCCCTTGCATGATTTGCAGAGGTCACGCGTGAGCCGATGGGTGGAAGTTTTCGATTTGGACGATGATCGTCAGACACCAGTGAGCCGAGCGATTGCGAGCTATCAAATGACGACGAGCTGGGAGATCGTTGCAAGCCTTGGACGCCACGCGTAGATGAAGTCAATGACCCTCGTCGAGCAGTCGAATCCCTGCTTTGGTCTCCCATGTTGGAGTTGTATGGAATGCTGGGATCTGCACCAGGACCATCTGCTAGTCTCTCGGAGGAAGGTCCGGCGCCAAGGTTGTTGGTCTTGGTGTTGTTGAAGCCAGCGGAGCGCAGTATGGATAGACGTTGTGTCAGACCACGGCCACTAGATATGGTCGAATTGCGATTGGACAGGATCTTGGATGAGCGTTGCGCTTTGCGTCTTTGTCGCTCTTCAGCTGCCCAGCGTTCCAAGTTCTGCTGCACGCGCTTTGCTTCCGAGTCTTCTTCGCTCGTTGGTGGGTAGGTGCTTGGTGAGTACGGTGCTTCGTCCATGTCTGCCCGATCGACTCGTACATGCCCGCCGTAGGGTCGGCTGCTATCGTGATGAACGTAGCCGTTTGCTGAGGAGCGATAGGGGTCTACGTATGCGTAGGAGGAAGCGCTAGCTGCGGAAGTCTCGTCGATGGTGGTGAGTAGGCTGCCTGACTTGTGGTGATCCTGTTCGATGAGGTGACCATTGCTGGGCTGCTTGGCCTTGTGCGAACTGGCCGGCTTCATAGACTGCGAGGGGCCATCGGCGTCGGCGTATACTTGTGAAGTGGTGTACTTCGATGAAGCGTTGTTGTCACCATTGCTTAGCTCCACAGGAAGAAGGTCGGAGGTGGATGCTTCCAAGAACGCTGGCACGGCCAAGTCCATGTCCTGGTCGTCGGTTAGTGTTGAGTTGAATGAGACCTCGGGGAACTCTGAAGCATCTTGATCACGAGCACGGTGGCCATTTGCCTCTGCAAGAAGTGCAGCATCGGCCCTGATCTGGGTCATGATGGCCGATACTGTCTTGATGTCGATCGCAGTTGATGTGCTAGCTAAGGGTGGACATGTGTTGCGGGGGGGTGGGCCGCCCGAGACAGGCTCATGAGTTGGCGCACGGATAGACAGGACAACTCGGTGATTTGTGCGCTGACAATGGATATTGACGATCCAGAGAATAGGAATGGAAATGAGGCGGAAGTAGCTGCTTGTCTGCGCGTATCACTCCATCCGAATGCTGTCGGAACAATGTCAATCAAGATTGAGTGAGTAACGTGACCGACAAGGCTGTGACAAGTTGGCGGTTGCTGGAAGAGCGGTCGGCTATGTTGGTAGGAACAAGATCAATGATGGGAAGGTCAAGGTCGCACAAAGGTGATGGGCGTGCAAAGGCCGAAACGTAGAGAGACCAAGAAAGAGGTCCGGGGCTCGGCTTCTGCTGCATCTGCTGTGCTGTGATGCGAGAGCAACCGCAGAAAACGGCGGTAGCAGAGAGCGATGGAAGCGGACCAAGAGAAAATATTCAAAATCAAAAACGCTTTCTGATTCACCACACACAAAAAAGCGCGAAGCGCAAGAGAGAGAAAGAGAGGCAAGGCAAGACAAGGCAAGGCAAAGGCAAAGGCACCTTTCGCAGCTTCGAAACCGATCTGCACTCACTCAGACTTGTGTCATTCTATGGCAGGAGGAAGGTGGTGGCTCGTTTTGCTTCCGAGCCCACCGCGATAGAATCATGCAAAGACCTCCACCTCTCCATCGCTTCCGTGATGAAGCCGGCTAGTTACTATGACTGTAGTTGTCACAGTTCTCAGCCAGCATCGCATAACTATCGTGCTGCAGCACCTTGAAGATAGCCTTAGCATTGTCAAACACTGAGGTCGGCAGCCAACCTCAAAAGTGTCGTGCCTGCTCTCGATAGGCGAGGTCGCCCTAGAGGCAGGCTATTGCATCACCCACAATTTTCTTGAAACTGTTAGACTGGCTTGCCCTAACAGCTTTGCAGCTTTGTAAAAATTGTAGAAGCCGAACGGACGCGTCTCGAGACTTGCAGCGAGGGTGCAGCAGCTTCTTGGCTCTTGGTATCAAAACACGCTTTTCCTCCAACGACACGCCTGGCAGAATCGAGAGCCTCCTTATGTAGAATCACGCGACGAGCTGTGCGACTAACAATGCCAAATCCACAACGCCTTCTCAACCTCCATCACTCCTCCCTTATCTCCCCTAAGATCACCACCCGCCAACGACTCGTTCGCTGCTAGCAGAGTCGGCTGTTCCGTAAGCACGGACTGAGCAGCAGAGCATCCGTCTGTCGCCTGGTCGGGTCAAACGCTTTTCGCATCCATCCTTCCTCCACCTTTCATACCCACGCAGGCTGCATCAGCTTCGGCACCTCCGACCATCGCAGCTCAGCAGCCATACCACGACGAGCATTACAGTTTCGCTTTTGCTATCGATCGGCAGCTTCCGATCGACAGATAGACAGCGCAGCCATCACGGTGGACAACTGCCTTCAGGACCAACACTCGACAACTCTGTCCGTTGATCAGTCACAGATGCTACGCCTCACGCCACTCCTGTACTCTATCACATTATCACTAAGCGTGCTCACCTAAGGCAGCATGCCCACATCATCACAAAGAGCGACACGGCTCAGCACATCCGCCTCGTCCGATGTGGCTGAGCATCTCACCTCCACCTCCTCTAAAAGAAAGATGGCAGCCTCCTCTTGCTCTGCATCTTCATCCAATAGATCTTCGGCTGCATCTTCCGGCGTCATTCCAACAGTAGCCGCGCGCAATGCTTCCAACAAGAATATCAACAGACAAGAGCGTCGTCTCGAAGATCTTTTAGACGACACCTTTGCAGCAGATGATACTCGCAGAATGGACATCAGCATGGGCGCTTTTCAACCCCTCAAGACGGCATCAAAGAGGAGCAGAGAAAATGCCGAGGCTGCTGCGCGCAAGCTCAAACAAGCGACCAACAGACGCCAAGAACCAGCCAAGGCGAAACGCAAGCTTCGTCAAAGTAAGCACATGAAATCCTTCAGTGAACAGTCCTGCTCGACTCTTCTGATAGCTAAGGCCCAACTTGCTCCCTCCTACCTATCAACAGCTCTGGGCGATGACTCTGACGACGACTTCATCTTCAGTCGTGAGCCTGCCCAACGCAATGCACCCTCTTCATCATCCTCAGCCTCAGCAGCGGCGACAGGCAGCGCTGCAGCTGCAAGGGCACAGCAATCTCGCAACGGTACAACAATACCCTTCTCCAGCCGTACCGTTTACGAGCCATTGCCGGATGCTGCAGCTGGCGAAACACCAATCATCAGAAGAAATCAAGCCTTCCGAGCAGGCTTGGAGAATAAGCCAAGGCCTCCCACTGGTCGTGAAGCCGAGCAACAATCTCGTCGCACCAGTCTCACTCTTAAAGGCCAACGCCGTGTCTCGTCCTTACGCGACGGAACTGCAGCATACCCTCATGACGATGTGCCAGACTACGAACTCTTCCGACATTGCAGTGACCAGCTGCCTCCCGTCGTACGCATGAAACATTTGGTTGGCTGGATTGTCAAACGGTCTCTTGACATTGCACATGGCAAAGCGGAACTGCCCCTTAGAGCGAGAGATGCAGCAAAGAAGGCAAAGGGCAAGGCGAAAGAAGCCAACCAACTGCCAGTCTTCACAGACGCCGAGTCAAAGCTCCTCGGATCAAGAGAAGCAGAAGTCAGAGCGGTGCTAGATCAGATCCTCTCAGACCTGAATGACGGCGTTTTCGGCATCAGCTGGATGGGTGAATCCAACGAGACAGACAAGAAGCATCTTCAACCACATCCACGGAACGAGTCGAACCGCAAAGCCGCCGCTCAGTTGTCAGCGATTGTAGAAAACATGCGCAACGAGTCGCAAGCTTGGAGCAAAGAACAAACTCGACTGGAAGACTACGAAGCGGAAACGAGCAGGCTAGAAGCCTTGTTGCAGGAGAACAGTGCTGCCGAAACAGGCGACATTATTGCATGGGATCGCAATGATTTAGACGAAGTTGGCTTGCAGCAGTTGCGTGATGCCGAGGCAGCCATCGACTGTTTACGGCAACTTGAACATGGTGAGGGCGCAGAGGCCCCGAAAGCCAAGCCGCGTTCCAAAGGACGCACGTCGAAAGCTGCCAACGCACGACAAGAGCATGGCGCAGAACCCAAGGGAACAGAGCACGACCCACGATGGGCCGATGTTGAGTTCAACGTTGATCTTCTGCGTTCACGCTCACATCAATTTGCACAACTCGAATCTCTTGCAAGCAGATACGTCCGAACCGTCTCAGCTCACGCAGCGCAAGCACTCCGCGACCGTACCTCATCCTCCAGTGCACTGGCCGGCACTTCCTCCTCCAGTGCCAAAGATGGACGTCGCAAGTCCGCAACTGGCAGCAAGAACGGTCACGGCGGCAGCGAGCGTCTCGAAGTGTTACTCAGCGGCGTACGAGAATCGCGCTCTATCTCGCAACCTTTGGCGGATGGCAAGCCGGTCAATGCGGCGGATCAGAGTGTTGCAGACGTTAGCGCAAGCATGGCTACAGTTGAACCGGATGAGAGTGATCCCACCGATTTGTTACGAGCTTTGGCTCGCATGTAAAAATATGAACCCTGCTAAGATACCAATCATTATTATCCTTTGGAACCATCTGCCTGTAATGTATGTGCTCTTGTGTTCCGTGTCAATGCGTTTGTTGCTGCTGCTCTCTCAACGAGACTGAGCCTGAGAATTTAAGAGACGTTGTCCTGCTTGGCTGATACTGGCTATCTGCTGGCGTGTGGCGATCATGAGCAAGAGTGAGAGGTAGGACTATCGCATTTGCAATCGATAGGAGCGGATCAATGTAACGTAAATTGCAGAAGCTGATACAGGTCAAGTGGCGACAATCATCCTCGCTCAGCAACCTTTGGCTCCCATGCCGACTGTCATGTGAACAAACATCAAATCATGAGCAGGTTAGTTGTTGCTCTCTTCCAGTAGCGTACTCGTGGTGTAGTATTGTGATGACGTACGGTCTTAGGCTTGACAGTGTTGTAAGTCTTGAAACCGCCTCGAGTACCTGTGATGTTCTCTCGTGGGGTCTGTTTCGCATCATCACAACAAATACAACAGTTAGCCTGACTGCTCTTCTCGCAAACATACCCCTTTGCGTGCAGTTGGGGGCGATTGGCACTTACGGTCATCCAGCTCTGACTCATCTTCTGAATACCAGGATCTTCATGTGGTGGCAATTGACGAATATGGTGCAACCAAGAGTGCCACAGAGGATCCACCTGCGATGCGTTGAATTCGTTATCGGCAGCGTAGTCGACCCAACGATGTCTCAAGTTGAGCTCGTTATGGTTCTCGTAATACTTATTGCCATTCCTATCGTCCCGTACCATCGTATGAGATGTCAGCAAAGCTCCGAGACGAGAAGTATGAGGATGGGGTGGTCGAGCTTACCTGTCAACACCGACAAGACGACCGGATTTGGCGTCACCGATGTAGTTCAAATCCCTCCAGAACTTTTTGATTCCTTCCTTTCGGATATAGTTGATTGTTCGTGCGAGCGACATCTTGTGTTGATCTCTACCTCCTCGAGGTGCATGTGAAGATGGTGATGACGATGGTAAGGAGACGCTTGGGAAAAGGGAGACGCGCGAAATGTCAGCAATGCGACGGTTCTGGCAGATTTGATTCGCTTCCGAATTCCCGTATCGCCGATCCTAGACTCAGGCGAGGAAGATCGGAATCGGGTGGAAGCGAGGAAGCGCGCGGCAAACAGGAAAGCGTATTTCCGCACTTTGGGTTATGCACGCACGGACGAAGTGAGATAAATGTACTCCGCAAGACGATTCTTGCTCCGTGCCTCAACACTCCTGATAATTATTATGTTAGATTGTGTTCTTCCGGCAGCCGAGATGGCGTCCTCTACCTGACCGACGAGTGACCGTCCAGGGCAGGGTGGGAGACAACTGAAGGAGGGGTACGACGGGATAGCCGACGGCTTCGTCGGCATGACCGACGTCTCCGTATCGGGCCAAACACTTTCGGTCCACCCGACGATCGAATCAAGCCACACACCTCGGCCCTCCGACGACCGTATCAGCAAGAGATAAGGTCGGCAGGAGGTGAGGGTCGGGAGGAGATAAGAGACTGGACCCTGTCACTGTATAGGCCCTTCTGCACTGCCTCATCGGGATTCAGACTCCTCCTCCGCACCAACATGTCATTGTATCATGTCCAAGCTACGATGTATAAAAGCACCCGAGTTAGTTAGTTCCTCTCCGTCTTGTCATCCATCTGTTTGTATATACAGTTCACCGTCGACACACGTAATACGACCGCGTCCTACCACTCAAGTTGTCATTTGTTCCAACAACAACGACTTGATTAACCCAAGGTACGACTCCAAAGAGTGTCCCAGGGAGTCACTGCAGTGAACTCCTCACCCCGTAAAAAGAAAAGGTGGTCAAATCTGTCGACCTTGAACCGAACCGATCGGCCGCGAGATCAGGTTGAACTGATCCCGCACAGGTGGATCGTAGAGATCGTCGTCGTCTCAGTCTTTCAGATGAAGTTGAGACGGAGGTTGCTGGGAAATTTTGATGCGAGCTAGTGAAGCCGTTGGACTTGATGTTTTGCCAGGTCACGATGCTTACGTGTTCTTGTGAGTTATGCCTGCTGCGGCTATCGTTACCAAGTGAAAGGGAAAGGGGAAGGGGCTCTAACTGCAACGCCCAATGAGCGCTCGGATATACGGCTTTTACTGTAGATGACTGAGGTTCTTGAAGAATCAAGAGATATCGGAGCTTTGCCCCTAATCCCCGTTTCCTCTCTCACCTGCTTGGTTCGTCGCGCAACCTTGTGATGTCGAGAGAGGCCGAGATGGCCAAGGAACTTCTCATTCGGGGAGGTATGAAGACCGCAGCTGGAGGCCGAGATGCGGGGTCACAATCGCCCTACGTAAGGAGAGGAGGGTTAGGAAGAGATATATATATCACCTTCGCCGGCCACTTCTCCTCATCACCGTATCAACACAACCGTACTATTCAATCTTCGCACGAGAAAACACCACTCACTACTCAAAATGTCATTCAACGGCACCAAAACCGAGGCCTCCCATTTGAAAGACCCTTCACTCTTCATCACACAATGCATCATCGGCTCAAATCGCGTCCCCTCCCATTCCAGCAAAACTTTCGACGTCATCTACCCAGGTGATCGAAGCATCACCATCGCCTCCATCCCCGAATGCAATACCACCGACGTCAACGATGCAGTCTCATCCGCCTACTCCACTTTTCAAACTTTCCGCAACACCACCGCTCGCCAGCGATCTGACCTTCTCCGCAAACTAAACGACCTCACCCTCGCTAACATCGACGATCTCGCCACCCTTATCGTCCGTGAGAACGGCAAAACCCGCACTGAAGCCGAAGCCGAAGTTAAATACGCCGCTAGCTTCCTCTCCTGGTTCGCTAACCTAGCTGAAGTTGGAGCGCAGGGGGAGACGATTGCAGCTGCGAATCCGAATATGAGAGTGCACACGATTAAGCAGCCTATCGGGGTAGTGGCTTGTTTGTTGCCATGGAATTTGCCGCTGGCTATGGCGACGAGGAAGATCGGGCCGGCGTTGGCTGTGGGGTGTACTTGTGTGGTGAAGCCAGCTGGTGAAACACCGTTGTCGACGTTGGCATTTGCGGAGTTGGTGAAGAGGGCTGGCTATCCGGATGGTTGTGTGAATGTTGTTACGACGTTGGATAACGTGGCGGAGGTGGGGAGGGCGATCTGTGAGCATAAGCACATTCGTAAAGTTTCACTCACCGGGTCTACTCGGGTGGGGAAGCTCATTGTTGCTCAAAGTGCCAGTACGCTGAAGAAGCTGAGCATGGAGTTGGGTGGAAACTCTCCTGTCATTGTCATGAACGATGCCGACCTCGACAAAGCCATCACCGGCGTGCTTCTCGCTAAACTTCGCACTTCAGGCCAAACTTGCGTTGCTGCCAATCGAATCCTAGTCCAATCCGGAATCCACGACAAGTTCCTCTCGGCCCTTGCCGAAAAGATCAAAACGTACAAACAAGGCGATGGGGAAGACATAGAAGTTCTCTTGGGTCCACTCATCACCGATCGAGCTGTCGAAAAATGCCGCTCTCATGTCCAAGACGCACTCGAAAAAGGCGCCTCGCTTTACTATGGCCCCAAACCACCCTCTTCATTCCCCAATTCAGGAGGTTACTTCTACCCTCCAACAATCTTAACCGGACTGAAAGACGATATGCAAATCTGCACAGAAGAGACTTTTGGTCCTGTAGTAGCTATCCGAAAGTTTGACACGGAAGAGGAGGCACTGAAACTTGCAAACGATTCAGATGTCGGCCTAGGTGCGTATGTTTACACGAACGATCTAAGGGTTGCAGCTAGAATGTCGACTGGTATCGAAACGGGTATGATCGGAATCAACACGGGAATGCTCAGTGCTTGCGAGAGTCCATTTGGAGGTGTAAAGGAGAGCGGGTATGGAAAGGAGGGAAGTGTTCATGGTATGGCCGAGTATCAGATTATGAAGACTATTACCACCGACGTTTCTGGTTAGGTTCTCTTTGTGAAGGCAAATGCAATCCAGGATCTCCTTTTCACCTATCCACGTGCTGTGCTCGCGTTCATGTTCTGTGGTTGAAGTTTGGGAAGATGATCTAATTGAGCTGCAATAAAAGTACAAATGAGTGGAGGCTGGTGACTGGGACGAAGAGTGTAAGATGTGTTTGCGTTATTTGAATGATAGAGTAAGGGACTTGAAAGAGCTGCCAACTTCACGCCGAAGGACTGCCATAGGGAGTCTCCAATTCAGCCAGCTTTCCTCTCGGCCTGAAACCTTCCCTGGCCGAACCTGGACCGTGATGCCATCCTTGAACTGGACTGCTAGCACGCGAAGGAGGAGCCCAAGGCGGCGGTGGAACATTTGCATCTGTATTCTCAACCCAGGCACCTGGTGCGGTGGGGACACCTTCCAACAGCCTCTGCTCTGCTTCGGTGAGCTCCTCTGTCGTGCGGCCGCAGTTGCAAGTCGCGTGCGATGTACCGGTTCGATCGGGAAGATAGCTGACCGCCCAGGGCACGTTGTCCGGCAACGAACGCGGTGTCGAGTAGCCGTGATTGCGATGGCTACCATTCTGATCGATGTGACCTGCAGAAGCAGGAGTGAGAGCATGCAGACCGATACTGCTCATACCGTTACCCGAACGACCACGGTTGTTGCGTGTTGGACTCGAGTTGCGGCTCTTGCGTCCCGAACCTGGGAAGTGGGCAGCAAAGCCATGGCGTGTGGGCGAAGTATCGCGTGAACCAGCGCGAGAGTTGGCGGCGGAGTTGAAAGCAGAACTACCTCTTGAGCTGGGAAGCATGTGGCCGAGAGTGGTGGTGCGCTTCCAGTGTTCGAGTTCGGGATGCGAGTCGCGTAGTGAGGAAGGCGGTGTTGGCGAAGAAGGCCTTGAGTTGACTGGCGATTCGAGCGAGTAAGGAGGCAGATGAATGGTGTCGAATGTACAACAGCAAGATGGGATGGTGGTGGCTCTGCGCATGGAGAAGACTTGCACTTTCGGTTTGCCGAAGCTGTCGCTCTCTTCTCTTGTGTCCAGAACATCCTTGCGGGAGAAGAAGATTTCGGCACCCATCTCGTGGCTGACACGGATCTCTGCTCGAGAGCCTCGTACAGTGCTGGGTCGAAGGATGTTGTCGTCTGGCAGACGAACGACCGACTTGATCCTGTATCCGTTTTCGACATGCATGGGTGTACTTGGCTCCATTGGAGTGACAGGAGCCGAGACTGATCCGTTGAGTGGAAGACCGAAGGGTGAGAGGTTGGCAGGTCCAGGTCCAGCTCCACGACCCGGTCGGCCAGTGGCGCCGTTCTCCGTGTCACCAATCCATATGGAATCCTCGGGTCCTTGCGCATCTGTGTGCTGCTTGGTCTTGTATGGCATGTATCCTTTCTCCCAGAGTCGAAGCTTTTCGGTGGGAAGCTTGAGCCAACCCTTGCGCACCTCGCTGTAGAGCTCGAAAGTCTGTTCGAGGAAGACGCGGATCACGTGGACGTTGAGTCCTGCCGGTGGATCGGGGTGGTAGACGTTGAGATTTGCTGTGCCTCCTACGGTTAGTGATGCTGATGTGAGGGAGACGGAAAGGGGACCAAGCGCTTCGTGTACGTCGTGATACTGAATGTCGAGGGGAGCGGGACCGCCGTCCGAGTTGACATGAAGCATGATAAAGATCTCCTTCCAGGTTGAGATGTTATTGCGAGCACGACCTGCACCGAGAGCAGTTGCTGTGAGGATGTAGCGAACACGACCATGCTTGCTTCGCTCAAAGGGTGGAGTGGAGGCAGGGATGATGAAAGCAAACTCGAAACCATGGATGCCCTTGTCGAGATGGATGCCTTCGTTTAGGTTGCAGTTCTTCTCCTTCTCCTTCTCCTTCTCCTTGCCCTTGCTGGACCGCGATTGGCGGACAGGGATAGCGGCTGCTGTACCGTCGTTCATGATCTCGACCGTCTTCTCCATGATGACCTTTTCCTCCCAACGGATGGAAGCAGCAGAGGCAGAAGAACCTTCTGGGATAGCAAGGGTCTGCACAGCCTGTAGGGACATCCTCACGCCTTGAATATGACGCTCGCTGGGACATTTGATCTCGACGAGGCCGCGAAGAGTCTTGTCATCGCCAGGATACTCGGTGTTGGGTGGTGCTGGATGAACAAAGATATCTTGCGAGACGAGGTGAAGCGAGATCTCGCAAGGATGGTGGACAATAGAGCTGAACATGGTGGCAGTGGTGGCTGATCAGCCAGGGCTCGATGGCTGGAGGGTTGATAATCGACGCTCCCTGTATAGCTTTAAGCAAGACCTGTGGTGTCGCGGCGACAAAAGGAAGAAAAGGTGCGAGGCAGTGTTTGCGAAGGATCCTCTATGGAGGCGTAGCCCAGGCTGGTTCGTGTGATCTTGATTGGAAGAAGAAGTCCGGATGTGTTCCGTCGAGAGCAGAAGGTGAATAGCCGAATGTTCAGCTAAGGAAGTGACTGAAGGTGATGATGGTATGCGGTCTGCAATCGTGACTGAGCCTTGACCAACGATGAAGATCTGATCAAGAGAGCGTCGGTGAGAGCATTGACTGTGCTATGCTCGGTGATTTGCGTTTGGTTTATTGTGACTGTATCGCTGGTGGGACTGACCTTGAGCTGCAACCTTATCAGTAACAGCAGCAGCAGCAGCGATTTCAAGTGAATCGCGTCTGCTTATGCTGATCTTCTGCAGGGGATATACGATCTTGACGCGTACTGCAGCAGGAAAGCGACTTTCCAGACTCAGAGATAAAGTTCAACAATTTTAATTTTTATTTATTTATTTTCCCTTTCCTTGCCTTTCATGGCTCAGTCGCGTGAAGAAGAGCGGCAGAGAACGAGTCAAAAGTCAAGTGGAGTTGTTCCAGCCATAGGGGTTTTTTTTTTTTTTTTTTTTTTTTTTTTTTTTTTTTTTTGATTTTTTTCCTTTCCGGAAAAAGAACTTTTTACAGCTTTGTTCGCTTGCGGATCGGTGGTCCGCCAAAATTTCGGAAGAACCCTGGACAATCAGGGCAATCAAGGAAACTTAAGTGTGAGCACAGCACAGACGCGGTTGATAGGATAGCTACCACCCGGGATGAGTCTTTCCCACAACCCTTTGCTCCCACTTTGCTTGTGTGGTTAATTGAACCACAACTTGCAATGCGTGCGAATGCCCAGTCTAAAATTGCAGTCGCTGTAATCGTGCCTTATCCGATGACTGCCATTTGTTGTCTTTGAGACCGAATCGATCGCGTTTCCTTGCAGCACTGCATTCCAGATTGAAAGCTGCCGAGCCTCGGCCAACAAGCGCTATCAGCTCATCTCGGCAATCTTGTGTATGTGTGTGTGTGTGTGTGTGTGTCCTCACTTCATAAGACCCTTCCAAGTCGATGTTCCGGGCACGACAAAGAGTTGGCTGTCGATAAGCTTTCAAGACAAGCATCGGCAGCGTTTGACTTGAAGCCGGCGAGACACCGAACTGAACAGCCAATTTTAGCTTTAGACGCCACTCGGCGAATTCCATCGAACTCCCTGAAACACCGTAACTACACCATTCTCTCGATGGGGATGTCCGAGCTTGGAAAGTAGCCACTGCTATCGTGATGCTACATGGCGATCTTCTATTGATGAGGCTGACTGGCTTTGGCCTGGCGGAATGGCTCAAGCCGCAGCGGAAAGCAAACCGAAGGGTTTTTTTGACAAGCAAGGAAAAGTTTCCTAGCGAGATGCAGGGTCCAAAATCTGTGACTATGATTTATGAATGTTCAAACTCGCCTCGAAGCTTTGGCGTGCTTGCGTGGTTGCATCACACGCTCTGTAGCATATACTCGTAAGTGTTCCTCCCGCCAAGCCTCAAGCCCAGAACAGGACAGCCGCTAATGAAACCCTCCGACCTCCGACAAGAAGATCAATCTTTCTTGCCGACCTGTCACTCTGATCCATTGTGATGACCAGCATATCGATATTGTCGCTATGACATCCTCAGTGGGATCTTTATTGTTGCTCCTCGCTCTCAATTGATCTCCCGCTACAACCGTACCCGGTAACCAGTCCCTCTTACCATTCGCCTGACTATCTCAAGCGATTGCGATTGCATCCTGCAAGCTATTACCCCTTCTGATGCATATGGCAGCCTCCTTTGCGGCGGAAAGAATGAAAAGAGGCCAGGTGACTTTCATTTACTCGAGGACAGAAGAAAAAAAAAGAAAAAAAAAAAAAAAAGGGAAGGATGGATGGTCCTGATGTCAAAATCGATAAGCTTGCCTGTCGCCTTGCTGTGCTCAGCGGCAGCGAAATTTTCACTGATTTGACGCAATTTTTTTCAACGGTCCTGCACAGCACTCTCGTGTTTGGTGGGCTTTCATCGTGCACAACTGACAGCTCGACTTGCATCTCATAGGCTTCCGAGCATGCACTTCTCACTGCCAGCCATCAACTTTGTTCTTTGATTGCCGAAATCTAGCTTGCCGACTGCCGAAACAGCCCACCGAGGAAAGATGGAAATCGGTCCGATCGAACGGCGTCATGCGGATCACCCCGATCTTTTCAGCTTTCCGTTCCTCATCAAATAGATCGCACTCCTTGAAGCCAGTCTTGCGGCGACAATGATGCTCCGGACTTGTGACCTGCGACCTGAAAACTCGAGTGCAACACAGTCCGACGAATGCTTTGCAGAAAGACATTCAAGGCTTGGAGCATCGCAGAGAAGTACGCGCCCGTCACTGTGGCATGTCCGAGGTTACTTTCTTTTTGCAGGCAGAAGATGACGACACTACCGCAATTGTTCTAGATCTCTCTTATCCTACAGAAGTGATCATTGAGATAATGACTGCTTGTCCTCCTGTAATGGGAATCACGCTCGATTGAAAGATCCGGCGATTCGCAATAATATACCAAGACGCTACAGGCTGTGGCGAAAGATGTGTTCTTATGATTTCTATGACGGGGATGTCCAGGGCTATGCTAGCGCAATATGGATAGAGATGCTGCTAATGTATGCAAGTCCTCGTCTCGGGTCGATGGGAGGAATGTCGAGCCATTCTCTGCTCCGGCTTTTTGCCTTGTATTTTGACCTTGCCTAGAGCCATCTCCTCTCGGCACTTTTCGGGAGAAGGCTTAGCGCTCGCACCACACCGCGACTGTCAACGTCTCATCAAATGCGAAATGGCAGATCGAATCACCTCTAGATGAGAAAGTTGGTTGGATCTGCTTGCCTTTCGAGCATCACCCAGTCGGTATTCTTGCCATCGGTCATTATGTTGATGACCCTTTCAAATTGTTGCAAGGAGATGAGCGTTTCTTGGGTTTCTCCAAATAGCTCTAAGATATGGCGCAGTAGATCAATTATATTATGACGGAAGTCGAGTTGATACTGAATGTGTTGAAACGAATGGCAGACTCGAATGGTAGGACGCGGTTGTATTATGTATGTCGACGGTGAACGATATGTACAAAGGATGGATGCTAACGGAGAATCAAGCTAACTGATTGTGGTGCTTTTATACGTCTTACCCTGTGAATGATTCAGTAAGATGCTGAGGCGAAGGATCAGTCTGAAACATGACGAGCCAGTGTAAGAGCACTTCCAGCGATAGAGCTCAGGCCCTTATCTCTCCTTGGCCCTTATCTTTTCCCTGATATGGTCATCGGACAGCCCGAGGCCTTCGGCCTGATACGATCATCGGATGGACTGAAGTGTTTGGCCCGATACGAACATCGGCCATCCCGATGACCAGCCTGATACGAGTCGATAGAGGCACAGCCTTCCTACAATATCAAGATACTCTCTTTGTCGGTAGCTTTCGCACTTTGCACCACAGCACTTTCCTACCTTCATGTCGCCGTGTCTAAATGCACCAACCGAAAAAGGGTCCAGATCTCTCCATGTTGCCTCGCGCCCAAATTCGCTCCAACCCTGTCCACCTCTGTAGTCGCAGCAGAGAAATTGGTTCGGGTGGATCCTTTCGTTCATGCTAACCATGTACATCAAATCAGCCCTCGACGATACAATTCGACTACCGAACCTGCCAAAAAAGACCAAGTTTAAGAACTTGTCCGTTGGCCTCTCGCTCACAGCGCTCTCATGTGGTCTCACGAAGATTGGCATTCGAAGTCTGGTGACATGTTGGATCGTAACGGAATGAAGCGAATATGCACACCCTGCGCACATGATGCACCTTCTATCGAACCTCGCCAAGTGACTGGCTTAGGACCTATGGAGCGTACAGAAACCGGCGATATGTTGCATTTCGGTCCCCGCCGAACCATATTGGCGTGGGGGAGAGAGCTGGCATCAGCGCCCACATTGATTCTGAATTGTGATTCTTGCCGGTGGCACAATCTGACAGCCCCTCACCTCATGCTGACAGCATCACCCGTGTCGATGGCGGTCGTCTTCGCACGACTCCTAGCATGTCCAGCATCCAGCTTATGCATTGCAGCGATGACAGTCTGCTCCGCCAGCTGGTCACGAATCGCACTCTGAAGCAGCTCGTCCGTCTCTCCATGCAGGCTGGCGTTGTCTTCATTTAGCAACACAATACCTTCTCTTCTTCGAGCGACCCAAGTCTGTATCGCCTTCTTCTTCCTGGATGACCGACGTCTTCGTATCGGGCCAAACACTTTCGGTCCACCCGACGATCGAATCAAGCCACACACCTCGGCCCTCCGACAACCGTATCAGCAAGAGATAAGGTCGGCAGGAGGTGAGGGTCGGGAGGAGATAAGAGACTGGACCCTGTCACTGTATAGGCCCTTCTGCACTGCCTCATCGGGATTCAGACTCCTCCTCCGCACCAACATGTCATTGTATCATGTCCAAGCTACGATGTATAAAAGCACCCGAGTTAGTTAGTTCCTCTCCGTCTTGTCATCCATCTGTTTGTATATACAGTTCACCGTCGATACACGTAATACTACCGCGCCCTACCAAGTCTATCACTTGTTTCAACACCCTCTAGACACGGTCCATTTCCAGCATATCATCCCCTATCTCGCGCAAGTTCCGCACCTCCACGGATCGCTGCCCACTCTCGCATCCAAACACACGCTGGCAAGCACTCATGATTTAAATCCCTACGAATGTGCCTTGAAATTGCTGAACAGAAGCAGGGATGAATTTACCGATACCACCAAGTCAAATATCATACCGTGTCACGTCAATCACTTCCAACTCAACCTTCCATGTATCAGCAAAACTCACTTTCTCTTCCAGCTTGACTCCTCCACTCTTCTGATCCAGTGAAATATGCTGGAGATGCAGAGCCAGTGTGCGAAGACTGGAGAGAATGCGTGCTTTGTCGTCCAAGAAGTGCGTCGTTACACGTGCCGAGCTTGACGGCGTAACAAAAAACAGCGTGACGTCGTCGAGGCTGAGTGCATCGTGGTGATCTTTTGTGTGAGGTACGCAGAGGGATAAGATGCCGTAGCCGCTGTCATCTTTTGAATTGCCTTTGGTGTAGAGCTGTTTCTTTGGTTTCTCGGGCGATGGTGGAGTCTTTTTCGAAGGTGATGCTCGACTTGGTGAGTTGAATACGCGGTCGTCAGATAGCGCTGCAGGATGTGCGCAGAGAATGGAGGACGGGATGCTTGCTGTGAGTAGCCTGCGTCCTACACTCTCGCTTCCTTCGGCTTTCACTGGACCCGATGCTGAAACTGCTTCATGATCTTCAGCCTTGATGCTCGAGCCCGGGCCATTGAAGCTATCACTGCGCTTGAACGTGGAGCCTGAAGTCTGTCGCTGTCCAAGAGTTTTGCCCTTATCGATGGCGCCCACTTGCTTCAGACCTTTGAGGAAAGCCTCCGAAATGCCCTTCCCCACAAAGCAAACCGTCTTTGGCTTCCACTTGCGTATCTTCTCCAGCAGGATCGGCACACCAGCAATCAGCTCTCCTGGCAGCAGCTCGTTTCCCTCTGCCGTCGGCCTATGCGCTAGATTTGTCAGCCCAAGCGACAAGGGCTGAAGGTAAGGGAACTCAACATCTTGTTCCGGCTTCATTCTCTGCTCCGTGATCCCCGCCAAGTGCAGGGACGGGTAGAAGTGGTTGGAGCGATGGGCAAAGTGGTGACCTGATTGGGAAGACTTGACACCAGGATTGATCCCGCAGAACATTATGTCGTTGTGCGGAGCAAAGAGATCGGGTAAGCCTTTGAGATGCGCATATATGCTCCCGGCTGCTGAGGTGGGGTCGTCTCTGGTTCGGCGGATTTTTTTGCGCGGCTTCTTGGTGCCGTTTTTCTTAGGCAAACCTTGGTCATAGAAGTTGTCCGAGCCGACTTTAGGTGCTTCGGCTTTCTTTAGGCTTGAAGAGGATGCTTGTCTCTGTTGAGTAGGTTCGTGGTCGCTATCATTGGTGAGAATATTTTGAAGATCCGCGTACCTTGATTGCCTTGTGCGGGAGCTCCGGCGTAGTGAGATATTCTGATCAGAGGTTGGCGTCGTTATAGTCGCTGGAACCACCAATGAGGATGTTTTTGGGGAACTGCCTGCCCTGCTTTCCCCTGCGTACTCGAATGCGGATGCAAAGTGGACGGGAAGTCGTGCTTTTGATCGAGGTGGCGAGGAGCTGTCCTCCACCGAAGGCTTTTCAGAGTCCGCTCGACGCCGTCCGTTCGGCATGATGTTCAGGTTCCGGCATGCGCTGATGGCCCATTGCCCATGGGGATAGGCCCTCGATGGTGTTGCTGGTATGTACACTGTGAGGCTCAAGAAGCTCAGTCATGACGAGGCCTGATCGAATGCCGGGTTCTGCCAAAAGTGTGGAGGCTTCTCGCCGACTTCCGAGCTTTGTCAAAGATGACACTGTCAGATCGTCATTGTTCACAAAGTGCATTTTCGACACTTACGAACTGACAAGCGAGATTTCTTGGAGATATCGAGGATGCAACGTCGGCGCGTCTCCGCGTTGCATTGCAGCTGTGCCATGTTGGTAATGCTGTAGATTACGATCCGGTGAGACGCTAAAGGATGACGCAGAGCCGATCGGATCGGAGATCAGGCAGAGGACCGATCTCACCAGAGATCGGGTACAACCTAGTCCCGCTCGTTGTCAGACTAGATCATTAAGTACAACAACTCCCACATTCGGCATGTGCCACGACGATGTATATATATCTGTCGAAAATTTGACGTTGTTTGGGTCCCGATACTGGTGATCGGGGATAGTCTTAGTACGATGTCACTACTCTTTTAAGGCAGAAACATATACTAAATTGACTGTAGAAATGCGTCGAGAGCCTAGTGCTCTCTGTGAGGTATATATACAAGTGAGTGGCACATGCCGAATGTGGGAGTTGTTGTACTTAATGATCTAGTCTGACAACGAGCGGGACTAGGTTGTACCCGATCTCTGGTGAGATCGGTCCTCTGACCAGATCGGCTCTGCCTGATCTCCGATCCGATCGGCTCTGCGTCATCCTTTAGCGTCTCATTGGATCGTTATCTTTAGCAATATCAAGCTAGGAGCTCTAGGCTCTCACCGCATTCTCTTAGTCAATCGAGTATATACGTTTCTGCCCTAAAACAGTAGTGACGTTGTACTCAGACTCTTCCCGATCGTCAGTTATCGGGACAAAACTTCATCACTTTGTATCAGGTAAGACACATAAGAAATCAAGAAATGATGGTTTTGCTGGCTGAAGAGCGGCTAAAATCGTTACCATGAGGCGACGACAACAGCATTTTGATATAAGTCTCGCCGCACGCAGACATACCTCTCGAAATCGGCGGAAAAAAAAACAGAAAAAAAAAAAAAAAAAAAAAGAAAAAAAGAAAAAAAGAAAAAAAGAAAAAAAGAAAAAAAGAAAAAAAGAAAAAAAGAAAAAAAGAAAAAAAGAAAAAAAGAAAAAAAGAAAAAAAGAAAAAAAGAAAAAAAGAAAAAAGAAAAAAAGAAAAAAAGAAAAAAAGAAAAAAAGAAAAAAAAAGAGGGTTCAAGCGTGCTTCTGAGTCCAACACTTTCCTGTCTCTTGCTCTCGCACAATCGACCGCTGAAACAGGGGGGACCCAAATTCCAGACTGTCCGCTGTTGTGTAACGTTAATGCGTCGGTCTGTTGTATAAGGAGTGTGCGCCCTTTCCTTTTGATTCTCAGGAAATCACGCGCTACACCGGCGTGTTACACAAAAGAAAGGAGAAAGCTGCAGCTTCCACCTCCTCAAATCTCGAGTTGCACAATTGGCAACATTACACACACTCCTCACAAACTCACACGAAAGAAGCCACACTAACTTACAACTCGGCGTAAGGTTGCACAGACCCTTCTCAGCATATCACATCACGCTTTCAAATCTGTTCTTTGCTGCAGTCACTTGGGTTTGCGTTCCTGGCTAAAAACAAAAACCTTGCTCAGCTTCAAACCAACATCAAGCGACACACTCGAGATCGTTAGCTCCCACGGCTAGATAGCATCGACAGTCAAGACAATCTTGCTTCACTCCAGAATGCTACTATCGAAACGAACATGACAACACCTTGATACCAAGTCAACTTCAGATCAGAACGTCAGCAACGCAGGACGGCTTGGCAATCTCTACCATCACAGCATACACAAAGCAACCATGAGCACCCTCGCCTTCCCCGCTTTCGAGCGGGCTCAACAGGAGCATATGGGCTTTGATCGATCCGCTGAGGCGCTGTATCAATCGGTCGCTGATGCAGTGAATGCCCCTCCGAGCAGCGGTCCTCCAACAGACCGCCATCGAAGCGTCTCGGACGCGGCTTTGATCGATAAGGTCGGCTCGTCATCACAACCAGCATTGGGCAACAGTCAAACCGAACCAACAGATCCTCCGAAGCCCAAGATCACCAAGCGTGTAAATGCTCGTCTTCAGCTCGCAGCTGCCCTCATCGAAGCAGACAACGACCGCATCCTTGAAAAGGCTCAATTCTGGCACATCTACCATCCACCACAGACGATCGAACCTCTCCGTCCACCACCACCTCCACAACCCGCACTCGCAAGCCAGAGTGCCATCTTTGCTCCCTTCAGGGAAGGCGCGAGTCTCGCTGTCAAGCGTCACGTTCGAACATGGAGCGCCGCTACCCGTCTTTCTCGCCTGATCGATCCCGATGATGATGGCAGGCGGCCCAGCATCGACTTCCTTGGCGTTGCTCTTCCCACGGAACAAAAGGCCCGCAGCCGTGCTGGCAGCAGTGTTGCTGGTCTCATCGGCACAGAGGGTCCTCGCAGTCGAAGCAACAGTCTTTTCTCCAATGCTGCTACTTCGGTCCTTGGTCGTACTTCCAAGCTTGGATCTCGCCCTGCAAGTCTCTTGGACCCAGAAGGCGCGGGTGGCGCTGACGTCGATGCGGACGCTCTCACCGATTGGGGAGTCGACAAGTTTCTCAGCAAAGAGGAGAAAGAGCGAATGGCTGCAGGTCAACGCAGTCGTGCTCAGAGTCTTGCCGGTAGCAACGGTGCACGTTCTTCCTTCGAGCAGCTCACACCTTCGCTCACAACTCGTAAGTCCTTAGACATCGATCGAGCTGCTCCTCAATCGGCACCCGTGCCCAACAGAGCCAGTTCTGAGATTGTCGGCGCATCGGCATCCACTGCCGCAAACGGCTCTGTCCGGGATTCCAAGCTTGAATTGTTAGCAAAGATCAAGCTTTATCGAGAACGTCAAGAGAACCTCCCTCCTTCGGAATGGGATGGACCCGGCCCGACAGCCACTAAGGACGAGGTCGTCGAACATATCATCGCTTCCTCGGATGGCAACAAGCGCGTATCTCTTCGACAAGCTTCTCGAGAATTGAGCGAGGCTCCCGCTGCATCGACAACGACTGCAATTCAACAGGATCACGGCCTCACGCAGAGCACTCACACTACAGGCTCTGTCACAAGTCAACCCCGTCCTTCCTCGCGCGCCGACTCAACCTCCTCCTCGGCCTTCTTGGCAGCGCCGACCGTAAAGGAATCAGAAACAGTCGCTGTTCCTGAACCTGACGCTGGGCCCAGCGAAGCTGCGACCACAATGCATCCTCCGTTAGCTTCAACTTCCGAAGCTAACGCTCTTGGTGCTCAAGCTCAGCCAGCAGCGTCACAAGACCCCGCGCATGCCTCTGACACTACACCCGCACTGACGATGAACCTTTCGCAGAGTCAGGCTATTCCCATCCCGACATCAGGACATATGGCTCCAGCAGAACAACCCGGCGACGCAGAGGTCCTCGACATGGTCGGTATCGGCTCCTACTCTAGAAGTCAATCACGACGCAACTCCTTGCTGGGAGGGCCAATGTTCAACCCGCACGGCCTCAGCACTAGCCCGTTGGCAGGTAAGGGCGCAGAACAGTCGAACCTCATACCCTCCTCCCCATTTCAGTCTTCCGTACCAAAAGCACCGTCCCCTTTGAACCACACCAGGCTTCCTAGTCGAGGATGGGTTCAAGATCAGTTTGCCGAGCATGATCTTGGTCTGGGTCCCAGCCCATTTGCAGCTGCGCTTCAAGCCGCCAGTCCCAGTTTTAACAACCTCGCCGAGTTTCGCAACAACGATGCAGGTCCGGGTGCGAATGTTGCTGCCTCTCCTTCGATCGACTTCAACAGCCTGAGCACTCGCCAGCTGCAGAACGTGGCGCGCAACTCCACCTTCCCTTCCTTCCTCGGCATCAATCGTGATTTGCTGGCAGAGGAAGAGATCGAAGGCCCAGATGCTCTGCTGCAAGGCGACGAGATTGGTCCGGTCTCGAAGCGCAAGCGCCAGTCGTCTTTCGACATCAATTCGCTCGCCCAGGACATCGCGCAGACTGGCGGCGAGAACTTTGAGATTCAACTTGGTGGCGGAGCAGCACCAGATCTATCATCAGCAAACTGGGGAAAGCCTCGCAAAAAGTGGTTCCGTCTCAGCATGATGATGGACGCAAAGGGCAAGCCATCCAAGCCGAAGAAAACGACAGCCACAGATGGTGCAGAGGGAGACGGCGAATCTGATGCCGAGATGTTCCATGGTACTGCTGCAGCGGTCGATCAACCAAAGGCGACGGAAGAAGATGGTGGCGACCGTTCAGAGCTGTATGCTGCCGAGCCAGCTGCCGACATGTCCGCTGAGGCCGTTGCACCTGAGAACGACAACGACTCGGACGGCATCGACGATGACTACATCAGCCCGCCCCGAAAAGGTCCACTTCGTCCCCGCGGACTAGCTGTTCGCATGCCAAAGACCATCATCATGCCACAACCCTTGCAAGGTACTGAGTTCGCTCCCAAACTTCGCCTCACCGATGCCATGCCTACTGCCATGGAAGATCCAGTGCAGACCAAGCGTCACAGTTTGCACGTACCCGATGGCTTTGTACTGCATGACAGTCGAGGTGGATTGCCACCCATGCGCAGCCTCGTTGTGCACAGTGCAAACGGCCCTCAACCCCTATTCACAGTGAAAGGCGGCAAGAAGAAAGATAAGCAGACTCCAGCTCAGCTCAAGGCTGTTGAAGTTGGGCGAATGGTGCAAGTGCCGGCAGCCGCGCCCCGAGGCATTGGAAGGCGAGCTGCCGCGCCGACAACTGCTCTCTTCCGCAACCATCTCGTCCAGCACGATGACGAGCGCGAGGGTTGGGGCTGGGAGGCAGGCACGCGTGTCGACGACATCTTCAATCCTGACAAGGATACCGATTCTTCTGACGATGACATGCCGCTTGCAGATATCAAGAAGCAGAGTCGCTCTGCCAAACGCGCTGCCAAACGCCTTGCCAAGGAGAAGCGCAAACGCAAAGCTGCACGAAGGATCCGACGCGCAAAGCGTGAGGAGGCACTCAAGCAGGGCAAGTCGTTCGAGGAAGTCGGTGTCGAAGAGCTCAGTCCAGACGAGGATCTCGATCTCAGCAGCACTACTAGCGAAGAGGAGGGTACCGAGACAGACACTGAGTCAGACCTCTGGGCTAGCGATGACGACAAGCGCTGGGTCGATGACAGCAAGCCGGCCGGCAAGCTGTATGGCAAGAGTCTTCTTGACCTGGCTACCGAACGCAACACCGAGCGCAAGTCGAAGGCTCGATTCTACGGTCAGGTTCAGCTTGAAGACGGAGAGACAACCATGCTTCAGGTCGATGGAGATGACGGTAAAGCCGTTTCGCAGCGCAATGGTGTTTTAGGCAATGGAGCTTCTTCTGTCTACGACGATGGAGCGTCGGTGGCCCCGAGCGTTGCGCGCAGCTTCAGAGACAAGCCAATTGGCTACAACGACACACGTGAGCGTATGGAGGCTGTCTTTGGTGCTGATCAAATCTGGGCGCGAGAGATGGCCAAGAGAGAGGAAGAGGAGGCTCGCGAGGCGCAGGAGGCCAAAGCAAGGGCTGAGGCCGAGGCAGCAGCTCAGCAGCAAGCGGAGGCTCTTGCGAAAAGCAAGAAGGAGCGTGGCCTCTTCACAATTGGCAAGAAGAACAAGAAGCAGCGTGAGACCGTGCTCGGCATGTCGAACACTTCGGCTGTTGGCAGCACCGTTAGCGTCGTCGCTTCTAACGCTGGTGCTCCTTCGTTTGCTCCATCTCAGGCAATTTCGCACGAGCGCAAAGACACGGATGAGGCTGGTTTGCCTACTCGAGTTCAAACACCAGTGGAGCCACCTGTCATCACACTGGATATAGGAGACGCCGATCAGGAGCTCATCGAAGGTCAGCGAGGTCGAAGGACGCCCGCATTACTTGCCGGAGAGGAGATGGCCGCAGAAGAGTGGCTCATCTCCTCGGATGTCGAGGCTGAGTATGCAAAGAACAACGACTCGAGCGACGATGACATTCCCCTTTCTCAGGTCAAGAAGAACGTAGCATCGCGTCCGGTCTCGCTGGCTGCTGGCCTCTCGCTGCAGCCGAATGAGGCAGGCGATGGCGAGTCGTCCGACGAAGAGCTGCCTCTAGCGGCGCTGAAGGAGAAGCGTACTCGTCAGTCGATGCTTCTGGGCGGAGGAAAGCTGAATCTCGACTTTTCGTCCATGAACCAGAGCCCAACCAAGAACGCAAACCTGGCGGTGAACTTGGGCTCTCCGTCGGTTCATTCCGGCAGTGTTCGAGAGAGCTTTGCCCCTGATGGAGCCAGGTCGCCTCTTGCACAGGGAGCATACGCAACAGCGGCCAATGCAGGAGACGACGATGATTCTGACGAGGACCTGCCTCTCGGGCAGCGACATCCTGGAGGTGACGCGGCTCTCTTGACCATGCGTACAGCCTTGGAAAATCAGAAGCGGGCACTCAAGGAGGCCAAGCAAGCTGAAAGGGCAAAGAAGCGGGCTGCCAAGCTTGCGCGCCAAGTGAGCACAGACGATGCTGGCGCAGATGGGGAAGAGGCAGAGGTGAATGCAAATGGCCACACGGAAGATGGCGGCGACGACGCGAGCGATGACGATGACGATGACGATGACGATGATGACAGCGAAGACGATAAGCCGCTGGGTTATGTGCACCCGCAAGCTGCCATCATCGCCGAGCAAGCTGCTATCATCCGCCAACTGCAGTCAGAAAAGGAGCAACAGCCGCAACAGCAACGGCAATCCCCCTTGGCCGGGCTTTCACCATCTGGTTCTGGCATTTTGTCTCCGTCCGGCATGGATGTGCGTCCTTCGGTCATGTTGAACCGTATGAGCGGACTGCCAAGCATGGGAGCCATGGGCGGATTTGGAGGCATGGGTATGGCTGATCCTCGACAGTCAATGATCGGTCTGCCGATGACTGGATCGATGATGATGGGTGGTATGCCTCAGTGGGATGGTATGCCAGCTCCTTCGTCTGGCTTGCCAATAGGCATGTCGATGCCGATGGGGATGGGCGGAGCATCGCCGATGGCATCCGGGTCTCAGATTGGCGTTTCGGGAGCCATGTCACCAGCCATGACGATGCCTATGATGGCTGGTACTCCGCAGATTGGTGCACCGATAACACCGGGCGCAATGACGATGATGCTGGATCCAAAGGTGTCGTCGATCCACAACTGGCGAACGCAGGTGCCTCCCGATGCTACAGCCGCTGTCACTCCTCCTGGCGGCGCTTCGACTGTCAACTCTTCCTGATGAGCACGTCGCTCTACATACATAGCTATACTGTAGCTTGGTTGGCTTACATGGACTGGATCATGTGCATACTGATCATCACTTATTTCAAACGCATAGAGCTTCAAAGGTTCAAAGCAGCTGTCTCGTCGATACGTACGTCGACCTTGTTGTTGAGGAAAGCACAATCAGGGACGGTCAAGCAAGTGGCGAATCGTTAGCATTCAAAGGGAACTAAGTACAAAGCAATGACAGAAGTATATATGCCTCTACTGTCGGTTGATGTGTGCGTATATAGATGAGGTGACACGTATGAGGGTGTGCTGTTGCCGAATGAGATAGGGGCGTTGGTGAGAGCTGATGGGTGGCGACGCTGAGTGAAGTTTGCGGTCGTGTTAGAGCATGAGTACGCGGTCATGTGATTTCACTCTTGTGACGGATTTTGCCTGGATTTTGTGTGTGAGCAATGTGTGGCGTAACACTTCCAGATAATAACCGAAGATTCTCGAGGACACGAGAGCACGAAAGAAGCTTAAAGACGAGCGTCGAAAGTGGAGGATGCAGGATCGGAAACAGCAGCAGCATGACGCACAGTCAATTCGCAATTTCATTGCGCTTCCATGCGCTCCTCAGTGTCTTTCTTTCCGCTTCCGCCTGCCGCTTCCGAAACAGTCAAGAAGAGCACGTTGCAACAAGCTGTTCAGTTTCCAGCTTGTTTGCTATCCTTCCCTCCCAACTCTTCTTCCGCACATCATCTTCTCACCATCACTATATACCGCTAAGCGTGCACTACCTTCTTCAGCGTCTCACTCTCTCATCACAACACACTTTGCTAGCATCGTAGCAACACACACGAAGTTTCTCACTACACTTCTTCTTCATCCGTGAAGCATCTCGAGTCGTTGGTTTCGACAACACCATCTTCCCCGCACTTCCATCTCGACTCCTCACACTCATTAAGCATCCTTCGATCAGAACAGCATTCCTTCTTCACCTTCACTGACTGCTGTCCTCATTTGAAGCCAGTTCACATCCTGACCGCTAGAGCATAAGCTAGGCTTCCCGCACTTCCGTTTCCGCTATTTTTTTTTTTGATTTTTTTTTTTGATTTCCCCCCCCCCCCCCGAGATCAAAAGCACATCCGCTTTCGAACCGAGCCCAAGATTAACGGCCACAACTCTCACACCAACCACACACGACCTCACAAGAGGCAACGAACCAAAAGCAACACAATGGGCAAAGACTATTACAAGATCCTCGGTGTCTCCAAAGATGCCGACGAGGATACCCTTAAAAAGGCCTACAAGAAGGCTGCGCTCAAATGGCACCCAGATCGTAACAAGGACAACGTCGAAGCAGCCAACAAGAAGTTCAAGGAAGTTGGTGAAGCGTTCGAGGTCCTAAGCGATAAGAACAAGAGGGCGATCTATGATCAGTTTGGAGAGGAAGGGTTGAAGGGTGGTGGACCTCCTCCTGGTGCCGATGGCGCCGGATTTGGAGGGGCCCCTAGTGGCGGAGCTGGAGGATTTGGTGGATTCCCTGGTGGCGGAGGAGGAAGGACGTTCACGTTTACGAGTGGTGAACCGGGGATGGGCGGTGGTATGGGTGGATTCTCGCCTAGTGATCCGAATGACATCTTCGCTAGCATCTTTGGTGGAGCTAGTCCGTTTGGTGGTATGGGAGGAATGGGAGGAATGGGAGGAATGGGAGGCATGGAAGACATGTTTGGCGGCGGTGGAGGGGCACGCAAGAACGCTAGCGCGGGTGGAATGCCAGGCGGATTCAACTTTGGAGGGCCAGGTGCAGGAGGCCCCGGAGGCCCCACTCCAGCGGACGAGAAACCATCCGATGTGGAAAAGCAACTTCCTCTCTCCCTGCAAGACCTCTACACGGGCACCACCAAACGTCTCAAAGTCGGCCGCAAGCTCGCCTCGGGTGGTTCCGAGGAAAAGATTCTTACCGTTGAAGTCAAGCCCGGTTGGAAAAAGGGTACTAAGATTCGCTTCGGTGGTGCAGGACACGAAGTCTCGCCCGGTTCATTCCAAGATGTTGTCTTTATCGTCGACGAGAAGCCTCATGCACACTTCAGGCGCGATGGTGACGATCTCAGGGTGACAATACCTCTCAACCTTGTGGATGCACTGGATCCCCCCAAGGCTGGAACTCCGGGATCGAGAAAGCAAATCTTAACATTGGATGGGAGAAAGATCGATATCCCCATTCCTCAGCCTACGGGAGGAAAGACGAGTGTTACGCCGGGAAAGACGACCAGGTTGGCCAATGAAGGTATGCCAATTAGTAAGACTGGCGGAAAGAGGAAAGGTGATTTGGTGGTGGAGTGGAGCGTGCAACTGCCTGAGACGTTGACTTCGGCACAGAGGGAGGGGGTCAGGAAGGTGTTGGCTCCCTAGGCGAACCGTCCGCTAGTCAAGTATGACGGAAGTCGTTCGTGGTAACCCTCGTCACCGAAGCAGTGTAGTTGGAAAAGTTATGTTTTGCAATAGTTTTCAACATCATTATCAAATCTCAATCTTGCAATGTTCAAAAGTCCCCAAGTCTTCAATCGTCGGATGTCCTGCGTGCTTTTGCGTCGTTCTTCAGCTGTTTGAGCATCTTTGACGTGTGAGTTGAGGTTTGCGCAAGAGAGCGATCCAGTCGTCTTAGCGTTATGCGTTTGAATGAGATTTTGATTGCTTTGACTGCCTATCTAGCCCAGAATGATGAGATATACTACGACAACAATGTTAATCACCACGAGCGGAACTGTCATCACACACAGAGAGAATCAGCTTGATCAGTACTCTTAACTTTCATCTGTTGGGGAGATTCAGGGTAGCGGACTTACTTCGCATCAGAGTCCTAACAGCGCTGATTAGATTGATGAGTCTAGCTTTGATCGTAACGTTATCCGCTGCGTAGGGGTTGGATTGAGACGCAGAGCCGAAACCTTGATCGAAAGAATGCGATTGGCTTGCTAGTGCGTGTGATGACCAGCCGACTACACTCCAGACACCCATGTAGCGGGAAGTAGAGAAGCGAGAGGAAGGTGTTAGTGAAGCAGGACCTAGGGTGAAGAGAAGAGGGTAAAAGGGGGGGAGCTTACCTCGTGCAAGAAATCGTTCCTCTGATAACACAGCAAGGGCATTTGTGATGAATAGGATCAGGTAGAACGCCGAGCCTAGACCGAACATTCTGAGCTACTATGCGTGATGCTGCTGGAGGGGCTGTGGGTCTGTATGCTGCGAGCTTGCAAGAGTTGCGAATGAACGAGTTCAAAACAGAGCTTTGGGGGAGATGCCGAGAGGCTGCCAATTGAAGAGTTCAACGTCCTTTATTGAGCTGTTACGGATACGCAGGGTTGATCAATCAGCTGAGCAAGTGGCAAATGCAGTGCTTTTCAGAGGCTGGTCGCCTGCTGTGTTGAGGTGGTATTGACGCTTGAAGTGAATGGGTGACAGCAACGACAAGAAGAAAGCAACACAACACACGCAAGAGCACAAGGTTCGTGTGGAGCTTTGGTGGTCTGTGTTAAGGCCGAATTTCCCCTTTGTTAGATTCGGCCTTTTTAAGGGCACGTGACAGAGAGCACACTCGACAGGATGTCAAAGTCTCAAGCTCAACGACGATGACAAGGACAGCGAGACGGCACACGGATATGAGGAGATGGTGATATATGAATGCTACGCAGGTACAAATACAGAGTTGTAAAGGTGGAAGCTAGGCGCCATCGAGGCTTTTGAACGAATGAAAATCCTACTAGCAAATGGGTAGGAGGATTCGTCGACCATGCGATGTAAGATGAGTTCTGGATAATGTTCGAGCCGAAGGAGACATAGGAGTGAGGGAAAAAAGTTTGATCTTACGACACTCTAGCAACAACTTCGCCACCGTACCCTCTCCTAATCGCATCCCTTACCTCCCACCACCCCTTCTCCCCACAATCCACAATCCCGATCTCACCCATATCCAATGGCTTGACGAACTTCGCCCTTCTACCGGTTGCAAACCTAAGCAGCTCGTCCTTGTCCATCGTCAGCTTTCTCGAAGGCTTGGAAACAACGTTCATCTTTTCCAGCACTGGTCGGTCGTCAGGTCTGAACTTTAAGTCGACCCAAAATCGGCGTGCTGCAGGGCTAGCATGCGTGTATGAGATGGGTGAGGGGCCTGTTTGAGTACCTCGTACTACGTTGTGGATGAAGCCGTGTTGGAGGAGGATGGAGAGAATGGAGAGGTTGTCTTTTGTGGAAGCGATAGGGATGGAGCGGAGGCGTGCTCGGGAGGCGTTTTGCAGTATTGTGCAGAGGTCTGCGTGGAGCGGCATTGTGACGTTATGATGGGTGTCGACTTGCTGTTATGTGCGCTACTACGAAGATGATGAGTTGGAGAGGTTGTAGAGATGTGATGCCAATGAGAAGATGGTGTTGGAAAGGTTTGGGGTGAAGAAAGTGTCAGTATGGAGGTTCTTCTTGTAAACCACAAAAATCTCGGCGCGATTCGGATCCGATTTGAGTCAAGATTTTGGGTCTGTTACACCGTTCTTGATTTACATGGTTGTGCAAAAGGAAACCTCCACTCTGACCTGAACCCTACATGATACGATGTTCTTGACAGCTAGACCGCTTCCTTCTGCCTTCCAGCTCGTCCAACTTTCGCAGCTGTATACAGGGTCCAGCCTCATCGCCAGTATCGGTCCACAGTGGGGAGATAAGAGGTGGCCTGAGATGCCCATCACAAGCCGGGCGGTCCAGCTGCCTGCATTGACGCGGCAGAGCTTCTCGTCAATGCTCAAGTGCGGTCGCTCACGAGCAGCTGCGCTCCTGCCCCAAGGGGTTCAGTCGGGTCGAAGATACTCTTCAAAGCCACCAGAGACTGAGAGTATCAATGCATCAGGAGGAACGAACTCACCCTTTCGAGTATACAGATACGTGGTCGACGTCCACGGCCAGCTATTCTTGCACGACACAATACCGAAGAATCTGACTAGCTGTAAGTGTCGATCTGTGCTGCTTTGATCCTTCGTCTCACCGACTTTTGCTGACATTGAACAAGGTGAATCTTCCAGGCTTCAAGAACACTGAGTTCCTCGACTTCTTCTTCAAGCGCATACATCCCAACCCGGCCTCAATAACAGCGAACCCTGACTACGCTCACTCAGGCACCATTTCACGCCATGACATCCTACGACCTGCACCCAACAGCCCTCTACCAGAAGACTGGAGCGACGTTACACCGTACAACGGCATCATCTCTTCATCCGAATCTAGCTCTCGCGATGAGCTCTACGAAGAAGCATGCAAACTAGGCAACAGCGAGGGATACGAATGGATTTCGCCCTGTGGACCCGAACTCAACCTGCTCCGAAGTCAAGATACACCCATCGTCTATCGTGAGCTCAGTGAAGAAGACGGGATGCTGAAATGGGCAGGAACATTGACAGAGCCTTTCCAGCCAGAAAAACTGGTAGTGGATTCGAGTAATGGGTATGTGTACCATCCTTCTCCGCAGCCTTCACGGCGGAGACGGAAGGGAGCTGAGGGAACCGAGACGGGGAGTAAGTATGGGAGTTTGAGTTTGTTAGGTTCGAACTTGGTGCTGAGCAGACTAGCCGAAGGTTTGGAGATTGATCCATATGCTTTTGAGAAAGGGTTAGGGGGTAGTATTGAGTGGCAGGGCAGGCGGTATAATCTTGGCTTACTTGGTCGAACCTGAACGATGCTGTAAGCGTTGCAACAACACAGAAGAGTCGCTACGGTCGATTGTTGAGTCCAGCGCAGACGGACAGGCCTTCATGACTGATCACGTGATGCACTAAAAAATAAAAGTGTCCAATTTGACCGCATAAAAATGGAAATTCTGATGATCGACATGTTCGTTTCAGCTGGACGATGGGCAGCGGATGTGTTGCAATCCCCTGTCCTCCCGCTCCTACTGCTTCTTCGCTTCCGAATCTCGTTTCATACAAGATCCCGTTCAGAACTCCGGTTAGACAATGGCAGGAGAGAGCTTGAACCTCGCACTCAAAGTAAGTTGTTGCGGATGAGAAGAGGTGCGGGGTGATGGCTCGCTGCATTTCGTAGTGGGATGCACCAACTCGGCTATTGGCCTCGTAGAGCTGCAGAAAAATCTTTGAGAGAATTATAGCACGCGAGGAGGTGGCACCCATTCGCCGTCAAAGCGTGGGTCCATTAGATTAGGGGTATAGCTTCTGAAGAAAGGCTCTGGCCTGCTAGATGAGGTTGAAGCGAGAAGGCCATAGCTGGCTTCACATTGATGACAAGCCTTTCGACCAGTATGGGCCACGCACACCATTAAGCGGATCAGGAAGGTTGACAAGGTTCGAGATCTCTCGAGTGACTACGAGCTGCAAGATGAGCCTGCTCCCAAGTCAGAAGGACAGACAGGCACGACGGGTCTCACAGAAGCAAACCGCCGGGTCGAGTGGGCATCGAGATGTTGGTCGAAAGCGACGAATGAATCTGATGATGCTGTTGCTGCTGCTGTTGTTGTGTGTGACCATGCTAGAGGTGCAAGAGAGGTGCGAGAACAGAATATTCTGCTGAAGGAAACGATCCAATATGATGATGCAGGTTGACGTAAGCCGATACGGAAGGGATCGGGGGAAGCCGATCTGATCGGAGATGGAGCAAATGGCCGATCTGACCAGAGATCGGGTACAACACAGTAGCGCTCGTTGTCAAGCTAGGTCATGAAGTAGGATACTCGCACGTTCGGTATGAGCCTCATAGATGTATATATATCAAGCTGAGAATACTAGGTTCTCACCCCGTTCACTTAGTCAATCGAGTATATATGTTTCTGCCCTAAAAAACAGTAGTGACATCGTACTCAGACTCTCCCCGATGGTCAGTTATCGGGACCAAACTTCTTCACAGTTCAACATCTTCTGGCTTTTATTTAATTCTTTCGTTTCTTAGAAAAAGAGAAAAAATATCGATGGGCAAAGCAACTGTGCCTTCTCAAGCCGAAAATTTGTATCGCCAAGCTTGGTGTGCGACAAGGCGCAGGAAAAAGGAACGCGATTGCGAGCCGAAAAAAAAGATGTCAGTCAAGCGAACGAAGCGCATCATTTTAAGGAGAGAGGCGAGATGGCTTTTGCATGCCCTTCTCATCAATCGATGTCCAGGATTAAAGTCACACGTCTTCGAAATTCAGCAGCATCTTGGAGCTTCATCGGCTTCCTCCCTTAACTCGTTGCAAGCTTGGCTCATCAAGCTCGTCCCTTTTGCACTCGTGGTAGTAGCTGGGAGACTGGCAAACGGTCTCAGCCGCGATTCCAATGATTCGAAGACTCAAAAAGGGTGAGAGCGCAGATTGAAAGAGGAAGAAGAAAGTCATTGAGGCAATGGATGGCGGTCTCACAAATGCAGCTGACTGCGCTCATTGTCCCCACCATTCCACTAAGCCTTGGAGACTCCTGATCCAAGTTGGCGCCTGCCGAAAGGGATGAACTTGTTCAATGCTGGATCTTGCTGCCGCCGCCTCCAAGCCTCCAAGCCTCCAAGCCTTGCGTCTTTTCTTTTGCTCGGGGACATTTCTTTTTTTATTTTCCTTAAAAAAAATAATCTCAGTTCTCGTTTCGGCGTGACTTTTTGAAGGAGCAGGAGAGGCGTGTGCGCTGTTTTGCGTGTGTGAGACTTTTTTGGTGTTCAATTTCGATTCTGTCAGCCCTTGGCGAGGAATCGCTTGTTGTCTGTCTGCCCCTCTCGTCTTGGTCTTCCGCGCTCCACGATGAATTCCACTCTGTTGCTCTCTTTCTCTCTATCACACACAGCCGCTCGCCTCTTGTTCGGTACTGGATCGACTGAATCGGTGCCACATCAAATCTCTGTCACCTCTTTGCTATCTCTGCCTGCTATCTCTGCCTTTGCTCGTCACCTAACCTTTTCGCCGTCTCTTCCTGTATCCACACCTATCGGCTTGTCCGACCCATCACCTTCTGACATTACCGCCGACAAAGCGTGTTGGTGTTGTAGAGGTGCCATACTCTTCCATCCTTCCAACAAGGTCAAGGCCTCGACTAGCTCCTGTCCACTGTATTCAGCTTCTGTCTGACACGTCGTCCACAGGCTTCCAGCTGATATCGCTTCATCCGACATCGCATCTCGTAGTCCCAGCGAGCACCTCTGACGATCAATATCGTCTGAACGCGCGACGGTCCACCTCAGCCTGCCAACTTCCAACTCGGATCACCCGCAACTTCCTTCCTGTTACCCTGTCTTAGTCCAAACAGACGCCTTACTATTGCTCAGTTGTACATCTGATCGACCCTACCTCCCCACCAACCCTGCCCGATCCTTTAGATCAGCTTCTGTCCCTCCTGATCGCCTACACTATCGACACTACCATGCACCTCGTCGGTGAGAGCAGCAGGTCCAAGCTGCAGAGCAACGACAAACGCAATGCTGCAGCACTCGGAGCGCCAGGCAGTAACGACCTGCGCAAACGTGCGCCAAGTCCGTCTCCAGCACCAGCACCAGCACCAGCACCAGCACCAGCACCTACAACACCACCAACACGTCAAAGTCCGCACGAGCCCGAGCACAGGCTGGTGCCCGCTGACGAATTCAACAAGCGTCTCTCCGAGAACCAAGAAAGAGCACAGAAACGCGAGGAGATCCTAGGGCCCTTCTGGGCGCGTGACATGGATCAAGTCGTGCAGATCAAGCGGGATGTCCTGAGGCGAAGATCAAAGCGTCAACTTGTAGATCAACCAGAGCAGAGCCCGATACAGCGTCGTCAAACCGCAGGAGAGGAGAGGTGCTATGTTGGCAATGAAGATCTCAGCTGTTATCCCGATGCCGGCACCACCATCGCTCAAAACACATGGAGCAAGTTCATTTGGAACGCCAACTACCCGCTTTTCGCTCAACGAGGCTACGTCGATGTCTATCTCTTCCAACAGGACACCGACCGTCTCGTCACCTCTTGGACCTCACAGGACAATGGTCAAGGTCGACTATCTTTCGAGCCTACCGACAGCTGGTGGGCAAATCGTCCTGCGGCCAACAATATTCAGCCGGACCAGAACATCTCCTGGCCGTTCTACTTTGTTGTTCTCGCCTCGGGACAACCACTTTCCGGCACTACCTCGCGCTTGGCTACGTTCACAGCAGTACAAACCACCTTGCCCGTCTCGATAGCTCAGGCTCGAGCCTCTTCCTCCAGTGCTGCTGCTGCCGCATCAGCATCTTCAGCCAGTGCTGCTTCGGCATCCGCAGCGAGCGCTTCAGCAGGCGCAAGTACCGCTACTGCAACAATAACAGGCAGTGCTGCCGCTGCATCTGCCTTACAGTCCAGTCTCAGCGCAGCCCTCGAATCTTCGTTGCGTGCCTCCGGTCTCAGCGGCACAGAAACCCTCGCGGGCACCACCACAGCGACGCTTCCAAATGGTTCCGCCATCACAGCCACCGCGACAGCACAGGCAAACGGTGGCCGTCTAGGAGCCAGTGCCAACTCTCGCAACTCGAATGGTCTTGCGCTTCCGACTTATGCCATTGTCCTCATTGCCGTACTCGGCTTCCTCGCCATCGCTGCAGCCATCGCAGGCGCCTACTTCAGCATGGCTGCCTTGCGAAGACGTCGACAGCGCCAGGCTGGTGACGGAAGTCATCGAAGCTCTTCGCCCATGATGGCAGCCGCTGCTGGCTCTTTGGCGGGACATGGTACTCATGATGGAGGATACGGTGCTGGAGAGACTTCTCATATGCTCGAGGCCGAAGATGGCGGTGGTGCCTCAATGTACCCAGCAGCAGGCGCCGCAGGTGTTGGCGCTGGAGGTGGCACTGCTATGATGGCCAGCAATTCCAAGTCAAGTCGATTCTCGGAGGAACAGCCTTTCACTTCGGATGAAGCGTCAAGAATGGCCGATGCTTTCAGGAACGCTTTGCGCAACCCCGAGTTCGCACCAGGAATAGGAGGTGAATCGTCAGGTGCCGACGGCGAGAGTCCAGGTGAAGGGGGAACTTCCCGTGCTTCGGCACTGCTTCGAGAAGAGCTCGCTGCTGAAGGCAAGGACCTTCGCGATGTTGGCGATCGCAAGAAGCCTACTTGGCATGAAGAGTAATCTCGCTCTCAACGGACTATCACTGGACCTTGCGTCTTCATAAGTGCTTATAATCCGAAGACACTTTCCTATCGTCACGGACACTATTCGCTTTCTTATCGCAACTAGAAGCTGGGCCGGCCATCACCAAATGCCAGGCCCCGACCAAGTTGCATTCTTCTTTCGTTTTCACTCTTAGAGATTTTGTCACTATGCATTTGTCATATATTCTCTCGCTCTCACTTCTTTTTGGTTCTCTTTCTTTCTTTCTTTCTTTCTTTCTTTCGCACTTTCACTCGTTGCAGTTTGCAATTCAAGCATCTTCACACGTTACGTTGAACCCCATTATCATTCTGTGTTACACTGCGCTATGGTTGACCGGTGCGATCCTTGACTCGGTCCAAAAAGTCCTTGCGTTCTAGATAGCCTTTCATATCACCTAATCCTTTACCGCCTCCTCGCGTCTGATTCTCTAATTCATCGAGCTCTTGCTGGGAGAGCTGGGCCGAGTTGCCTTTGTATTGGTCCCAGTCGAGTTTGCTTTTCTCGAGCGTGTTCAGTTTGGTCGGCTTGGAAGTGGCGGCTGCGGATAAGGCGGCTAGCGAGGATCCCTTCTTGCGTCGAGGGCCTGGTGGTGGACGCGAGGCTGAAGCTGTGCTTGTCGCGGGTGTCGACGACAATGCCGGGCAAGGCGCAGAGGAAGAGTTTGCGGATGCGGCGGCGGACTGGGTGAGATACTTGACAGCGTCTGGGTGCGAGCGAGGTAGCAAGCGTGTGGTGGTGTAAACTTCGCCTGCAAACTTGTAAGTATGAGGTATTGAGATCATCTCTTCTTGGCGCAGACCGTCTTTTGGCGTGCGTTCAGCCGATGTTATTAATAATGTCCCTGCTGGTGTTGATGCCTTGTCCGAGTCTTTCATCACTGCCCATTCGGTTTCGGCTTTTGCTTTGAGTACGTTTGCCTCATCGTTCGCTGCTGGCCCCGCTGTTATCTTGGTGCTCGTTGCTTGCGCCAAACGCCTCCGTTTCCCAAGATGATCCTCTCCTCCAGCAGCAGCCACAAGCTCTGCTCGTTCTCGCTTCAGCGCTTCCAGTTCGTCTGCGTCAATCTCCTCTGACTGAGCGGCCACGCCTGCCCCTTTTGCTTCGTCGTCGGATCCATCGTCTTCCGATTCCGAATCGCCGTCGACCTCTGTTCTTGCCTTGGATCGACGCTTGCCTGTTGCTCCGGATGTGCTTGCTTCGCCGAGAGATGGCTGGCCAGAATCTTTAGGGACGAAGTCGTCGTCTTCGGAGTCGCTGCCCGAGTCGGAATAGTTGCTGGGCTTGATCTTGTCCTTTGCCGTGTTTGACATCTTGACCTGGTTCCTCTAACTTCTGAAGCAATATGTCGCTGTGCATGGTGCAGGTCGAGGAAGAAGGTTGAAGAGGAGCGAAAGAAGGGTCGAAAATGGTTGCCGCGGACAAGAACCTCCACAAAAACCGCTGCGTGGGAGAAGAGGCTTCTTCTTCTCGCTTCTCTAACAAAACCAAAAAAATGCCCGCGTGTCGGCTGAAGAGCGCAGTCCAACAAGGGTCCGTGCGGCGCATGAGAAGGACGCTTGCGACGCTCAACAACTCGACCGTCACTACTCAGACCATCTCTTGAACTTCTTGCTGCTTACCAGTCCTCTCACAAAACTCTCAGCCTTTTTGCGTACTCCGCTGCCGAAAGATCCTTTCTACAAATCAACGAAAGGCAAAAAGAGTTCAGCAAGGCTTTGGATCCGCAATCGTGCTGTGCGACGATCCTCCTCGCCTTACGTCTGGAGATTACCAGTCCTTGCCGCCATGCTAACCTCCTTCGACGAGTGGCAGCACGCAGCTGCCTCCACCATCTTCAATGTTACTCTTGGCCGGTCGGAGGCAGAGGCGAGCGGCTGGGAAAAAACTTACCTCAAAGAGCTCGCAGATGAGCTCTCTTCCGAATCACAAGGGTCAACTCCCAAGCTCTCCTCCTCAATCGCAGACCAGATCCTCATCGCGCGACTCTCCCTCGACCCAAATGGTGATGTCATGAGCGACGATGCCGAACACATCCTCATACTTGCGAGCTTACCGAAGGGACAGACCTCATGGGACTACCTCATCGCTTGTTGGAAGAAGGCAAGGACAGAGGAAAGCCGCGTGCGTAAGACGCTCTCACTCGCTGACCAGCCCAAGGCGCTTGCAGCCTTGGAAGAGATCCGAGCTCTTCTCATCTCATACGCAGGTCTCGTTTTGCAAACACCCGACATGTTCCCCAACGCCACAAAGCCGAACGGCACCCCGCTCTCGCCGATGGTTCTGGTCGACAGCCTCACGCGCGTTTCATCTTCCATTTCCTCTTTGGGCTTCTCCAGCTCCGACGTTAGCTCTTCATCACACAGCGCCACAGACCTTACAACAAAGTTCGAGACAGTCGATGGAGACGATCTTTCCGTCTTTCTCAACGAGCTCGCTGCCAGGTTCGGCAATGACGAGGGACTTGACGAGATTCTGGGACCTGCATTCACAGAGTTGACAAGGAGGATTCGAGATGGGGACCGAGGCCCGGACACTCCTGCTCCTTCAAACTCCATAACCAACGCGCTACCCGGGAACGGTCGAGTAGATGCAGCTGCGCTTGGACAAGCTGTGGCCAACAACAATGTCCAACAAGTCCTCGCTGATCTTCTGGCAGGTCGCATCCCGGGCGGACGAGCAGGCGCCGGTCCACAAGGAACATTCCAGAAACCAAACGAAGGTCTCACCATTGCTGGTCTCGAATGGCGTCCATATGTCAACGCCGTCGTTGAGGCAGTCGAGATCAAGCCCATTGCTAGCATGCTAGCGCATCTGCCTAACTTTGACCCGCCCAACACGATCGGCTCTCGCATCGAGCTCGACTCGCTTTTCGGACCGATGCTTCGTCTCTCTGCATTCCCTGACGCCTACCCTAGCATCGTACAGCACTACTTTGCGAACGCGGCTAGTCAAAACCAGCAAGAGGCGGATAGCAACTTCCGCAGCATCCAGAGCACTATGGAGATCGTCCACACGCTCAACTTCCGCATCTTCAACGCTCTTGTTCGTTCCGGGCCACAGGCGCGTGAAAAGGTGCTGGCCTACTGGGGTCACGCTTGCGCCCTGAATGCGAAGCGAGGAGCCATGCAGGTGCAACAGGAGCTTGTAGCTAGTGACGGGTACATGGTCAACCTTTACGAGATGCTGCTACGCTTTGCAGATCCGTTCATCGATGCAGGGTTGACCAAAATCAACCGTATTGACCTGGAGTACTTGCGCAAGCAGATGCGATTCGACATCACCGATCTCACCCGCATCAATGCCACGGAAGCCGAAGCGAAGGAATGGACAGAGCGAGGGCGGGCAGAGCCAGCAGGTGCACCTGCCAACTTTATCACTGAAGTCTTCTACTTGGCTGTCAGGCTTAACAATCTTGGTCTTGGCAAAGCAGTGCGCCGCATCGACGAGAAAGAGAAGGAGATGGGCCGTTTCAAGAAGCGCATCGCAGAGACGGAAGCTGATCGGGCGATGTGGTCTGCTTTGCCACAAGCACCGCAGTATGAGACTTTCCTCAAGCGAGCCAAAGCTGAGGTGGATCGTCTGCATGGCGAAATCTACGCTGCTCAGAGTCAGTTGATGGCGCCTGACTTCTTGCAGAAGGTGATCACGTTCAACTGTTTCCTCATGACTTGGCTCATTCGTGTCGCTGAGCCCAAGGCGACGCATCCTCACCCGCAAGTTTCGCTTCCACTGCCGCAAGATGTACCGACACGATTCCGAATGCTTCCAGAGCACATGTTTGAGGACATTTGCGATGTGATGCTCTTCGTCTCTCGTGTCAGTGCGCCATTATCAGAAGCAGGCAAGAACGATTTGGTCACTTTCTGCACTACCTTTCTGAGCTCTGGTTGGTACATCAAGAACCCTTTCTTGAAAGCCAAACTTGCCGAGATCCTCTTCTACAACGTCATTCCCTGGGGCCGCCACACGAACGGTATTCTCAGCGATACACTCAACATCCATGGTTTGGCTCTGCAGCATCTGGTTCCTGCGCTGATGAGCTTCTGGATCGAAGCTGAAAATACGGGCAGTCATACGCAGTTCTACGATAAGTTCAACATCCGTTACCATCTCTCGCAGATCTTCAAGTCGATTTGGAGTAATCGCAAGCACAAGGAGCAGATTCATCGGCAGGCGCAAGCGAGCGAGTCGGACTTTGTTGTATTCATCAATCGATTGATGAACGATGTGACTTACTTGCTCGATGATGCGTTGGACAAGTTGCAAGAGTTGCACACGAAGCAGTCTGAATCCGAGCAAGAAGCTGGAGGCTCTGCACAGGAACAACAGGAGCGAGAAGGACACATTCGTGGTGTGGAACAGACGATCAAGTCTGATTTGCAATTGGGAACAGAGTTCATGCGGCTGCTTATCGACTTTACGGGTGAGACAGCTGATGCTTTCATGACTGCAGAAGTTGTCGACAGATTAGCAGCAATGCTAGACTACAACCTGGACTTAATGGCAGGACCCAAATGTCAAAACCTCAAAGTCAAAGATCCCAAGAAAGTGCACTTCGAACCGCGCAACCTGCTTCGAATGATCATGTCGGTCTACCTCAACCTTTGCTCGAAAGGCGAATTCGTCGCTGCCATCGCCCGCGACGGTCGTTCATACTCGAAACCGGTGTTCGAGAAAGCAGGTGGTATCGCAGCGAAATACATGCTTAAATCCCCACCCGAACTCGATGCTTGGGCTGGAATGATCAGTCAAGTGGAGGAAAAGAGACAGATGGAACAGGATGAAGAGGAAGATTTGGGCGAAGTGCCGGATGATTATCTGGATCCGTTGATGGCTACGGTGATGAAAGATCCAGTGTTGTTACCGAGGAGTAAGACGGTGGTGGATAGATCGACGATCAAGGCACATTTGCTGAGTGATTCTACGGATCCGTTCAATAGGTCGCCCTTGAAGATTGAAGATGTGATTCCGGATACGGAGTTGAAGCAAAAAATTGAAGCTTGGATTGCCGAGAGGAGGCGCAAGTAGTAGTATACAGGTGGTTGGAATGCTGGGAATGTAGGGTATACTGTAATGCAGTTGTTTTGCTGGCTGAATCAGTGTATGACTGTGGCCGCTGTGAGCTGTTGAGTTTGATTCGAGCGAGAAGGAGAGATTGACAGTTCTGACGAGATGCTTTGATGCCACCGTATAGCTCTGACAAGCTCCGTGAACTGCGAGAGCTGAGGCAAAGCAGTTGCGACTACTCAACGATCTCTCACATCGGCATCGTCGCCATACTGCAAGATCGAAGCAGTTGCGAGAGCTCTTATTTCCATGCGCCAAGTCGCACTTCTGGTCGATGTCGTTCAGGACTTGATCAACTTCTTTCTTTCAGCCTTAGCTTTGTTGACTACGAACTTCTGATTGGTCTTGTCTGCCCTTTCGATCGCTTTTGCCTTCTTCGCTCTTGCTGTCTTGCCTAGCGCCACTGATCCGTCCTTTTTCCTCGGTGCGGACGACTGCTGCTGTGAATGTTGATATGGCTTGTAAGGCTCTGCAGGCTTCTCGGTGGTGGGAGTAGGTTCAAAGTCGACTTCGATACCTGGTTCGGGTGCCCTCCGTTCAGCGCCTGTTGTACAACGATGGAAGCTGAGTCAGTGAGGTGAGGAGAGCAGCGAGTAAGAATATGGAAGAAAGATGCTCACGCTTGAGCTTGTTTCGTTTGACCATCTTTGACGCTTTCGAAAGCTGGTTGACGATGAGAGCAGGTAAGAAGAAAAGGGTTAGCCTACCGAAATTTTTGTTTGAGATGTGGAAAAAAAAGACAAGCTTATGCCGAAGGAAGCGATCCAATACGATGATACGTGCTGACATAAACGTAATCGGGACATGGGGGGGGTTAGATCTACACAGAGATCGGGTACAACACAGTCCCGCTCGTTGTCAAGATGGATCATGAGATATTCTCTCTCTTGAGTCAATTGAGTATACACGTTTCTGTCTAACAACAGCAGTGACATTGTGCTCAGACTCGCCCCGATCACCAGTTATCGGGACTATACTTTTTCACATTTTCTCAGCTTATTTGCCTCTGATTGCAGTCAGTCGAGAGCAAATCAGTCGAGAGCAAACAATCTTGCGACTGCTCATGGGCTAGACTTGAATGTTCAGACCAATGCTGTCAGCGACAAGTCATCTTGTGCTGCTCTATGATGCCATTAGGAGACCTTTTGTCCGATTTCACACTCCGTCTTGTTTCCGATGTTCTTTGTGCGTGAGGGTCGAGTACTGTAGATTGGTCCAACAACCATCGTTAACTGAGACGGGGGGGCGGGAGAGGAGAGATGTTTTTTTTTTTTTTTTTTTTTTTTTTCCTTTTTGACGGCGGCGGCACGCCAAAGGAAATTTACTGCAGTCTGCCCCTTTTGAGAAATGCACACTTGTGCAGTGCCGCCTCTGTGGATTGGAAATTTGCGGCCCCTAAACACCCGCCAAAGCTACTTGAGCGGCAGGAGAACAACACTTTTCTTTTCATAAGCGCGTTGCGTGTGTGTTGCTTCTTTTCTGGCGCAGCTCCACACTTTACAGCGCAGCTACAACGGAAGTGCCGATTTGGTTTAGAGAGAACAGGGCGCCCGTTCGCTCTCCCTGCCCCTGCCTCTTGATCGGCCAACAGTTGCTCTACCCTTCAGCTACCACGTCCATTAACTCAGGTTGAAGTTTGGGATTCTCTTGTCTTCCTTTCTGGTTACCGACCACGGCCACAGCATCATCATCAGCAGCACACAGCAACACCAAAGAGCACTGCTGCCACGAGCATAGTAAACTTGGTATACCAAGTCGATTGATAACAACAGCCAGAGGATCTCTTCGGATCATCCGCCCTTGCTGACTGGCATCCACGATGAGCGATCCTCGCAGTGATGCGCAGAAGCGCTCTTCGGCAGTCTCCTCGTCATCGGGTCATCCGACGGGCGAGCAGAGGCACAGCGACGATTCTCACACGCCATCACTCAGCACAAGAGCCACACAATCTCATCTTCAAGCCATCCCTTGCAATCCTTCTTCTGCCACTAAACCGGCTGGATCGACGCTGAGAGCCAACACTGCTCTTCGTCCGCTCATCCCGCAAGATACTCCTTGCTCCACGACTCAGCCTCAGCGCCAGTCTTGCTCGACCACCAGCGACCGACAAGTAGGCTCGTATGATGATGGCAATCTCTCCACTATCGGTCGTGGTCAAGCTAATGTGAGTCCGCAACGCACCACTTGGCTCGACGCTTCCGTCTCTATGCGCACCGACAACGATACTGACACTTTACTTGCTTTCTCATCTGTCCGCTTCAATCGCCTCTGTAGCCCACGCTAGGCACAACGCAAACACGCCCTGCACTCGGCAGGCAAGGCTCTCACAATCAGCGCTCCGTCTCTTACGCTACCTCCGACTTTGAGACCCTCTCAGCCATGTCTGCTTCCGAGTACAGTTCGGGTGCTGAAGACGACGCTGATCAGTGGCGTCGTCGATCTCAGAACAGAGGCCGTTCTGCTGATAACGCTATCCGTCAAGGCACCTCCATCGGCCGACCTGGCTTGCTTGTAGAGACTTTAGCTACCGCTCGCTCTGCTAGCGCAATCACCGTCGCTAGCTCCCACCAGGCCCGCCCTCCCTCCGCCAACACCAGAGACTCGAGCAAAGCACGCAGACAGAGCCGTGCTTATCGCGGTGACGATGACTATCTCGATGCCGCCGAGCACGGTCGCTATTCCCCACTCGATGAACAAGACGATGAAGTCGAGCCGCACGACAGAGGTGAAGAGCTCGTTCGTCGTCGTATCAAGGCTCGTCAGCGCGAGAAAGCTATGCGAAAGAAAGCCGAGAAGGATCGTTCTCGACAGTCGGTTGCTTACCCGAGTGGATCTGCCATTGCTGCGCTTCTCTCACCCAGCCTCAAGCCTAGTTCTGCCATCCTTGGTCAGCGTCCCAGCTCACCTTCACCCAGACCCGATCGATCCGGTCGACCCACCACCATCATGCTCCCACCTCCTCCCTTCCCAAACGCTGCCCAATTCGGCCCTCTTTCGCCCACTTCTCAGCCCGCCTTTCCTAGCCCTGGAGGTGCTGGTAGCAGGCTCTCCTCCGCTCCTGCCTATCCCTCACCGCACGGCCACATTCGTCGTCCCAGCTCCAACCAGAACAGCGCACAGAATCGTTTCAGCGCTCTCAGTCATGGCCAGCAGAGCACCGTAGGTCCACAAAGTGCCAACCAAGCTACTCCCAGTGCTGCTGCCAACCAGGACCCCTTCTCTGCCGTTGGCGCTGCTTCCAACAGCGGCCGCACTGCTACCGACGCTAGCTCCAGCCTGGCAGAAAGTGAAAGTAACGACTTTGACCAAGACGAAGAGCGCGACACCATCGTTAGCCTAGCTGGTGGACGTCGACGTGATCATGGCGACGAGCATGACCAGGATGCCACAAGGCTCCAAGTCGATGACGATGACGGTGAACCCGAGTATGGCAACAGCGCCGGAGATGACGATCAAGACGATGACCCTCTTGATGACCAGGATGTCGAGTATACCCTCAAGGATCGTCAAGACGCCATCAACATCGAACATCCTTTCGGTCTGCCCATCTGGAAACCAGCCCTCTACAAAAAGTCTCGCTCTGTCACCCGCAACGCCGAGATTGCTCTTCACTCCATCCCCAGTGCTGCTGCAGAGCGTCATTTGCTTCCTGGCAACATCCTCTGGACCATCTTCTTTGGTTCTTGGCTCTCACTCATCTGCTACGCTTCTTCCATTCTCATCAATCTCAGCCCGCTTGGAGGCTCGAGGTATGCTCGAGTCGTTTGGGAGCTCGGTGGATACCTCTTCTGGCCATTTGGCAAGTATGTCGAGGTAGAGGTGGGCCCGGACAGCGCCGACCGTACTGCATCCAACGCCGACGTTGCCGACCCCACAGCCGACTCGCAGTGGATCGAGAACTCGTTCACCCCAGTTGCAGCTCGTTTCCCTCACGATCACTCACATGTTGTTCCCTTCAACTCTCGTCCCCAATCCCTTCTTTCCACTCCTCGCGAAAAGCTCAACAGCAGCCAACACGAAACCATCCGTAGCGGTGATGATGGCGCTCGTCACAATGCCGATGCTGGTTCGTCCAGCGGCTCGGAAGCGCGCAGGTCTACTCCTCGTGCTTCTGAGCAAGGCGAATCCAGCCCTACTTCGCAGCAGGAGCAGGATGAGACAAGCTCGCTCAAGGGTAAGAACAAGGCCAACGGCTACGGTGCCATGTACGATAATGAAGCTGGACGACCGCTTACCGACCTGGAGCGTATCGAAGCTGAACAGCGTGTCTATGGCTACGTCCAGGATGATGAGGGTCGCAATGTCGGTGCTGCTCAACGCATTGGCGGTCGAACTGCCTTTGGCATCTTTTACGCTATCTTGCTCTTCCCGCTGATGGGTCTTGTTTGTCTTGCATGCTGGGGTATGGTCTTCCCCATTCCTATGGCTAAGCTGACCTGGGTACTGCTCAAGAACCTTGCCACTCGTCCGCTGGCACTCCACTTCCGCTCTGCACCTGGTATTGAGAAGACGCACGACGAAGACGGAAACGAGATCGCTGGAGCAGCGAAGAAGTTCTTCCTCCCACTGAAGCCAGGTGAGCCTGCCCCACGTCCCAAGTCCATCAACGCCGGCAAGGTAACACTCCAGCGACGAAGCAAGATTCTGCTCTGCACTTACCGAGCTGTGGGTAGCCAGTACTACAAGTACACCGTCGGAGGTGTCAACATCCTCTTCGTCAACACACTTCCTCTTGTCTTTTTCACGATCTTCGACTTTTTCCTCATCGAGCGCTTTGTCGAGCACCACCAGATCAAGCACGGCTTCTTGGCCTTCATCTCTGGCCAAGGTGTCATCTTCATGCTTGCCTTGGCAAGTGTCATTCCGCTGTCGTACTTCATTGGTATGGCTGTCGCCAGTATCAGTGCTCAGAGTAGTATCGGTATGGGTGCGGTCATCAACGCAACTTTCGGTTCGATCATCGAGATTATCCTCTATGCTATTGCTTTGACGCAAGAGAAAGCAAGGTTGGTCGAGGGCTCGTTGATCGGATCGATCTTGGCAGGTGTGCTGCTGATGCCTGGTCTATCGATGTGCTCAGGTGCGACGAGAAGGAAGGAGCAGCGATTCAATGCTAGGTCGGCCGGTGTGACAAGTACCATGCTGATCATGGCCATCATTGGAATCTTGACTCCGACGCTCTTCTATCAGATCTACGGTACATTCCAGTTGACTTGTGAGGGTTGCCCGACGGGTAATGTTCCAGGTGATTCTTGGAGCTGCAGGCGATGCTTCTACGAGCACGTTCCACCGGCAACGGATCCTTTCTTCCAGCAGAACGTGCGAGGGTTGATGTACACATGTACGGTCATCTTGGTGCTTTCGTACGGTGTCGGTCTTTGGTTCTCGTTGCGTACGCATGCTTCGCAGATTTGGCAAAACCCTCAGCCGGTGCAGCAGGGTCATGGTATAGCCGTCAATCAGGCGACTCTGGCTCATTTGCCTTCTGCGCAACGTGCTTCGATCTACAAGCGACTTGTACCGGCTGCTGTGATGCAACAGTTGCTTCCGACTACTCATCCTGCTGGTGGAGACCGGGCTCAGGGGCATTCGTCTGCGGTCAGTGGAGCTGGTTCTGCTCCTGGAACTGTGAAAGGTCCCTCCTCTAGTCACGCGCGTCAGCCAACAGATGCTACTCAGGAGGGTGGGGCACCACGACCTTTGCACCTCCCCGAGCACTTCAGTCAAGAAGAGTACGACCGAGCTGTGGCCCTTACCGCTTCGGCATTCCACAACGTGCTTCAGCAGCAACATCAGCACGAACAGGCCGCCAACACCACCGAGCGAGGAGCTCACCATCACAACTCGATCAGCGCTGCAGGAAACCACGGCAAGCATGTCTCTATGCACGAAGACGCAGCTGGTGAAGAGGCGGAGGGTCACGGTGGACACGATGCTCCTTCGTGGTCTCGTGGTACCTCTCTCACCGTTTTACTCTCTTGCACTGTTCTTTACGCCATCATTGCCGAGATTCTCGTCGATGTAGTCGATGTTGTGCTGGACGGATCCGGTATCGACGAGAAGTTCCTCGGCATAACTCTCTTCGCTCTTGTACCGAACACCACCGAGTTTATGAACGCGATGTCCTTCGCTATCAACGGAAACATTGCCCTCTCGATGGAAATCGGTTCCGCCTACGCACTTCAAGTCTGTCTCATCCAAATCCCCGCTATGGTCGTCTTTAGCGCGTACTACAATGCCGGAGTATCAGACGACAACCTCATTCACCGCAGTTTCACCCTCATCTTCCCGCGATGGGATGTCATCGCGATCATCTTCTCGGTATTCTTGCTCACCTACACGTACATTGAGAGTAGGAGTAACTACTACAGAGGTACGATCTGCATTCTTAGCTACATGGTACTAGTAGCTGGATTCTACTTTGCTCCGTCGACAGGTGATGTTGAGGATCCGGGTGATGACAATCGCGATCCCACAGCAGGCGCATTAGGCGGGTTAATGGGCACCAATGCGTTGGCGGTGGCCGGACTGGTTGGAAGCGGGATGGGCAGCCTTTGGAAGAACAGCAGCAGGTTCACGAGCTTCAGCGTAGCAGGAGGGAAGTTTGGTGGTGCTGCTCAGGGCGTTACGCGGGCTGGTGGCTTCGCGGCTGCAAAAGCTGCTGGCGGGCTCGGCAAGGCAGTTGTAGGAGGAGGAGCGATGCTTCTGCCAGAAACGCCGCTATTTTTGCCCAGACTGGAGCTGGTCCAGTGGGCCTATGCTCTATGGGCTTCTCTATGGGCTCGCTAGTTCTTGCGTTCTGACAGCTCTCAATACATATCTCATATCACCTATCACCTATCACGCGATTCCGTTCTTGTCATGCATTCGTAATGTTCTCCTTTGTTGTTGCTGGTGTCTGGGTGCTTCTGGCCACGTAACTTTGTAACCAGCGAGCACTGTGACTGTGTGAGCGTTGTGAAGAAGGAATGGTTGACCGGCCCCTGGTCGACACCGTCCTCACTTGCAGAGTCGTTCCCGGCTTTTGGCAACCACTGGTAGCCGGCGCTCCGGCGCAATTCGTTTCATCCTGCAATGTGCGTGGCCTCCACTTGGACACGGAGGGGCTGACAACAACGTAGGTCTCATCCTTTGCTATTGGGGATCGACGTCAAATAGCGTCTCAGGAGAGTTTGGCGCATGTCATCTCTGTATTCCTCTGTGCAGAAGAGTGTTATGGCTGCGAGCTTGGGAAACACGAACAAACGACTTCGATGTACAGTGATACACTCGTCATGAGCTACACGACAAGAGTCTCCATACCTCATCGGAACTCTCAAAGTGCAGGCTTCTGGTCGGACGAGTCTCAACGTTGAAAATGTCCGTCACTTGGCTTGGTGACGAACGATTTCTACGAGCACACATGGTGACATTGTCGGAGCGGATCTCAAACTTTCTTGGTGCGGTCTGAAGAGCGTTTGCAAGGACTCGGAGCTGTTTTTGTGAGGTCACATGACCTCGATTCCGTTCCAACATTCCCGCCAACCTCGCTCTCCGTCGTTACTCATCATCACCCACCACCATTGCTCTGATGAAGTTTGGTCCCGATAACTGGCGATTGGGTAGAGTCTGAGTACGATGTCACTGCTAGTTTTAGACAGAAACAAATATACTCAATTGACCAAGTGAACATGGTGAGAGCCTAGCACTCCCAGCTTGATATACAGTACACACATAAACTGTCCCAAGATTTTACATGTCACCATACATCACTCTAATGCTCAATAGCTATAAGTTGTATTGCCACACTGTCTGATATTGTCTGAAAGCACTGCTTCTTCTCTCCAAGACTGTGGAATTGATATTGACATTGACTAAAAAAATTGTGCTATGAAGAAGAGCTGAATATTTTTTTATTGTGGGACAGTTTATGGAGCATGCTCCCAAATAGTGACACCACTCCATTCCTGACCTTGTGGGCTTTTGACTACAATGAAACTTGTAATGTAACTTGGTGGGCACCTTCATACACATCGAAAGTAGTGATGTGGAAAGTTTCAGCTCAATCAGATGACTGTGAGCGATCCAGCAGCATGTAAGCGATCGTGCGCCAGAGACTAACTGAGGTTGATTGAGTAAGGTCTACTCGATATGTTTCGCCTAAACGTAACCAAGCATCGTCGCCTAGTAAGTCTCGACTGACTGCCTTGAACACTCCATTCAGAGGTTGTGCAGCACAAACGTTGTTTGTTGGTGAGTGGGTGATGTCATGGGCCTGGATGCTCAAGAAGCAGGAGGGTCACTGGTTCATATGGAAGGAGCACAGGTATCGAAGATCTAGTCGATACCAGTAGAGAGCATGGTCATAGTACAGTCTCCATGGAGACCATGGACTTCTACGGACTCACATGCAAAGGAGGACTGAGCCATATGCGAGGAGGGCCAGGCACAGCCATGAGGAGGACCAAGCTCAAGGAGCAGGCACAGCCACAAAGAGGACCAAGCTCAAGGAGCATGCAGATGGTTACCACTCAGGGGCTCGAGAGACAAGAGTCGAAGGAGTTGACACCAGGTCATGAGGAGGAGGAGCAGTGTCGAAGGAGTTGACACCACTCAGGAGGCACAGGGGTGCCAAACAAGCAGCAGGATAGCAAGGAGGAGGAGCAGTGTCGAAGGAGTCGACACAGCTCAAAGAGGCACAGGGGTGCCAAGCAGGCAGGAGAGGCCCCTAAACAGTACTCAATGAAGAAGGTACTCTTTGGAGAGAGAGCAGGAGCAGCATTGCTGGCGATGCTGTGAAGAGGTATATAACCATGCTTTCTCATCATCAAAGGTCAAGTGGATCCTCATCCACTCTACTCACCATACAACTAGTCAATACTTTAGAAACATAAGTACTCATTAGTTTTCAGTCAGCATAGCAGCAATCTATCAAGGTTGCTCCTCATCATAGTGTGTGTGTTGTATCACCACTACCTGATGTCCGAAGGTGCCCCATAGCAGGTTAGCAGTCCAGATATAGATAGAACCGAAGGCAGTAGTCCACTGCAGTCCAGGGATCACTTCAAGCATTAGTCAGCACACTGGACACTCATGTTGATGCCACCAACCTTATCGCCAACACCATCAACCTCATTACCATCAACACTCACCAACCTTATCATCAACACCATCAACCTCATCATCATCAACACTCACACCAGACCTTGGTGTCATCATAATCTACGCATTGATATTGATTGTGCTGAGCTACCCTGAACAGAGTGTCCACAGAGGTCAGCTGAAACCTATGATAGTATATACAATGAATGCCACCTGCTGTCACTGCGCAACTTGATAGTCACTGAACAACTAGCTCGTTGAGACAGATACCGAGACAATAGCTGTCGCACAGTTTGATAGTCACCGAGTATCTCAACAGACCGACCTGGGTTTCAGGCGCGAGACCCCTGACAGGTGATACACCCTCTCCTACAGTACAAGTGTTTGTAGTACTGTTGATAATGCTCTTGGACATCATCTGGACTGCAATATGCTAATTGCCTACAGAGGACAGGAGTTACTGGACTGCTGGTGTGAATCACTGCCTACAATAACCGACTGGACTGCTGGTGTCGAGCAACACCACCTACAGCAAGGGACTGGACCACAGGTGTTGAAGAACACTGCCTACAGTTGTCAACTAACGGTGATACAACACACACATTGAGAGTCATTGCAAGAGCACTGCTATTGCGATGATACATAACCGAGTAAGTAAAGTATAAAGTAAGTAAAGTCAGAGTGGATGTGGATCCACTTGTATGCTATGGTAGAATGAGAGTATTTATGCATCTGGTTGGTGTTTTCCCTTGACACCTATCCTGCTCCTCTTGAGGGGCCTTTGTCCCCTGTTAGGCACTGTCTTGTCCTGCTGGCACCAATCCCTTCGATACTGCACTCCTACTGTTTGTATGGCATAAGGGTTATGCAACACTGCCCTCTCACCTTCATGCTCTCCTTCTGCCTGATGTGTGATGCCCCCTTTCGACACAGCTCCCTTTTGACTTTATCTTGTGAAACCCCTTTAGTCACTTGTTGAACCTCATGACCATACCCCCTGGTCATGTGGTCATGTTGGCACAGTTCCATCTTGACTTGTCTTGTGAAACCCCTTTAGTCACTTGTTGAACCTTGTGACCCAACCCCTTGGTCATGTGGTCATGTTGGCACAGCTCCAAATACTTGTTTGTATCAGCTGACTAGTTGAGGCATGCTGATCTGACTGACCCTGACCAATCCCATGAGATTGATCTGGATTCCCAGGGTTCGATCAATCTCGTAATTCATGTGTGCTGCCAACCCAATTAATCTCATTGATCCCCAATGGTTTTTGGCTCTGAACAATCTGGCACACCCTTCATATGTTGATCTTCTGTGCACCCTTCATATACTGCTCCATTATGTGACATTACCATAACTGCCGCTGATCTTTTGGCGCACTCTCTTGCGCTGGCCAGCCGTCCCTGTGACACAGCACTTCCAGTCTGACACCATCATATCTATACCATCATGACAAAAACCACTCCCAAGAAGCACCAATTGGCACTCTTTCACCTCCAAAATGGAGAATCTACCCATTCAGTTGCTGAGAAACTCAGTCTGAGCAAGTCTACAGTGTCTCACATCAGCAAAAGTGCCTCTGCCAATGCTCCAAAGTCAAAGGGGGGCCAGCCAAGAAAACTCCAGCCTCATCATGTTTGCTTCCTGGACCACTATTTTGAGCTCAATTCAACCTCCACAGTCAGGAAAGCATGTCATGCACTGCAGGAGACATTTCACATCAAAGCATGCCCAATGACAGTAAGAAAAGCACTTCATTACTGTTGTTACAAAGCATGAAGGTTAGTGAATAAACTGAAGCTACTCAAGAGGCATTACAAAGTGCATCTCAAATTTGCAAATGAGCACAAGGACATGACTGTTGAGGATTGGAAGAATGTGGTATGGTCCAATGAGACAAAGATCAACTTCTTTGGACTGGATGGGAAGCAGTTCTGTTGGATTAAGAATGCCAGCTTCAACAGCAAGCTTGTCAGGCCAACAGTCAAGTTTGGCAGCAGCTCCATCATGATCTGGGGCTGTATGATGTGGGAAGGGGTTGGAGGTATACACTTGGTGCTGGGATCAATGAATTCAGACCAATACATTGATATCCTGAATGACAAGCTTTTGAAAACAATCTCAGATTTGTGGCTTCAGCATGCATACACTGACATCATGTTTCAGCAAGACAATGACCCAAAACACATGTCGAAGAAGACAAAAATGTGGTTGGAAGGCAATAGCATTAAGGTTATGCAATGGCTGGGGCAGTCACCAGACTTGAACCCAATTGAACACCTCTGGCACCATCTCAAAATGCAACTTTCACAGTATAGTATGATTGCAAAGTCCAGGGATGAACTGCTCAAGAGATGTGAAGCTGAATGGAAAGTGATCACTCCAGAGACATGTAGGATGCTAATAGAGAGTATGCCATACTGCATCAAGGTGGTTCTGAAGGCCAAAGGAGGGCATACAAAGTACTAAGGTGTTCTTGAGGAGCACTCCATAAACTGTCCCACAATAAAAAAAAATTGGCTCTTCTTCATAGCACAATTTTTTTAGTCAATGTCAATATCAATTCCACAGTCTTGGAGAGAAGAAGCAGTGCTTTCAGATGATATCAGACAGTGTGGCAATACAACTTATAGCTATTGAGCATTAGAGTGATGTATGGTGACATGTAAAATCTTGGGACAGTTTATGTGTGTACTGTATACATCTCTGAGGCTGATACCAAGTGTGGGTGCTATCTACTTAATGATGATGCCTGACAACGAGCGGGACCAGGTTGGCTCCGATCCCTGGCGAGATCGTCTCTTCCTAATCTCCGATCAGATCTGCTGTGCCTGATCTCTCTCGGATCGCCTTATGTCTGCTTACATCACCATGATGGATTGTCTACTTTCCACATGGGACACGATGAGATCGCTCTCTGGAGTGGAGTACAATGACACAAGCTTCACTTCACCTATAGAGAGGACTACTGAGGTTGTATATGCTGTAAAGATACGAAACGACTGGTGCTCGTCAGACGTGCAGTCCGATCAACACGGTAGTCAAAAGAGACGTGCTGAACACAGTCCTGGCGTCGATCGAGCGGGCAAAGGATTCGGCAGTCTCAGGTCGCCTTCTCCACAACATATCATCTAGACACAGCAGGTCAAGTTGTTGGAGAGGCGTCTAGACCTCGGACTTCCAGACGCGACTCGGTGCCAGCAAACACAGAGAGCGAGATAGGAAAGCCGCTCTGCCTTTGAGATGTGTTGGAAGATGTGTTGTCGAGTGTTGGTTCTCTCTTCTTGTACTAACTCTCTCGCACTTTACACGCCAACACAACGCGTCAAGAAAGCGCGTCTTCAAGTCAAGATCAGAATTCGAGGTTTCCAACTCGGACAAGAAGAGCGGCGGTGGAGAATACGGAATTTCAACAAGAGCACAGCGCGTTCGAACAAGTCAAATTTCAAGCTTCGGATTCCAGTTCAAAAACGCAGTCACGTCTTCCCAGTCCGAGATTCGAGATTCTTTTTTCGTCACCGCGTCTTTACCTGCCTGTCTCTTGGCTGGGGTGAAGGGTGGGGGGCGAGCGCCATCGCGGTTTGACTCAGCCTGGAACGCGACATGCGTTGGTGTAAATGAGTCAACGCCAAGTTGCTCAGCTCAACTGCTTCTTCGCTGCCTTGTAGAGAGTCGCAGAGAGCAACACACAACATGGAATTTTCCTCCCCTTCAGAGTAGCACAGAGACTCGCCAACATATAATGCTCAGCCGTGCTTCCGTTCGACGTCTTGTCCTTCTTCATCGTCCCACTGGTTCTTCTCCACCATACCCCCTTCTCCTTAGCATCTTCCACTTGTCATTCACGCCAACACCGTGCGCACGTCTCTACCCCTTCATCACCGCGCGCTTTGCATTGCATTTCTTCATCGCCCATCGCCACTTCGCAACGTGTTTCCCATTCCATATATACCACCAGCATTCTGCGCTGATTGACATCGCCGTCAGACTCACAACATGATCTATGTATACAAGCGAGGTAAGCATCATCGCTATTGCACGGCGCGGCACGTCTCGCCCCCGAATATCTAGCTGACAACGCGCTCTTTTCCCTTGCTCACTCTCAATAGACGGCCGCAAGGAGGTGGTCAAGTTCGACAAGGTCACAGCTCGTATCTCCAAGCTCTGCTACGGCCTTGACCAGAACTATGTCGACCCCATCGAGATCACCCGCAAGGTCATCGACGGTATCTACGAGGGCGTTACCACCGTAGAGCTCGACAACCTCGCTGCCGAAACCGCCGCTTACAAGACAACAACGCACCCCGACTACGCCGTCCTCGCTGCCCGCATTGCCATCAGCAACTTGCACAAGGAGACCAGCAAGAACTTCAGCCAGGTCGTACAGGACCTTTACGAGTACGTCAACCCCAAGAATCGCAGACACAGTCCCATGATCTCTGATGCCACCTACAAGGTCGTTATGCAGCACAAGGACCAGCTCGACTCGGCCATCATCTACGAGCGCGACTTCCACTACAACTTCTTCGGTTTCAAGACCCTCGAGCGATCCTACTTGCTCCGTATCAACGGCAAGGTCGCTGAGCGTCCCCAGCACATGATCATGCGTGTTGCTGTCGGTATTCACGGCCAGGACATTGAGAGTGCTATTGAGACGTACAACCTCATGTCGCAAAAGTACTTTACTCATGCCTCGCCAACGCTCTTCAACGCCGGTACCCCCCACCCTCAGCTCTCGTCGTGTTTCCTTGTCACCATGAAGGATGACTCGATCGACGGGATCTACGACACCCTCAAGACCTGTGCCATGATCTCCAAGACCGCCGGTGGTATCGGTCTCAACATCCATTGCATTCGTGGTACCGGCTCTTACATTGCCGGTACCAACGGTGTCAGCAACGGTATCGTGCCCATGCTCCGTGTCTTCAACAACACTGCTCGTTACGTCGACCAAGGTGGTAACAAGCGTCCTGGTGCCTTTGCTATCTACATTGAGCCTTGGCACTCGGATGTCTTTGAGTTCCTCGACTTGCGCAAGAACCACGGTAAGGAGGAAGTTCGTGCCCGTGAGCTCTTCTACGCTCTTTGGGTCCCCGATCTCTTCATGAAGAGGGTCGAGCAGAATGGCGATTGGTCGCTCATGTGCCCCAACGAGTGCCCCGGCCTTGCCGACTGCTACGGTGACGAGTTTGAGCGTCTCTACGAGCGCTACGAGGCTGAGGGACGCTGTAAGCGAACCGTCAAGGCCCAGAAGCTCTGGTACGCCATCCTCGAGTCTCAGACCGAGACCGGTAATCCTTTCATCCTCTACAAGGACGCTGCTAACCGCAAGTCCAACCAGAAGAACCTCGGTACCATCAAGTGCTCCAACCTCTGCACCGAAATCATCGAGTACTCTGCCCCCGATGAGGTCGCTGTCTGCAACTTGGCCTCCATCGCCCTCCCCACCTTCATCGACCCTGTTACCAAGGTCTACGATTTTAAGCGTCTGCATGAGGTCGCCAAAGCCATCTGCAAGAACTTGAACAAGATCATCGACATCAACTATTACCCCGTTGAAGAAGCTCGTCGATCCAACATGCGTCACCGTCCCATCGGTATCGGTGTTCAGGGTCTCGCCGATGCATTCATGATCATGGGGTATGCCTTCGAGTCCCCTGAGGCGCGTCGTTTGAACGTGCAGATCTTCGAGACCATCTACCACGCCGCTCTCGAGCGATCGTGCGAGTTGGCTCAGGAGCACGGCACCTACGAGACATACCAAGGTTCGCCCGCTTCCCAGGGAGAACTTCAGTACGACATGTGGGGTGTCACTCCCTCCGACCTCTGGGACTGGGCTTCGCTCAAGGCTAACATCGCCAAGCACGGTCTTCGTAACTCACTTTTGTTGGCACCCATGCCCACTGCTTCGACCAGTCAGATCTTGGGCTTCAACGAGTGCTTCGAGCCCTACACTTCCAACATCTACTCTCGTCGTGTACTTGCTGGTGAATTCCAGGTCGTCAACCCCTGGTTGCTCCGCGAGTTGGTCGAACAGGGACTTTGGAACGACACAATGAAGAACCGAATCATCGCTCACGGTGGCTCCATCCAAAACGTCCCCGGTATCCCCGACCGTATCAAGAAGCTCTACAAGACTGTCTGGGAGATCTCGCAGAAGGCCATCATCGACATGGCCGCCGATCGAGGTGCTTTCATTTGCCAGTCGCAGTCGCTCAATATCCACCTGTCCGCTCCTACGTTCGGTCAGCTCACTTCGATGCACTTTTACGGCTGGAAGAAGGGTCTCAAGACGGGTACCTACTACCTCCGTACCAAGCCAGCATCCAACGCTGTTCAATTCACACTCTCCGTTGCTGAGGTCAACGAGGCAAAGGCAGCAGCCAACAAGCGGTCCCCCACACCCTCCAAGAAGATTGAGGACGCTACCCCTGCTCCCACCTCTCCTGCTCCGGCTTCTGCTGCTATTATCCCTTCCCAGTCCTCCATTGAGAGTCTCACCTCAGGTGTTGGTCAGCTCGGCATTGACGGCACAGTCACCAAAGACGGACCTGGATCTGACGAGCTCAAGCGCATCGCTGATGCCCAAGCCGCCGCCGAGACCGAGGCCGCCAAGACTGCACAGCTCGAGGAGGCTGCAGAGGGTAACGAGGTAGATCCTGGTTTCGCTGCGGCACTGGAGAGGCAAAGGCTGCGTCAGCTGGAAGCTGATCAGTTGGTATGTTCGATCGCTAACAAAGATGCGTGTTTGATGTGTTCTGGTTAAGGAACAAGCATCACTATGCTTGATTCCATCTGTATATCTGCTTTCCGAACTGTACTTTTAGCTACCATCTGTCTTTACACGGCCTTTTCCAATGTTTCGCCATTACATGTATTTAGTCGCATTTTGAATGGCATTGTCCTCTCTGCTGATTCTTGACTGACAGAGGAGGCTTTGTGTAGGCCCTTGTCGGTGTCCGCCCACTTACAAGTCTTACTGGAACGGCTGCAGTCGTAGACCAAATCCCTTGGGCTGTGTTGTTCCGTTCACGTGCGTAGATGTTCCGTGACCAAACGGAGGTTGAACCCTCAACGAGCAGGCTCGTGAGCGTCACCAAACCTTAACACTCATGTCGTCAACGCAACTCTCATGTCTTGATCTGTCAGCAAGCGGGAGTGTTCTCGTCATTTTCACTCTGAGATCACAAGACTTCATGAATGTCGCAGTTCTCGATCAATTCGTTGGCTGTGTTGTATTCCGTGAACAAGCGGAGTCAGTCCGTTGACGAGCGGGGTGTCAGAATTCTGTCAACGGAAAGCGTACCTTCCTCACGGCATTTGACCTCACTGCTGCAACGATGGAACCCACCAAAACTGTTGAAGAATGTGCAGGTGGAGAGCGGCGAAAACGGTTAGCAATTGCGATAGATAGAAGACGACTAAGTACAAAGCAATGAGAAGCATACAGCACGTGCGTAAACTGTCCCATAATTTTACATGTCACCATACATCACTCTAATGCTCAATAGCTATAAGTTGTATTGCCACACTGTCTGATATCATCTGAAAGCACTGCTTCTTCTCTCCAAGACTGTGGAATTGATATTGACATTGACTAAAAAAATTGTGCTATGAAGAAGAGCTGATTTTTATTTTATTGTGGGACAGTTTATGGAGCATGCTCCCAAATAGCAACACCACTCCATTCCTGACCTTGTGGGCTTTTGACTACAATGAAACTTGTAATGTAACTTGGTGGGCACCTTCATACACATCGAAAGTAGTGACATGGAAAGTTTCAGCTCAATCAGATGACTGTGAGTGATCCAGCAGCATGTCAGGGGTCTCGCACCTGAGACCCAGGTCGGTCTGTCGAGATACTCGGTGACTATCAAACTGTGCGACAGCTATTGTCTCAGTATCGGTGACTATCAAGTTGCGCAGTGACAGCAGGTGGCATTCATTGTATATACTATCATAGGTTTTGGCTGACCTCTGTGGACACTCCGTTCAGGGGTAGCTCAGCATGATCAATATCAATGCTATGATGACACCAAGGTCTGGTGTGAGTGTTGATGATGATGAGGTTGATGATGTTGGTGATAAGGTTGGTGGGTGTTGATGATAATGAGGTTGATGGTGTTGGTGATAAGGTTGGTGGTGTCAACACAAGTGTCCAGTGTGTTGACTTGATGCTTGAAGTGATCCCCGGACTGCAGTGGACTACTGCCTTCAGTTCTATCTTGATCCAGACCACTAACCTGCTATGGGTGCCTTCGGATGTCAGGTAGTGGTGATACAACACACACACTACGATGAGGAGCAACCTTGATAGATTGCTGCTATGCTGACTGAAACTAATATATACTTATGCTGAAGTGATAACTAGTTATGGTGAGTAGAGTGGATGAGGATCCACTCAACCTATGATGATGAGAAAGCATGGTTATATACCTCTTCACAGCATTGCCAGCGATGCTGCTCCTGCTCTCTCTCCAGAGAGTACCTTCTTCATCGAGTACTGTTCAGGGGCTTCTCCTGCTTGGCACCCCTGTGCCTCTTGAGCTGTGTCGACTCCTTCGACACTGCTCCTCCTCCTTGCTATCCTGCTGCTTGTTTGGCACCCCTGTGCCTCTTGAATGGTGTCGACTCCTTTGACACTGCTCCTCCTCCTCATGACCTGGTGTCGACTCCTTCGACACTGCTCCTTCTCCTTTGATCAGTGACAGTTCCTTTGGCTCTTGTCTCTCGAGCCCCTGAGTGGTAACCATCTGCATGCTCCTTGAGCTTGGTCCTCTTCGTGGCTGTGCCTGCTCCTCGAGCTTGGTCCTCCTCATGGCTGTGCCTGGCCCTCCTCGCATATGGCTTGGTCCTCCTTTGCATGTGAGTCCATAGAAGTCCATGGTCTCCATGGAGACTGCACTACGACCATGCTCTCTACTGGTATCAACTAGATCTTCGATACCTGTGCTCCTTCCATATGAACCAGTGACCCTCCTGCTTCTTGAGCATCCAGGCCCATGACACTACCCCCCTCTTAAGAGCCGAGCTCCATCAAGGCATGCTCTGGTCTGGTTCATGCTGACTCCTCCTCCTCCTCCTCCTTGACAACATCGCCAACAACCCTCTTCCTCCTTCTCTCAATCGTCATTCTTCTTCCTCCTCCTCTCTCTACTCCTCCTGTTCTCTCCTCCTCTCTCTACTTTGTCTACTCGCTCATTCCCCCTCCGACACCTCATACTCCTGGATGAGGTCGGGGCAGTGTCCCATTGTGTGAACGCTTGTCGATGAGTGCTTCGACTTCGAAGTCGAGGTCCTCATCTGGAAGTGATGGTATGGTGGGCTGTTCAGTATGTTGAGGAAGAGAACTTGTTCTTGCTGGCTCAAGCATGGAGACATGGAACACATCATGCACCCTAAGGTTTGCTGGCAATGTGATTCGATAAGCTTGGTGTCCTACTTGTTCCTGAACTGGGTAGGGTCCTGCAAACTGGGTATCTAACTTGGGTGTGGGTCTCCTTGTTTTCCAGTTTCGTTGGTTGATATAGACCATATCACCCACCTTAAACTCAATGTCCTTGTGCTTCCTGTTATACTGGTCTACTGATCTACATTGTGCCTCTCTGATCTGCTCCTGGAGGTACTTGCAATGCTCCTTTCCATCCATGAGGTACTTGAAGTGACCTGGATCATTGACTCCTAGTTGTTGAGGGATGTCAGGATGAGCTTTGGGGTTCCATCCATAGCATGCAAAGAATGGTGAGACACCAATGCTGTTGTGGACCATGTTGTTGTATACAAATGCTGCAGTGTCCAGCAGGTCAGCCCAATTATCCTGCTCATAGTTGCAGTACATCCTTATGTACTGCTCAATGACCTGATTGACCCTCTCTGTCTGACCATCAGTTTGAGGATGGTAGGCTGTGCTAAGTGAGTGCTTCACACCCATTTGCTCTGCAAATGCCTTCCATGCTCCTGATATGAACTGCCTGCCTCAGTCCGAGACCATGTGATCTGGGTATCCGAAAAGTCTAACCATGTGTCCATATAGCAACACTGCAGTCTGTTTGGCCATGACTGTCTTATGGGTTGGAGCTAGTATGGCAAACTTGGTCAACCTGTCGACAATGACTAAGATAGAGTCATAGGTCTTGGAGTCATACTTCTTCGATGGTGGTAGTCCTTCGATGAAGTCGAGGGATATGGAGCCCCAGGGCCTGTCTGGTGTTGCTAGTGGCTGTAGCAATCCATATGGACAGTGATGAGGAGCTTTGTACCTAGCACATACAGGACAACTTGCTACATAGTCTGCAATCCAAGCTGTCATGTTTGGCCACCAGTAATGTTGTTGAGCTGCCTTGATGGTAGCATCTCTTCCTACATGTCCAGCAGTAATACCATCATGGCATTGGGTCATCACCATGAATCGCAGATGCTCTACAGAGAGAGACTGTCCATCTACCTCTTTGGCACTCCTTGAGTGTCGGTTGTTGGTCCTCCCTGGCATGATCACTTTGGGGATAACCAACCTTCCTCCACTGTACCATAGGTCATCCTTGAGTTCGAAGGGCTTCTTCCTATGTATCTCCTGTAGCTCTTGGTCTAAGGGCTGGAAGATCTTGACCAGGTCTCTGAGACCTTTTGATGCTATGGACTCCATCGAGAGCATAGGGGCCACTAGGGTCAAGTCATGGTCTGCTGTCTCCTTGAACACTCGAGGAGGCAGTAGTTGCCTCACATTGTGATCCTGCTCTTCACCAGCTGGTTGCATGTCTGTCCTTCTGGTGAGAGCATTGGGTTCACCACCTTTGTCTCCTGGTTGATACTGCAATATGAAGTCGAAGTCTGCTAGTAGTATTGCCCATCGAGCCTGTCGACCTGTGATGCGTCTCTGTGACTTGAAGTACTTGAGGGCTTCATGGTCAGTGAGGATGACCAGTTGGCTCGGTAGTCCAGCTAGCATGTGTTGCCACTGAGTGAGGCAGGTGACCACAGCTAGGAGCTCCTTGTCATGGATCTCATAGTTCTTCTCGGCAGAAGACATCTTCCTAGAGTAGAAAGCCACTGGATGCCATCATCCTTCATGCTCCTGCTTGAGTACTCCTGCTATAGCAAAGTCACTTGCATCAGTCTCCAACCTTGTTGGAAGGTGGTAGTCGAAGTGCTGAAGCACTCCTGCTGATGTGAAGGCCTGGATGAGCTTGTGGAAGGCCTGTTGGGCCTCCTCTGGTAGCTCGAACTTCTTGAACTGTTCTATAGGCTTTACCAGTGCTGTCAAGGGCTTGGCTATGCGAGCAAAGTGGGCTATGAACCTTCGATAGAAGTTGGCAAAACCCAGGAACCTCTGGATGTCATGGATTGACTCTGGCATTGGCCACTCCTTGACAGTGCGCACCTTTTCTGGGTCCATCTCTATGCCCGTCAGCTTGATGATGTACCCCAGGAACTCGACTGTCTTGGTGTGGAACTCACACTTCGACAGCTTAGCAAAGAGCCTGTTGCTCCTTAAGCGAGTGAGGACCTCAGTGACATGCTTCACATGTGCTTCTTCAGTGTCACTGAAGATCAGGAAGTCATCTAGGTATACTACCACATATATCCCAATGATGTCTCGGAAGATGTCATTGATGAATGACTGGAAGTGAGCCGGAGCATTGGCTAGGCCAAAGGGCATCACTAGGTACTCATAGAGTCCCAACTGAGTGCCAAAAGCTGTCTTCCATTCATCTCCTTTAGCAATCCGGATGAGGTTGTATGCTGCTCTAAGGTCTAGCTTGGTATAGATCCTTGCCTTCCTGAGTAAGAACAGCTGCTCCTCGATGAGGGGCAATGGTGCCCTGTTCTTGACAGTGATCTCGTTGAGACCTCTGTAGTCCACACAGAGTCTGAGACCTCCATCCTTCTTTGGTATGAAGAGCACTGGTGATCGTGCCGGGCTCTTCGATGGTCTTATGAACCCCTTCTCGAGGTTCTCATCCAAGTATCTCCTCAACTCGGACATCTCCTTGGGTCCCTTAAGGTATAGGGGCCCTTGAGGTGGCTTACCTCCTTCTATCAACTCGAGGTGGAGATCATGCTCAGTATGATGGGGCAGCTTGTCTGCTTCCACCTCATCAAACACATCTCGCAGGTGTTGGTATGGCTTTGGTATGTCTGCAGCCGTCACCACCTTGTCTACCTCCACCTCCATCTCGACTCCTTTGTCTGCGCCTGTAGGTACAAAACCAAAGGCTGGGAGTGATGATGGTGGCTCCTCCAACAGCATGAACCCTATGGGTCCATCTTCTAGAGCTTCTCGTAGTATGCGCTCTGCTGAGACAAACTCGTTACCATGAAGGGTTGGTCTCCTCATGGTTAGGTCCCCTGCTCTTGCTGCCTCAGGGGGTCTCCTTGGGGGTCGGTCCTGCTCCTGAGTCTTGAACTCCAGCTGGCCTGTATCCCATTGTATGGTGGGTTTGAGCCTCCGTAGCTCAGTGAACCCCAGGATGAGGTCATAGTCCACAGTGTCGGCCACTGAAGCTTCGACCACACCCAGATTGTGTGTACCAATAGATACCTGCATGCTCGCAGAACTATTGATGGAGAGTTGGTGCCTGGTGACACCATGGATCGATCTTGTTTTTATGGGTTTTGTGGGTATTTGGTACTTACTAATGAAAGAATCTGAGACTATGGACAAACCAGCACCAGTATCAGCTAGTATCCGAGCAGGATGGTCTTGAACCATTCCAGAGAGCTCCAGTACTGCTTTGCCTCCACTGGTAGAGAAACATACTTGACAATCTTGATATATACAGAGTGATGGCGAGGAGGTTTGTAGAGCAATGCATGCCATCAGTGCATCACCCCACTGACGTTTCCCTCATTGTCATCATCATCATGCTCCTCCTCGTGATCAGGGTCCATGGGTTGCTGGTATGAGCTGAGGTCCATGGCCTTGGGGTCACCCATCTCAGTGCTGCCTGTGTGGCCATCTCCTGAGTTGGTGGCCTCCTCGAAGGGGTCTGCTGTGGTGACCATAACCTTTGGTCCCATGGGTCAAGAGCTAAGAGGGTCTACCCTCCTGCTGGGGCAGTCTCTGGCCCAATGGCCGATACCCTTGCATACATGACAGGTGTTGATACCTGATGGAGCAGGGCTTCCTTGCTTCGAGGGTTGGGTGGGATGATGAGGAAGGGGTCGGTTTAGGTTTTGTATAGTTGCTTGTGTAGTTGCTTGTGATGGCGATTGAGCTGGATAAGGTTGAGTGGGTTGTTGGATGGGGATCGAACTTTGATTTGGCCGAGACCCAGTTCTTAGTGGAGGTGACGTGGCATTTGGGAGTGAGTGTCTAGCCGAGGACTGCTGTAGTAGCATCCTCTGTCGATCGATCTCCTCAACCTCTCAGTACCACTCCCATCTCTTCCCAGGTGGATTCCTCTCGAACTTCTCCTGTATGCTGCGAGTGAGACTTCCTCTGAAGAGATCAATCACTAGCTCATTGTCATCTAGGTTGACCTGTCCCTCCAAGTCTCTGAACTGCTCTACATGATGTGTGGTGGCACCAGGAGCATCACTTGTGAGTCTGAGAGCCAACAGCTTGTTGTATGCCTCCATCCTAGCATTGCATGGGTTGAACTGCTCTGACAGTCGCTCTGTGAAGTAGTGCCAATCATTGAACAACCTTCCTTCTCTAGCTCTATCAATACGGAGCTTGGAGGTCCACCACTCCCTTGCTGTCCCTTCCAGTTGAGCACCCATGTGATTGATCATCCTAGACTGCTCATACACCTGGTTGAACTTAAACCATGCTTCGGCTTCTAGAATGAAGATCTCCATGTCTCAGGGATTGAACTTTGGAAAGGGGGTGGCGATGGGCTTTGACTGGTTAAGCTCTGCCATGATGCTGGTATCCTCCTCATGGTCCAGGGGGTAAGGGTCTGTCCTAGTCCTGCTGTAGGGGTCCAGCTTAGTCTTGACATATCTTGGCCCAGTAGGTGAAGCATACTTCTCGTAGTTGATGTCCTCCTGCTCATCCAGGTTGAATGAGACTGATCATCTTGGTTGTGGAGCTGGAGTAGGAGTATGTGGGTCTCCTATCATAGACTCATCTCCTCCTCCTGCTTGGTCTTCTGAGTGAGAGAGGTCCATTGTCTCCTCCCTGCTCAGTTGAGCTTGTTGTAATCGTTCCTCTCGATGACCCTGTCTGGTAAGCTCTAGCTGTGCTTCCAATAGAGTGAGTAGTCTATCGAGCTTATTGTTGAGGTCTGGGTCCGTCATGGTGATCGTGAGGAGCTGCTTGAACGATCCACTCTAATGTCAGGGGTCTCGTGCCTGAAACCCAGGTTGGTCTGTCGAGATACTCGGTGACTATCAAACTGTGCAACAGCTATTGTCTCGGTATCGGTGACTATCAAGTTGTGCAGTGACAGCTGGTGGCGTTCGTGGTATATACTATCATAGGTTTTGGCTGACCTCTGTGGACACTCCATTCAGGGGTAGCTCAGCATGATCAATATCAATGCTATGATGACACCAAGGTCTGGTGTGAGTGTTGATGATGATGAGGTTGATGACATTGGTGATAAGGTTGGTGGGTGTTGATGATAATGAGGTTGATGGTGTTGGTGATAAGGTTGGTGGCGTCAACACGAGTGTCCAGTGTGTTGACTTTGATGCTTGAAGTGATCCCCAGACCGCAGTGGACTACTGCCTTCGGTTCTATCTATATCCGGACCGCTAACCTGCTATGGGCGCCTTCAGACATCAGGTAGTGGTGATACAACACACACACTACGATGAGGAGCAACCTTGATAGATTGCTGCTATGCTGACTGTAACTAATGAGTACTTGTGTTTCTAAAGTATTGACTAGTTGTATGGTGTGTAGAGTGGATGAGGATCCACTCGACCTATTGATGATGAGAAAGCATGGTTATATACCTCTTCTCAGCATCGCCAGCGATGCTGCTCCTGCTCTCTCTCCAGAGAGTACCTTCTTCATCGAGTACTGTTCAGGGGCTTCTCCTGCTTGGCACCCCTGTGCCTCTTGAGCTGTGTCGACTCCTTCGACACTGCTCCTCCTCCTTGCTATCCTGCTGCTTGTTTGGCACCCCTGTGCCTCCTGAATGGTGTCAACTCCTTTGACACTGCTCCTCCTCCTCATGACCTGGTGTCGACTCCTTCGACACTGCTCCTTCTCCTTTGATCAGTGACAGTTCCTTTGGCTCTTGTCTCTCGAGCCCCTGAGTGGTAACCATCTGCATGCTCCTTGAGCTTGGTCCTCCTCATGGCTGTGCTTGGCCCTCCTCGCATATGGCTCGGTCCTCCTTTGCATGTGAGTCCGTAGAAGTCCATGGTCTCCATGGAGACTGCACTACAACCATGCTCTCTACTGGTATCGACTAGATCTTCGATACCTGTGCTCCTTCCATATGAACCAGTGACCCTCCTGCTTCTTGAGCATCCAGGCCCATGACAGCAAGCTGCCCAGTGTGTGCCTGCTACAAGGCGCCCCAACACAGGCCCTATGGCCTCTTGCAGCCACTGTCGACCCCGTTGAGACCATGGGGCTCCATATCCATGGACTTTATCGAAGGATTGCCCAAGTCGGAGGGTTACGATTCGATCTTCGTGATCATCGACCGGTTAACCAAGTATGCCATTTGTCATGGGCCTGAACACTCAAGAAGCAGGAGGGTCACTGGTGTCAGGGGTCTCGCGCCTGAAACCCAGGTCGGTCTGTCGAGGTACTCAGTGACTATCAAACTGTGCGACAGCTATTGTCTCGGTATCTGTCTCAACGAGCTAGTCGTTTGGTGACTATCAAGTTGCGTGATGACAGCAGGTGGCATTCGTTGTATATACTATCGTAGGTTTCGGCTGACCTCTGTGGACACTCCCAACCTTATCACCAACACCATCAACCTCATCATCATCAACACTCACACCAGACCTTGGTGTCATCATAACCTACGCATTGATATTGATCGTGCTGAGCTACCCCTGAATGGAGTGTCCACAGAGGTCAGCCGAAACCTACAATAGTACATACAATGAACACCACCTGCTGTCATTGCACAACTTGATAGTTGCCAAGCGACTAGCTCATCAAGACCGATACTGAGACAATAGCTGTCACACAGTTCGATAGTCACTGAGTATCTCGACAGACCGACCTGGGTTTCAGGCGCGAGACCCCTGACACCATTCTGGCACCGACGTACAAAACAATCATGTCGAAACAAACCACAGAGCTGCTCAAGGACCAGGTCATGAGTCGCTTTGGAGTACTGGACCACATAGTCTCTGATTGTGGCTGCCAGTTTGTCTCAGCAGCATGGAGAGAGTTCATGAAGAAGCTGGTTATTCACCACTCGCTCAGCACAGCACAGCCTACCACCCACAGATGGATGGACAGATGGAGCAGGTCAACCAAGTGGTGGAACAGTACCTCTGCATGTACTGTAACTACGAGCAGGATGACTGGGTTGCTTGGCTGCCGATGGCTGCATTTGTGTACAATAACATGGTCCACAGCAGCATAGGAGTCTCTCCTTTCTTTGCATGCTACAGGTGGAACCCAAAGTCTCACCCAGAGCTTCCAAAACAAGTTGGAATACTCGACCCGAAGAAGAGCAAGTTTGCCACCTGCAGAGAAGACTTCATGGTGTATTTGCAGGACCAGATCCGGCAGGCCCAGAGCCGAGTGGTGGCACAATACAACTGGAAGCAGAAGGACATGGAGTTCAAGGTGGGTGACATGGTCTATGTCAACCGGAAGAACTGGAAAATGGCGAGACCTAGCCCCAAACTCGACACACATCTAGTGGGTCTGTTCCCTGTGCTTGAATGCATCGGCAGATGAGCATATTGACTGCAGCTGCCTGCAAGTCTGCAGGTACATGATGTCTTCCATGTCTCAATGCTTGAGCCAAAGAAGACCAGCTCTCTACCACAGTGTTCAGAGCTTGAGGTCACACCACAGCTAACAGATGAAGAGTTGGAGTTTGAGGTAGAAGCCATTGTCAGGAAGTGCAGACACAGTCTGCAGTGGGAGTACAAGGTGTTATGGCAAGGCTACCCAGAAGAGGCAGCCTCATGGGAACTGGTGGCCTGTCTCAATTGCCCCAACCTCATCCAGGAGTATGAGGTTTCAGCAGGGGGAAGGAGATAGTAGCACAGATGACAATGAGGGATTGTGAAGAAATGTATTCTGGTCAGTGACCTTGACTTGGGGAATTTCCACGAGATCTGCCAAATAATACTGGGCACAACAGAGAAATGAGATCTGGTCAGAGACCCTGACTTGGAGAATTTCCACAAAATCTGCCAAGCTGTGCAGGAGTCAATGGATCTCAGGTCTGGGAGGTGACACATGTCAACAGGTATTGTGCCATGGAGTAGTATGGACTGTTTCTGCGACCATGGCTGCACAACCAATTTCACACAAGGTTTGACGAGAAACAAGGCACTACTATTGCTGAGACTTTACATATCGATGTAGCCAGTGGGCATGGTCAGCTCCACCAACTCAGCGGTGGATGAAGACTTGTCAGCAGACAAGGGCTCATCAACAGGCAGAGTTGTATTGACAGGGGCAGGGCTGCTGCCAACAGCCTCCAACCTCTCGAAGGGGGTGTGCAGGGATACCAGTCACAACTGACGATGGAGGTATCTCTTGATCATGAGCAGGACTGGCTCTCATACTGAGCAGGGTGAGGCACCCCAGATGATGCACATTGCATAACCCCAGTTGTCATCCTCCACAGGGTTCAAGAGGCAATCTTGTTTGTGCACCACCCCTGAACCTTTTCCCTGGGCACCAGTTAGATGAGCACACTCGACACCATGCTTGCCTGGACACAGGTGTCGGGGAGGAGCATCACTGTAGTACACCATCATGGGCAATGCACTCACCATGTGCTTGCATCTCTTGTGGCCACCTAGATGGCAATGCACACAATTATGCTAGACCCAGCTCCTACTGCCGGTGGAGAGCATATCGGCGAAGGCCGACAGGAAGCAGCTGAAAAGGGGTAAGAGGTGAAGTCAGCAGCAAACTTGAGGGGTGTGAGAGGAGGAAACAGGGCAGCACCAACTTACAGGATTCCAAGTTTGGTGCAGCGAAGGCATTGCCAGCTTGGCCAGGGCATACACCCCTTGGCCAAGCGAAGGAGGACCAGACAATGGAGTCATCCAGCCACAGGTGAGCCCTCTGCCACCACCCAATTGCTGGGCCAAGCCTGGCAGGCCACCAACACCAACAACACCAGAGCTATGAATCACTCTGCCCACAATGTGACCTTGCAGTTGTTGGGCACATGCTCCCCCACAATTGAAGGAGCAGGTGATGGTGTGGATGGGTACACAACCAGCAGCAGTGTAACCCAGGTGGGCATCTCAATGAACACTGGCATGTCTTCACATCTGAGTTCGAGTATGGCATCCACCACCTCATTGGCAGTGGGTGGCAGAGTCTCTGATGCCTCCAACAGTGCTCTATACTCCAACTCGTGCTCCTCAGTCATCACCCTTGCATGACGAGCCGCAGGTTCCTCTACCGTCTCGCTGACCTCCTTCTCCTCCAATTCCCCCACTTCCATCTCCACCACCTGTCGTTCTTCCTCCTCCTCACTATCAAGGAACGTTGGTTCCTCCCCTTCACCACCAAGGAACAACAGTTCCTCCTCATTGCCACCGAGGAACAGCAGTTCCAAGCAGGGACGAGCCTCAGAAGCGAGGGTGACCAGCAGCTCGGTGGCTGCAGTTTCAGAAGGCTGCTCACTGGCAGCAGTTGTAGGTGAAGCTGTGGCCATGGGGCCAGCAGCAGAGGGACCTGCAGGAGGGGCGGAATTGCATCCAAGTAGCCTGGCGCTATGGCACACAGGCTTTCCCAACCCAGAGGTGGGCAGGTTCTGGCTGGGTGGTTGAGACAATGCAGCAGAGCAGGAAGTGTTACAAGTGCATGCCATCTTGATGATCATGTGTAGTGCTGTTGGTGGAACAGCAGGAAGTAAGGGATTGCTGGTGGACATACCTAGCCTTGATGGAGCTCAGCTCTCGAAAGGGGGGTAGTGTCATGGGAGCCAGTCAGCCAAAATGGAGTCTGCACCATCTGCACAGACAGAGAGGTTAAATTGGCTGAGGGCCAGTGTAAGAGCCTGACTTGGCAGATCCCAGGGAGATCCAGTAGATGACTGTAGCTCACTGGACAGACATCAGGGACTACCGGTAGCAGGAACAGATGGGAGGGTTGTTGAGCAGTGCCACCCTGTTGTACATGTGGGAAGTCGACATCATTGATCGATGATGATTAGACATGTGATGTATTGCTAGGGAACAATCACTCTGGAAGTGTAGTTGGCTTGGCAGCTCAGGAAGGTGCTGAAGTCAGCATTACCAAGCAAGGCCTGAGCAGTGTCACATGCAGGTCATGTGGTAGTGCTAGATTGTGATGTCAGTACAGCTTTGTATATATACTATCTTTCCATGCTACTGGATGAGTGGAGACTCATCCACTCTACTATACCTTCACAGTTATCATAACCATATGTTATACTACATGAACAGTAATATTCCTTATACATTGCACATTGCAATACCATCTATTGTGATCATTACAAGTCTGAGCCTTCATCATCAAATGAAGAGTATTGTAAATGATGTCATCAACACCTACATCGATGCTGTAGCACCTCAACTACAGGTGGAACCTCCACCACGGGCCTGGAACCTCTACCAGTCCCTATAACCCAACTGCTGCCAACAACATCAGCTGAGCACTAGCTCCGTTGCTCTCAGTACTATGTCAACATCTCGACACTTGTGCCAGTGTTGTACTACACCATTGCTAGGAGCTGAACTTGCCACATTACCTCTGTATGGAGTGCCAACAGTGGTTAGTCAACATCCGTTCCCTGGGCCTCACTCATTGGGTATCATGGTTATCTGTTAAGGAGAGCCGCCTCACCAGTTCTCCGAGAAGTACACTCAGTCAACTCTCCCTACCGGAACTCGCTGAGATCCGCTGAGATGGCCCATGTCATGGGCCTGAATGCTCAAGAAGCAGGAGGGTCACTGGTTCATATGGAAGGAGCACAGGTATCGACGATCTAGTCGATACAATTAGAGAGCATGGTCATAGTGCAGTCTCCATGGAGACCATGGACTCCTATGGACTCACATGCAAAGGAGGACCGAGCCCATATGTGAGGAGGGCCAGGCACAGCCACAAGGAGGACCAAGCTCAAGGAGCATGCAGATGGTTACCACTCAGGGGCTCAAGAGACAAGAGTCAAAGGAACCATCACTGGTCAAAGGAGAAGGAGCAGTGTATAGGGAACTGGCAAGCAGGTCCTGAGGAGGAGGAGCAGTGTTGAAGGAGTTGACACCACTCAGGAGGCACAGGGGTGCCAAACAAGCAGGATAGCAAGGAGGAGGAGCAGTGTCGAAGGAGTTGACACAGCTCAAGAGGCACAGGGGTGCCAAGCAAGCAGGAGAGGCCTCCTGAACAGTACTCGATGAAGAAGGTACTCTCTGGAGAGAGAGCAGGAGCAGCATCACTGGTGATGCTGTGAAGAGGTATATAACCATACTTTCTCATCATCAAAGGTCAAGTGGATCCTCATCCACTCTACACACACCATAACTAGTTATCACTTCAGCATAAGTATATATTAGTTTCAGTCAGCATAGCAGCAATCTATCAAGGTTGCTCCTCATTGTAGTGCATGTGTTGTATCACCACTACCTGATGTCTGAAGGTGACCCATAGCAGGTCAGTGGTCTGGATTAAGATAGAACTGAAGGCAGTAGTCCACTGTGGTCTGGGGATCACCTCAAGCATCAGTCAACACACTGGACACTCATGTTGATGCCACCAACCTTATCACCAACACCATCAACCTCATTACCATCAACACTCACCAACCTTATCATCAACACCATCAACCTCATCATCATCAACACTCACACCAGACCTTGGTGTCATCATAACCTATGTATTGTTATTGATCGTGCCAAGCTACCCCTGAATGGAGTGTCCACAGAGGTCAGCCAAAACCTACGATAGTATATACAATGATCGCCATCTGCTGTCATCGCACAACTTGATAGTTGCTGAATGACTAGCTTGTTGAGACAGATACCAAGACAATAGCTGTCGCACAGTTTGATAGTCACCAAGTATCTCGACAGACCGACCTGGGTTTCAGGCGTGAGACCCCTGACAGCCCATTCTGCAGAGAGTCAGGTGTTAGGCACACGACCACTGACATGAAGCTGAATGGAAAGTGATCACTCCAGAGACATGTAGGATACTAATAGAGAGCATGCCAGACTGCATCAAGGCAGTTCTGAAGGCCAAAGGATGGAATACAAAGTACTAAGGTGTTCTCGAGGAGTGCTCCATAAACTGTCCCACAATAAAAAAAATTTCAGCTCTTCTTCATAGCACAATTTTTTTAGTCAATGTCAATATCAATTCCACAGTCTTGGAGAGAAGAAGCAGTGCTTTCAGACAATATCAGACAGTGTGGCAATACAACTTATAGCTATTGAGCATTAGAGTGATGTATGGTGACATGTAAAATCTTGGGACAGTTTATGTGCATACTGTATATAACTAGCTGAGAACACTAGGTTCTCGCCATGTTTATCCAGTCAATTGAGTATACATGTTTCTGTCTAAACCAGCAGTGACATCATACTTAGACTCTCTCCAATTGCCAGTTATCAGGACTCAAACATCTTCACCTTTTAACATCCCATTGTACCCCATACTATCTTGGGACATGTTCCTGCCTGGCTTAACATGGTGCCTACACCATCACCTTACAGGAAGGTGCTTCTCGATCTCTGGATTTATGACCGCACGGGAGATTGAGCGCTGGGCAGGATGCGATGGTCAGACAGTTCACGCATCGTCCCGATTCAGCAAGTGTCTATTTCAGATTCTTCGATGTCAAAAAAAAAAAAAATAAAAAAAAAAAAAAAAAAAAAAAAAAAAAAAAAACGCGTTTTGGAAGCTGGTTCGCGTAACTCGGCGCTTAAAAAGCTTAGCAGGGCGGGTCGCGCTTAAGCTTTAGCCGAGCATTAATGAAAAGCTTTCTGTCTGTCTCTCTCTCTCTCTCTCTCCGTCTGTCTCTGTTGCTTGTGTCGACCAACTCCGCTGTTCAGGCAAGATCTTGACCACACGAATGCTGTTGGAAGCGAAAGAAAAGCTGTCAAATTTCCCAGGGCGCGAGGCGGACTGCCAGCTGGGGCTGCGTCTTTGGGCGCCAACTGTAGTGTAATTGAACAGCCGCTTGAAAGTCGGGGCCTTCTTTCGGATGGTTCATGCTTGCCCCGTGCCACTTTTCCTTCACTTTTTGTCTGTTTCTCTTAGCACTGCCTCCAGGTATGACTTGTTGCTGTGATGTTCGACTGACTGATTGAATGTCTGAGAAGCTGGCTCCGGGTGAGAACTTCTAGAGTGGCCGGATAGTTTGAGTTGTACATATCTGAACAACAATCGCCAAAAAAAAAAATTAAAAAATGAATTGGACAGCTCTTTATTTCTTGCTTGTCCCACACAAGGTCGCTCAAAAAGCCCACGCCACAGTGGGCGAGATGGCATTATCTGTCCAAGGTCGATGGGCTGTCAGCCAAGAAAATGGCAAGCAACCTGCTGTAGCTGCCGCTACATGGCAACCATGTCCAGGTTTGAGCAACCTGTCTACTGAGAGATGATATAGCGGTTGAAGAGGTTGTTATACTGCACCGGCACGCGGCACGCCGCACATGGCTCTGCTGGTGGGCATGTTGCGTGAAAGAGTTGACCAGTGTTGCAGCATACAGCAACAGAATCAATGCTCGACTGCGAGATGCTGTTACATGAATGATGCTGCTGCTGTTCAGCTGTCCAACAGGCTGCATCGAGGCTCCGCACAAGCACGTCAGCAATATTATTGCATTGATTTGATTGCTTTCCAGGCTTGTTGCCGGAACTCCATTCTCCGCCCCCTTTTCATCACCAGAATCTTTGCAAAAGTCGCATGATTTGGATATGTGGCGAAAGGGGGAGGCAGCAGTCAACGGAAGCCTTCGAATGAAAGCCACCGACGGAGAGGAGCAACGGAACGAGCACCACTGAGACTCTTGCCTCAAATTGCATTCATTTCAACTGTTCCCATGGCAATTTGGCTTGGAACGGGTCGTGCCGACAAGGCGCTTGGATGTGCAGATGCCGTGTCGACAAGTTGCAACGCTCATTGCAGTGCAGTGAAGGTTGCTGTGTCGTGTTGTGTCGTGTCGCGTTGTGCCGTGTCGTAGATTCTGCGGGCTTGTGTTGTGCTGTGCTGTGTTGTGCTGTGCTGTGTTGTGCTGTATGCGTTAGGCGAGACGCAGAGACGGTTAAACTAGAAAGTGAGAAGGCCAAAAAGAGGCAGGTCGACCTGCCTCTCTTGCTGCACCTCGATTATAAGCGAGAGTCCAAAGAGGAGCCAAAGCACACAACTCTGAATCAGTTGCCGTCAGGCGAAAGCTTTTTTTCTTCTATGTCTGTGCCTTTCACGCTGCTAAGCACACAGTCTGGCGGTGCGAAGATCCAGCCCTAGCCCGACTCTCCAAACTTGTTCGATTTGATTTATTTTTTTTACTTTTATTTTTGACACCGGTTGGTCAGTTCCACCCTGAAAGCTTCTGTCCCTTGTCTCGTGCCTCTTGGGCCTTGGCTCTCAGCTTCTGCTTCAGCTTCTGCACCTCTCGCTCGCTCCTACTGCCGACACGCGTGCATCTTGGATCTCGACCTCGAACCTCGAACCTCGACGTTCGACCTACAACTTTGCTCCATCGGCCTTGCTTCCTTCTTTCCTTCAGAACCCCTGCGCACCCTCGAGCCTCGTTTCCTTTCTCACATCATCAAATCCTTGTCCTGCGGAACATTTCCCTTCTCATCTGACCACCATTACAGCGAAGTTCGAGATTAACGTTTCTCACCCACATCCCACATTGACATCACCTCATCTCGGCTACTGTCAAGGCATTGTTTCCGGTCGCATTACAACCTCAGCACCGATTTCCTACCGAGCAAACACGGATACATTCAATCGGTTCGACGGCAATAGATCGTCATCATTCGGAGCCACTAGATACCCCTTATAAGCTGACTGCATCTCGCCTCTGCAAGCATACCTTGCCCCGCCACACTCCGCAAGCTTGGACCCCTCCAGGTTATTCTCAGTCGCCTTTCCAGAATCAGACGAGCTCAAGCGCTCCAACGACGCTCTAGCCGCCTTTCCCCTTTCCCCTTTGCTCCACAGCTCCAGCCTCTTTTACACGCTTTCTCTGCTCATCCGTGCCCCTTCTTACAGCACGGTGCTCTTCGCATCTGCACATCTTACCCTGCCAGTCAACACGTATCTCGCAAAAGCCACATCGCCGCTACCTCAAGAGCCGCTCTGGCATGGAAACCTGCTTTCTGAGCATTTTCAGAATTCTGGACATCGTCGTGACCATCTCTTTCCGCCATCCCTCTCCCCAGAGTCGATCCTAACAACCTGCTACCACAACCATTAACTAGCCAATATGCGTCTTTTCGACGTTGGCCCCCTCCGAAGCAAAAAGCTTTCCAACGCACGCGATGTAGCAAACGCCGATGCAAAGGCAGTACGACGTCAGAACGATGACAGGCTCGCTGCCAATCTCGGCATCTACTCGGACTCACGTCACGGTGCTTCTACACACTCCCTCTCTGCGAACCATGCCTCTGCGTCTCAGCATGCTCCCAACACTCTAAACGTCAAGCGCAGCGTCTCGGGCATCACCTCCAGCGATGCAGCAAGGCAGACCAAGCTCGAGCGTATGATGGGTGCTGGTGTTCCTCAGATCCACGTCGTCAGCCGTCAAGATCGTCACATGTTATCAGCCTATGGCCAACATGCACAACCTTTAGTCGATTCTTATCACCACCGCAATCAACTTTCCCAGTCCACCATCCGCAGCCCCGCCATCAGTAGGACCAAATCCGTCTCTGAAATGAGCGAGGCTCACTCTTCCTACTCCAGGACCTTCTCTTCTGACATCTCCAACACTGTCGGTGGTGCTACAACGTTCACCGAGATGTCCGAGGTTGACTGCCCAGTCTGCCTTGAACCGCTCTCGCATCGACTCTCTGGTGAGAAGCCCCACGTCGTGCCCGCTTGCGGCCACGCCCTTCACAATGCCTGCTTCACTGCTATCTACGGTCCTCCCCAAGCTTTGCTAGCTGCTCAGAGCCCTGGCAGTCGTTTGCGTGGTGCTGGAGCTTCAGCCAGACACAGTGTTGCACCTCCCGGCATGTGCGGTGTCTGCCGCAAGCCCATCGCTCTCGGTGATGCCAACTCGAGCAAATCTCACAAGCTTGCAGGCATCAATGGAATCGCCGTTGATTCGCCCAAGCTTCGTTCCACCCTCTCCTTTTCCGACGATGGTGAGAATTCTCAGGCGCACACGGACGATCCCGTCGAACAGTCGCAGTCAAAGCAAGCAAGGCATACTATCAGCTCAGCCGCTTCCTTCTCATCTACCTCGTCCCACAACCACACGCTGCCCATTTTGCGAGCTAGACCCGAGTTCCCCACCATTTACTGCAAGCCCAACGGCAAGCAAAGCGCCAAGCTCAACGTTGTCTCAGTGCTTTCCATCGAGGTGCCAAGCCGTCGCTCTCCTTCCGACATCCGCGACCACGCCCTCGATACCATCTCGGACGAATATGCCCAAGACAACAGCACCAATGGCGCTCGCAAGGATGACGATTCTTACTCGGATGATCTCAAGCAAAGTGGCTCTGGCTGGCACGTCAATATCTCCGACAATGCCGCCACCATCGATCACAACCGAAGCCCTATGCCAGAAGCTCGTCTCGGCTTTACCGAACAGGGTGACAAGCACAACGTCATTGCCCCAATCGACTCGCCCGACGAGCCAGGCTTTTCCTTTGGCGCCGCTCCTGCCGGTCTTCCAGCCTTGGACCCCAATCGTGCCATCCTGGATGACCTGCAACAGCGTGTAGCTGACTGGAAGGGTCACTCGATCGAGCACTTTGGTCCTCTCGTCCTCCACGACTTGCTCAACATTCGACAGGACTCGGTCGTCCGCGAGTTCCACATCTACCTCTTTCAAGAGGCGCTACTCTGTGTTACTGAAGAAAGACGCAAGGGCATGGGTCGCTTCATCTCCAATGGAGGCGCTGCCAACAGTGTTGGCCCAAACGAGGCCGAGACCGGCAAACCTGCGCTCAAACTCAAAGGTCGTATCTACTTGCGTCACATCCGACGTGTTCTCCACTCGTCCGTTGCCGGCGAGCACAGTCTCAGCATCACTATGGATGATGAGGACTTGGATCAGTTCGTCTTGTGCTTCCGCGAGACCGGCACCATGGCCGTATGGCGAGCCCGATTGACAGAGTTGACCGAAGGTGACGGAGGAAACTCACCTGCCATCTCCGCTTTTGAGGCCCCTGCAGCCACTCCCGTTGCGCAGTCTTCGAATGATTTGCTCGAGCAGCAAAAGTCGATAGCAGTACCAGGACTGTCTCCCAACCGCCCTACCGCCACGCAGCCGCTGGCGAGTGGCTCCGCATCCGTCTTGAGTGGCAAGTCTGGCTCTCATCATGGGTCAGCAGCTGCCATGCATTCGCGCAATAGTCGACGTCTGTCAGCCGTCTCCTCGAGCTACCACAGCCATCACGGCAACGGCTCTGTTGCCGGCTGTCGAATTTCGGCATCGAGCGACACTGTATCTTTGTACCAGCAGTGGTCCAGTTCGGGCGGTCTTGACCCACGTGTTCCGCCACCTAGCATGCTGCCGCACACTCCCATCGACCTCGTGCTGATGATCTCGGTGCCTTTGGTGCTACCCGAGCACATCTCGGGCTCCATCAGCTCGTCTGCAGCGCTCAAGCTCCGCCTCATCCGATCCTCGCTCGACTTTATCATCCACAGCCTCGGCCCCATCGACCGTATCTCGCTCGTCGCTTTCACTGTTGGCATCGATGGCGAGGTCAAGCGCACCGGTTTGCTCAATCCTCATCGCGATGCCAGCCGTCAGCTCTTGGAAGAGTTCGTTCAGAACATTGGCCGTCCTTGGGACAGTCAAGACTGTGACCCTTTCAGTGTCGATCTCAGCAAGCTCGGCGGCTCAAGCGAGCGCATCGACTCGGTCACCGCCGTCAACGTTGGTCTTGACGTTGTGCTCGGCAGGAAAGCCAAGAACTCAGTCACAAGCATGATGCTGGTCAATGACACTTCTGACGGTCCCAAACGTAACCAGATGGACCTCGTCATGGCACGTGCTGAAGCTGCTAATGTTGCCATTCACTGCTTTGGCTACGGCAAGACGCATGACCCTTCATCGCTCTGGTTGATCTCCAACCATACTCGTGGCTCATACACTTTCGTGCGCGAGTGGTATCAGTTGCGAGAGTGTCTGGCGGGCTGTTTGGGTTCGATGATGTCAGTTGCGCTGACCGATGTCAAAGTGCACATTGGCGTACCTCAGGACAACTGTTTCAGGATTCGCAAGATTGCCGGTTTGCCAGGCGCTATCATTTCGAGCTCAGGCAAGGATGTCGACATTGACATTGGTGAAATTAAGTTCGGAGAGGCCAAGGATCTGCTGGTCGAGCTTGAATTGGATCTGGAAAGTCTTCTGCCAACCCTGATGGAGAACAGAAGGGATGGCAAGAGCATTGGTCCCGGTCCCATCGAGCAAGGCAGCGCAACGGACGATTTCATGCAGAGGATGGGGATCCAAGATCTCAGCTTGGCTGACTCGGATGGAGCCGATGGCTTCCTCGAACAGATGGTCGAAGAGATCGCGGTCTTTGAAGCCGATGTGAGCTTCAAGGATCCCGCCACTGGCATGATCACTTCGCGACTGCCGAACCCAGGTATTCTAACACTCGAGATTGATACTCACTCGACCGATCCACTCACCAATGGACCACCCGGCTTGGCTGCAGTTGTGGCAGAACCCACCGTCACCCGCCGACGCCTCGAAGTGCTCGTCTCTGAGATGATCACCCGATCTCTCCTCCTCATCTCGCGCAAAAACTACGGCCAAGCACTCAAAGTCATCACCGAAACCCGTCGCATCATCGACACGGTAGTCCAAGCACTCAACGGACCCAACCAGTCCAAGCGTAAATCGCTTGTCATCCACCGCTCCAACCATCGCTGTGTCCGCGAAGCCGCTAACCAACGAACCATCGCTTCCCTCGTGGCAATGATGAGCGATCTCGACGTCCTCGGTGAAGGGTTGGAACACCAACATCGCTCAACCTTTGATCGGGATGGAAGGAACTTTGGTGCTCAACAGGCGATGATCTTGAGAGATCAAAAGGCGTGGACTACAAGGACGGATACCGAGTATCTGTACTTCAGAGATGATAACGCGGCTGCGTTTACTGCTTGGTCTGCTAGCTTCGCTTCGATGCGATGAGGCAAGCGGAGCGAGGCAATGGAAGCTAAGGGCCACTTTGGCGAGGGATAGGTTCTACACAATCGAATCAATATACCAGGTTTATCCACCCTAGCGATGCGATGCCATCCGTTACACACCTTCGTCTTCTTATTCGTCATTTACTTTCGGCTAAGGCAGCCGCTGTCACTCTGTCACAACTTGATACCTATTGCACTGTCATTTCACTGTTGGATCTAGACTGAGATGCTGCATCAGCAATTCTCTGTGCTGTCGAACTGTGATGCCAAAACAATGAATAGAACGTAGCCATGAGAGAGGGGAGCATGTTTTATGTGAGAAGGAAAAAGCTGGGCTCCACCTTTGGCTGTTGAAGCCCGAAACATGCCAGAAGCCCGCACCGACGTGTCAAACTGTTACAAACCTGCTGGACTGACGGTCTCGCCAAGGTTTGGAGGATGATCGCATCCTATACTGTAGCCGAGGCTAGCTCGGTCTTGGTTCGAGAATCACTATCTCGTCTCTTTTGTCCGCACCTTGGCAAAGGTGATGCTTTGTTCAAAGTCAAAGATGATAGCTTGGACCCTGGATGTTGCTCAATTGCTCGATGGAGAAGATGAGGTTGAGGCAGCCAAGAGAATGATCCGTTAGCGTGGGTTTGGGGTGCCAAGAAGTAGAGCCAAGCTGTTTTGGCGCAGCAAATTGTGAGAGGTGAGAGGTTGAGTTGCCTTCAACAGCTCCACACCTTTTCTTTTTTTGTTTTTGTTCTTTTTTTCTTAGTGCGAGCCTGAAGCTTGGCTTGCATACTGCATTCCTCAACACCATTCACTATAACGGGCCAAGAAGTGAGAACTGCTCATGAGGAGAGAGGTGAACTTGGCATCCGGATGTCACGTGCGAGGCAAGGCTGATAGACCCTCGGGCTATTCCACCCAGCCTGCCTTGTTCTTTGTCTTATTCTCGGGTGTGGGCTTCGAAGAGCCTTGGCTGCCTGTCACAGAGACAGGGGAGAGCGGAGGCTGAAAGTGAAATCTGTCCAGCTGTTACACAAGGTGTGCTTGAGTGAACACTTTCGAGCCCGGGAGGCTGATAGACCCTGAAAGCAGCTGTTACGATGTTTCATCACTCCTTGAAGGATAAGCTGGTACGAAGTCATTGCGGAGAGATGAAGAGGGAGGGAAGGAAGGAAGGGAGGGAAGGAAGGAAGGGAGGGGAGGAAGGAAGGGAGAGGAGGAGAGGAGAGGTTTTGCCAAGCACCCGTTTGCTGCCAAGAATCGTGGAAATAGCCAAATTGCGCCCTCTCGCTCTTCCTCTTGGCTGTTGCACTGCGCTGGTGGTGGTGCCAAGAAGCTTGGGATGGTTGACCCGGCACTCACGCTTTTGCAGTGTCGCTGTAGTGTGCGCTTTGCCAAGTCGGACAGCTCTGGTTTTTTTTTCTTTTTTTTTTTTTCTTTTTCATGTACAATTTTCAAGCTTTTATCTTTTCCTTTTTCTTTTTCTTTTTCTTTGACTGGCCAGCTGCCTCGCATCTGCTCTGCTAGGATTGAAATTACAGCATTACTTTTTGAAGTCCTGGTGACAGAAGCGGACAGCGTAGAAGAGAGATGCGATTTCAATGCCAAGAAAAGAAACTTGCTCCCTTGGCTGCCCAACCACAAGAAGTCGATCCGTAGCTTGCTGTATGGCAGTAGGAGTGTATGTAGGATGTGTATGCCATCAACCAGAGTCTTGGTCGGGACTCTGTATAATGCGCTTTCATGCCTCATGCTGCTGCTGCTGTTGCTGGATGAGCGTTACCGAAGCCGAGTCTTTTTGGGTTTGATTGAGGCGAAAGATATATATCCCTACCTCGCCATCTTCAACTGCTCAACATGCCCCGTATCCGCCCTCCCACAGTCGCTGCTCGGCATTGCAGACACTTTCCACAAACATCTAGACCCATTTGCAGCTACAGTCGACTTCGTGGAGCTCTTCGAGAGACACGCACCATAGCACAATATGCCTTTGCTTATGTCTCGAAAGTCGCCAGAGTCAGAAGCCTCTACCTCCTTCCGAGCTCGCTCTAGCGGCTCCTCATCACATCACCGTTCTGAACGACCATCTTCACAGAAAGCAGCTGAACTTCGCGCACGATACGAAATGGCACAAGCTATTCAAAAGCCCTGGCCGCTTCACCTGCTCGAGAACGGTGTCAAACCTGCTGCTGCCTCATCCTCGCCACCCCCTTCCACTTCTACCGCCGCGGCTACTAGCAGCTCTCGAAGCACACGATCCTCTTCAGCAAACAAGTCTTCCACGCGATCCTCTTCAGCAAACAAGTCTTCCACGCGATCCTCTTCAGCAAACAAGTCTTCCACGCGATCCTCTTCAGCAAACAAGTCTTCCACGCGATCCTCTTCGTCAACACGACGCGAAACTCGATCTGGTGCTGCTGCCGCGGTTGCTTCCACCCATGCCGAGCTAGCCGCAATGGACGCCGACGCAAGGTCAAGCAAGAAGAAACGCAATTCCGCCAACTCTTTGGACAAGTTGTCGCTCTCTCCAACACTAAGCAACTGGATCAAGAGAGCTAGCAAGGACTCGGACAAAAGCACGAGCAGCACAAGTAGCAGCGGTCGATCTAGCAGTCCCCCTTCTTCTTTGGCTACTTCGCCGTTGTCCTCTCCCAAGGACCTTTAAAGGTGCCTTGAGTTTGATTCTTTATTGTCATGGTTTTACTTGTTATTTAGCGTAGCCATCATACCCTTCATACATACCCGCTCGGTCCTTGTCACGGCTTTGCAAATTCCTATTGCGTTTCGCGACTCTGTTGCAATTGCATACTTTCAATGTTTGTATACTATCAAACTAAACTTGTGAGAGACAACTTGTGTCTTGAGACGTAGGACTCTTGACTTGTGCATGAGATCCTCGTTGAGCCAGCTGCTCTGTGAGATCACGAGTGAAGCCAGCTTCATCGTCATCGTCATGGCTCAACTCTTGTTGGTCGTCTAGCATATCGCATCAGGACAGCCATCACAGAGATCGGCTAGATCTTCCATCGGGACAATGCCAAAAAAATCTGAGGCAAAGAAACATGCGATCGAGAAGTGTGCTCCACAAGTCGCAGTTGTCTCTTTATCTACCCTAGGGTTTGTGCTGGAGGTAAAGATTGACTAGCTGGCTAATTTACATGAATAACGAAGACCATCTGCTGGAGCTGATCTGCTCGGCGTCGGGCGGAATGCGAAAGCCCTTCCTTTGACTTGCCTTTTGGATGAAAGACGAGGGTGATGCTGTGGTGTCGGGATTGCGGTATCTATTGGTCCTCGAGGGCAAGCTCAAGGTCAGCGCCGTAAAGCTTGGAGTTGAAGAAGCCAGGGTCGAACCAGTTGACTCGAACGTAACCGTCCTCTCCTCCCGAAGCGTATGCAATGCCGGCGGGGTGAATGGCGATGGTGTTGATAGGACCAAAGTGGCCAGGGAGACGTGCGCACTCCTCCTCAAAGACCTTGTGCCAGAATCGAGTCTCGAATCGACCTTGTCGTGCCGAAGTGGTTGTGACGTTCATAGCATCCTGACCACCACCAACAATGACGAAAGGCTTGGTTGGATGAATGGAAGCACTGTTCAATGGTGTCTCGGTGGCGTATGTCTTGATCACTTGCAATGTCATGGAGTCGATGAGTTTGGAGGTCTTGTCTCTGGAAGAGGTGACAAAGTATGTGCGGTCGGCGCTCATCTGCATGTCCGAGATCATCTCGCCAGGGTGTGCGTCGGTGGACTGCTCCTCAAGCTCTGCGTCGATACCGCTCTCGGGCTCCTTCTCGTCGTGATAGTAGGCTGCAACCTTGCCGTTCTCGTGGCCGGTGATGATGTATTGGTCGCAAGGGGCGAAAGCAGCGACAACGGCCTTGGGGCCAGAGAAGGTGATGGTGCGGGTGGGTTCAGGGTCCTGCTGTGTCCATGTGGCGGGGTCACGGTTGATGCGGAAGACACGCAGCGATCCGCGGTAACCCATACGCTGTTCTGTGACTACGAGAACCTGAGTGCAATCTTCAGACCAGGCAACACGCTTGGCAGCGGTGGTGAACTCCCAGGTGAAGAGGCACTTGCCGGTAGCCACCTCCCAAAGACGCATCTGGTTGTCGGCGGATCCGGAGATGAGGAGTGTGGACGTGGCTGATGTGCGAGAATGCGAAGGTCGGTGCAATGTGCAGATTAAGGTCGAGAGGTGATGCGAGGTCGAAAATGCGAAGATGCGAAGATGCGAGGTGTTTTGGGTAGTTGAAGGGGATTGATGGTGATGGTGTGTTGGCAACGAGGTGGCGGTGATAGAGATGGTCAGTAAAGCGTAAGTCAGATCGCGCATTCTTGTCGGAAGTGATAGTGAAACTCACAGTCTACATCAACGGTCCAGACGGTACCGTTGTGACCCTCGTAGGTGCCGAGACGCTCGCCATTGTGAGAGAACCAAGCGTTAATGACTGGATCCTTTGCGACGGAGAAGAGCAAGTCACCTTCACGGTTGAACTTGACCTGGGTGAGCGAACGCTCGTGTCCAGAGAGGAGAATGGGCCGCTATTGAGTGTCGAAAAAGGTCGAGGTGCATGAGACAAGATGCGATATAAACAATGCAGATGAGGTCAGGAATGTTGCTCTTGTGCTATGAAGCGTTGTCGAGTGCAGTTGCAGATGATACATACCATGATAAGATGTCTGTGGTGGATCAAAGATGGTGGAGAACAGCTGGAAGATATCGAAAGTTGAAGCGCGGTAACGGCCAAGAGAAGATCTCGAAAAGAGTTCTCAGACAGGGCTGGCCCAGCGCCAAAAGCCAAGAAAGAGGAAGAAAGACAGCGCGGTGTGAGGCACGGCTGAGTCTGCCTATGTGTCGTGCTTTTTCTTTTTCTTTTCTTTTTTTTTTCCTATGATTTTTTATTTTTATTTTTATTTTTTTTTTTTTTTTTTTTTGATTTTTTGATTTTCTCACACAGGGAGAATGGGGTCTTTGTGAAGCGGCACAAAGGAAAGGGGGGGTTTTTTTTTTTTTTTTTTTTTTTTTTTTTTTTTTTTTTTTTTTGTGCCTTCCTCCTCAAGATTCAACACTTTTGAGGTCGATGTCTTATTTTTGAAGTCAAGCCCTCAGTCGAGTTGAAGATGCGAATAGAATTCGTGTTGTATTCGGACTTGAAATTCTTGAGACGCGGTCTTCAAAAGGCACGATTCTGTATTTGCACCTTGAAGGTACCACTCGTGCGAGTACCAGAGAACGAGGCCGCGTCAAGGGTTTAGTTCTTCTGATGAGAATTCGAGCTCTTCCTCGCCTCAACTCGCTTCTGGCCTCGCTTCCACACCTTCTTTGAACTCGGATACGCTCCTTATGGCAATCAGAAGGCGGCGATATCGGATTGCTTCATCTCTAGACACTTCAAGACGAGCCAAAGCTGAACTGCAGACTCTATGTGCTTGTTGGGAAGAAGCGACATTTGTCACTCACTACTGACTGCAAAAGCCAGACGGAAATTGGTTGAAAATCCACAGAGGAAGAGACTGGTCGCCTGTGGTTTTCCAAACTATAACCTAGCCATTCTCTAACGGCACAGTTTTTTGCATCTCCGGAGCACTGGATCAGTCAGTCCCCGGTCGCAATCAAAACAGCTGACTGCAGTCGTAGCGCCTCTGACTGACACTCAAGTGAGACTCACGGTCAGGCTTGGGACAGGGCTGTCTGGAATCTAGACCCAGACCCAAGCGATCCCTATCTTTCAATCAAATCACACATACATGCACGCACACACTGACGCGATGCACTCTTGCCGTCTCGTCGTCTCACCGTCTCGCTGTCTCGCTGTCTGTGGTTGCTGTTGCTCTGCTGTTGTTGCCGCTGCTTAGGAGTCGAGACAGAAACAGAAACACGAAAAACGAGAACAGAAAACACGAAAAACGAAAAACGAAAAACGAAAACAGAAACAGAAACAGAAACAGAAAGTACGCACTACAACACACACACACACACACACACACACATGCACACATACAGTCAGTCAGTCCCAGTCCGATGAACCTCCATCCGCTGTTGCTGCTGCTGTTTTCCGCACTCAATCGTCCAATTCTGACTCTTCAAGCAGACGTCGCCTCTCCACCGCTTTGATCCGTCGCCAACCCTTCTTCCGCTCTACTTTCCTGTCGTTCGCCACCACCATCATCTACCCTCCGTCCTCCCTACCGTCGACGTTCCTTCTTTCGGGTTTTCTCTTCATCTTCTTCTGGCGTCTTCTTACCGCTCGTCCCCTTCGCTGTTGTCTCCTCGGTCTTGCATTATACAAGCAACGAAAGGATCTCAGTCTGACGAATCGGCTCGCATCTACAGACTTGTCAAGCTGTTGGCGAAGACGAGATTCATCGACGTTCCCCTTTTCAACCATTTGGGTCGCATCTCCGCATCTCACACTACCACTCTCGATCTCTTGGTTTCCTTCGATCGTTCTTGATCGTTCAATCCACACCTTCCACTCAATCGCCATTGCGTTTCTTCGCCTGGCATCTAAATCCTCAGCCCCTCTATTCGCAGACTCTTCCAACCAGTTCGATCCAGACGAATTCCATTTCTACACAATGGGTCAATCACTATCAGAGCCCGTCACCGACAAGACCACCTCTTCCGGCGGCAATGACTCTCTTCTCTATGCTATCTCCGACATGCAGGGTTGGCGTATCAGCATGGAGGACTCGCATGCTACAATCCTCGACCTTAAGAATGCTGAAGGTGACATTGTTGGCAGCTTTTTCGGTGTTTACGATGGACATGGAGGTAAGTTGCCCCATCTACCTCTTGGCGCGATATTCAAACGACGTGCAGATCTGACCCTTTGACTTTTCCTTCAACATCCTTGCGTGATCGTCAGGCTCGTCTGTCGCCCAGTACTGTGGTCGCAACTTGCACAACAACCTCACCTCTGAGGAAAATTTCAACAAAGGCCACTATCTATCTGCATTACAGGCGGCTTTCTTAAAAGTCGACGAAGATCTCAAGGAAGGTATGTTTGAGCGCTTGCTTACCTCGGCCATTCAAGGAACACGTCCATGTACTGACTAAACTCGAACCCTCTTTCGCCATTTTCTTCCGGCACGCTTCCAATTCTATCTCACAGACCTAGAGTATGTCAATGATCCCTCGGGATGCACTGCTGTCACCGCATTCATCCAGACCGACAAAGATTCGAAGCGGATTGAAAGAGTCTTCTGCGCCAACGCCGGCGACTCTCGTTGCGTTCTCTCGCGAGCAGGACAACCCATCGACATGAGTACCGATCATAAGCCTACTTTGAGCTCGGAGCGACAACGTATCGAGGCTGCAGGTGGTTACGTCAGTGAGGGTCGTGTCAACGGCAACCTGGCTCTCAGCCGAGCCATTGGTGATTTCGAGTTCAAGAGGACCTTCAGACTTCCAGTAGAGCAGCAGATCGTCACCGCTTTCCCCGAAGTGCGCAATATGGAAATCCTCGAAGGCCAAGACGAGTTTCTTGTCCTTGCTTGCGATGGTATCTGGGATTGTCTCAGCAGTCGGGAGGTTGTCGATATTGTTCGACGATCCATCGCCAACGGCATAGAGCTCAAAGACATCTGCGAGGACCTCATGGACCGCTGTCTCGCACCAGACTCGGACACCGGCGGCATCGGATGCGACAACATGACCGTGTGCATTGTAGCACTGCTCAACGGCCGGACCAAGCAGGAATGGTACGACTGGATCAAGGAGAACATCGAAGTGCTACAAGACGGCTACCGCGTAACACCTAAGGATGTCGCGCCGGTCTTCAAGAGCTCACCATTTACTTGGCGAGGTCAGAAAACTGGCATTGACGGCCCTGTCAGCATTAAGTCGCTCTTGTCTGGCAGTTTGCCGCGCAACGATGATGACGATGATGAGGCAGGAGGACAACTTCGATTGCCGGGCGGTCTCGCCGGCGCTCTCACCGGTGCTGGCATTGTTTTCCGTCCTGGCGGACGCTCGGAGGAAGGTGAAGTTGTTTACGAAGCACACGTTGTTGACGAGGACGACAGCGGAGACGAGCAGTCCGAGACCTCAGGACAAGCTCAGGCCGATGGCGATGCCAAAACTAAGACTTCCACTACAACCACTGACGCAAGTGCTGAGCAAGAGCCAAGGCTAGTCGAGTCTCCTCGAATGGACGCCAAGCCAGCCAGCTCTAGAGAAGAGTCTGACAAGATGGAGGTGGACAACGAGACCGAGACATCCGGCAAGAACAAGTAAAGCGTAGACAGGTAGCCTAGCGTCGAAGCTATGTCGGCTTCCGCCGTTGTCTCTTGACACTCAACAACACAATCGTGGTTCTGGCGCACGACGCAGCACCGTTTTCTTTTATTCGACACAAACATTTCCTCGATCCATACGATTCAGAATTGCGAGCAATCTTAGCATTTCCCAATTTCCCAAAACACAAGCACTCTTCCTCTGCGCGAGGTTTTGACATTGTAGACAATACGATACCAGCTTTGCCATATGCACGAGACGACGCGGAAATGTCAGCACAAATTTTCGTTCCTGTTACTAGCTTCAGACCGTCTTGACCGATCGGTGAACGTTTGTGGAAGTTGAAGAGCGTGCGTCAGATGTCGTTGATCACAAGTGTCGATTGCGATAAAGGATGCTTGCTAATTACAGGATGATCCGACTGTTTATATACATCTCAATGCTCTTTGTATGTGTGTATGATACTTAGCATGGCGAGGCCGAAAACATGAGTGAAACTACAGAGAAACTACACCAGCTATCTACTGGCCAGCATCTTGATGTCCAACAGTCAGTCTGGATAACACACTAAACCCAAGTGAGCGAGGTTGGTGATTGGATATGAGCTTGGCATAGAAGTTGCATACTCTGAGAGATCACATGCTTCTACACCAAGACATCACATGCTTCAACTGTCCCCCTCGCCAACTGAGCAAATAAGCGGTCCAATGTTGGTCATTCCTAGGTGTTGTCAAGTGTGAGTTGAGTGATGTTGGAATACTGGTTTGGTGAGGAAATCCACAACGTTATTGTCAGTTTTAACATATTTGTAAGCGGTTGCGCACCAGAAACCTGAAAACTGTTATAAGAACCTAATATAACTGATTTCCCCAAAAGGTGCAGAAGGTTTCCCTTATGATTGATCTCCACAAGATAAGCTGTAGGGCTGTGTGATAGTAGGTTCCAACTAACCACCTTGAACACTCTGTCCAGAGGCTATGTGGTACATTCAAAAGGTAAGGTAGACTTGTTGTGTCTATACTGACTAGAGGCTGGAGGTTGATGTCTGTTGTGGCACAAATGTTCTTAGTGCTGACAGTCTCACAATGATAATTGAGTGGTGTCCAGTCCACAATAAGGTTACTGCCAACAGATGGAATTGGAGCACTGGGCTGCAGTATGATTACTGCCTTTGGTGGATGACTGGTCCACAATGTAAACACTGCCTACAGTTGTTGTCTTAGCAGTGATACAACACACTCACTTGAGATGACTTTGCAATGCTCTGCAATTGCAAATTGTACAAACAAGTAAAGACTAGACTAAGTGATAGATAGAGTGGATGAGGATCCACTCATATGCTATGATGGAATGAAAGTATATATGTGTTTGCGCATTGTTGCCTATGACACTGCTCCTGCTCCTCCTGGAAGTGTAAACACTTCCTGAATGTTGATGCTCCTTCTTCTGAACAGTGTCAATCCCTTTGACACTGCTCCTCTTCCTCCTGGGTGATGTGTTGGTCTCCTTGACACAATCCCCCTTCCCCTTATCTTGTGAATGCTCCTAACCTCATGAACACTTCTATTGTTCACTTCCCATCCTTGTGGACACTTCTATTGTCCACCTCCAGTCCTCATGGAAACTTCTATTGTCCACCTCCTGATCTGCATGCTACCATCTCCCTGTGTGGTAACCTCACTGCATGCTCTTATGCTCGGACCCCCTATGTGCTTCCAAGCCCCTTCATGTGGTTTGCGTGACTAAAACAGTTGAACTAGCTTGTTACAACCATTTTTACTGAAAACGATCGTAACTCAGCAATCCAATTGTTTTCGCTTTTTTGTGCACACACTGCAAATCCATGCATGTTCAGGGTCTCCTGCGCAGACCCTGTGACAATATTGCATGGCGATATCACCCTCCTGAACGTGGTCACACAGGAGATGGTACTTAGTGTCGACATGTTTGAGCTTTGAGTGCATCACAGGATCCCTTGCCACCTGAATGCAACCTGTATTGTTGGTGAACACTGTGGGTGTGTGATCTCTGAATCCGAGGCCTCGGAGAAGGTGCCTGTGGAACAATATGTCAGCGGTTGTGTGCCTGAAACCCGAAGTTTACTGGGAAAACCGATTTCGACCAGTTTCAGTGAACTCTCTCGAGAGTGCTCTTTCCAACCACTTTCACTGAGACTGATTGTAGAGCTGATTTCCAACAAGTTTTGACTGACCGCTGTGAACACCCCTGTAAGCGGTCGCGCGCCAGAGACTAGCTGAGGTTGATTGAGTAAGGACTACTTGATATGATTCACCTAAACGTAACCAAGCATCATCACCTAGTAAGTCTCAACTGACCACCTTGAACACTCCATTCAGAGGTTGCATGGCATGGATGTTGTTTGTTGGTGAGTGAGTGATACACCCTCCCCTACAGTACGAGTGTTCATAGTACTGTTGGTAATGCTCTTGGACATCATCTGGACCACGATATGCTAATCACCTACAGAGGATGTGAGTTACTGGACTGCTGGTGTGAAACACTGCCTACAATAACCGACTGGACCACTGGTGTTGAGCAACACTGCCTACAGCAAGGAACTGGACTGCTGGTGTTGAAGAACACTGCCTACAGTAATGAACTGGACTGCTAGTGTGAAGAACACTGCCTACAGTAATGAACTGGACTGCTAGTGTGAAGAACACTGCCTACAGTTGTCGACTAATGGTGATACAACACACATGTTGAGAGTCATTGCAAGAGCACTGCTATTGTGATGGTACGTAACTGAGTAAGTATAGAGTAAGTAAGTTGAGTTTCAGAGTGGATGTGGATCCACTTGTATGCTATGGTAGAATGAGAGTATTTATACATCTGGTCAGTGTTTTCCCTCAACATCTATCCTGCTCCTCTTGAGGGGCCTTTGTCCCCTGTTAGGCACTGCCTTGCCCTGCTGGCATCAACCCCTTCAATACTGTGCTCCTACCATTTGCTCGGCATAAGGGTTATGCAACACTGCCCTCTTGCCTACATGCTCTCCTTCTGTCTGATGTGTGATGCCCCCCTTTCGGCACAGCCCCCTTTCAACTTAATCTTGTGAATTCCCTTTTGAACCTTGTGACCATACCCCCTGGTCATGTGGTCACATCGGCACAGTTCTGTCTCAACTTGTTCGGATCAGCTGACTAGTTGAAGTGTGCTGATCCGACTGACTCTGACATTGGCACAGCTCCGAATACTTGTTCGGATTGGCCGACTAGTTGAAGCGTGCCGATCTGACTGATTCCAACTTCAGCACAGCTCCAAATACCTATTCGGATTGGCTGATTAGTTGAGGCATGCTGATCCAACTGCCTCCATCATCGGCACAGCTCTGAGTACTTGTTCGGATTGGCTGACTTGTTGAAGCATGCTGGTCCGGCTGACTCCAACTGATCCCATGAGATTGATCTGGATTCCTGGGGTTCGATCCATCTTGTAAAACATGTGTGCTGCCAACCCGATTAATCTCGTTGATCCCCAATGGTTGTCGACTCTGATCAATCTGGCGCACCCTTCATATGTTGATCTTCTGCGCACCCTTCATATACTGCTCCGTTACGCGACATTATCATAACTGCCGCTGATCATTTGGCGCACTCTCTTGCGCAGGCCAGCCGTCCCTGTGACAACCCCATCCAGTGGTAGCACAGCAGAATCATATAATCTAATTAACTTGCTAAGGCTACCCCAGAGTATGGTATGATAATGTCTGTCTCAACACAAGTGTTCATAGTGTTGACCGCTGCACATTTGTATTGGAATGGTTGTTGTCCAGACCATAGTGGAAGAATGCCTTTGGTATGAGATTGAGGGAGCCGGATGTCAGCGATCGGGAATCGGGTAACCACACCGAAACATAGTGAGCAGCAAAACCACTACACCAGCTAGTCCCTTAGCTGGTGTACCCAATTCACACAACACTGAAGTATAGGCATTGCACTCCCCAATGCTCCAAACTCAGAGAACGAAATTCCATTCCGGTGACATGTATGTGGTTGTGTATTTGGATGACTTCCTGATCTTTAGTGACACAGAAGAGGAACATGTACAGCATGTCATGGAGGTCCTCATCCATTTGAGGAGCAACTGACAGTTTGCCAAGCTGTCTAAGTGTGAGTTCCACACCACCACAGTTGAGTTCTTGGGGTACATCATCAAACCCACAGGGGTGGAAATGGATCCAGAGAAGGTGTGAACTGTCAAGGAGTGGCTAATGCCAGAGTCAATCCATGACATCCAACAATTCCTAGGCTTCATTAACTTCTACTGGCAATTCATAGCTCACTTCACCCAAATTGCCAAGCCATTAATCTCACTGGTGAAACTGATGGAATGTTTCAAGAAGTTTGAGTTACTGGAAGATGCTCAACAGGCTTTGCACAAGCTCATACAGGCATTCACAATGGCTGGAGTGCTAAGGCACTTCAATTACCATCTCCCAACAAGGTTGGAGACAGATGCAAGTGACTTCACCATTGTGGGAGTACTCAAACAAGAGTGTGAGGGATGTTGGCATCCTGTAGCTTTCTACTCCAGAAAGATGTTGTCAGCAGAGAAGAACTATGAGATCCACAACAAGGAACTCCTAGCATTAGTAGCCTGTCTCACTCAGTGGCAACACATGCTTGCAGGACTGCCAAGTCAGCTAGTCATTCTCACAGATCATGAGGCACTCAAGTATTTCAAGTTGCAGTGCCACATCACAGGGCAACAAGCAAGGTGGGTGGTATTGCTGGCTGATTTCAACTTTATACTACAATACCAACCAGGAGACAAGGGTGGTGAACCTGATGCTCTCACCAGACAAGTCAATATGCAGCCAGTTGGTGAGGAGCAAGAGCATAATGTGCAACAACTACTACCTTCCCAGGTATTTGAGAAGGTGGGAAACAAAATCAGTGAAAGAGGCAGGTGTCACAGGGTCAGCAGGTCAGCATATGAAGGGTGTGCCAAATTGATCGGCACCAAATCATTGGGAATTGACAAAGCTAATTGGGTTGGTAGTGCATATGATTTATGAGACCAACTGAACTCTGGGGTCCAGGTTAATTTCACAAGGATTGATCAGGATCAGCCTGATCAGCATGTCTCAGCAAGTCAGCTGACATGAGCAAGCATCAGGAGATTCAGGAAGGAGGATACTGGCATTAGAAGGAGAAGCATATGGAGATAACCACATGTAGGAGCAGGGTGTCAGGGGTCTCGCGCCTGAAACCTGTCATGGGCCTAGATGCTCAAGAAGCAGGAGGGCCACTGGTTCATATGGAAGGAGCACAGGTATCGACGATCTAGTCGATACCAGTAGAGAGCATGGTCGTAGTGCAGTCTCCATGGAAACCATGGACTCCTATGGACTCACATGCAAAGGAGGACACGAGCCACATGCGAGGAGGGCCAGGCACAGCCACGAGGAGGACCAAGCTCAAGGAGCAGGCACAGCCACAAAGAGGACCAAGCTCAGATGGTTACCACTCAGGGGCTCGAGACACAAGAGTCAAAGGAACTGTCACAGGTCATGAGGAGGAGGAGCAGTGTCGAAGGAGTCGACACCACTCAAGAGGCACAGGGGTGCCAAGCAGGAGAGGCCCCTGAGCAGTACTCGATGAAGAAGGTACTCTCTGGAGAGAGAGCAGGAGCAGCATCGCTGGTGATGCTGTGAAGAGGTATATAACCATGCTTTCTCATCACCAAAGGTCAAGTGGATCCTCATCCACTCTACACTCACCATATAACTAGTTATCACTTCAGCATAAGTATATATTAGTTTCAGTCAGCATAGCAGCAATCTATCAAGGTTGCTCCTCATCATAGTGTGTGTGTTGTATCACCACTACCTGACATCCATAGGCGCCCCATAGCAGGTTAGTGGTCCAGATATAGATAGAACCGAAGGCAGTAGTCCACTGCAGTCCAGGGATCACTTCAAGCATTAGTCAGCACACTGGACACTCATGTTGATGCCACCAACCTTATCACCAACACCATCAACCTCATTATCATCAACACTCACCAACCTTATCACCAATGTCATCAACCTCATCATCATCAACACTCACACCAGATCTTGGTGTCATCATAACTGAAGCATTGATATTGATCGTGCCGAGCTACCCCTGAATGGAGTGTCCACAGAGGTCAGCCGAAACCTACGATAGTATATACAACGAACGCCACCTGCTGTCACTGCACAACTTGATAGTCACCGATACCGAGACAATAGCTGTCGCACAGTTTGATAGTCACCGAGTATCTCGAAAGACCGACCTGGGTTTTGTCAGGGGTCTCGCGCCTGAAACCCAGGTCGGTCTGTCGAGATACTCGGTGACTATCAAACTGTGTGACAGCTATTGTCTCGGTATCGATCTCGATGAGCTTATCGCTCGGCGACTATCAAGTTGCGCGATGGGTGGCGTTCGTGTATATACTATCGTAGGTTTCGGCTGACCTCTGTGGACACTCCGTTCAGGGGTAGCTCGGCACGATCAATATCAATGCTTCGATTATGATGACACCAAGGTCTGGTGTGAGTGTTGATGATGATGAGGTTGATGGTGTTGGTGATAAGGTTGGTGAATGTCGACAATAATGAGGTTGATGGTGTTGGTGATGAGGTTGGTGGCGTCAACACGAGTGTCCAGTGTGTTGACTTTGACGCTTGAAGTGATCCCTGGACCACAGTGGACTACTGCCTTCAGTTCTATCTATATCCAGACTGCTAACCTGCTATGGGGCACCTATGGATGTCAGGTAGTGGTGATACAACACACACACTATGATGAGGAGCAACCTTGATAGATTGCTGCTATGCTGACTGAAACTAATATATACTTATGCTGAAGTGATAACTAGTTATATGGTGAGTGTAGAGTGGATGAGGATCCACTTGACCTTTGGTGATGAGAAAGCATGGTTATATACCTCTTCACAGCATCACCAGCGATGCTGCTCCTGCTCTCTCTCCAGAGAGTACCTTCTTCATCGAGTACTGTTCAGGGGGCCTCTCCTGCTTGCTTGGTACCCCTGTGCCTCTTGAGCTGTGTCGACTCCTTCGACACTGCTCCTCCTCCTTGCTATCCTGCTGCTTGTTTGGCACCCCTGTGCCTCCTGAATGGTGTCGACTCCTTTGACACTGCTCCTCCTCATGACCTGGTGTCGACTCCTTCGACTCTTGTCTCTCGAGCCCCTGAGTGGTAACCATCTGCATGCTCCTTGAGCTTGGTCCTCTTCGTGGCTGTGCCTGCTCCTTGAGCTTGGTCCTCCTCGTGGCTGTGCCTGGCCCTCCTCGCATGTGGCTCGTGTCCTCCTTTGCATGTGAGTCCATAGGAGTCCATGGTTTCCATGGAGACTGCACTACGACCATGCTCTCTACTGGTATCGACTAGATCTTCGATACCTGTGCTCCTTCCATATGAACCAGTGACCCTCCTGCTTCTTGAGCATCCAGGCCCATGACAGTACTCTCTGGAGAGAGAGAGCAGGAGCAGTGTCACTGGCGACGCTGTGAAGAGGTATATAACCATACTTTCTCATCATCAAAGGTCAAGTGGATCCTCATCCACTCTACACACACATCATAACTAGTTATCACTTCAGCATAAGTATATATTAGTTTCAGTCAGCATAGTAGCAATCTATCAAGGTTGCTCCTCATTGTAGTGTGTGTGTTGTACCACCACTACCTGACATCCGAAGGCAGTTCATAGCAAACCAGTGGTCCAGATATAGATAGAACCGAAGGCAGTAGTCCACTGTGGTCCAGGGATCACTTCAAGCATCAAGTCAACACACTGGACACTCGTGTTGATGGCACCAACCTTATTACCAACACCATCAACCTCATCATCATCAACACTCACACCAGACCTTGGTGTCATCATAACCTACACATTGATATTGATCATGCTGAGCTACCCCTGAACAGAGTGTCCACAGAGGTCAGCCGAAACCTACAATAGTATATACAATGAATGCCACCTGCTGTCATTGCACAACTTGATAGTCGCCAAGCAACTAACTTGTTGAGACCAATACTGAGACAATAGCTGTCACACAGTTTGATAGTCACTGAGTATCTTGACAGACCGACCTGGGTTTCAGGCGCGAGACCCCTGACACATACCTCAACTCCACACTCAAGCATGTGATTTACATGAAACCACCAGAGGGTGCTAAAGTGCCAGATGGGAAAGCTTACCAAGTTGTCAAGGGGCTTTATGGCCTTAGGCAATCAGGGCAGGAATGGAACATGGAGTTTGACAAGTTCCTTTGGCACTCAAATTTTCACAGGCTTGACTGTGCCCCATGCATTTACACCAGAGGAATGGGGAATGACTTTGCAATTGTGATCATTTATGTTGACAATACATTGATCATAGCCCCAAAGCTGGAAGTAGTCAAGTGCATCAAGGAGGAAATAGGTAAGAGATGGAGGATGGAGGAGGGCAGCAATGTATCCCACTTCTTAGGAATCAAGATCTCCAGGAATCGAGAAGCAAAGACCATGGACCTTGAGCAAACCAGCTACATCAAGCAACTGCTAGACAAACACTTGGACAAGCACAGAAGAAAGTCCAGCATACCACTTCAAGACATCCCAGTCACAGAAATGGCAGCAAGCATTGCAGAGCAAAAGGAGTACCCACAGATTGTTGGCAAACTTCTGTGGCTCTCCAATGGTACATGTCCAGACATCAGCCAAGCCATTGGAGTCCTTGCATGCTACATGACACAGCCATCAAGGGAGCACTACAATGCAGCACAGAAAGTGCTCCAATATCTAGACCACACACAGGATACCCATTTGCAATATGGCAGCAACAAGCAACAAGATTTCTTGACAGCCCATAGTGATGCAAACTGGGCAAGTGACACTACAGCACAGTGTAAAAGCTCATCTGGCTCAGCTGTGTTTGTGTACAGCAATCTGGTGGCATGGAAGTCAGCACTGCAGCACTGCACCACATTATCAGCAGTGGAAGCAGAGTTTGTGGCTGCAACAGAAGCTGCACAGGAAGTCCTGTTCTTTGAACATCTTTTCAAGGCCATAGGAATTGACATTGGTATCCCTACAATCTTCTCAGACAACACTGGTACCATCCAGGTTAGCAAGGACCCTGCACAACATTGGAAGTTAAAGCACATTGACACCAAGTATCACTTCATCAGAGATAATGTGCAAGATGGTAAGGTCAAAATCAAGTACATTAACACCACAGAGAACCTGGCAGATATCTTTACCAAGCCAGTGGGGAAGGATGTGCTACAGCATGCACAACAGGGGCTAGGGCTAACAACTCAGCAAGGTGCAGCAGCTCAGCAGAGCAGCTCAGCAGTCTCCTGCTTTGCCACTGAGGGAGGCAGTGGAGGGAGGTGTGACAATGTAGGAATTCTGCTGTTGAAAATTTTTGCAGCAGTCCAGCCCACATGCAAATGGAGAGGGGGACTTGGGAACTTCTAGGCTTGAACTTGCCAAAACAGCCAAGTCCCCCTCTGGACTTGAGTTTGTACTTAGATCATCACCATCACAGCAAATCTGAAGTACCGCAACTTCTTCTCCAAAGCCAGGCATACGATCAACAGCCTGGTGTCAGCAGTTGCGCACCCAAAACCTGATATCCATAATAGAACTGCATCTATTACAAATCCTGTTGAGATATGTGACAATGCTTGTGGTATTGTGATTCTTGCCAAGATATGTAGTAGAGACATCTCTATTACTTTTCTTGCTCAAAAAGGCAGTAATGGCTTTGCTATTGCAGGTTTCGACTAACTGCTGCAGACACTCTGTCCAGAGGTAGCTCAGCATGATCAATAACTTGAATGTATTGCAAGACACCAAAGGTCTGATGTGATTGAGATAATTGATGTTGTTGACATGAGTGTCCAGTGTGTTGACTGAGTGCTTGAGGTGATCCCCAGACCACAGTGGATGACTGCCTTTGGTTCTATCTTTATCCAGATTGCTGGTTTGCTAGGAACCACCTTTGGACATCAGTGAGCAGTGATACAACACATGTGCTACAATGGAAGCAATCTACTTGATTGCAACTATGCTGACTGAAACTAATATATACTTATGCTGAAGTGATAACTAGTTATGTATGGTGTAGAGTGGATGGCAATCCACTCTCTTGCTAGGACAGAGAACATGGTTATATACCTTTCTTGCAATGTCACCTGTGACACTGCTCATCCTCCTCATCCCTCCTATGCTCCCCATCCACCTTGTGATGCCACTCATTGGCACCACCTCCTTGCCTCCTCTGGATGGGTGGCCTCTGGCTGCTTCATCTCCATCAGGGGCCAGTTCCACCTCATCTGGGTGGTGACTTGCACCCTTTCATCCTTTCTTTGTCTTCAGTGCCCACCTTCTTTTGCCAGCTTCATCACTGTAGTGCCCCTGCCTCATCTGATGGTGTCCCCTCCTTGTTTGGTGACCTCTTCTTGCTGTATCAGCAATGGGGTGCCTCTCTGACCAATTCCTGTGAGATCTGTCATACTCAGCATGATATTGCAATTCCCACTGAATCCTGTAGTAGCAATGTTGTTCCTACTGATCCCAACAAGTTATGCCCTAGGGTTGCTTCTACTACTGATCTCAGTGAACTCTTCCTTAAGCTCTCGCTTAGCCTGATCCTGTGATTTCTGCACTCCTTCATATGACTTCACTTCTTCCTGCCTCCTGTGCATCTGGCCCCATGACACCTGGTTTGTCATTATTCACCCTCCCTGTTTACACCCTCCCTTGCTGCTCGTTTCTGTGCTCGGCCGGCCCCTGTTACGGCGGGCTGGGAGCCTCCTTGTCGAGCTTTGAGGACCTCACGGGTCTTTGCCTGCAATCCACTTTGTTTTTCAGCATGTTAGTATAGTCATTTCTGTTTCGTTTCGTGCGAATGAGTCCAGACGGGATCCGCAAAATTAGATGCAAGTTGCGCAACACGCATGTCCGCTTCACTTTTTCAGTCTGAAATCAACATAGACCCTGCGTGGTCTCGCTAACCTTGACCTCGCTGTTGTCGACCCCTGACTGGACGCATCTGCTGTCACTAACGCTCCTCGTCGATCCTTTCCTCTGTCTCCGAATCAAGCCATCTCACCAGCTGCATCTCTCATATGGGTTCCTCACAGCTTAGTTGAGGCAGAGCAATGTTTGCTTCCGACCTTTCCACCATCTTTTCCGTTCTCAACATCGATGGGAGTTGAGGCTCAGACTTGGCCGGCCTCCTCAACGTTGAACAACACTGATCGAAGACAAGGCCGTCATAGGCACCGAGCCGGCTAGCCTGTTCTATCCAAATTGACAAAGATGGGCTTCAACTATGGCTTTTTGAGCCACAGCGATCCGTTGGTGTTCGATCCCACCAACTACATCTTCATGACCAATGGTTTCGGTCTCTTTCTTACACAGATCATCATCATCATCATACTATGTCAGCTACTCGGTAAGCTGTTCAAACTCGTCGGTCAGCCAGCTGTCGTTGGCGAGCTGCTCGCCGGCGTTCTCCTCGGTCCAACTGCTTTCGGTAACATTCCAGGCTTCACCAACACAATCGTGCCAAAAGAAGCGCTCGGCCTCCTCAAGCTCATGGCCAACATCGGTCTTTCCTTCTTCCTCTTCCTGATCGGTCTCGAGACTGATACAGATTTGATGGCTAAGTACTGGCAAAAAGTCATCCTGATCACAATGCCCGGCATGGCCATCCCATTTGGTATCGCGGTTGGTATCTCCAGGCTCATCTGGCAGCTCGAGACAGATCAGACCGTCAACTTCACCACCTTCTTCCTCTTTGTCGGTACCGTCATGGCCGTCACTTCACTCTCGGTCCTTTCGCGGATCATGGCCGAAATGCACATCCTAAACACTCGCCTTGGCTGCATCACGATCGCATCTGGCGTGTGCAACGACCTCATCGGATACGTCCTTCTCGCACTCGGCTCCGCTTTGGGCACAGGAGGCAAGCAGATCAACGCGCTCTACCAACTGCTCGCAGCTGCAGGATACATTGCCGTTCTTTGGTTCATTTTCAGGCCCATCATGAATAGGCTCATCGATCGCAGCGGATTTGACATGACAACGGGAGCTGAAGACCGCGTCCCAGAACACCTTCTTGTCATCGCCCTTCTAGGCGCGCTCATCAGCGCCTTCTTCACCGATGCTGTGGGCGTACATCCTATCGTCGGCGCCTTCAGCTTTGGCGTGTGCTGTCCACATGGCAATTTTGCCGTCAAGGTCACAGAGAGTATCGAAACGCTCGTCATGCTCGTGTTGTTGCCTCTGTATTTCGTCGCCAGCGGTCTCAGCACCAACTTCAAGCTACTGGACGATGGCACCACCTGGGGTCTCATCGTCTTGCTCGTCGTCGGTATCTTTGTGAGCAAGTTCAGCGCCACCGCTGTTTCTGCCAAGCTTGCCGGGATGACATGGCGCGAGTCAATGTGCGTTGCAAGTCTCATGCAGAGCAAGGGTATCATCGAAATCATCATCCTCAATGTGGCGCTCGAGCTCGAGGTGGTCAGTCCAAAAGTCTTTGCCATGCTCGTCATTTGCTTTCTCTGCACCACCATGTCGGTTCGACCACTCTCGAGGTATGTCTACTTCTCCAGCCTTGCAGAGCAAGGTGCAGCATCGGAGAGGGGTCACGCGGACGAAAAGTACACAGACTCGAATGACGAGAAGCTACAATCTCGGCGTGGATCGAATGAGGAGCCGGATCGCTCCGACTTCCCGATTACTATCGCCATCGCATCGCCAAGTCCAGCAACCAAGACACTTATGTTCCTCCTCGACCTCATTGGTCAGCATCAGCTCAAGGGGCATCTTGACACGGGCAGCATAAGCAGCGACGATGACAGTGCTACAAGTCAGATCGCTGTCGATCTTCTCCGCTTGCTGCCGATCGAGTATACCACATCGTCCATTATGCAGCTGATCAACTATTCCGAGGAGCGCCATCGTGACGAGATGATGGAGAGTCTGAAGCAGGTTCAGCAGCTCTGTAGAGTACCCACATCCGCCATGCTAGCACGCGAAAGAAGATTTGGCTACTTGTCTACCACTGCGACAATGCCTGGCACCAGGAGCGACCCCGACACTGCACTACCGCCCGATACCTTCATCGTTCCGAGCCACGACATGATCAAGACGATTGGACAGCAGAATGCAAAAGCGCAACATAGGCTAGGTCATTCAGAACCAACGACTTCTGAGCTTGGACAAGGCTTGGCGCTCGTCACTTGGGAAGCGCATCACTCTTACGGTCGAGGTCTGTCATGGCTAGGCGCAGCTGCTGCTGCTAGTGGTCTTTCCTTCTCAAAGACGATGAACGAGGAAGATGCAGCTATGAGCTTCTGGCAGGCCAACTCGGACGCCCAATCGCTGCCCGCTCGGCTCTTCCGCAGCCTTCGCAAGCAGTGCTCAACAGGTGTCCTCCTCGATCCGAGCATGTCTCGCATCTCTGCCATGCCGCAATCTGATCGAGACTTGACTGCTCTGCGACGTGAACTCGAGCAAAGCCACGGGCTGCGCAGGACGCCTGGGGTCAGACGCATCATTGTCCCCTTCTTTGGAGGTGCAGATGACCGCGCAGCGGTTGAGCTCTTGCAGAAGATCGTGTCGACTTCGGACGGCGGTGTGCAGGGGTTGGTCCTCGCATTCACAAACGGGGAAAGTGAGAGCGGTGAAAGGTTGTTCGCAGAAGACACGTTGCGAGCAGCGACAGCAGCGGCGGCAATGCCGACTGACACCTTGGCAGCAGACGAAGAGTACATCAACTCGATCAACTTGCAGACCATCCATCAGCAAGACGCTGCTCGAGTCGATGCTCGCTTCCTCTTCCACCAGCAGGATGCATCAGCGACCATCAAGTCTATTCCAGAAGAATTTGTCAGCAACGCACCCGCCGAGTCTCCTTCCGGCCCTCAAGAAGAAGCTCCTGCCAAGATCCAGCCAGCCACCCCGCACACAGAAGCAGGAATCGTATTCATCAACTTGCCCAACAACTCTGAAACTTCCAACAAACCGGTTAAGACAATGGCCAAAGTTCTTCTCCCCCTGCTTGACGAGCACAGCGATATGGTCTTCATGGGTCGAGGAAAGTGGAATCAGCGTCCGAAAGAGTTCAGAGCGGAGGTGGAAAAAATGCACGCCGACGAGCAAAAGATGTCAGAGGAGACAAAGGAAGAGTTGCGGTCTGTGGGAGGATGTCTTGGAGCTGTCACTCAGGGCGTGATGATGCTCGGGCTGAGGAGTTGCAGTGTTGTGGTTCAGGCCGCTGCACAGCGGTGATTCGGTTCGATATTGGTTGCTTGCTTAGCATAAGATTCAAATATGACCCTGAATGCCACTTTATATGCCAACATTGTCCTGGCAATACCAGCATTTCACGAGTTCATGACCAGCAATACAGATTCATCTCCGGATTGACTTGCGTGATGTGACGGTGTGATGCGGCCACGAGGGAATAGAGTGCTGGAGATTGCGATCCAGTGCGACGCCAAAGGATGACGCGGGGCCGATCTGATCAGAGATCGAGCCGAGCCGATCTCACCAGAGATCGGGTGCAACATAGTCCCGCTTGTTGTCAAGGTAGATCATTAAGTAGGAGTACTCCCACCTTCAGCATGTGCTGCTCACATGTATATATACAGCATGTGCATAAACTGTCCCATAATTTTACATGTCACCATACATCACTCTAATGCTCAATAGCTATAAGTTGTATTGCCACACTGTCTGATATTGTCTGAAAGCCCTGCTTCTTCTCTCCAAGACTGTGTAATTGATATTGACATAGACTAAAAAAATTGTGCTATGAAGAAGAGCTGAAATATTTTTTTATTGTGGGACAGTTTATGGAGTGTGTCAGGGGTCGTGCACCTGAAACCTGAGATCGGTAGTTGTATCAATACTATTACTGATTCTGTCGAGTTATGTGACAGCACTTGTGGTATTGCAATTCTACACAAGATATGCAGTAGAGCCACCTCTATTACTTTTCTCACTCGAATCTGTAGTTGTGATGATGCTATTGCAGATTTCGACTGACCACTGTCAGACACTCCATTCAGAGGTAGCTCGGCACAATCAATAACTATGTGAACTTGCTGATGACACCAAAGGTCTGGTGTGAATATGGATTGGTGGCATTGACACAAGTGTCCAGTGCATCGACTATGCTTGAGGTGATCCCCAGACTGCAGTGGACAACTGCCTTCAGTTCTATCGATATCTGGACTGCTGGTTTGCTAAGAACTGCCTTCAGACATCAGGAAACAGTGATACAACACATGTGCTTCAATGAGGAGCAATCTATTGATTGCAACTTTTGCTGACTGAAAACTAATGAGTACTTATGTTTCTAAAGTATTGACTAGTTGTATGGTGAGTAGAGTGGATGAGGATCCACTCGACCACTAGTGATGAGAAGGCATGGCTTTATACCTCTTTGCAGTGTCACCAGCACCACTGCTCCTGCTCTCTCTCCAGAGAGTACCTTCAGCATTGAGTACTTCACAGGAGTCTTCAATGAGGCTCCTCCTCTTCACTGCGCTGTCCTGTCTGTCCTTCCTGAGCTGTGCCAACTCCATCGACACTGCTCCTCCTCCTTATGTCTTCCTTGCCGGTTTCTCTTACACTGCTCTCCTTCTGTTGACTGGCGACAGTCCCCCTTTATTCCTATCTGGTGTGCCCCTGAGTGGTAACCAGCTGCATGCTCCTGAGCTTGGTCCCCTCTTGGTGGCGCTCGATCCCACTGCCTGCATGTGAAGCTTCACCACACTATCATCCTTACCACTGATCTCTGCAGAATCCATGATAGGATCTTTCCTACCACTGATCCTGGCAGAATCTGCCATACCCTTTCTTCTATCACCGATCTTGGTGTGATCCATAGTACCATCCTCTCTCGTGCCGATCTTGTCATCATAGTGTCATGGGCCTGGATGCTCAAGAAGCAGGAGGGTCACTGGTTCATATGGAAGGAGCACAGGTATCGAAGACCTAGTCGATACCAGTAGAGAGCATGGTCGTAGTGCAGTCCCCATGGAGACCATGGACTCCTATGGACTCACATGCAAAGGAGAACCGAGCCACATGCGAGGAGGGCCAGGCACAGCCACGAGGAGGACCAAGCTCAAGGAGCAGGCACAGCCACGAAGAGGACCAAGCTCAGATGGTTACCACTCAGGGGCTCGAGAGACAAGAGTCATAGGACACTGGCAAGCAGGTCCTGAGGAAGAGGAGCAGTGTATAGGACACTAGCAGGCAGGTCCTGAGGAAGAGGAGCAGTGTCGAAGGAGTCGACACCAGGTCATGAGGAAGAGGAGCAGTGTTGAAGGAGTCGACACCAGGTCATGAGGAGGAGGAGCAGTGTCGAAGGAGGCGACACCACTCAAGAGGCACAGGGGTGCCAAGCAGGAGAGGCCCCTGAGCAGTACTCGATGAAGAAGGTACTCTCTGGAGAGAGAGCAGGAGCAGCATCGCTGGCAATGCTGTGAAGAGGTATATAACCATGCTTTCTCATCATCATAGGTCAAGTGGATCCTCATCCACTCTACTCACCATACAACTAGTCAATACTTTAGAAACATAAGTACTCATTAGTTTTCAGTCAGCATAGCAGCAATCTATCAAGGTTGCTCCTCATCATAGTGTGTGTGTTGTATCACCACTACCTGATGTCTGAAGGTGCCCCATAGCAGGTTAGCAGTCCGGATATAGATAGAACCGAAGGCAGTAGTCCACTGCAGTCTGGGGATCACTTCAAGCATCAAGTCAACACACTGGACACTTGTGTTGATGCCACCAACCTCATCACCAACACCATCAACCTCATTATCATCGACATTCACCAGCCTTATCACCAACACCATCAACCTCATCATCATCAACCCTCACACCAGACCTTGGTGTCCTCACAACCTACATATTGATATTGATCGTGCCAAGCTACCCCTGAACAGAGTGTCCACAGAGGTCAGCCGAAACCTACAATAGTATATACCCAAACGCCACCCATTGCACAACTTGATAGTTGCTGAGTGACTAACTCGTCAAGACTGATACCAAGACAATAGCTGTTGCACAGTTTGATAGTCACTGAGTATCTCGACAGACCGACCTGGGTTTCAGGCGCGAGACCCCTGACACATTGATTCCTGTGCTCCCTTCATATGGACTTGACAAATCTTCTGGCTTCTGCGCATCCATTCCCATGACAGAGTGCTCCTCGACAACACCTTAGTACTTTGTATTCCCTCCTTTGGCCTTCAGAACTGCCTTGATGTGGTCTGGCATGCTCTCTATTAGCATCCTACATGTCTCTGGAGTGATTGCTGTCCATTCAGCTTTGCATCTCTTGAGCAGTTCATCCCTGGACTTCACAATCATACTATACTGTGAAAGTTGCATTTTGAGATGGTGCCAGAGGTGTTCAATTGGGTTCAAGTCTGGTGACTGCCCCAGCCATTGCATAACCTTAATGTTATTGCCTTCCAACCACATTTTTGTCTTCTTCGACATGTGTTTTGGGTCATTGTCTTGCTGAAACATGATGTCAGTGTATGCATGCTGAAGCCACAAATCTGAGATTGTTTTCAAAAGCTTGTCATTCAGGATATCAATGTATTGGTCTGAATTCATTGATCCCAGCACCAAGTGTATACCTCCAACCCCTTCCCACATCATACAGCCCCAGATCATGATGGAGCTGCTGCTGAACTTGACTGTTGGCCTGACAAGCTTGCTGTTGAAGCTGGCATTCTTAATCCAACAGAACTGCTTCCCATCCAGTCCAAAGAAGTTGATCTTTGTCTCATCAGACCATACCACATTCTTCCAATCCTCAACAGTCATGTCCTTGTGCTCATTTGCAAATTTGAGATGCACTTTGTAATGCCTCTTGAGTAGCTTCAGTTTATTCACTAACCTTCATGCTTTGTAACAACAGTAATGAAGTGCTTTTCTTACTGTCATTGGGCATGCTTTGATGTGAAATGTCTCCTGCAGTGTGTAAGCAGTTGCATGCCAGAGACTTAGTTTTGGGGTGCTATTGAGTTTGATTGAGTAAGGTCTACTCAATATGTTTTGCCTAAATGTAACCAAGCATCACCACCTGGTAAGTCTCGACTGACTGCCTTGAACACTCTGTTCAGAGGTTGTGCAGCACAAATGTTGTTCATTGGTGAGTGGGTGATACACCCTCTCCTACAGTACAAGTGTTTGTAGTACTGTTGATAATGCTCTTGGATGTCGTCTGGACTGCAATATGCTAATCACCTACAGAGGACAGGAGTTACTGGACCACAGGTGTGAATCACCACCTACAATAACTGACTGGACTGCTGGTGTCGAGCAACACTGCCTACAGCAAGGGACTGGACTGCAAGTGTTGAAGAACACTGCCTACAGTAAGGGCACTGGACTGCTAGTGTTGAAGAACACCACCTACAGCAAGGGCACTGGACCACTAGTGTTGAAGAACACCACCTACAGTTGTCAACTAACAGTGATACAACACACATGTTGAGAGTCATTGCAAGAGCACTGCTATTGCAATGGTACATAACTGAGTAAGTAAAGTAGATAGAGTAAGTAGTATAGTATGTAGAGTGGATGGGGATCCACTTGTATGCTATGGTAGAATGAGAGTATTTATGCATTTGATTGGTGTTGCCCACAACACCTATCCTGCTCCTCTTGAGGGGCCTTTGTCCCCTGTTTGACACTGTCTTGTCCTGCTGGCATCAATCCCCTTGGTACTGCACCCCTACCATTTGCACAGTGTAAGGGTTATGCAACACTGCCCTCTTGCCTTCATGCTCTCCTTCTGCCTGATGATGTGTGATGCCCCCTTTCGACACAGCTCCTTCTCGACTTTATCTTGTGAATCCCTTCAGCCACTTGTTGAACCTCATGACCAAACCCCTTGGTCATGTGGTCACTTTGGCACAGCTCCTTCTCAACTTTGTCTTGTGAATCCCTTTAGCCACTTGTTGAACCTCATGACCAAACCCTTGGTCATGTGGTCACTTCAACACAGCTCCTAGTACTTGCTTGTATCGGCTGACTAGTTGAGGCATGCTGATCTGACTGATCCTGACCAATCCCCATGAGATTAATCTGGATTCCTGGAGTTCGATCAATCTCATAATTCATATGCACTGCCAGCCCAATTAATCTCATTGATCCCCAATGGTTTTTGGCTCTGATCAATCTGGTGCACCCTTCATATGTTGATCCTCTGTGCACCCTTCATATACTGCACCATTGCATGACATTACCATAACTGCCGCTGATCTTTTGGCGCACTCTCTTGCGCTGGCCAGCCAACCCTGTGACACAGTGCATGACATGCTTTCCTGACTGTGGAGGTTGAATTGAGCTCGAAATAGTGATCCAGGAAGTGAACATGACGAGGCTGGAGTTTTCTTGGCTGGCCCCCCTTTGACTTTGGAACATCAGCAGAGGTGCTTTTGCTGATGTGATTCACTGTAGACTTGCTCAGACTGAGTTGCTCAGCAACTGAATGGGTAGACTCCCCATTTTGGATGTGAAAGAGTGCCAATCAGCACCTCTCTGGGGTGGTTTTTGGCATGATGGTATAGATATGATGGTGTCAGACTGGAAGCACCACTGGATCACTCATAGTCATCTGATTGAGCTGAAACTTTCCATGTCACTACTTTCAATGTATATGAAGGCTCCCACCAAGTTACATTGCAAGTTTCATTGTAGTCAACAGCCCACAAGGTCAGGAATGGAGCAGTGTTGCTATTTGGGAGCATGCTCCATAAACTGTCCCACAATAAAATAAAAATCAGCTCTTCTTCATAGCACAATTTTTTTAGTCAATGTCAATATCAATTCCACAGTCTTGGAGAGAAGAAGCAGGGCTTTCAGACAATATCAGACAGTGTGGCAATACAACTTATAGCTATTGAGCATTAGAGTGATGTATGGTGACATGTAAAATTATGGGACAGTTTACATGTGTGCTGTATATCTCCCCAGCATCCTGTGCATGCATGTGTCAAATGAGGTCGCCACGGGCGATTACATGCTGGAACAGTGGGACAACATTCTACCGATCCAAGTGAGCGAAGGTGGCGAAAATGTGAGATCGAAATAAAGGTCATGTAATTTCACTCTCTCACTGCCCTTTCACCATCCTATCCTCTTCCCACAGAGCATCCGGTTTCTACAAGCGCAGCTGTCGGCGCTACTGACACAATCGAAGAAGGATGGTCACTCTTACGCTGCTTCGACAGACGACTCTGGTTCTTGCTCTGCTCCAGCAAGTCGCTTCCGCCTCCGCATCAGGAAGCTTAACGATCCAGGGTACATCCGATGCTTCCCTTGATGGCATGGGTTGGGCGCCAGTCCATCGCAAATCCGCCAACGCTGAGTCCTCAACCTCTCACACCTTCAGACCTCCTCGTTCCAAAGCAGGTCAAAGTCGCAAAGTGGCCATCATCGGCGCCGGCCCCTCCGGCACATCAGCAGCCTACTTTCTCAAACACGGGCAAGATCTGCTCTCCTCCTCCAACACCTCTTCCGACACAATCGAAATTACCATCTATGAGCGCAATACTCGCATTGGAGGTCGAACAGCCATCACTCACCCCTACGACGACTCAACACTAGAGCCAATTGAGCTCGGTGCGAGCATCTTCGCCGATGTCAACCTCAACCTTCGCCGAGCGGTCAAAGACTTCTCCCTCGAGACTGGCGCACATGTAGGCTTGTCTGGTCAGACGGCTATTTGGGATGGTCAGCAGTTCCTTTTCGAAGGAGATCAGAGTAGTTGGTGGACAAGTGCCAAGTTCTTCCTTCGATACGGATATAGTGCGATTACGGCTGAAAACATTGTCAAGAAGCAGCTTGGGTACTTTGCCGGTCTTTACAAGCCGAGTTTCTTGCATTCTAACAAAGCTGGTCAGGCGAATGGATGTGGATCAAGATACCCATGGAACTCGATCGAGGATCTAGCTGATGCCATCAATGCTACTGAGCTGGTGGGTACGACCGGAATGCAGTTCTTCAAAGAGAAGCGGGTTTCTGAGCTGTTCATCGAGGAAATGGTCGAGGCAGCGACCAGAGTCAACTATGCACAAGATACGGATAGGATCCATGGATTCGGTGCGCTAGTCAGTCTCGCAGCATCAGGGGCAACGGGTGTCAAAGAGGGCAACTACCGTATCTTTGAAGAGTTTGCACGTCGATCCCGCGCACGTATCCTTACTGGTGTCGAGGGGGAGGTCACTGGTATCGTGCGGTTCAAAAGCGTAGATCGACCTCCAAGGGGCGAGACGGATACCAGCGAGAAAGGTCTGAAGACCAAAGTTCAGTGGTACATCGGCGCCAAGAATGGCGAAGGAGAAGTGTACGACGCCGTCATCATCGCCACTCCGTGGCACAATGCTGATATTACTCTTCTCAACACACCGGAGAGGGTCAAAGGCAAGCCGTTCGTCCATCTACATGTGACGTTGTTAACGACAAGTCGACCCAGTCCCAACCCAGAGTACTTTGGTCTTGGATCGCAAGACGCCGTCCCAACCACCATCTTGACTTCCGACGAGAGCGTTCGTAGGGCTAGCGAGAAGAAGAAGCCTACCGATGACGATGGCAACAAGCCTGCCCCTGAAGATCCTGGCTCAGAACCACCTCTGCAAGCCCAAAAGCAGCTCAAAAAGCCAGTACTAAACTTCTACTCCCTCAACTATCTCCGTTCCGTCGAACCCCAAACCGCATCCAACAAAGACAAAGAGTACGTTGTGAAGATCTTCTCCGCAGCCCCGATCTCCGATTCGCAGCTCGATCGCCTATTTGGCCTATCTACCATCAGCTGGGTGAAACGACACGAATGGGACTCTTACCCACTCCTCATTCCCACAGACCGATTCCCTAAAATTGAGGTGGATGAAGGGTTGTACTACTCGAATGCAATGGAAAGTCTCGTTTCCACCATGGAGACGAGCACTGTTGCTGCTAAGAACACTGTTGGGCTGCTGCTCAAGAAGTGGTACGGAAACGACTTCGTTAATGGCAAGGACTGCGAGTATGGTATTGAAGACGAGGCAAAGGATCCGATGAAGAACAGGAATTGGGCTGGATGGGGTTGTGATTCTGGTTAGACCCCAGCCCTGATGTTTTGTTGGTTTGCAACGATCGGCATTCCTCTTCTTTCTCCTGTGTGACCGCATGAAGCTTTCTAAGGTTTCGTTTGAGTCCACTCTATGTTGAAAGTAAAGACGTTTTGGGTCCCGATACTGGCGATCGGGGAGAGTCTAAGTACAATGTCACTGCTGCTAAAAGATAGAAACATATATACTCAATTGACTAAGGGAATGTGGCAAGAGCCTAGTGCTCTCGGCTTGATATATATACATTAGCGTGGCACATGCCGAGTGTGGGAGCATCCTACTTCATGACCTAGCTTGACAATGAGCGAGACTGTGTTGTACCCGATCTCTGGTGAGATCGGTCATCTAACCGGATCGGCTCTGCGTCATCCTTCAGCGTCTCACTGGATCGTAATCTTCAGCAGTGTTCGCCGTTATTCGCCGCACGTTCTGCAACAGAGAGCTTGCAGCTTACCTCTACAAGTCAGCGTCCGAAACTGGGCCCAAGCTGCGCACAGACAGGTTTGCATCCTCCCTCTGCAACCAAAAAAAAAGCCTTGCGCGCGTGTGTACAGTAAAATCGGACATTAAAAAGGCGACATAAAATGAATGTCGAAATGAACCAGAAAGACATGCTTTTGCAGTGGTAACAAACAACCACAGGCGATGATACGTCGAAACAAATCCTCGCGCTACCACGAAGGACAACCCGAGGCCTTGAGAATCGACAAAGCAATTAAAATCTACATGATTAGCACATCAGCAAACTAGGTGACCATGAGAAGGACTAGGGATAGGAGAGTCTAGAACGGGCGAGATGATGAACGTTCAGCTGAGCCAACATGGTAACAGACGGTAACGAGGAGACCCAGGAACGATGAGAAGAGACGGAGCCTAACGAGCAGATGTACTGCAAGCAGCTCCTCAAACACGAACAGCAGAGTTGACTAGCGACTTGTTGTCGAGACGGTGCCAATCTCTTGGCTTTTCTAATGCGGGCGAACGTAGCAAAGGTGATCGTGGAGGTGCAATGGCAGTGACATAGTTGGCTCCAACAGGCGAACGCTCAACGTCGTCTTCCTCGCCATCCGAGACCCGTCGGCGAGAAGGCTCGCGTTGACCCTCATCCGAATCCTCCGCCCAGCGCTTCGCAGGGGCGCCGTTCATGTTCCTGGCTGCATTCTTGGAAGGGTGAGGCACAGGCGGAAGATGGGGCGGACCGTACTGAGGATATCCTCTGAGATGGTGTGAACCACCGTGGATGGGAGGGTAACCATTGGCAGCGCCATGACCGTAGGCGTTGGAGGGCAGACCACCGATCCTTGGACCGGGACCAGCCTCGCTGCTGCTACTGCTGCTACCGGTCATCTTCCTGTTGGGACCACGACGCTCTTCATCGCCACTGGGGCGACCAAAGCGACGGAAGTCATCTTTGTCATCAGGCGGGCTGCGGTTGCTGTAACCACCGCCAATAGCACCGTTCTCAAAGGAAGGACGATGTTGACGTTTAACGACGCACTCGAGCACTCGAATGTATTCGAGTGCACGCTTGAGGATGCTGGCTTTGCTGTCCTGACCATCGCGGCATGCAGGGATAGCCTGACGAAGGTCCTCAAAGCCCGTGTTGATTGACTCGCGACGTTTTTGCTCGGAGAGAAGATGAGCGACTCGCCTGTTGGCATTGACTGCGTTGGTGGTTGAAGCTGGCTGCACTGGTGCCGCAGAAGCAGCCGTAGATGCAGTGGGCATGACACCGAGTGTCGAGGCAGGTCGAGGTGGTTCCATGCCAGCCAGCATGCCCGGCCTCATGTTCGCTTGGGTGAGTGCAGTGCTGTGGCTTCTGGACTCGGGCGGACTGTAGGTGTCAGAGCCATAGGGACGAGCACCGGGAGGTGGATATCGTTGAGCAGCTGCATCGTCATCGGCCAAGCTGGAAGTCGCACGTCGACGAATGCGTCGACCATCGTCCATGAGATCAGGATCGAGTGGGCGACCTGCACTTCGCGGGTCATGTGAGTAAAGACTCATGGAAGGATAGCCTGAACCTTGATCGTATGGATATATGGGACGGCCACCACGCTCTTCACGCCATCTCAATTCTTCCTCCCTTGCGCGTTGGTGTGCAAGGACGTCGGGATGCATGTCGGCGCGGTCACGAGACGTCGATGCGACCCTCCACGGACCATCGTCAGACATGTTGCTTGGAGGAGCTGGCATACGAGGTCGGTGTGGATCTTCGGACGAGTGTGGCCCAAAAGCAGGTCTGGCTTCATCTCGGGCAGCGTAGGGTGCCGAAGTCATATGCGGGCTGTAAGCATCTTTGGGAGCAAAGCGTGGATCGGGCCTTTCGTGCGAAGATCGCCAAGGACCTTCGTCAGAGACAGGAGAACCGCGTTCGAGATCGCGGTGGAAGGGCGGCGGCAGTGGGCCAGAGCGAGCATATTGAGGCGGATTTGCAGATGCTCCGTAAGCCTCTTCAGCTGACTGAGGGAAAGATGGCTTGCGAATGGGCTCCATTTCACGCTGGGGACGTGGGAGTAAGCCAGCCAGAGGAGACCGATGGTGGTCTAGTGCCGACGAAGGCCTCCGCATAGGATCGTCATACATAGATTCTGCTTTTGTAAGAGGAGCACGCAATGATCGGTTGGCTGAGTTATCCTCTCCTCTCATATGTGGATCGGATCTGCGGAAATGGTCATCGTGAGAAGAAAGTGAAGAGATGGGAGGCAGCGTATTGCGTTCGCCTTCGGAGGACCTGTCGAGAAACATTGTGATGATGATTCTGTTACAGCTGAGTGTTGTGGCCAAGAGCAAGTGATCAGACTTTTGGTGAGATTAGTGATAGCAATCGGCGTTTGTCCGATGAGACGAGTATAGAAGCAGAGCTGGGTTGGGAAGAGCCGCCGGTTGGTTGGATATCGGTCAGCGGTGACGAGGCGCGAGATGTGATTGCTAATGACATACGAATCAGCGTTCAATGCGGTGGGAGGTGATGGTTATGCTGGTCAAGAACAAAGTGTCGGGATGGTACGATGAAGGAAAGAGAGCGGATATATGGGCAAGGGAAACAGGAAGATCAGTCGAGGAGGTGCGTCGCCTTTGAGGAAAGGAGGGGATTAGGCAGGTCGGCTTCTCGAGATCAACGGCAGCCAAGACTCTTTTGCTTGTCAGCAGCAACTGCCTTCATTCATGGCAGGAAGAGAACGATAGAAATCAGTGAAAAGAGCAGGCTACAGACAACTCGAAAGTGCCAAAGGAGAGGCAAGAAGCAGAAGCAGCAGCAGCGGCAGGAACATGGAGGGTGAAAGCGAACCGAAAACGTCTAGGTCGAGTTTAGCGAGACAGACGAGATGCAGAATTCACCAACGACATGGCCGAAACCAACAACAAAAGCTTCCCTTGTGAGATGCCAAACTGCACCGGCAAGGGCAGGAGAGGCAAGGGAGACGAAAGACGTTCTCTAAATAGAACTGCGCAGAGCATGTGCATCAGTTCGGCAACAACAACATCAAACCCGCAAGCAAGCAAGAGGGAGATATGGGTTGACGACAGCAAAAGATAATTAAATAAAACGAATGCTGAGCGGCGGTGTCGTCAGATGGGTTGCTATACGTTCAAGTGTGGATCCAGCACAAAATGAAGAAGGAGGAGGAGGAGGAGGAGGAGGAGGGTTAGGCTGCTGATGCGGATGATGTTGACGCTGCTGATGATGATCAGATGGGTCATATGCATCGAACCTGGGTCAAGTCTTGCGGATCGCGTTCCGCAATGCGTTGAACGTAGCGCAAGTCACCCCACTTCCGACTCAGGGAACAGTCAACTTACCTCACCAGAAGCTGATTTCATTGCTGTGTGTAAGAGAGAGAGAGACAGAGAATGTGCGAGTTGAGTGTGTGTGGGTCGAAGCGGAAGCGCGGAGGGAGAAATCATTGTTCAGCTGCTCTTGCGCAAGAAGCAGACAACAGTCAGACCTTGCAAGCGTGATACTTGATAGCCGAAATTCAGACCCTTTTCTTTTTCCCGTTTCTTTTTTCTAATTAAAATTCGGGCCTTCTGTTTCCAAGCCAACTTTCCATGCAACGGACGTGTCAGGTGGCATGGAAGCAATCAATCTCTCCCTCTCTCCCTCTCTCCCTCTCTCCCTCTCTCCCTCTCTCCCTCTCTCCCTCTCTCCCTGGCTCGCTATCTGAAATTCGCAATATATTATTCGATTTTATTCTGACGCTGGAGCGCAGCTTCCTTCTCCGAAATTCACTCTCCGATGCTACGCTTCTCGAACCAGTTGGTGCAAATCAGTCCAATCTACATGCGAGATGGGAACCATTGTTCTGCTGGGCACGCTTCTCTATCTTTGTGTTCATCCCGGACTCCGATGTGCGTGTGTGCGTGTGTGCGTGTCTGTGTGTGTGTGTGTGTGTGTGTGTATGTGTGTGTATGTGTGTGTGTGTGTATGTGTGTGTATGTGTGTGTGTGTGTGTGTGTGTGTGTATGTGTGTGTGGGGATTGTCGTTTGTTGTGAGAGGCTGCGATGTCCAATGATGAGATCTTGAAGGCGCTTCTGAATGTCTCTCATTCCCTATTGTCTCCGCAGTTGCGACGTTCAGGATCATTCCCGACACCCGACAACGGCAGGCAAATGGAAAAGGGTTACAATCAGTTGAAATTTCTTTTCTTTGTTGAAGATGGCGATTCAGCAGATCTAATCGAGGAGCAGATGGACCCAAGCTAATCGGAGAGAGAATAGATCTGATCTATTCTGGAAATCAGACAGAGCCGATCAGAGAGAAAGGATGGACGCTATTGGGTCCCACCCGTTGTTGGACTCTGTCATTGAGGGTGATACTACCACGTATGGGATGAACCAGCACTTTGTATATACAGTATGTCAGGCAGAGTGCTCGAGGCTCTCTCCATGTTCTTCTCTTAGTCAATTGAGTATATTTGTTTCTGTCTACAAACCAGCAGTGACATCGTACTCAGACTCTACCCGATCGCCAGTATCGGGACCGAAACGTCTCCAGTTTCTATCATTCTTATTTTCTTTTCTTTTCTTTTCTTTTCTTTTCTTTTCTTTTCTTGTTCTTTTTGCGCTTCATGCTGTTTTGAGGTCGCGATCCTGTTCCTAGCGAGTGGATCATGCCGGGCTCGCAGGATGGCTGTGTGCATGTGTGACGTGCTTGCGGTTCTGCGGAACAGCATGCAAGCCTCCTTATTGTTGTCCTTCTCTCCTGTATCCCCACTTTTTTCTTCGTTCGTTCCCATGCCGGTTTCATTCATGCAAGACTCATCCCCATTTCCAGCCAAGTTACACCAAATGCAAATCCTTCATTAAGGCATACCATTTCAAGCAGCATGAACATACCGCACATCCAGGCCGGCCTACAATACACCAGAACGTGGCCCTGGAAGCTCATGCGTTCATGCTCTTATTGTCATCCTATCCATGGATCGTTTGAAAGAGACGACAGCGCATGGCAGCTGGACGCGGTCCGCTAACCATTGCAGCTACCACGGGCCAAGGATGACGGGTCGAATCGCCACGAGGCAGGCCGAGTTGAAAACATTGTTTCAAAACCCACGGCATTCGTATCTCGTCAGAGACAAGTTTGCAACCCTTTCTGCAGCAATCGAATGCAATCGAGCAATGACACGCACACCCTTCTCCGTGCGGTTTCGGATGCTTCTGCGTTCGCTCGCTAGGGGAAAACAAAAGGTGCCAACACTCGGCTCCTCCTCCTCTTTTCCTATCCAGTTCACCAGCGATACACTTCGTTGTAGCGTATTAGGCCGTTGCAACGAGAGCTCTACAAACAAGCTCTGCATTTCGCTATGATCGTTGCGCACTACTGTCAACTATGAAGCTGATCGTCATCTCGTGTAAACATTGGCTACACTGGCTACACTAATGACAAAGATCGTCGGTTTGCTGTGAAACAGGCGATGCATGGATTGGAAAGAATATCATGCGCTTGCATCCATCGGGTGCGACAAGCGTTGTCCTCATTGGCCTGGTGCGGTGAGACATGGTGCTCAAGCGATGGCGCCATCGCTCGGGGCCTTTCCATCAAGACGAAAGCGTCGAGCGGACAAGGAAGAGAGAGGTCCGGCATGAATTGCCTTTGCGTCTGAGGACCTCCAGTAGTCAAGCCCGCTCAGGAACGCGATTCAAAGCCAGTCGGAAGCAATTCTGTTTCAGTAGTTATGCACAGATAGATGTATGTTGCGCCTACTTCCACGCTAGGCGGACAGTTGCCATGATTGACCCGCACAACCGTCATCAATCAACCTCGAATCAACACCGAAAGCAATTCGCTCTGAAACTTTTGCGACGGCCAGAGTGTCACGCCTGGGCACTTTCTCTCGTGCGAATAGATGTTGCACGAGAGCGTTCGAATTCTCATCGTTGCTTTGCCTTTCCCGCAATCCACTTGGTTACTCCGATACAACGTGCATATAACCTGCGCATGTGACACAGAGTCACTTTGTGACACAAAATCTGAGAAGCAACTTATGAATAAGCAATGATAATTGAGAATCCAGAACACGTCGCAAGGAAGATGATGTGGAAGGCAGCATATTTCTTGATTTTTCTTTGTCGTCCGTCCCTCACATACATGGCCTAGAAATATCAGCTTGTGCCGTCGTTTACCATCCCTTTCATGGTCAGTGCATTGCTGAAATTCGCTAGCCTCGTCACCAACCAGCTCCGCGAGTCAATCTGCATTGTGCTGTCCATTGTTCTACTTCCTCCGTCTCACACAGTATAGCTTGGAACGGCAGCAGTGCATTGTTCCTTTCGAGGCAGCTCAATCTTAATCTGCACGGCGGCGACCACTTGCTTTAACTCTGCAGCCCGGCAGTTTGATCTCGAGCTTCAAACGCCCCCGGATCAGGCCAACTCTCATTGTTGTCGTGGGTCAGATCTAGCGTGTCCTTCGGACAGAACTGTGATCATAGTCTCTGATACTGGGAAAAAAAAAAAAAAAAAAAAAAAAAGGGTTAATGCAGCTGCCATCATTGGTCACCCTATCGAAGCTGAGCGATGCCTCATATAGGGCAACCTGCATGGTGTCTCCGACGAAAGCGGTGGTTGACAGCGCGGGGAAAGGAGTATCCCGCCTTGCTGTTAACTTGAATCACTTGATTCCGCCCAAACTGTTCTGTCACATTCATGTTGCTGCATCTAATCGTTGCATGCAGAATGGCATTCTCGCTTTCAGAGATGGCCGCTGTACTGCTGAGGCAGAGGACTGGGTGACATGTCATTTGACAGGCCTCAGTCTCGCGAGTAGGATCTGTCTCGAGCTGGTCGCTGTCGATGACCTGGCCTTGTGATGGACGTGTTCACGACGTGGAGCGTCCAAAGCGGATTCATTCCCGTTGCACAGGCTCAGAGAGATGCGTGCTTTGTCATGCAGCACCCATGGGAAAGGGTCGTTCGACATGATAAGTCTAGATTTAGTTGCATGCGACCAGGGACAGCAAAGTTTCGGCAAGCGCACATCCGCATCGCCTCAACCTCGCTTGAGGTGCATGTCACACTACCTGTCAATGTGGTCGAACCTGTGTGCCGTGGATGTCCATAATCAGGCTAAGAAGGGCACGGGACTTGGACTGGCAGAGATGCGGGCCTGTCACGCGCATATCATACGGCAACACAGCGTCTGCACGTGTGACTCGCTGTTTGTAAGCGAGCTTCTGGGCCTCACTAGGCAATCGTCAGATCAAATCACCGCTTTTGAGACCCCGTGTGCTTCGGTAGAGGCTTGCGATCACGATGTCCAATTCAATGCGAGTTCAAGCTGTCTTTCCTTGCGGTTCATTGTCGGCCAAAAATAGAAACTTCTCTTGGCTACTGATAAGAGGTTCCATTGCCCGGCACGGCAAGGCACAAACCCAAAGAGTTGTTTGGAATTCTCTTCTCTGGAATCGCTAGGTTGCCTCTCTTGCTATGGCCAACTTATGATAAGTTGGTGTAGTTGCAGCACCAAACTGAGAAACAGTAGGCCAAGATCAGGATTGAGCTCGCTCGCCTCCTGAGACTAAAGGTCGCTTCAACACAAATTTCGAGTCGACACTTCCGCTGCAAGCCACGCTCGCTTCCCTTGGCGTCAAACCCAGATTCATTAACCCTTCCCAGTTCGTACCAGGTCAAGATGGCCAAACTTGGCAAAATACGCCCAATCCAAAGCGTGTCGACAAAATATGGACGAGAAAGACTTTAGATGACAAGCAAGTCAATGTTGTTAGCCACCTCAAAGCTGTGCCCCAAGGCTATCTATATCGTCCTCTCGCGCTCATGTCAGGCTTAGGGGCTACCAACTGATGCCAATGGAAATGCCTCTTTCCGTTCGGCTTGGCATTTGGCGTCCCATTCTCGCTTACGTTGATTTCGGAAGAACACAATGTTCCGAGGTTCAGTTTCGGCACCGCTTCTTCGATCACTCGGACGAGAAAATTAAGTTGAAGATGCGTCGGCATCTCAAGCAAGATGCACGTGTTACGGCCGAGACACCGAGGCACGGGAGGCTTATTTAAGCGAGAAGCACAATGAGGTACATGATTGTTGTCATGGCGACAGCTCAGTGGCACTCAGTATCATAGCAACACAGGAGTACGAATGAAGTGACACGTCCTGTCTCGGATAGGACTAGAGCGGCAAATGGAGTATATATATGCATTTGTCATTTAGGTTCACACTATGAAAACTAAGCATTACATAGAACACACGGCTGTGGTAAAGGGAGTCTGATCGTGACCCCGATAACGCCGAGTATTAATTGTTATCTTCAATTAATTACCTGAATCGTCGAGTTGGGTGCACCATATCGTCGATCTAACAGCTGAATCTTGACTCTTTACCTAACATTCATTCTCTCCATAACATAACAAATCGAGTACAGAGTTAATAGAGGTGAAGAAGTTTTGGTCCCGATACGGGCGATCGGGGAGAGTCCAAGCAACGATGTCACTACTACTTTAGGGCAGAAAGATGTATACTCGATTGACTGAAGAACATGGTGAGGACCTAGTGTCCTCAGCTTGATATATATACAACTATGAGGTGCGTGCCGAATGTGGGAGTAATCCTCCTTCATGACCTAGCTTGACAACGAGCGGGGCTATGTTGCACCCGATCTCCAGACAGATCCATTCCATCTGATCGCCGATTGTGTTTATGTCAGCATGCATCATCATATCGGATCGCTTCCTTCGGCACAGAGGCGTTAACTCTGAACTTGAGATGCAAGTAAAGCTTGAAATGGTTTGCCTCCAGTTGCTTAGTCCACCCCTATTATTTGGTTGATCATGTATCCACCATTTGGAATTCTTCCGCGTCTCGTTGAATTGCAAGAAGGACCTGACTGTATTCGAGTTTCAATCGGTGATACGATCGTGCCTTTGGGCGTGAGCATCAGCCGCGTCCATCTCTTTTTTCAAAGCCTCTGAGCGAACCGCACGCGGTGTTGGTCTTGAGCCAGCAGCGACTCCACTCCCAGCAAAGCAAGCAAGCAAGCGCAACACAACACAGCCCGCACGTCCTTGATCCGAGCGTGTTATCGCTTCGGACACAGCAACCATCTTTGCTCCTTGCTCTCATATCCATATCTCCCGCCGGTCCGCCTCGCCTTAACCCACCCTCAGTCTCCCGTCTCGTCAAAATGGTAAGTGCACTAGCAGCCTCATCAGGATCGAGGCAGCTAGCCTTAGTCGTCAATAAGAATACTAATCGCAAAGTGACATGCTCTTCTAAAATCTCCCGGATCCGCCGGTTCCACGGATTGCTTGCCCTCGACGCTCTTCTCGCTCACATTCGCTGGACGATGCTCGACCTCACATTCGTCTTCAATCCTCTCAACGCCCCGACGTCTTCTGAACGATAGTCTTCCGGTGTCGCAGTCTCTCAAGAGTGCCTGGCTCAATTCCAGGAGCTCAAGCTTGGCAAGAAGATCAAGTACATCATCTACACTCTCAACCAGAACAACACCGAGATCGTCGTCGCAAAGGCCTCCACCTCTTCCTCGTACGACGACTTCATTGCCGAGCTTCCACCTGCCGAGTGCCGTTACGCCATCTACGATTTCGAGTACGAGAAGGGTGACGAGGGCAAGAGGAACAAGATCTGCTTCTTCACCTGGTCGCCCGATGATGCCAAGATCAAGCAAAAAATGGTCTTCGCCTCATCAAAAGATGCTCTCAGAAAGGCGCTCGTCGGCATCTCTTCCGAGATCCAGGGTACCGACTTTTCCGAAGTCAGCTACGAGACTGTCCTGGAAAAAGTCAGCCGATCCACCTTCTAGATGCGCTCTGCACCCAGCAATGCACGCCTTCAATGTTGTTTACTATCCCTTGCGAGCTCGCTTCAAAGCCACGCCAAAAAAATCAGCTAAGCAATGACAATGCAATGTGACGATCCAAAGAACACTCAATGCCTCTCGCTTTTGACAAAGCCACGGCGTGTGTTGCGACAACGAGCCGGAATGTCAGACCAGACTCGTTATCGACGCCATCTCAGACGATGATGCTCTCAGTTTCGCCAGCGACTACACTCGGAGGAATCGCCCGTGGCAACAATGCTTTCATTGCTCTGAGTACAAATACAGAGTGGAACAGCCTTGCAAGTCGGGCTACTGAAGAACTGAGATGCCCCGCTCCGCCCAGCAAACAATTCTGGTCGGAGCGAAGCTGGTATATTGTTCATCTCCTCACAATCTCTTCTCAACAACTATTTGAGACCCTCGCGGATGGCGGCAGATCGAAGTTTGCTTTGCAGGAATGCCAGGCGATCCTGGTACCGTCTCACTACCGCACTTTTTTGTGTGTAGATGTGCGTGAGCTCTGCTTCCAAGGTTGCAACATTTTGAGCCGTCACGACATCGCCATCCGATCCGCCATTAGTATGGCGAGGCGTACGGTAGGAGGAAGGAGGTGGTGGCCTCTGGCCGCGAGGACTTGCGTCTGTGTCTTCCAACCGAGTGACGGAAGCTAGTGGGTGCGACTCTCGAACTCTTTCGACCGCTCTTTTCATGACGGCTGGTTCCAGCACAGCGTGTTTCGCCAGCAACGTCTCCTCGAGCGTTGAAAAGGTACCCAGCATCCGATCACCTTCGGCCTGCACGACGCCCATCTCAGCCTGGATCTCTGCAGAGGACTTGTCCCCATACTCTGCCCCGTACATACTCGAGGGAGCCATCTCGGCACGCAGCGAAGTCGGCGACCGATCGTACGTGATGCCATACGTGCTACCAGCATCATGGATGGACATGGCCTTAAGCGAGCGAGCGGTCCTTTCGGCTGAAAAGGCTTCCTCCATCTCACGAGCTGCAAATTCAGCTTCGACGCGCCTTGCTTGGCTACCAGCTCTGAGGCGTCCGAACGTCGATGCGCGAGAGGATTTGGCAGCGGAAGACCATTGTGTGCGAAAAGATGGAGCACGTTGAGAATGACCATCGCCGCTGGAAAGTTGAGAGGAGACGCCCTCCGAGTCACGACGTATTGGACGAACTGGATGATTGATGTCGCGCTGGATGTGCTCCTGACTGGATTGCGAATCTTGACTTGTCTGCGAGTAGATGTCTTTGGAGCGCCTGGCACCTTTCTTAAACATGTCAGCGACATTCTGAAAGCCAGACGACTTGGTACTCTGACCACTGCGGATCGAAGAAGGCCGATGTTCGCCGTGACTTAGCGTTGATCGCGAACGGCCCATTGCTGGGGCGAGCAATGTGTTCGGTGAAGATGGAAGCGCGCTGGGAGTTACGCTGTAGGCGTTCGCAGAGTCCAGGTCTCGAACATGTCGCGGCATGCCGGGGCCTGGCAGACTGTTGGGTGAAGGTGGTGCCATAGAATGTTTTTCGGTGTGCAGCATGCAGTCGAATACAGCTTGACGAAGAGTGCGGTATTGATCATCAGAAAGAAGGCCGTCGGCATTGGCTACAGCTAGCTCGTTGAGCCTGGAAGCCAGCTTTGCCGATGACGTTGCAGAGAGATCGGCCTTGATTGGCGCGGGAGGAGACCTCATCACTTTGTCGTCGATCGACGCCGACGAGAGGTCAGGAGCCGCAGGAGGCTGCCTGAGACGCGAAGTGGATAAGTGCGACAGTGCATCTGAGGCATCATTCGACGTTGAAGAATCTCTCCTGCTGGTGGTGGAAAACTTTCTGACGAGACTGCGAGTCTTGCCACCGGAGGATGTCGATGGCTGCATCGGCTCTCTGTAGCTAGATGGAGGATGTGGCGAGCGCATGGTCGGTGTTGTGGTGCTCGATCCCGTTGCTGAGGCCGGCAACACTTCTGTGACGCTGTGGTGCGAGCCCTTATGCCGCGCATCTGGACTCCGCAGCGAGGCTGACCATTTCGTTGTCCAAGCGCCATTTGCGGGAGCGGTCTTGGAGGAGGGATCGAATGTAATTGTCGGCACATCTCCTATGCCTCTACCAGCAGCGTCTAAAGACGAAAAGGAGGGCTGAGTGGTGGGAGCAATTCTCGTAGATGGTGAGTCGAACGACGACCTGAAGTGGGTCATGGGAGCTTCGTCTCGTCTGTCGACGTTGGCACGCCTGCCGAAGGTAGAGAAGATTGCCTTCATCGCAGGAGGCTGAATTCTGAATCAGCAACGTCTGGCTTCTGGGGATGCGAAGTGTCACGTCGAAGACACTGCGAGATGGACTCTCTGGGAGCGAGTGTTGAAAGCTTCAAGTTGTCTGTGAGAAGGATGGCATGATGACGGCGGTTTGGAACCTCTGAGTGATTGGACAAGGCTCCGGAACCAAGAGCGAAGATGCAAGTGGAATGGCCGGACCAGCCGGTGGGTCGATGATGACGGGTTTGGAAGTGGTAGTAGCGCACGCGCTAACGATGACGGAAACGGTGCCAGTAGGGATGGTGATGGTGATCAAAGCTGCACGATGTTCAAAGATGCTTTTGCTTTGCGACCTTGGGTCGACTTTCTGGCGGGGCGGTCTTGGCGTGGGCGTCGACATGTGCAGGTGTGCGCATTTTTCGGCTGCTCTACTCACTTTGCAGTGTGTAGAGAGAGGAAAGAGCGCTAAACCGGCGCGACTTTTTGCACGCGTCTTGTGGATTTTACCGAGCTTTGATAGAGTTGTCGCTGGCCATATGAGACTGTAGCGTCACTGTATGTAGATGCTAAGCTTGGTGCCTTGCGTCGAAGCACCAGCTGAGGAGCGAGCGCAGCCTCCGGCTTCCGGCTTCCAGCTCTCCCACATCTTCTCTGCTGTCTTCATTCGAAAGAACCAAGCGGTTTTATTTCTTGAAAACACTGGCCAGAAGCGAGCCGATGGTGCCGAAGCGTGAGAGTTTCATCGCTGCCGTTGCGACCAGTCCGATATCAACAGCATGACCAGCCATGACCCTCAGCTTTCCACTTCGGAAGCTGCCGACAGGTGGCAGCCAGGTTCAAAGGAGGTATTGTTGGTTCATCAAGTGTGTGAGCTACTACTGTATGTGAGGCCACCATGGGAGCATCGGATGCTCTGCCGATAATTGGACCCGATTTCATAACCCTCAGCAGCACGCAACAACAAGAACAAGGGTCTTCAGAGTCGAGGACACGGTCAGGTGTTGGTCTCTCGCTTTCTCACACACACACACACACACACACACACACACACACGCGTAGAATATGGCTCGAAATTCGCAGCACTTTACGCTGTTGACGCTGTTGGATTGAAGCTCCAAGGGGAAAAATTGCGGGCGGGCGGGCGGACAGAGTGTCCCTGCAGGATAACAAATTCTCGAAAAGTAACACACACACACACACACAAAGCCCAAAAAAAAAGAATAAAAAATAAAAAATAAAAAAAAAAGAAAAAAAAAAAAAAAAAAGAAAAAAGGGCAGTGCAGAATGCCACTACTCTTCTGTCGAAAGTGGAGATGTTGGTCTCGCTTTGCGCCAAGGGACGGAACCTTGCTTTGCATAAGATCACTTTTCTTCACAGCATCATCTCTCACCATCACATTCCCACGCATCAACGGAGACTTGCTACATCACCCTCGGCATTTCCGAGCTGCTAATCTGCCGTCCACACGCCACCTCCATTCCTCGCGAGCTTCTAGGGTCTTTCAGTCGAATCACAACAGTCGCCATCACAGCGCGCGCCCCGCGGAGAGTGAAAGCGATGGCGTACAAGAGGTCTTCTGTTCTCGTCGGCTTGCCCGATCAGGACCGTGGCTGGGAAGAAGTCCAGGCAAAGACATTCACAAAATGGTAAGCACATCAGCACACTCGCTTCTCTTGACTTGATTTGCGCGTTCTTCCACTGATGTCGGCTTGCTACCTTCTATTTCATCTCTCTCTTCCTGCACAGGCTCAATACCAAGCTCGAGTCGAGGCAGATCCCGCCAATGCGCTCTTTGGCGACAGATCTCTCGGATGGCGTCAAGCTCGTCCAGTTGATGGAAATCATGGGCGATACCTCTCTCGGTCGCTTCTACATGAACCCACGCATGCGTGTGCAGAAGGCCGAGAACGTCAATCTCGCACTCGAGTTCATCAAGAGCAGAGGCGTTGTGCTGACCAACGTTGGAGCAGAAGACATCGTCGATGGCAATCTCAAACTCATCCTCGGTATGATCTGGACTTTGATTCTCCGCTTCACCATCGCCGATATCAGCGAAGAAGGTGTCACTGCCAAAGAAGGTCTACTCCTTTGGTGCCAAAGGAAGACAGCGCCGTATCAAGAAGTCGACGTCACCAACTTTACCACATCGTTCAAGGATGGTCTTGCGCTCTGTGCCCTTATCCATCGACATCGACCTGATCTCCTCAACTACGACGCATTGCCCAAATCCGACCCCCATGCTTGCACAAGAACAGCTTTTCAGATAGCCGAAGAGCACCTCGGTATCCCTCAGCTCCTCGACGTCGAAGATCTTTGCGATCGTTCCAAACCAGATGAACGCAGTGTCATGACCTACGTCGCCCAGTACTTCCACGCCTTCAGCTCCATGGAGCAAGCCGAGGTCGTCAGTCGCCGTGTTGCTACTTTCGCCGACGTCATGCAAGGCGCGTGGGTCATGCAGCAAGACTACGAGAGAAGAGCTCGTCAGCTCGTCGATGCAATGAAGCACCTCCAGAACGGCTGGACTGCAGCGACTTTTGCAGGGACATATGCCGATGCCCGAGCACAGTTGACCCAGTTCAACGAATACAAGATTGGCGTCAAACGTGAACTCGTACGCGAACGCACCGACCTCGCAGCTCTGCTGGGCAACATCCAGACCAAGCTCAAGACCTACCACCTTCCTGAGTGGCTCCCTCAGCCGGGTCTCAGGCAAGCTGACCTGGATGCCGCTTGGTCCACACTTGCGCTGGCCGAAGCAAGTCGCAGCCGATCTATCAATGCAGAGATTCGCAATGCCAAGGAAAATTTGCGAATCAAGTTTGCCGAGGCTGCCAATGAATTCGAACGGCAGCTGCGAGAAGTCGCAGGCGGTATCGGTACGCTTGAAGGCGATCTGGAAGTACAGCTTGATATGGTCAAGCATCTGCTCGCGCAGTTGGACCCGATCAAGGAACGTCTAACATCCATCACTGCACTCGAACAAGAATGCGCGGACGCCAAGGTGGAAGAGAACGATCACACCATCTTTACGGTGAGCGATTTGGCTTTCGAATGGGAGCTTGTGCGTGCCAGCGTCTCTAAGAAGCTCGCTTTCATCGAGAACCAAATCGTTTCCAGGCAGCACACCAACCTCACACCAGCACAGCTCGAAGAGTTCGAGTCCACCTTCCGTTACTTTGACAAGGACGCATCCAACACGCTCACAGTGCCCGAGCTTGGAGCTGCTCTTGCCAGTCTGGGTATCATCTACACCGAAGACGACATCGAGCAGATCCATCTACAACTATGCGAGACTTTTGGCGCCGTCTCCTACGACGCCTTTCTCACGTTCTTGCGAGAGATTACCGAAGACACCACCTCACCGGATCAGCTTTTGGAAGCGTTCCAGGGCCTCGCTGGCGACAAGCCCTACGTTACCGAACTCGATCTGCGTCTAGCACTCTTGCCGCAGGGTTCAATCGACTATCTGAAAGCAGCCATGCCTCAGGTGCGCGTCGAGGGTGTACAAGATGCTGTCTACGACTACGAGGGCTACTTGACTGGTCTCTTTGGCGTTGCACAGGCATGAGATCGATCTCATTTTTGCAAATTGACATGCTTCACAGACTCCACACTTGCTGTACTATAATCAGGCACTCTCATTCGATCCACTCTACAGAACTGATGCTCGCGAGCCGAGCTGATATGGCTCGAGTGCGTGATGCAGGACGTGAAGCGGCCTGGCTGGGTGGAGAGCTCACACCTCTATCACCTGTTTGCTATCTTATGCGGCCGAATGAGAAGCAACGCTGACCCTGTCACCGAAGAAAGCAAGCTACGCACGGTCTCTGTTCGATTTTCGACATTTCCATTTCGACCTTTCGCGTTGCAGAACTCCGAAAGGCCTTTAATTGAAGATTGCAAGTAAAACACCGCCAATTGGAGCTACTAGCAAGCTCAACTTCATGGGTGTATAACTTTAAGAAAAATGCTTCATATTTCTATTTGTGAGTGCTACAACATGAGTGTGTATATATACTTGATTGTCATCCTTAACACCTGCTATGTCATAATGAACTCTTCTTTCATATGGCCCCTGTGTTGTCACTTTCTGGTTGTTGCCTCTCCCTGAGTGTTATGGCTGTATCATTTATACATCCCACATGCATGTCAATGCATGTCGATATGCAACTATGACTCACTATTATCTAACTTGAACTCCACGGACCCCATAATTCATGTTAGGATGCTGATGCATCTTCAACTCCCTCCCTCGATGGCATCATCAACCCTATCAGACATGCAATCTGAGATGTGGCCAGACCTTTTAACGGTTTCATGAGGATATCTGCAATGTTGTCTGCTGTCCCAACAAAATCGATTTTGACTTCTCCCTCCTGAACATGGTCTCTGACAAAATGATATCTTGTGTTGATGTGCTTCAATTTCCAATGCTTAGCAGGGTCTTTGCTTACCTAGGTACATTCTTGGCTGTCTGTTAGTAGTGTTGGTGGCTGAGCCTCAATTCCCAAGTCCCTGAGGAGGTATGAGAAAAAGAGGGCCTCTCTTGTTGCTTCCAAGGCAGCTACAAACTTGGCTTCTACTGCTGACAGTGCTACACACTTTTGAACATGTGACCTCCAACTAACTGGACATCCATATATATATGTTACTCCTCCTGATGTGCTCCTTCATCTGTTTGTTGGGTCTGATGCCCAATTCACATCAGTATATGTGATGATATGTTGTCCCAAATGTTTGTTCATTCTGTCTCCAAAAACTAGCTTGTACTTGCCAGTTTGATTGAGGTACTTTACCAAGTGTAGTGCTGCCTTCCATGCATTGTTCATTGGGCTTGACATGTATCTTGCAAGTGCTCCTACAGTAAATGATATGTCAGGCCATGCAGTGTTGGACACCCATAAAAGTTGTCCAACCAGTTCTTGGTACTGCTTTGCCACTAATGGGTCACACTTGTCACCACCCATAATACCCATTAGGCTCTGCATTGGTATCCATGACTTCTGATTGGTTGTTTGTAGCCATTTTCTCACCATGGCCTTAATATAAGCTGTTAAGTCAAGTGTCATCCTCTTTTGTACCCTGTCTTGGTCTATGCTTATGCCTAGGAACTCCTTCATGGGTCCTTTATCCTCCATTCCCCACTTTGCCATTATCTCATTTTTAGTGCAATCTACTTCTGTATGACTGGGTGATGCTATGAGCATGTCATCCACATATGCTGTGATGATTGTCATGCTATTGCCTGTTCCTCTTGAGTATAAGCATGGGGTGCTTGGCATGCAGTGGAAACCTATTCTTTGTAGGTGTGAGTCTAGCTCTACATTCCATTCTCTACCTGATTGTTTTAAACCATATAGTCCTTTCACTAGTTTTAGGGCCTTTCCAGAGGAAACCTTCATCCCAAGCAGTGGTTTCAAGAAAATGTCATGATGCAGCATTGAGTTCAGGTATGCCTGCTTAATGTCGACACAATCTACTTCCCAGTCTCATATGGTTGCCATAGCCAAAACTCCTCAAATTGACTGGATAGGTGCTACAGGAGCGAAAACCTCCATATAGTCAATACCCTCTCTTTGAGTGAAGCCCCATGCCACTAACCTTGCTTTGAACTTGGTTGGGATTAAGTTTGCATCTGTCTTGATCTTTAACACCCAATGTGTGTCAACAGTAGTCATGCCCTTTGGGAGATCAGCAACTTCCCACATGCCCATGGCTTTAAGTCTGTCCAGCTCCTTATGCATTGCTTCCTCCCAGTGTTTCTTATCTTCTCTGGATAGTGCCTCACTAACAGTTGGATCCATGTTCTTCCTTTTGTTGTTGCTGATCGCCATAAATCCAGAAAGTTTATCATCATTCCATCTATTGGCAATGGGGTTGTGTTCAATCATTTCCTTGGCAACTTCATTTGAGATCTGTTCCTGGTCCATTTCATCAATGTTCTCCATGTCCATGTATTCCTGCAATGGTTCCTTCTCCCTCTCATCAAAAATGTTCTCATCTGTGTATCTTAGATCATTGAAGTTTTCCTCATTTGCTAGCACTGGTGGTGACTGTGGAGTCACTGGTTGCCACTCCATCCTGTCAGACCAGCACTTGATCTCCATGAACCTTGCTGAATTACTCCAGAATATGTTTGGGCTGTAGAAGAGCCAACCTCTCCTTTCTAAACTATATCCTAAAAATATGGATGCTATGGCCCATTGGTCAAGCTTCTTATTATCTCTTTTAGCTTTAGGAATGTTTACCCATGATAAACATCTGAACACACATAGAAGTTTCATAAGCCATTTTGGCAATCTCCCAAACATAGCCTGATATGGGAGGTCACTGTCTACACTCAGGGTGAGGTTCATCTTGAATGCCATGGCCCATATTGCATACAGCCAAAACCTTTTTGGCAATTGTCTCTGCATGAGTAGAGCCTGCATTCTCTCACCTAAACTCCTATTCATCCTTTCAACACATCTGTTCTGTCTGCTATCATAACCTACTGTCATTTGCCACTCTATACCTTTGTCATGTGCCCATTCATGAGCATCGTTACTCCTCCATTCAGTACCTTGATCAGACCATATTGCTTTCAGGCTCTTTCCTGTCTGTGTTTCAAGGTATGCTACTATTGATTTTAGCTCCTTAAAAGTGTGGCTCTTCTGTAGTAGAGGTCATACATATACATACTTGCTGTAATCATCAACCAACACCAGAGTGCACATATGCTCTGTTGCATGTGATGAATTGACTATCAAGTCGATATGGATGAGATCAAGTGGAGAACAAGACCTCTCTCCACCACCCTGGCCCATCCAAGCTGCCATACTTTTGGATCGGATGCATTGCTCACATGTCAAAGCAGCATTTGGGTTCAGGCTTACTGGGTGATCACCTTTTAGGTGATTAATGATAGCTCTTGTTTTGTCTTGGCCTGGATGCCCCAGATGCTCATGCCATAATTGTTGTTCAGATATCTGGGGTTTGTTCTCAATATGCTCGAAATCATCATCAACACCTTCAAATAATGATGTTGATGTGATGATTGCATTTTCCTGCCATGTATCGCCTCAGAACTCCAGAAGTCCTTGCTTGTGATTCTTGATCATTTTGAGTAACATGCTGTTTGCTAGATATATTTGTCCTCCAGTCAAGTCTAGTGTCACTTGTGCTCCTTCATTTGTCAGGGAATTTGTTGACAATAGGTTAACATTGAGATGCTGGACATACAATACATTTTGAAGAAAGATATCTCTGGTGTTTGTTGATATGCTAGCATCTCCTATAGCAATGGCTTCTAGAACCTCACTTCCAGTGGTGAGTATGTGCTTTTGGCAGGTTTTCGGACCAATGAGCATGCTATAGTCATTTACCATGTGGTAGCTGGCACCTGAGTCTAAGATCCAATGAGAGGTCTCTTTGGAATCTATGGGCCTCTGCCAGCTAGGTGTGAAGGAGCACCAGACTTCCTATTTGGGCTTGGCAAAAGGAGAATTCTCTGGTATAGTCACCAATGCATCACATTGACTGATCCCATGTCCAGGCCTCTTGCAGATCCAACATTGGAGCCTTTGGGGTCTTGTGGTGACCTTGGTGCTGGTGCTGTCGGTGTCCTTTTCGTCCTTCTCATCCTTTTCGGGTGGTTCGTCCTGGTCATCGCTGCCAGTGACTCTGGCACTGGCTTGTCAGGGATCAACCCTCAGTGCAGGGTTGTTTTCGATCACTGATTGCCAGATGGATAGGGCGGTGGCAAGGGTGCTAAAACTGAGCTGGCTCACAGTGGCGATGGTCTCTTTGTACATTGGGTGTTGGATAGTACACTTTTGTAGATTAGAAAATAGAGTGTCATTGGTGAATAGCTTTCCCAGTAAGCTACTCTCCATTTGGATGGTCCTTATTTCTTGGATGAGCTTTCGTGCATCTGAATTGTACATCCTGAGCTCTCCTAGCTGAGCGATTAGTGCAATGCAACGAGATATGGCGGTGTCATGGGCCTGGATGCTCAAGAAGCAGGAAGGGTCATGTCACAGGGACGGCTGGCCTGCGCAAGAGAGTGCACCAAATGATCAGCAGCAGTTATGATAAGGTCGCGTTACGGAGCAGTATATGAAGGGTGTGCAGAAGATCAACATATGAAGGGTGTGCCAGATTGATCAGAGTCGACAACCATTGGGGATCAACAATATTAATCGGGTTGGCAGCACACATGTTTTACGAGATCGATCGAACCCTGGGAATCCAGATTGATCTCATGGGATCGGTTGGAGTCAGCTGGACCAGTACACTTCAATGAGTCAGCTGATCCGAACAAGTACTCGGAGCTATGCCGATGACAGAGGCAGTTGGATCAGCATGCCTCAACTAATCAGCTGATCCAAACAGGTATTCGGAGCTGTGCCAATGTCGGAATCAGTTGGATCAGCATGCTCCAACTAGTCAGTCGATCCGAGCAAGTATTCGGAGCTGTGCCGATGTCAGAGTCAGTTGAATCAGCACACTTCAACTAGTCTGCCGATCTGAACAAGTCGAGTCGGAACTGAGCCGATGTGACCACATGACCAGGGGGTATGGTCACGAGGTTCAAAAGGGGATTCACAAGATTAAGTCGAAAGGGGGCCATGCCAAAAGGGGGGCATCACACATCAGACAGAAGGAGAGCATGAGGGCGAGAGGGCAGTGTTGCATAACCCTTACACCGAGCAAAATGGTAGGAGCGCAGTATCGAAGGGGATGATGCCAGCAGGGCAAGGCAGTGCCTAACAGGGGACAACGGCCCCTCAAGAGGAGCAGGATAGGTGTCAAGGGAAAACACCGATCGAATGTATAAATACTCTCTTTCTACCATAGCATTCGAGTGGACCGGCATCCACTCTGAAAACTCTACTACTTACTCTATACTTACTAGGTTACATATCTTCACAATAGCAGTGCTCTTGCAATGACTCTCAACATGTGTGTTGTATCACTGTTAGTCAACAACTGTAGGTGGTGTTCTTTACACTAGTGGTCCAGTTCATTACTGTAGGCAGTGTTCTTTACACTAGCGGTCCAGTTCATTACTGTAGGCAGTGTTCTTCACTAGTGGTCCAGTTCCTTGCTGTAGGCAGTGTTGCTCGACACCAGCGGTCCAGTCGGTTATTGTAGGTGGTGTTTCACACCAGCGGTCCAGTAACTCACATCCTCTGTAGGCAATTGGCATATCGCGGTCCAGACGACGTCCAAGAGCATATCAACAGTACTACGAACACTTGTACTGTAGGGGAGGGTGTATCACGCACTCACCAACAAACAACGTCCATGCCACACAACCTCTGAACAGAGTGTTCAAGGTGGTCAGTCGAGACTTACTAGGCGATGATGCTTGGTTACGTTTAGGTGAATCATATTGAGTAGTCCTTACTCAATCAACCCCAGCTAGTCTCTGGTGCGCGACCGCTTACAGGTCACTGGTTCATATGGAAGGAGCACAGGTATCGAAGATCTAGTCAATACCATTAGAGAGCATGGTCGTAGTGCAGTCTCCATGGAGACCATGGACTCCTATGGACTCACATGCAAAGGAGGACCGAGCCCATATGTGAGGAGGGCCAGGCACAGCCACAAAGAGGACCAAGCTCAAGGAGCATGCAGATGGTTACCACTCAGGGGCTCGAGAGACAAGAGTCAAAGGAACTGTCACTGGTCAAAGGAGAAGGAGCAGTGTATAGGGAACCAGCAAGCAGGTCCTGAGGAGGAGGAGCAGTGTCAAAGGAGTCAACACCACTCAGGAGGCACAGGGGTGCCAAACAAGCAGGATAGTAAGGAGGAGGAGCAGTGTCGAAGGAGTCGACACAGCTCAAGAGGCACAGGGGTGCCAAGCAAGCAGGAGAGGCCCCCTGAACAGTACTCGATGAAGAAGGTACTCTCTGGAGAGAGAGCAGGAGCAGCATCACTGGTGATGCTGTGAAGAGGTATATAACCATACTTTCTCATCATCAAAGGTCAAGTGGATCCTCATCCACTCTACACACACCATAACTAGTTATCACTTCAGCATAAGTATATATTAGTTTCAGTCAGCATAGCAGCAATCTATCAAGGTTGCTCCTCATTGTAGTGCATGTGTTGTATCACCACTACCTGATGTCCGAAGGTGACCCATAGCAGGTCAGTGGTCCAGATTAAGATAGAACTGAAGGCAGTAGTCCACTGTGGTCTGGGGATCACCTCAAGCATCAGTCAACACACTGGACACTCATGTTGATGCCACCAACCTTATCACCAACACCATCAACCTCATTACCATCAACACTCACCAACCTTATCATCAACACCATCAACCTCATCATCATCAACACTCACACCAGACCTTGGTGTCATCATAACCTATGTATTGTTATTGATCATGCCAAGCTACCCCTGAATGGAGTGTCCACAGAGGTCAGCCGAAACCTACAATAGTATATACAATGAATGCCACCCACTGTCATTGTGCAACTTGATAGTTGCTGAATGACTAGCTCGTCAAGACTGATACTGAGACAATAGCTGTCACACAGTTTGATAGTCACCAAGTATCTCGACAGACCGACCTGGGTTTCAGGCGCGAGACCCCTGACAGGCGGTAGCCTCATTGGTGAGTCCATTTTCTATCTTCTTCCATACATCATGGAACGTATGGTGCTCCCTGATGATGTCAAGGATCAAGTAATTGATATTGAACTCTCCAGTGGTGTTGATGGTACTGCATAGTGCATTCATTAAGGCATCATCAAACATTCAGTTCCACTTCAGATGTTTCTTGTCACACACTCCATCGAGGTGCTTCATAGCATAGGGAACACATCATAGGAAAGACTTGATATGGGTGCTCCAACTATAATAGTTGTGGGATGTGAGTTTTGGGACAGGCTCAAGTAGTTTTGCTAGGGTACGAAAATTGTATTGTTTTCCATTGTTGTCGTGATCTGAGTCAGAGTCAGTTTCTTCCTTGGTGTCATCATCAATTGCCTTGGTGTCTGACTCGTTGGTGGCCTCATTGTCAATGGCTCACAGTTGTGTTATCTTTCCCTTTCTTCCTCCTTTGGCCTTGCTTGTGATGGCTTGAGCTTCAGCCTCTTGTACCATGTTGTCAATGATCCTGGTTGGCTTAGTTGGTAGGGCTTCAGACTCTTAATCAATTGAAGATTGCAAGTAAAATGCTGCTGATTGGAGCTACTAGCAAGCTCAACTTCATGGGTGTATAACTTTAAGAAAAATGCTTCATATTTCTATTTGTGAGTGCTACAACATGAGTGTGTATATATACTTGATTGTCATCCTTAACACCTGCTATGTCATAATGAACTCTTCTTTCATATGGCCCCTGTGTTGTCACTTTCTGGTTGTTGCCTCTCCCTGAGTGTTATGGCTGTATCATTTATACATCCCACATGCACATCAATGCATGTCGATATGCAACTATGACTCACTATTATCTAACTTGAACTCCGCAGACCCCGTAATTCATGTTAGGATGCCGACGCATCTTCAACTCCTTTGCTTCCTCCCAAAGCCGGTCTAGCTCAGACAGCATCGAGCCAAAGACCTTCTGACTTTGCTCGCTTCATTGCCGAGAAAGGGTCCGAAGAAAGCCGGCTTGGTTGCTTTGCCATCATCCATCACTCTCCTCCGTCCACCTTCCCGGCCCTTTTCCAGCCCGACCCGCAATCAACAGCTTGCTGCGTTGCTGCGCATTCGAACGACCAGCTGGTTACACAGCTACCGCGATCACAAAGACGCATAGGACCACCGGCAAGGCACGGCGCGTCATGTTCCTCCCACGTCACACTTCTTTCCAAGCAGATCAAAGACTAGCGATGGCACGAAGAGGCTCCTCCGCTTCGTCAATCGGCCTGCAAGTTCACGAGACTATCTTGGCAGCCAAGGCTCGCGATATGAGCAGCGAATGCGGCTTAGGGCTGGCAGATGAAGGCACAGAAGCAGAGCTTCACGACGTCTCTGAGCTCGACAGTCAAGTCGAAAACGTCGAAGCGACGACAAGATCGAAGCAAAGCATCGGCCATCTGTTCATCGCAAATCGACCTACGCCCGAGCTCGATCATCTGATCAACACTGCACATTGCGATGGAAGGAGGCCGAAACGACATTCAACCAAACGAGCTAGCCTTCGCGGATATGCTGAAGCGCGTTGGACACGTCACGAAAGCTTGCGCGACCGTGTCATGAAAGCCAACAACGTCGCCAAACTCGAATGGGAAGCCAAAGCTGCTCTGTTGCACCACTCGTATCCTCTCGCCATCTTGCTTCTCTTTCGCGCTGCTTCGCTTGGATCGGCGAATGCGTGCGAACAGCTCGCCAGCTTGTATGCCTACGGCGTTACACGCGGCGTCTCCCCAGTCGTCACGCTCATCTACCGCGATGCTCTCCGCAGCTTAGCCTGGACTCTCGAGGCGCTTCGACTGTATGAGCGCCGTTTGGCAGCTCAATTCAGAGCGGCGCATTCGTCATCCATGCCCTCTCTCCGTCTCACTCAGATCTGGCAAGGTCCATTACAAGCGAGTCAGCTGCTCGTCCGCGGTCTCTTGAGCTCAGACGTGGGCGCTTTCGATCCCCATCAGAGGAACGCGGTCTTCCTTCCCGTCGTCGATGATCTTTCCGACTCTCAATGCACGTGGGCGCTTCGTGGTGGATCCAGTCATACCCAGTCGGCGAGACAGGCGCCAGAATTGTGGATGGAGCTTGATGATGTTGTGCAACGCTGGACTGTCCGTCTCGAAGCAGAACGCGCTACCACTCTTCTCCCTTCACAAGAGGGGCCCGACGAAGTCGAAGAGCAGCAGCAACTCTTGACCACCATGCAGAGCCTCAGCTTCCACCTCCTCGTTCTCCGAGCGATACAACTCACACGATCCCTCACCCTCGAGCCCTACGCCGAGAACGTCAAGCCTGCACAGCTCGCATGGTTCAAAGCAGCAGCCGTTAAACCGCACAGACTTGTACAATGCCCAGATCCGATTCACATGATTCGTGTCTTGGCACGAGCCAGTGACACGTCTGACCGAATCTACGATGAGCAGCTATTCAGCGATTTGTCAAGCTGCGCGCAAGAGTGTCTCGATGTTTCCGTTGCAACAGACTACAAGCGTCGCAAGATCCAAGCATCTGACTCGACACACATCCCTGCTAGTCGCGTGGCGGACACAACGCAGTCGCCTCGAGCAAAGACCCAATCCAGAGACCGTCTTCGCGATCTCGCGCCTGCCGACGTCGAGACGTCGAAGCAAATGGAGGCGAATGCACGCCCTGCGCTCACCATGCGCGTTTCGAGAGGCTTTGCTCCTCCTCAAGCTGCAGTAGCCTCCGTGTCGGCATCAGGGGAACACCAGACCGCCCTGTCCTCCGGCGCGTCTGCATCCAACACGGTGAGACAGAAGTACGGTCGCGCTGTCAGCTCAAGCTCCATGGCTTTGGTTTCTGGCATCACCGGCATTGGATCAGCGGAACCTTATTCGCCGACTGACAGTGTACGTACGGGCTTCCCTCTAGGCGTAGGGAGACCCAGGCGACCTTCAAGTGTGGTATCAGTGACACCATCTCTGCTCTTCCCGCCAGGGTCTAGGCAAGATGGGCAGCACACCACAGATCTTGATTCGGACGACTACTTCTCTGCTCCATCATCCCGTCGTACAAGAGCCGCCTCGTCTTCCCAGTCTGCAAGAGGAGAGTTGGGCCCGAGGCCACGAGTTGCTAGCATGTATAGCTCGACCTCGGCACTTGTTACTTCCACTTCGAGCATTAGTCTTCTAGCTCCCTCCATGTTGACCACTAGCCAGCAGAGCCTCAACGCATTGGCAACGGCGAACCCCACGCACATCCCGGCGCCCTCTCGCCGTCGAACTGAGTCAAATGCTTCGCTCGGATCTCTCAATCCTCGAGTCAGCTCCATCCTCCCCAAGACTTCGCCCTCCATCTTGGAGATGCCGGAAGCCTCGATCAGCGCGACCTCGATATCAGCATCTGGCGTCGCATCGCACGCAGAGACAAGCAAAAGGCAGAGCGCCGCGGCTGACACGCTCAGGAGGTTGAAGGGAAGACGATCGCAAACCGACCTTCGCGCGCTCCATTCCGCTCGTAAGGACCAAAACGTTGCACCTCCAGTCCCCTCTGTACTAGCCAATCTGACAAAGCAGCCAAGTTCTGCAGCAGCGTCTCGATCACCGCTGCAACCTTCTAAGTCGACCATCTTTGTATCTGTGGAGAACCTACCTGAAGACACTATCAGCGAAGCCAGACAGACAGCCGCAAAAGCGACGCGTGGTAAGGCAGCATCTGCTGGCTCAGCAGTGGAGCATCTCGCCAAGACACAAGCCCGCATGTCTCATCGAACCATCCCTTCCGTTCTGGAAGAGGCTGAAACAGTCACCAATGCAGCTCACACGGAGACCAACGGTCCGTCATTTACGTCTGCACTTGCCGCCGGCGCTCTCTCCGGCCTGACCGTGGACCTGCTATTCTTCCCAATTGACACGATCAAAACGCGATTGCAGTCGGCACAAGGCTTCTGGGCAGCTGGTGGATTCACCGGCGTTTATCAAGGTCTGGCTTCTACGGCCGTCGGTTCTGCGCCAGGCGCTGCTGTCTTCTTCACCGCATACGAATCGATGAAGCCGGCTCTGGTTCGCTGGATGCCGAGTGTATTTGGCTCGGAAGGGTCGCTAGGTTCAGCTGGCGTCCACATGACCTCGGCATCGATCGCAGAAGTGGCCGCGTGCTTGATCCGTGTTCCTACCGAGGTCATCAAGTCGCGTCAACAGACAATGACATATGGCAAGGGTACCACAACCTTCCAAGCGTTCAAGAAGGTCTTCCAGGAAGCAGGTATTCGCGGATACTATCGAGGGTTCGGTAGCACGGTCGGTCGTGAGGTTCCGTTCACTTGCATCCAATTCCCCTTGTATGAAAGGCTCAAACTCGAGATGGCTCGATCGAGGGCTAATTCTCAGTCAGCCTCGGCCTCTGCTCTCGAGAAAGGTGACCGTAAGCGATCCATTTCGGATCAGGAACTGGTGCGCAACCTGCCTACCTGGCAAGCCGGTCTTGCCGGTAGCATTGCTGGTGCCATTGCTGCTGGTCTCACCACTCCACTCGACGTCGTCAAAACACGTATCATGCTTCACACAAAGCAATCGGCGCCTAGCCCTTCTGCAACAATATATGCCGCTGCCACTGCCGCTGAGACTTTACCGCGTGGTGTCAACACCGACATCATCCCCACTCTGCTGCACATCGGCCGTACTGAAGGTGTCAAGACGCTCTTCAGTGGCTTCCTGCCACGCACAATGTGGATCGGGCTCGGCGGCGCTGTCTTCCTCGGTACTTTTGACGCTGGCATTAAAACACTTTCATAGACACACATCCCTGAGTCACCTAGATCACCATCACACTGTACTGCTCTCTTTGACATGCAAACTGCTAGTTGCTTTTTCTAATATTACAAAATGCCGACCATCTCATCGGAGGCTTACATTGACGATGCGGATATCTTGACGAGGCTTGTCGTTCCTGTCCACCTTGGCATCTTCAATACGCTTGACTACATCCATTCCCGCTGAGACCTTGCCGAACACGGTATGTTTGCGATCAAGCCAAGGTGTCGGTACGGTAGTGATAAAAAATTGGCTGCCATTGGTATTTGGTCCGGCATTGGCCATGCTTAATGTAAACGGTTTGGAGTGGTTCAGGCTCGGATGAAATTCGTCCTCGAAGTTGCCACCCCAGAGACTCTCGCCGCCAGTTCCATCGCCCAATGGGTCTCCCGTCTGGATCATGAACTTTTTGATGATACGATGAAAGATGACGCCGTCGTAGTAGCCTTTCTTTGCCAGGCCGACAAAGTTCTTGCATGTTTTGGGAACGAGCTCGGTATACAGCGTCAATTGGATGTCACCTAACGTAGTGTGCAGCGTGGCGGTGGTGTGCTTGAAAGAACTGCCGTCGCCACCGCGGTTGCGACCATTGCCGATGGCGGCTGTGGCCGATGCTATGGTCTGCTCTTCGCGAGTGGGTCTCTCGTTGAAGACGTCGCGGTTCTCACTCGTGCCGCCTTCGCCTGATCCGCTCATGGAATCCGGATCGACTCTAGTGAACATGTAGAACCTCGCACGTCCAAATGCGGTCGCGAAGAGGGTCGGGTCCACTAAGCCCTGCTTGGCGAGCAGCGGATTCTCCGATGCAGCGGCAGCGAGCGAGCTGACTTTCTTGTCTGGCGCGCCCTGAAAGAGGGCCAAATTCATGAAACGGACGCTTTCGTCCTTGCCCAAAAGGCGGACGCATTGGTTGGTAACGAGGTTGACGAACTTGATGCCGTGTAGTGATGCGTAAATGATGAAGTGGCCAGACTCGTCAAACATTACATTCCAGAGGGACGCTGAGCTCGCGTTGGCTAACCCTGAGAGGGGACCTTGTGCACTGGAGGCCGAAATCTCTCTTTCGAGCGCAATCCTGCGTCCAAAGTCCATCTGATCTAGCTTGAAGTCGATTTGGTGCCTTGATGCGTCTTCCACGTCGCTCTGGTCGGGATTGTGTGTTGGGTCGGTTGTAGCAGAGGTAGTCTCTGGAGCAAACTGAGCTTGAACACCTTGCAAGGCGTCAAGGCTTTCATCGTATCTCCGTGCAATCTTGGCGCTGCGGAAGTCAAATACACGGATCTGACGGTCGGCGATGGAAAAGATGGCAAACTTTTCACCGTCCTTCGAAAAAGTGAGCGTCGTAGGAACGATTTTTGTCTTTTTGAAGTCAAACAGATCCGTTGTCGATTTCAACTCGAAGATGCCAGGAACCTTGGTCGGCGAGGGAGCCGAGAAAGGCTCTTCAGGGGTCCAGTACTCGACGAAGGCAGAGACATCGCATGAAATGACGACGTTGTGCTGCGCGTTGAATGCTAGGATGTGAACAGGTGCTCGGTGGATCTTTGATGCGGTATGGATGGGTTCATAAGCCGTGTTTGACTTTCGCTGCAGCAGTGCTGTTGTTGTTGGATCCCCTGAGGCTGTTTCTTCGAGGGAAAGAGCGTCTGCTTGTGCTGACTGTGTAGGAGCGCTTCTGCCATCATAGATACGAATGTTGCTGGATCCTTCGTCGGTGATGGCAAGCAGCGTGCGCGGGCTGCCGGGGCGATGGACCCAAGCGAGGGTCCTCGCCTTGTAAGGAAGCTTAATCATGTTGATCATGTCAAAGTTGTCAACATCGAAGATCTTGACGTTGGCGTCCGCATCGAGCGTGGCATAAGACGCTCCATCTGCTGAGCAGCTCCAAGCGATGATGGGCGACAAGTGAGCTCGATACTGCTTGACGAATTCAACGACCGAAGAGCCACTGTACAATGAGGAAGCCGACGCCGCATTCTTGGCGGGCTGAGAGGAGTTCGAAGAACTTGAGGGCGCAAGGGATGTCTTTTTCCAAAACTTGACCCATCCATCGATGCTGGTTGTGATGACAAAGTTGGAGCGTGGAGTAACCGTGACAGAGTTGACGGTATCTCGGTGCATAAGCGACTTGAAGTACCAATCTGCAGAAGGAAGGTTGGAGAGGTAGGTTTTCTCATGAGGTAGCAGGGCAGGTCTGCGCTTCTTCTGTGAAGGTTGGATGGCGTCGTCCAGTGTCTCTTGCGGTCGCTTTGTCAAGCGACTATCTGTTGCATTAGAAGTGTGGGGACCGTCCGTGCCAGCTTGTGATGGGGGCGGTGGCGGACCGACATCGTCATCCTCACTGTCGTTTGCGGCCTGTTCATTGCTCACAGGGGCAAGTTCCGGCCCAGGTGTTTCGTCTGAGTTGGAATCCGAGTCCGAGTCGGTCGTGTCGAACGACTGCGACCTGCGTCTCGAATGGCCCGGCTTTGTGGCTGCATCAGCCTCTTGCATAGGAGGACCAGGAGTTGGTGAGCGAGAGGCAGAATGAGAGATTTGGCTTCTTGGAGACTCTGACCTTGCCATCTTGGTGAACTCTAAGCTGGAGCCACTTCTGAGAGCTGATAGTCGCAGGAGAATGTCGAGATAGGAAAGTGAGAACTCAAGGAAGATCAGAATTCAAACCATGTCACGTCAAACACCGAATTCTCCTCCACGTTCCGAAATCCGAAGAGCGGACAGCAGGCGGCAATTCCCACGACGGCGCCTATTCCACTTACGATCTGCCTTCCAATGTCCGAAGAAGAGGGAGGGCGGTAGAAGCTTAACAAAGGGTTCCACGAGTGCTGTCAGGCTGTCAGGCAAGTGCTGCCACGAACGCTGGGGTTTCAAAGCGATGGATTTGCGACCTGAAATATCACGAAGGTAATGGCTGCCGTGATTCCGAGTTCCTCGTTGCCGCCTTCAGAAGGCTAGCACGTCAGCTGTGGTTTCTAATGAGAAAGTAGGCAGATACACCATTTCGCTCAGTGCTCATGCTCGCATACTTCACAAAGGGCGGCCATTGGTCGTCGTTACACCATGAGGCGTCTACCTCACTCGATATGAGCAAATTGTTTGGTTTCTATTGCAACCTCCTTGTGCCGTTGAACTTGCCAGACCAATCTCTATGCTGTGAAAAGTGTGCTACAATGAGGAACATGATTGCGTCAACATCGGAGCTCATTCTAATACTCCGAACGGAGATCGATTAGCGCTGGAGGGTAAGGAGACCGGGGCGGTAAGGAGCGAGGTCGTACGTAGGACCTTGCTCAGCATTCTTTTCTTTGCCCTGGTAGAGCATCTGCAGCTTGCAAGGGTCAATGGTCATGGTCTGGTCCGGGTTGCATCGGACCAGGTCACCGTGACTGATGTCGTTGGTCCAGGAGACAGCAACGTTGGCCTTGCCGGCGAAAGGAGCGCTCTCCGAGTCTGCCTGCACAGTCCAGGGACCGTCCAAGCTGCTAGCAATGTATGAACGGAAGTAGCGGCCGGTGGTGCCCATAGCCTCGACGATCATCAGATACTTGTTCTGACCTTTGACGGTGTACACCTGAACGGCCTCGAAGAGCTTAGCTCGATCTTCGCTAAGCACGACCTCCGCAGCGGTGCCGAAGTCGCCAGGGAAACTGTCGATGGCCATCTTGGAGTGGTAGATCTTGCCATTGTCGTTAGCAAAGAAGAGATGCATATTGCTGCTGTCACCAATGAGGGTCTGATCAATGGCATCCTTGATCTTGCCCGAGAACAAGGGCTGGGGCGAAGACCAGCCGTTGGGGTTGGTTGGGTCGTGGCTAAGCCTGTAGGAGAAGGCCCAGGCGCCCCACTGAGAAGCGAGGACCCACACGTCCTTGAGAGCAAAATAGAAGATCGTAGGTGCAACGGCAGCCTGGGTCTGAGCAGTCTGCTGAGCTGATGCCATGTCGGACCAGGTAGAGAAAGGAGAGAAGGCCATCGAGCCGTACTTGCTCGAGTCTCGGTAGCTTGCATAGACCAAGTGCTTTCCATTGTAAGGAACGTGGGTGAAGTCCTTGAGCGAACGCCAGCCATTCTCGGGCTGAGCGAGAATGGCAGAGGACGTCCAGCGGTAGGTGGAAGGCAAATCACAGCTCTGCCGGCGTTCAAAGCCGGAAGTGGCCTCGGCCATGGTGGCTGCCAGAGCCATACCGGCGACAAGGGCGCACGAAAGCTTCATAGTAGAGGATAAGATAGGTGGGGTCCGTGGAGACGGGGGAAGTGGCTGGAAAAGAGGTGAAGTGAAGGGACGGCGGTCTTCCTTGCTGTCAGATGGGGGCTGCTTATATCAAAAAGCTTTCCCTCGTCAACGCACCACGGTGTTGATCAGAGGTCTTTGGCTGAGGGGGGCCCCTGTCCCACTTCATCTCAACCGCGACAATGGGTAGCAACCAGGCACGGCTAGCCCACCACAGTCAGCTGTGCAACTTCCGGTCGGGACCAAATCACATAGCGGTCCTACCGCAGTTGATCCAACTGTTTCCTCACTTCTTCTACAGATTGCCGCCAACTGAAGTGGGCTGCGTCACCGTTTCATGATTCGCGTAGCAACCCAACAGCTGCGCCACTGTAAAAGGGAAGGTCTTCGGCGATCCATTGCCACAGCTCTGTTGACGTCCTACATTACACTCTACGATCCTGCGTTGGTGGCGTTTCGTTGAGAGGGAAGGTCGGAGACTCTCGTCCCGATTGATTGCATATTTTGCGGGACCCTTCAACGCTACCGACAAGCCCGTCCCCGAATGGCAAACGACTGTGCGTTTGCTACAGCTCATGTCTAGCCTGACTTCCGTGGATCTACTGTAAGCGAAAGTCGCTGGTGCAAAAGCCGAAGTGGCCGCACGGGGGCAGGAACGGCCTGACGATCATCTTGCTCTCCATCATCACAAATTCGGCTTCCCCACTTCATCTCACCTACTGTACTGTATTTACCCACCATCCGAGCATCGGTGTCATGCCTGCCAGTCAACGGCCCATAAGCGATGACTGCAACCGTTGCTCAACACACCTGACAAATGCTCAACAATGACCAAGGCTCTTGGTGCGGGAAAGTGAGACGATTTGGAACGGCGAAATCGCGAAATTGCTGAACGGCTTAGGAAGAGGATGCATCAACGGTGAGTTATCGCCCTTGACCACGCGTGACAAATTTTGAAAAGGAAAAGGATGTTATCAACGGTGAGTTATTGGCCTTGACAACGCGTAGGAAAAAGTTGAAGAGCATCGTCGAGATCAATCAAAGGTGCGTCAAAGTCGATGATCACAAGTATCAATTGCGATGATGAATCATTTCTAAGTACATGATGAATCAAGCATTTATATATGCCTCAATGCTCTTTGTATGCATGTGTGATACTAAGAGCTGATAGGGCAGAAGCATGATTGAGGAACTAAGAGGGTGAAGAGAAACCACTGGCTATCTGATGACCAGTGTCATGGGGCTGGATGCGCAGGAAGCTAGAAGGTCTGTCAAGCTCATATGAGGGGAGCGCAGGAATCAGGGGATTGGGTGGATTGTGGGATTTGAGGCAGAGTTCACTGAAATTGGTAGTAGTACCAACTCTATGACAGATCTCACTGAGATTGGCAGGAGGGAGGATAGTATTACAAGCCCAGGAATCAGCTCGAGGGAAGATGGTACTATGGATCATACCAAGATCAGTGATAAGAGAGGGGGTATGGTGGATTCTGCCAGAATCAGTAGTAGGAGAGATCCTATCACAGATTCTGCAGAGATCAGCAATAAGGATGGTCATACAATGAGCTCTTGTGGGGGGGAGTGGGACCAAGTGCCACCAAGAGGGGGACCGAGCTCGGGAGCATGTAGCTGGTTACCACACAGGGGGGCCATGAGATTAAGGCCTGAAGAGCTGTCACTGGTCAAGAGAGGAGGAGCAGTGTCAAGGGAACTGGCAAACAGGGCATGAGGAGGAGGAGCAGTGTTGAAGGAGTCAACACCTAGCTCAGGACAGACAGGGGGGTTAAGCAAGCAAGGCGATGAGGAGGAGGTGCCTCGTCAGGGGCCTTGGCACAAGTGCTCGATGAAGAAGGCACTCTCTGGAGAGAGAGAGCTGGAGCAGCATTGCTGGTGACACTGCGAAGATGTATAAAACCATGCCTCCTCACCAGAATGGTCAAGTGGATCCTCATCCACTCTACACACCATAACAACTAGTATTACTTCAAGCATAAAAGTATCATTAGTTCACAGTCAGCATAGTAGTAATCAATAGATTGCTCCTCATCAAAGTGTGTGTGTTGTATCACCATTTCCTGACATCTGAAGGCAGTTCTTAGCAAACCAGCAGTCCAGATAATGATAGAACCGAAGGCAGTCATCCACTGCAGCCTGGGGATCACCTCAAGCATTAGTCGACACACTGGACACTCGTGTTGACATCACCAATCCATGCTCACACCAGACCCTTGGTGTCATCAGCAAGTTCACAGTGTTATTGATTGTGCCGAGCTACCTCTGGATGGAGTCTCTGACAGTGGTCAGTCAAATCTGCAATAGCATTATCACAATCACAGATTCAAGCGAGAAAACTAATAGAGACAGCTCTACTGCATAACTCGTTAAGAATTGCAATACCACAAGTGCTGTCGCATAACTCGACAGAATTGGTAATAGTATTAATACTACTACCAATCTCAGGTTTCAGGCACATGACCTCTGACATTAGAGTGGATCATTCAAGCAGCACCCCACAATCACAATGACAGACCAAGGCCTCAATGATAAGCTTGACCAGCTTCTAGCACTATTGGAAGCCCAGCTCGAGCTCACCAGGCAAGGCCAATGAGAAGAACGACTTCGCCATGCTCACCTAAGCAGAGAAGAGATGATTGAGTTCTCACCATCAGAAGAATGGGTAGGAGGTGACGAATCCATGATAGGAGATCCTCAAACTCCTACACCAGCACCATGACCAGGACATTATGTCTCTTTCACTGATGTAGAAGAGCAGGATGACATCAATTATGAAAAGTATGCCTCACCCACCAGGCCAAAGTACTTCAAACCCAGGGTGGGTCTGTATAGTAGGACTAGGATGGAACCTTATGTCCTAGACTTGGAGGAGGATCCTAGTGTATTGGCGGATCTCTCTCGATCAAAGCCAATTGCCACACCCTTTCCTAAGTTCAATCTGCAAGATGTGGAGATATTCATTCTTGAAGCCAAAGCCTGGTTTAAGTTTAACCAGGTATATGAGCAAACAAGAATGATCAATCACATGGGCTCTCAATTGGAAGGGAATGCATGGGAGTGGTGGACCTCCAAGCTCCATATCGACAGAGCTCAAGAAGGAAGGTTGTTCAATGACTGGTGTTACTTCATAGAGTGGCTGTCAGAACAATTCAACCCCCAGAATGCTAGAATAGAAGCCTACAACAAGCTGTTGGCTCTCAAACTCACTAGCAATGCACCTGGTGCTGCCACATGCCATGTGGAGTGTTTCAGAGACCTGGAAGGGCAAGTCAACCTGGATGATAATGAACTGGTTATTGACCTATTCAGGGGCAGCCTCACCTGCAGTCTACAAGAGAAGTTTGAGTGTAATCTGCCTGCAAAGAAGTGGGAATGGTATCAAGAGGTCGAGGTCATTGACTGACAGAGGATGCTGCTACAGCAGTCCTCTGCTAGACACCCAAGTGCTGGTCCTCCACAACCAAATCTGGGAATATGGCCAATGCCACCCACTCAAAGTTCATTCCCTGCCCAGCAAGCAAGTAACCCTGCTCAGCCACCAGCACCAACAATGGCAGGAAACCCGAGCAGACCAACCAATCAGCTGCTGCCTCATCAGTTCATACCTGGCTTGAAACAAGGGAGCCCAACAGCATCAGGCAATAACACATGCCATATATGCAAAGGCATTGGACATTGGGCCAGAGACTGCCCAAGCAAGAAGGCAGACCCTCCAGGCCCCTGACCTCCAGGCCCAAGAGTAATGGTAACCACAGAGGATCCCTTTGAGGAAGGGGCCACTGACTCAGGAGATGGTCATACAGGCAGCACTGAAATGAGCAATCCTGATGACCTAGACTTCAGTCAATACCAAGTTCCTAATGACACTGATTGTGAGGAACCCCAGGATGATGACAATGAGGGAAACAGCAGTGGGGCAATGCACTGATGGTGTGCATGGCTCTACAAACCTCTTCACCATCATTGTGTATATACCAAGATTGTCAAATATGCTTCTCTACCAGTGAAGGGAAAGCAGTATTAGAGCTCTTGGGAACAGTACAAGACCACCCTGCTCATATACTCACCAATACCAGTGCTGGCTTGTCTATAGTTTCAGATTCCTTTATCAGTAAGTACCAAATACCCACAAAACCCTAGCCCTAGCCCTAGCCGGTGTGTCTTGCTTGCGGGCAACGCACAATTGCGCTCTGCCAAATTCGAAATTAGGGTTAGGGTTACAAGGGGGTTCCATTTTTAAATCGAGTAGGGTTGCTTAATCAAAGTTGTAGTACTACCCAAACTATGCATGTTTCATTATCCAACCCTACTCCAGTTGAGTAATAAAATTTTCCGATACAGCTTGGTGAAGTTGGGCCTGGTACAAGTCAGGTCATTGAAATATTGAAATTTTTGACATGCACCCATAATAAAAGTTGTTAGGGTAGGGTTAGGGTTAGGGTTAGGGTTAGGGTTAGGGTTAGGGTTAGGGTTAGGGTTAGGGTTAGGGTTAGGGTTAGGGTTAGGGTTAGGGTTAGGGTTAGGGTTA